GACAAAAAAAAATTAAAAAAGGTTGGAGATGTGCAGTAACTGCCGGTAAAGTGGAGAAGCTTTGGAAAAACTTTAAACAAAAAATTGCGGTGAGAGAGAGAGAGAGAGAGCCGTCCAAAAACAAGGCGTAGATGTCTATCCCACGCGCAATCAAACCCTTCCTCCTTCTCCATCTTCTTCTTCTTCTTCTTAACCTTCTCCTTATATCCATCATCATTTCGCACCCACATGACACACACTTCCATTTTTATAAATAACCATATTCACATCATAAACCTATATATATACAGCCTAAGAATATTTCTGGATGGTCCATATACATGTGCTCTAACTAAAAGCTTATATTAACAATCATTCATTCCACACAAGAGATTTCAATCTTTCTTCAAGCTCTCTTCTCCTTCTTCCTTTTACTACTCCTTTCTAGATCGTCCTTGTGGAAATCGTTTGCAGTTAACATATTATTTCCTACAGTTTCTTCGTCCAATCTATTTTAGCTCGTAAGTTTCAACTCAATTTTTTGTTTTTCTCTTCTTGAAAGGGGTTTCAACTGAATTCTCCTTTTATAGGTTTTTTCTTTACACACACACACATGCATGTTATGATGAATTACCGGCGCCTCTGCTTGGCATTTTTTGTCATTATGTATGCATATATATAGAAATAGATCATAGTTTTGTATATGGGTAGGCTGTTTGAAGTTTCATATATTTGAATAGTGTGTGTGTGGAGATTGACCCACAAATTTACAGTTTCGAATCTATGTTTCTTCTTTGTTCCTACGAAATTATTGTTTCTTGGAAATTAATTGCTGTTGCACCACTATAATTAATAGTATATAGATACTATATAAGGATATAACTCAAGACAAGAGTGTGTAATACACTCAAAGGACCATAAGCCTCGGTGACTTCCACCCGTCAAGCTTTTCGGCTATATATCCTTTTTATATGATTATCTTACATATACATAATATATTTTAGGTCTTATAATACCACCTTATATAGTACATATTGCATAAACTTTGATTTTTTTTTTCGGTTGTAAGCATCGTTCGGTATTTAGAAGGCGAAGAAACCTTAAACCTAATGTTTTTTAATTGAAAAACAAAACAAAAACTTTTCACTATCAAAACTTTTTGAATTTGTTACCATTTTTTGTCATATATAGAAAGAGCTCCTCTATTGTTGGGTGGTCCCATGGACATACATCATAACCATCATCAACAACATATAATAGCGATAGCCTTAAGCTTCAAGATCCAAGCTTTTTTATAGAAATATCTATCTACATGTGAAGTCATATATGTGTATCTATATCTATAGGTATATAATATGTTATCATGTGTGTCCGTGTGTAACATCACTATCATTACCCAACACAGCTTTTGGAATTTCATTGGACCCAAGAGCCATTCGATCCCTTTCTTATAATTAAATATAACGAAGCTTGTAACAGGCTTTGGTTTTGGTCCCAAAAACAAACTTTAAGGTTGTGCCTTGTTTGTCTAAGGTTTTCGCTATAGCTTCCAAAAAGACACGCTTATGTTTATATACAATACATTTTCTTTCATATCATCCTCTTCTCTCCCATTTATTCATCTGGTTTCTTACTCATTTCTCTAAAAAAATTCTGAATCATATACATTTTAATTATAGGATCATCGTGTATGGATAATATCATGCAATCTTGTATGCCACCGGGATTCCGATTTCATCCGACGGAGGAAGAGCTCGTGGGTTATTACTTAGACAGGAAGATCAATTCAATGAAGAGTGCTTTAGATGTCATTGTAGAGATCGATCTCTACAAAATGGAGCCGTGGGATATACAAGGTAATCGACGTGAGTTTTTTTATAATAATTATCACTAATCAATATTTTGCATGGAATGACTGTTAATTCTCTAGCTACAATATGATTTTTGAAAACCATAGCATGCTATGAATTTGGCATGCGAAGTGAATGAGAAAGCCTACTTTCTTTGACTTGTATGATTTACAAACGGAGTGTGAAACGAATATTGCAAAGAACAATTAAGAGATGTAGTACAAACATAAATCAAATCGGTTGATTTTTTTTGTTGAAAGTGGGGAAGTATAATCATATCTTGTACAATTCACCACATAATTTTTTTTCAATATGTATTTTTCTTTAACATTGCTTTCCTAATATATTGTGACTTAAGAAATTTTGTGACACTAATGTTTTGGTTTAACATTGCAGCGAGATGCAAACTAGGGTATGAAGAGCAAAACGAGTGGTACTTCTTTAGCCACAAAGATAGGAAGTACCCGACCGGGACTAGGACCAACAGAGCCACCGCGGCCGGGTTCTGGAAAGCCACCGGTAGAGACAAGGCGGTGCTTTCAAAGAACAGTGTCATAGGAATGCGTAAGACACTTGTCTACTACAAAGGTCGAGCTCCTAATGGAAGAAAATCCGATTGGATCATGCATGAATACCGCCTCCAAAACTCTGAGCTAGCCCCGGTTCAGGTACACATTTTAAAGACTCTAATTAATACATTCGTTGCCAAGCCTAACCGGACTGAATCACTAACCGGTTTATTTGTAAACTATAGGAGGAAGGTTGGGTGGTGTGTCGAGCGTTTAGGAAGCCGATTCCAAACCAGAGGCCACTAGGGTACGAGCCATGGCAGAACCAGCTATACCACGTCGATAGTAGCAACAACTACTCATCTTCAGCGACAATGAACACGAGTCATCATATTGGTGCATCTTCATCGAGCCCTAATCTTAGCCAAATGCTCATGAGCAATAATCACTACAATAATGTATCCTCGTCGATGCATCATCAATATGGAAACATCGAGCTCCCACAGCTGGACAGCCCAAGCTTGTCGCCGAGTCTAGGGACGAACAAAGATCAGAACGAGAGCTTCGAGCAAGAAGAAGAGAAGAGCTTCAGCTGTGTGGACTGGAGATCACTAGATAGCTTGCTTGACACACAAGTCACACATCCACAAAACCCTAATGTCCTCATGTCTTCGTTCGAAACTCAGTCGTATAATCCGGCGCAGAGTTTCCCTTCCATGCATCAAAACTATAATGAGGTTGAAGCTAATATTCATCATTCTCTTGGATGCTTCCCTGACTCGTAAATTAAAAAGACATTAATCTTCTATATTGATTTGTATTCTATGATTTAATTGTTCCATCTGGACAAAATAACATTTATAACTGTCTATTTGTAAAAGAAGTTTGTGTTTTAAACTCTTACTACTTAGAGATTTCTTGGTGAATTTCACAAAGGTGGATTTTTTTTTTTAGCCCTTGGATTTTTCTATTCATTTCTTTATTTTGCTACCGAATTTGTAACTCATCCATTCTACCCCCATTAATTAAAAAGAGAGAAGTGTTCATATTTAATTTAATTTTTCAATTGAATTGAGAAGTGTTCATAATTATATCACAATGCACACCAAATCTATCTAATATCTATGATGGCCTACCAAAGCTATGAGAACCTATAGTTTTATGTTACAGACTCATACGGCTTAAAAGGCTTAAAGTTTAAACCTCAATAATCAAATCATCAGGCGACTAATAAGGGCCTGATTGGTTCTCCCGCTACCACCCGCAAACGCAGCGTTTGCGGTTCGTAGCGGTTTTCGGCGGTTTATAACAATCACGACAACCGCTTTGAATCGCTCTATACCACTCTGTACCGCTCTATATCGCTGAAAATCAAAAGCTCCTTTCCGCAAGCGTTTGCGGTTGCGGGCGGATAATTAAAAAAAAAAAAAAAACACAAACTTATATAAAATCCGAAAATAAATAATAATATTTATTAAAAAATAAGATTTGGATAATAAAATCACAATATAAATAAAAAATTAGTACTTTTAGTCAATATTCATTAAAATCATATAATACTTATATATTTATAAGTTCTACAAATCAAAATTCTCTTCATAAATATTCTTTTCATACTAATACATATATATCTAATAAATAAAATTGTAAAATAAATTTAATTTTCACATTAAATATATATTTTGAAAATAAAATCACATTTTTATTTAAATTATAGAAATTAAAAGACGTAAGTATTATACACATATTATTCTTTATAAAAAAATATTTTTAATTATGTTGAACCATAAATTTAAAATTTTCATTATAATATAGTTTTGATATTTTTATAATTATATAATGTGTTTATATTATTAATTTATTGTTTAACCGCTATTGCATCCGCAAGTGAACCAGTCATAAGTATCCCGCAAACGCATCCATTTTCAATTGTTATGCCAGTCGTACAAACCGCTTAATAACGCTACTAATCACAACCGCCCGCTTCCGCAAACTCCCGCACCCGCAACCGCAACCGCAGCGGTTAAACCAGTCAGACTCTAAGTGTATATATATACCAACAAATGAAACCACAAAACACTATTTAAATGGAAGTCATATTTGCTCACAATATATAATAAGTATATTTACAAAATTTATTTACATGCAACTGAAGAGGATTTTTAAAAATGATTAACCCAAAAAATGAAAAATTAGACAAAAAGTTTACGGAAATTAATTAATGAAACTATTGTGATATAGTCAAACCTTCTCACTGAGTCAGAGGTTTCGATCTTAAAGTCTGACACAGAACCCGCTGACCGATACAGAAGGTCCAAATAGTCATCTCCGATGAGAGACTCCGGTAGTGATGATGACGATGGAAAAAAAGCTTTCCGTTAAAAAATATATTTTCCATTTTCGGTTGCTTTTTCCTTTTCTTCTTCTTCTTCTTCTTCTTCGTTAATCTGAAGAACAAAAAAAACAATCTGATCGATTGACTGAAATTGAAATGCCATTGAATCTTTGCAATTAGATCCAATCATCTCTCTGATTTCATTTTCCGAGAAAACCCCCAAAGACACGAGATCGAAAATTCTCCAGATCGTTGCAGATGAATTGAAGATCGCACCGCAATCGAATCTAATCGGAAGCACGAGTGTCGTCAATTCGCATTCTAGCGATGGCTCCGACGCGGATTCTAATCAGAGACGAAGAGCTTGGAGCGACGATATCGGACGACGACGACTCTCCATCGGGAAAGCGATCTAAACTCGATCGATTCCCTCTTAGCCGATGGGAACTCGCCGTGTCTCTCGGCGTCTTCCTCGTCTTCTCCTCCGGTCTCTTCTGCATCTACATGACCATGCCCGCCGCCGAATTCGGCAAACTCAAGCTCCCTAGAAGCCTCGCCGATCTCCGCTTGCTCAAGTAAAAACTCTCTCTTTCCTTTCAAAATCTGAAATGCAGAATCGTTTAAGGATTAGGCTGCCTCAATCAATGTCGAATTCGATCAATCTTGAGCTTCGTGATTTTGGCTGATTTCAGGGACAATCTTGCGAGCTATGCGAGCGAATACCCTGCGCAGTTTGTTTTAGGGTACTGCGCAACGTACATTTTCATGCAGACCTTCATGATTCCAGGGACGATCTTCATGTCACTGTTAGCTGGAGCTCTCTTTGGCGTTGTGAAAGGTGTGATCTTGGTTGTTTTCAATGCCACCGCCGGAGCTACTTCTTGCTTCTTCCTGTCCAAGTTGATCGGCCGGCCGTTGATTACTTGGCTTTGGCCTGACAAATTAAGATTCTTTCAGGCTGAGGTAAACACTCTCTAGTCTCTCTCATGATGATCCTTTTGCTCAATAGCCTTATGAAAGTTCTTCATTTCTATTTGCAGATTGGTAAGCGAAGAGATAAGCTTTTGAACTATATGTTGTTTCTGAGGATAACACCAACACTGCCGAATCTGTTTATCAATTTGGCTTCTCCGATAGTCGATGTGCCTTACCATGTCTTCTTCTTGGCGACTTTGGTTGGTCTCATCCCTGCAGCTTATATAACCGTTAGAGTAAGCTCTCTTTTGCTCCTTTCTCTATCTCATTCTGTGTGATTCCTTTCGTTTTGGCATCTAAACAGAGGTTTAATTCTGGTTCTTGATATATTTTGTAGGCTGGTCTTGCTATTGGGGATCTGAAATCGGTGAAGGATCTGTATGATTTCAAGACGTTGTCAGTGCTTTTCCTCATTGGGTTTATCTCTATACTTCCGACGATATTGAAAAGAAAGAAGATATATGAGTAAGAAATGACCAAGGAGAAGTGTCTTTTACCAATACAAATACAGTTTTTAACTTGTTAGAGGAGACGAGCAGAACAAAAAATGTTGATGGTTCGTTTTACTTGGCACTTGTTGGAATGATTCGTTTATAGTTTTTTATCTTCTTATTTTTGGAAGTTTTGTATTGAATAGATTGTTGTTGAGGAGAGGAAATTACAGAAGGAAATACGATATTTTGTTACCCGATTTCACTAGACGAGAGACCATCACGTATTATCAAAAAGACAAAGACTCAATTCTTTTCGACTCCAGACTATTACTGTTGACGAATGTGAAAATTGGAAGACATTTATCTTGAAAATAATATATCGAAGAAGATCTATTCTCAACGGGTGTTATTCAACTATGTATTAAAAATCAATTCTCTAGGTTTTATAATTATATAGATTTACAATTTTTGTCTTATTTTAAAAAAAAATCATATAATTGATTCTAAAATCTCTGCAAATATCTTATGGATTTGTTTTTAATAATTAATCATAGAACTCAATTAGAATTTATTTTCAACAACTCGATAAAATATTTTAAAAATCATTTAGTTTTGAATAACAATAGATTTTCAATTCGGATTTTAAATCTTGATTGAATAACATTGGGTTTAGAATGATGAGTACAAATTAGGAATCAAATAACATTGGATTTAAAAACATAGTTTATAATAACATTTGATTGTAATTGAATTTCAGTCATTTTAATTACAACATCCAATAACTCTCACAATACATAATAATTTAATAAATAAGCGGAGTTTTAACATCTTACAAAAAAAATATATATATATATATAAGTGCAGTAAGAACGATTAAATTTTTATTATTAAAAACATACATTTAAAAAGTAAAACTTTGATTTCAGTTCGTAAATGGCTTTATTCTTAAAAACTGAAACAATAATAGTAAGTCAATCTTGCTATAATCACATGCATGAGATTATATATTTGCAATACACGCCTTTCAATTCAACGGCCTTCTTATCATCTGTCGGCGGTGGAGACCACATTTTCTCTTTCACGTAGCACACAGACGCCACAGTTACGCCTGAGGAGTAGTGTTATGCTAAGAAGGAAGCATGATTTCAGGTTGGGGCAGTATACATCGCAAGCTTGCGACACGTAAAAGGCCTTCTTGTCGTTGAGGTTTATCAAATTTAAATATCTTATATATAATAAAAGGCATCTTTTTCCAGCTGACCACCATGTCAGCGTGCGGGAAAGATAACCACGTGGTAAACCCTGAGATAAATTTGGTTAAAAGGTAAAATCGTTTTTTGTTTGTTTCAAACACTCACTTATGTTAAAGTGCATAATTAAGTCCATGAAATGAATTCTATTGATAATTGTTAAAAGATACTACTATATGAACGAGTTACATAAAAAAAAAATCAATTAATATAGTGATTAAGCTAATAAACCTCTTTCTATTAAAGACTATAATTAAAACGCTTAGCTTAGTAAAGAGTAAATTTATACACTAAAAGAATATAATTTTCCAAAAAAAGTTTCACAAAAATAAGCATAATATAAGTAAATTATAAGAATAAAATAAGCAAATTATAAACAAAAGATATGCAATTCATAAGCAAAACATAATAACTATGATAATATTATCATTTTGCTAATATATATTCTCTTTTCAAAATCCCCTTCAAAATCATATGCTTAAAACTGAGAACCCAATACAATTACTTAATACAAATCTTGGATCTAGCAGTAAAATATGTGTTATTAATTTAGTGGAGTATCTTTATAAAAACAATAATATATGTTAAAAATTATAAAATCTATAAAAAAATATGACTTTTAAGACATATATTAATCAATTTCAAAACCAGTCAAATAAATCACTAAGGTGTAATTGGTTTCATATATTGAAATCAACTCTAACATATTTGAATTATTACATCAGATTTTCAAACTTTTGGTTTATTTACAATGATTCATTATTCACTTCACAATATATAGTATCAGAATTATCTTTAGATATTAAAATATGTGGGTTAATAGTGATAATTATTGAATTGAATAAATATAATAAACTGATTACAAAATCTGAAGATAAATGTTACATTTTGATTGCTATAATTTACACATTTCAAATCCAAATAAACTCTGAAATCAGTTGAAAAAAGTATAGTAAATTTGAACAACACAAGACTCTAAATGATTTATTCAGCTCCTTAACTGAATAACACAAGATTTTAAACTCTTTTAATGAAGAGACTGTAAATACAAGAATCAATAACACTAGATTTTAACATATTAAATTTCATTAATAAGTTGTTTTATTTTAATTATATACTTAAAAATACAATTAAAATCGGTGAAGGATTTGCATGATTTCAAGACATTGTGATTGCTTTTCCTCATTGGGTTTATCTCTACACTTCCGACGATATTGAAAAAGAAAGAAGATATATGAATAACAACACCAAGGAGAAGTATCTTTTCACAATAAATTGGCTTAACCATTCCATGTCATAGCGTTACAGAGAGGACAAGAGAATAGAGTTTAACTTGTTAGGGAACGCAAAACAGAACAAAAAAATGGTTAACTCGTTTTGCTTGGCACTTGCTCATCTTCTTTCTTGGAAGTTTTGTATTGAGTAGATGTTGAGGAAAGAAATTACAGAAGCGAATACAATACTTTGTTACCCGATTTCACTAAACGAGAGACGATCAAGTAGTATCAAAAACTCAAGAATAATATATTGAAGAAGAAGATCAATTCACAGCAACACTGAACAACTCAGAAGCAAAGCAACTTCATGTCATTATTTTAGTTAGATACTAGTTTCAAAAGCCACAACATTACAACAACAAGCTAGTCTCTGTAAAGCAACAGATTTTGTTCAGCAAGAAGTTGGATAGACAAAGGCAAGTTAGGTCAACTTGAAACCACCACCAACAGGTTGGTGCAACTGATAGGTCTGGCTCGGCACAACTTGAATCACACCTGGTTGTTCTGTAACACCCAAATCCCCAAAAACCGTATGAGAAACAAAAAAAACAGAGAATGAACAAAACATTCATCAAGTTTAGACCTTTATCATCTATATTATGATCCTACATACATACTCGAATTTGTGCATTCATGACTCTATGATTATATTTCTACATGAGTATTTGATTCAGTGGAGCCAATGATCACAAGTTCCACAACCAAACAAGCACTTAATCCAACAAACATTATGTTTTCAAATCAAACAGAGAGGCTACTAGATTCCTCTGCAATCATCAGTTTCATATTCTTTCTAAGCTATAAGTATTAGAGTAAAAGCAGGATCAAACACGTACTGGAGATCTCTTCGACTTGCTCAGGAGTGAGCTTAGCAGAAAAACCAGAAGCAGCTTCCTTGTAACTGTAAATCAGAGCATCCTTTGCAGCTTCCTCACTGTAATCACCATGAGAAACAAACAGAATCCATCATCATCATTTCTCATACGGATCCACATATTTTCACCAATTAATCCACATAGTTGCAGAGAAACAGCCAATCACAATCAAACAACAAATATCCTCTTTTAAGAGAATCAAACCCTAAATCAAAGCGATCACACCCGAAAAATCATCTCATCCAAGACAATAACGATCCAAAATTCATCTCTTTCCCATTAACAGTATCGAAGAAATTCGATCACGGACCTGCCGAGAGCGGAGGAAAGGGTACGGAGATGATAATCTTTAGGCTCCTCATCGGTAGGCTTCTCGGTGTAGATGATGTGAACCTTCGCTTCGGATGTTGATTCACCGGTGGATGCAGCCATGACGATCAGAGAGAGGAGCGATACGAAGACGACGATGATGAGATTGAGGTATAAGACTCTTCTTTCAGGACCAGGAGGAGCAAATGTTTGCATTTTATTGAGATTTTGAGATGATGATATATATCTTTCAGACAAAACACAAAGTTGTGTGTAATCCGCGTGATGTGACTTTTTCCATTTATGTTCCAATTTATTAACCGACTAAAATCGGACGGCCTCAAATGATTCATCCATAATCTTACGGTTGGAGTATGTCGGCCTGTGAATATTTGCCTATGTGTTATCTTTTGTCCCTCTCTGTCTCTGCTGCCATGTGGTAATTTAGCATCTAAATATTATTTATTTTATACAAATGTTAATGGTTTTGCTAATTGAGATTTATCTATTTCTATACATATAATGATATAAAAAAAAATGAAACAAAATAAATTAAGTATATATAGATTTGTGCTGTGTTCTAAAAGTCGGCCGAGTTGCCGAGTATTCGGTCCTAAAACCGTCAGAAGGAGATTGCCGTTCCGACTTTTTAAAAACCGAGTAAAGATATGGTCAACCGTTGACCGTATTTTGATATTCACATTATTATAAAAATCAGCAAGTAAATGTTAAAATCTGGTGGGTTAAAGTTTGATTTTTGTTCATAATTAGCCCCAATTCACTCAAAGTGTGTAAAGACACTTTTCATTCAACATAAAACCTTAAAAATGTAGTATATGACTTTTATATTGATGTATTATATATAAAAAAATAATGTTATTTGGTAATAATATAGTATATGATTTTCATGTTGATGTATTATATATAAAAAATTAAAATTGTTGGAAATATATAAAAATGTACTTAAGATTAATATCCGAGTACACTCCCATTTATTTCCGACTTTTGAGAAAATCGCTAGAAGGAGACGGAGCGTCCTAGTACCGCCTAATGAGTTTTAGAACACAGGATTTGTGTGGCCATATCTCCACTACTATTATTTATTGATGTCCAATAATTTCTCAGGAAAATAAATTTTAATTCATAGAAAGAAAAAACAAAACTTATGGATGAATATCATCTTTTTGTAGTTGGAAACTAAAATATTATTGAAAGGTCTTAAAATAAACAATAAATAAAAACTTATATATTGTTGGATGTCTTTGGAGAATTGTAGATACTGAATGTATATCCAGATATTTGGGTTTCACCACCCAATAACAGATTAAACCAAGCCTATGGGCCACAAACAAGATTGAATCGTCAATTAGCCCAGTCAAATTGGCTCTTGTCATATTCATACAACTAATTAAACAAAAAAAAAAACATGTAATAGAAATATACACTTTTTTTTTTTGGTAACAGAAATAGACACTTTTGAACGATAAATCAACTAAAAATACTTGTCATTTTCATTTCATATGTTAAAAATGAACCATGATCAAACTAAGCCCCCTACCCGTCGCTAAATCGCGAAATTACAACTAGCAACGGCTTAAATATAGCCTAGAAATTAAATTTTTACCCACTCATTATTTATTTTAATTCTTTTTCTCCCATCTCTCACTTCACTTTAAAGTTTAATACGCCTCAAAGCCAAGTACGCCAACACTCTATACCCAACAAACATCAAAAACAAAGCTCCAACGCTCGTCCACAGCCCAATATCTCCGACCACTTCCTCCTCCATTAACCGGCACGCAGGCGTTGTCTCCGCCGCCGCACCTTGCGTCTTCTTGCATCCAAACATCGCCAATATCTCCTCACCATCTCCGTACTGAGTCGCGATCAAAAGACGGTAACAATAATACGTCGTGGAAACGTACTTCATCCAAACCATTCCAGCCGGCACTTTGCTGACGTAGTAACCGCCAGTCAACACAAACGCTAGCATCGTCACGGTCACGATCGTGGACGCCTTTTTAGCATCCATGATCGCTGCGCCTAGGGCAAGTCCGAGTCCTTGAGAGGCTAAAACGTATAGCAAGATCACGGAGAGAGTGAGGAGGAACGGGACTAAGCCTGGACGTAGACCGACCATCCAGTAAGTCAGCGTCAAAAACGCCGCCGGAAGAACAAGCTCCATGGAGAGAGATCCGAGGACATGGGCCATGAAGTAAGACGAGAGTGTGTACATTCCAGACGCGCGTTCACGTGAGAAAATCGCACGTTCTTGCGGAAACGTGAAGACCGCGTTAAATGACGGAAGTACCCCCCAGAAGATGGATATGAAGAAGAGTAGTCCTAGTCGGTCCTGTAATAACGAACTTATTGTTAGGAAAAAACGCCAAAATTAATTAAAAACAATAATGTGTATTTCTTATATTTATATATATGATGAATATTACTACTTACGTGTACGTCTTTATAGTCCGAGTGCCACCACATGAGACTACAGAGCAACGAAGCAGCGACGACTTGGAAAACGCGAAGTGCGTCGAAGGATTCGTGACGGCGTTCTTTCATAAGTCTGTGGAGGAGAATGCAGAGCTGGCTAAACCATGTTGTGAGACCAGTCGTTATTCCTCGGGCGTTCACTCGCGTTTTCACAAAAATTGCGTTCTCTCGAGGAGTAGGTGATGCGTCCATGTATGTTTTGACGTTCGGAGCTAGCAATGTGTTGTAAGAATCAGCCAGCGTTTGTCTCACGTTTGGTCTTTCACGTTCCACTACACCGTCAATCTGACAAACTCCTGCATAAGTTACAAGATCTCCATTAGCTAACAATCGATAATATTAAGGTAAGTAAAATAAAAAAGAGAGAAATTTTTATGGATTTTAGTGACATTTTACATATCCATTGCTCACAACTCGGATGATAAATCAAAATATCTTGGCGATTAAATAATTAATCTACCAATCAGGTTATAGTTAGTACCTATATATAGACTATACTATAATGACAGATGAACCACTTAAGTTATCATCCAAATAGGCAAAAGTTAATTGGCCAAGTTAAAGAAATATTTAAGCATCCTTAATACAAAAAGAAAAAGACAATTCAAAGTGGCATTGAACCGAACAGAGGTGAGAGCGAATCAGCCAATCGTCTTCTTTGGACCGACCAAACAAATATATTTAAATAGGTTTTGACACTGTAATGGACCCATTTATTTATTAATCTATAATGAAAGCAATTACTAAATTGACTAATTAATATGTAATGGAAATCAGATTTTGCAGTAAAGCTGACCAATCAAGGTGGAGAGGCGAGAGAGTCCACCCAAGAAAGACATAAGGTCGCCACTACTGTTATTAGTTTTAGCTTCTTCATTGATTCCAAAAGATTATAAAATCGAAAAGTTTGAGCATCAAATAATCTAGTATTTGAACTTAACTTTCTCTAAGATAAACTTATGCAAAATGAGGTGAATAGCAACTAACTCCTAACACGTGTTAAGGTTTCGTTTTCTTCAGTTTTCAATAAGAATTTTGGGGAACAAAAGTTAGAGAAAGTCAATAAATAAATGAACAATGCAATAGTCAAATACTCGACAAGTGTAATCATCAAATGTCATAAGCCAGCTTTTGAAGAAAAAAACAATAATTTTGGATCAGAAAAATTAATTTATGTTGTTCTTTTCTTTCAAATGGATCAATAAGTTAGGGCAAGTGGAGCTTACTGTTGTACTTTGACGTAGATAGCAATATCCAACTTTCCTCATGAAAAATCAAATATTTCTTTATTTATTTTATATTTTATAAAAGAAATGCAAATGTTTTGATAACTAAATAACTAGCCTAACAATATTCTTGCTTAGTACTAGATCATGTGATTATCAACTTTCCAGCCAAAGAAACTCACATACATGCACACGCATCTCTATATATAAATATATTGAGCACATATTAGTACATGGAATAGATCGAATGCTCATGTGGATGGTTGGTCCAATTAATTGGGACTTTCTTCTCAAAGATAATAATACAAAGAAAGGTAGAATGTGAAGCATATGGTTCGTGGAGACAAGAACTTAATACCCACCAAATTAATAAATTAAATCTAATAGTAATTATATGTCATCGTGCGCAACAAACTATTTTTATTTTATGTTTTTTATACAAACTATATATTTCTATGTGCCATATTTATTCCCCTATCTTATCAACGCCTTCTTACTCTACCTATGGCGTCACCAGAATATACATACCATGTGCGTGCATATACACACACACATCAATACATTCATCTATGAAGGTTTGTCATAATTAATAACAATGAAAAGTCAATGAGGATAGACCAACAAAACCTTATTTGTTTGGTCTTAGGTAACACACTTAGTAATTAACTACTACTATATATTAACAATCCCCAAAATTACTGAATCATGCATGTCCCTAGCTAGCTAGCGACATAGATGGACCACGAATGAATACTGCTGTGAGTATCAATTCTGAATTACCAAAATAACATAAGTTTGGTCCACATGTTAAATCATTTTTGTGCCTAAACCGTCTAAACACTCGTACCATTATTTGGTACCTACTCATTTTTTCGGATAAGCAAGGACGAATTGGAATAAATTAACGTGACCTATCAATATGTCTCTTTATGTCTAAGGTCCTAATTTCATGAAAACTCTTTGTCAACCAAAAAAAAAAATCCTAACTTTCCAAGAATTTTTTTTTTTTCCCATATAAGAAAACTTATAATTATAATATTCTTATAGAGCACAATTAATCACAAATAAGTTTCTTATAATGCAAATACCCATTCATTTGTTGGGAATTGGATTTTCAGTCATTTCATACTTTTTAACTCACTTTCAATGTTTCTTATAATGCAAATACTCATGATGACTATAAAAAACATTGAAAATGAATTAAAAGTATGAATGAATGAATTATGAATAGCCAGTTCCCAACAAATGAATTTATTTATTGGCTCGATGAGGATTGGGAGAGTGTTAACTACGCGTCATTTGCGAGAGTGTGATTGGGTTCCTTTAGGCGGTTACCCATTAAAGCAAAAGTTTCCTAAATCAAGGATGTATAGAAATAAGGAAGCGTAGCCAATTCGAAACCACGCGCCTCAGTCGACGCGTGGACCACCTCAAAAGCCATCCATTTTTATTTTTTATTAAGTGAGAAAACTACTTTGATTAAAAATCATGAAAAGGAAGGTTGTTTTTGTTAGTTGGCTTAAAAAAGTAAACAAGAATTATTGGGAAAATAGAAAAGATAGGAGATAAAATGGAAAAAAAGTTTGGATAGTGCGAAAAAGAAGATCTAATTTTATGAAAAAGAGGAAACAGAAAACACAAAGAGAGTTGAAACCCATACGTCAATCTTTATAACACCCCATTAGCCACGTGGTGTATTTCTACTTAACCCGTTTTGAAAAATAGAAAGATAATTTCTTCTGTTTATTATAGCCCGAACAAAATAAACGAAAAATCATATGGTTTAATATTTAAATGTGTAACGCGATAAGGTTTTATATAAAAGTAAAGGAATAACATTTATTCAGATGATATAATATGCCAAATTTGAGACCCAAAAATCAGCGGCTATACATATCATACTCGAAAAGAGAGAAAGAAAGACATAACACGTATCCCCAATTGCGCATAATTATTAACATCAAAAAGCCACCCTTCAATTATCAACTTTCTTTTTAAAAATTGTAAACTTTAGAATAAACAATTATTGAAAGATAAAAAACGGTGAGAAATAAAGATGCTAGATCAGTCCCTTTACCATAAAATAGTATTTTCGAAATGCTAGACACGAACTAATGTAATAGCCATAGGTTAGCCTTTGTTTAAACTCTAACTACGAAACGATAATAATCAAGTAATTAGTAAATGTTAGACTTAGAGCCACGACGACGACCAGAGTCCACGAGAGACACATCAAGCTCAAACTTGTATAGTTCTCATCGTACGTCTGCGATAACTATAATTTAATTTTGCATTTATTACTCTCTTTTTTTGGGGTCGAGCTGTTATTTTCATAGTATTTTTCTATACAAATATCTAATCTCTTCACATGAGTATACACACTACCATTATGCATGGTTACAGGATCAAAGATCCATTATACACAAACTACCACCCAAAGAGACATTTTTCCATATTTAAAAGTTTTTGGTCCTATCAAACAGTCGATTCATGGAAGAATACTTTCACGCAAATTAAACACACAAAAAAAAAAATCATAGTTTTAATCATGTAGAATTCGTTTTTTTATGATCGTATATGATAATAAGTTAATAATGCGTGTTAGTGCACTCTATATACGAAAGTCATTATGTAAATCATTAAAAACCGAATTTTAATTTTTTTTGGAACGTACCATTAGCAAGATCGAGAAGAAAATCAGCCGGATTCATCGGAAACGCCGGCGAGAATCCGACGGACTCGAAGTAAGCCATGGCGTCTCTTCCTTTCCCGAAGAACAAACACTTTCCTTCGCTCAGAAGAAGCACAGTGTCAAACATCTGAAACGCACGGCTCGACGGCTGATGAATCGACGTCACCACCGTTTTCCCTTTCGCATGAGCCAAACCGGCGAGAGTCTGTACCAACCGGAGAGCCGCCGTGGCGTCGAGTCCCGACGTAGGCTCGTCGAGAACAAGAAGGCTCGGGTTGATGAGCAACTCGTGAGCGATGCTCACTCGTTTCCTCTCTCCACCGGAGATCCCACGAATGAAAGTGTTTCCGACGACCGTGTTCTCACATTTCGTCAAACCGAGCTCCGAGATAACCGCTTCGGCGGCTCTGATCTTGTCTTCTTTGGTTAGACTCCGAGGGAGACGGAGCAAGGCGACGAAAACAAGCGTTTCGCGGACGGTTAAGTGAGGGTAGAGAAGATCGTCTTGCGCGACGAAACCGGTGCGTTTTAGCGTCTGTTTCGTTAGCTTCGCGTCGTTCACGAGTATTTTTCCGGTGAGACCTGATCCATGGAGTCTCCCCGCGACGGCGTTTAACAGCGTCGATTTCCCGCTTCCCGACGGTCCAAGAACGGCCATAAACTCGCCGGGAGACACCATTCCGGTGACTCCGCTGAGTATCACCCTCTCCTCCGTCGTCGCCGGTCGAATCTCATCGGAAGACGGTTGCTGTTCGAGTCCCAACAGCTTCTTGATCTTCCCGGAGTCTCCGGCTTTGCCATGGATCTTCACTCGGTAACACACATCGACGAACTGTTAAAAGAGTCAAGTCCAGAGTCAAAAGCAGAGTCAAGAAATTATCATTAAGTGACTGTTTTTTTTTATATTTTTATTCTAATAAAAAAGTTTAATCATGTAATGAAGAATTAAGATTTGTTTTGTGTGTGTGTGTGTGTGTATGTGTGTGTAATACCTTGAGGGTGATTGGGAAACAAGGAGACGATGATAATGATGAGGGAGGCTCACGAGGATCTTGAGAGGGACGAGACGGTGTATCTGGACCGTTGGATTGGTTTTCAACGCCGTCAAAACCTGACATTATTGTTTTACTTGTGACAGACGGCAAAGCTTAAACGGAGTTAAGAGAGATGGGATTGTGGAGAGTATGGAGAAGGCTGAAGGAAGATCGGAAGGGAGAGAGATGGTGAGAGCTGTATTTATGGAGGGGAGGAGAGAAAGCAAGTGGGTGACACGTCAGCAGAGTAATGGTTCATTGTGAAATAAACACGTGGCATAACGTATAATGCCAGCTGGCGACTGCTTAAAAGGAAAGAAAAAAGAGTGTTTTTCCTTCTTTCGCTCCTTTAGTGTAATTTTGCCACTTTTTTTTCCAACTTTGCTTTTGGGAATATACTTCTTCTCCCTGTCTTTACAGAATACAGATTTGAATTCAGTGTTTTCCACTCTAAATTGCCATAATGAGATTCGTCTAATAATGTTTTAGAAGAAAAGAAAAGGCTTATATGGAAATGATGGGTCAACATAATTTTGCAGTTGCTATATATTTTTTTGTTAGCATATGTGTTTAGTTTCTTTCTTTCTTTTTTTGTCTAGTCAATGCATGCATATGTTGTTTCCAATTTTTGTTTTTGTAAATGGATTTCTTCCTAAATTTCCAAACAAACTTTCCCTCAAACATGTTTTCATTAAATGCGAAATAAATATTTTCTTCTAAATGTATTCAAACTTCTATTACTAACAATGAATCATCATAATGGTGCAGGCTTGCAGTTGCTATATACTAGAACAGTTTTCACATAAATATTTCTTAACTTTTAATGCATTAATTTCTTACATAAACCAATTTTAAATAAATATTAATCAATAGTAATTTAAGAATTCAGTTACTTTTAATTAATAGTTCTTGAAGTTGAAGTTTGTAACTTGTTAGCATTAACTAACAAAATGTATCTTAAAAATTCTAAAATATCATATATTTTATATTTTGGAACAAGAAAAAAAGATTAAAATATCATATATTCTGAAATGTAGGGAGTATATTTTTGTTTCCTTAGCATAAGTGTTTAGTTTTTTTTTTGTCTAGCCAATGCATGTATTTGCTGTTTCCATTCTCTCTTTTTTTGTATTTAACAAAAACAAACAATTTGTTTTGTTGTGTGTGTAAATGGTCAAGGCAACTTATTTCTTCCAAAATTTCATTATTACTTTTCAATAAATTGTTTTGTTTGTGATATTGAGAATCACCTGATATTGTTTTAGAAAAAAAAAGATTTACATGGAAGACGATAAATCATTATAATGAGTGCGGTTTCTTTTTTTCTTTTTTTGTGTGTGTTAACATATGTGTTTAGTTTTGTTTTTGTTTGTCTAACCACTGCATGTATCTCCTGTTTCCATTCTCATTTTGTATATAACAAAAAAACAAATTTAGTTTTTGTAAATGGTCAAGACAAAAACTTTCTTCCAAAATTGCATTAATTAATGCTTTTAAATAAATTGTTTTGTTTGTGGTATTGAGAATCACATAATATTTTGTTTAGAGAAAAATGAAAGACTTGTATATGGAAGACGATAAATCATCATCATGGTGCAATTAAATTTTTGGGTTAACATATGTGTTTATATTTATTTTTTGTCTGGCCAATGCGTGTATCTGCTGTTTCCATTCTCTTTTTTTTTTTTGTATTTAACAAAAATATTTTAATATTTGAGAATCCAAATTTATAAGACTTTTCTGTTCTGACAAAAATATAAGAATGTTGTTGTGGTGATTTGTTTGTGTGGCTGCTAAATTCTGATGTTTTGGACTAATGGTATAAGTTTTGTCTCCACCACAATCAATATATACATGTTTCTAATGATATTCAATTGCTATTTATAATCAAGTTGGGTAAGAACACACTTGATTACACCTGAAATTAATCTCATGAACATATTGTGTTAAGAGTGAAACAAAATAGTCGAATATGAAAGAATCACGTTTTGTTTTTGTAAAACTAACTCTGGAAAGTCGTGAGTCATAGGAAAGAAAAAAAAAACTCATCGGTGGCTTTGAACCGAATGTTCCTTCGAACCTGGTTGATCAATTCAATTAGGGTACGAAGACTACAACTCGATCATAATAAACATGTACACCACCCCTAAAGAAAAAAACATCTATAGCTGCTATTAATATACATTCTGCGTGGCTCATTTTGACAAAGCATGTGTTGTATATGTGTAGATGTCTTTTTTTTTTTTGAACAACTTCTCATTAGAATAAATCTTAAACTGTGATTACATAAGTAGAAAGCTGAGAATTCCTTGCCAAGGAGCATAAGCAGCTTAATGCAGAAACAAGATACAACGCAATTAAAGGATAGGTTAGACAGTTTAAATCCAAGATAAAAACTGGAAGCTTCTTCAAAAGGGCTTATATGATCGTTTTGAAAACAATCTCAAGTTCTTTTGCTAATAAAGCAAACGAACAAGACGAATAGCTCGTGGCGCCGTCAAGGCTGTTGAGCGTTTAGAGTCGATCTCCATAGAGGAGAGAGGCAGAGGCGAGTTCGGAGATACCCAGGTAAGTTGGCGTGAATCTGGTAAGTCCGAGGCTGATGAAAAACCGGCATAAGATCCAGAAGATTTGACGATGAATGATCTTGTAACATGTTGACATGTCTATTGGTAGAAGGCTTCGGTGTATGAATTCAGAATGTTGAAAGATCTTTGGCCAGAAGCGCAACTCTGTCGAACAGAAACAGCAACAGTGATGGCTAGTCTTATTGGGTTCCCAAAGCCCAAAAGCATAAATGATCTTGTACGGCCCATCACAGACAGAGAGGAGGGAGGTGGATGGTCGACGGAGATTCTCCGGACATGAGAACAGAGGCGGTAGAGGAAAAGTGGTGTTGTAGACAGCGGCCAGTGAGACATGAATGCCGGCGAACCGCGGTGTTGGATCTTGGATGTCGGTCTGGCCGAAAGAGAAGAAACGGTTCTTCGTATTGTCACTGGAAAGCCTGAAATGGTCGAGGCAGTCGGAGGAGGATTGTCGCCGGAGAAGTGAGATTTGAAACAACCATGGCAGCCGGCTACCTCTAACTCCGTGCCTGAGAAAACTAGTACTAACACTATCGACTTGTGCTTAGGATAGGGCAGAGGAAGAACGCACAAACTAGTTGGAGGCGGAGGCGGAGGCGGAAGATGACTAAGAGCGTGAAGGTGAGCAAGAGAAGAAACAAACAGAAGAAACGGCCAGAGATCCGGTGGATCTGGCGGTTTTGGCGGAGGATTCGGCCTAGCCGGGGGAAGACTCACTCGAATGTGAGAGAAGCTCGGCTTGCACCCAGGCGGCTCCGGACTGAGGGAAGAGCAAGACCAGAGCTCCGTCCTCAAAAGCTCACCGGATCTCTTCCACACAGACATCGGAGACGAAGAGTAGCCAAAAATCAGAACACACATCATAGATCTTGTCAGAAAGTAACATAGCTTCATCAGACACCAAAAGGAGTCCGGGAAAAAGATGATGGAGCTCCGATTCAGGGAGAGAATCGGCGGTGATCCATCCCGGAATCGGAGCTAAACGGCGGCAGAAAAAAGATGTCTCGAAAAACGTATCTGGGAGAGAAGGAATTAGGGCGAACTCTTTTTTCTCACATGTTATTTATGTGTAGATGTCTTAAGTTAAAATGTCTTTCTCTTCGATAGTGCAGTGTTTACATACAGTATGTAGCCAAGTTAGATTCTACAACTAAAAGAATCTTCAAGTTTTACAAGAGATACTATATGACAAGATCGATTATCCTAATTACTACAATATTAGAAACTTTTGATACATTTTTTTGTTTTTTGTTGTTGTTACATTTGTAGTAACAAACTAAAAACGTATGCATCTTGTACATGATAAACACTATTGTGCAAGATCTCTATAGCTAGTGCTTTAACAAAAAAAAAAAGATCTCTATAGCTAGTGAACAAGACGTGCGTTTTATTGGGATGTGCGGTGGTGCGTTTTAGAGCCGTCACGACATCGTTTTTTGTAGACCGTTCTCAATAATATTCTTTGCTATCGAAATATATATCCTCGATTCAGTTTTGGTTTGTCGTCGTGCCAGGACTTCCTGAGCGTTGACCATGACGTGACTCTGATTGTACATAAAACCAAACTCGAAAAGTCAAAGATTGTAAGAAGAAGAAGAAAAAAGAAACTGATTTCTCGGGGATCGTTTTGAATGGATCAGGTTTCGAGAGTAGAAACTTCGCAGTTTCAACGAATGGGTCCCACTCTATAAACTGATGACGGCGACGCGTGTCACTCGCACGTGACTACCCACTCAGCATTGTCCTTTTTTTCTCAACTCAGATCCATTTTTGTGTGTGTCATTCATTCATTCATCACTCACACTGTGCCGCTTTCCGTTCTTCGAAGATGGGTTTGTTATTTTTCCTCACCTCCTCACGACGGCGCGTGGACGCAACGCGTCAATGGAGGAATTTTTCTTTGTTTTTTTTCTTTTAATTTTTAGTGTATACAGAGAATTTGGACCACATGATCCATCCACTTAAGGCAAAGTGACGAACGAGCGAGAGCATCCTTCCCCTTCTCCCAATTTTCTTCTTTTTCTTTTCGATTTCACTTTATTATATGACAATTACGTCACGGCAAATAAAAATTGAATTGGATTCTTTCTATCTTTTCTTTTTATCAAACGGTTTCTATGTTAGTCCGTTTTAGTTTCTTTCCTAAATATAGACCATAATAGCATTATTAGTTTTTTTTATATCAACTCATTATCTCTGAAATATGAACTAAAATATTCGTTGAATAAAAAGAGCCTCGTGTACCCCATTTCCTCATAAACATACATTTCTCTGTTTCTTTCTTGTTATAAAAAAATCGCAAATATTAATATAGCAATTAAGCTTTGTAATTAGAGTGGTTGTCAAATATAAATTGAAGTCTGGTAATGAGTTTTGTTATAAATTTTGTTGGAGTAAAATTAAGAATTGACATCCACAACAAAAGTGTACAATGAATCTCTTATCTCGACCTAATTTTAATTGTGCAATGCAGCTCACTAGAGAAAAATCAGTTGAAAAACATAATTAACCTTCTAACCAAATAAAAGAAAGATAGTGGGCTATAATGATGTTAGCTCAATTTGAGCCCAGCTGTAATTCCCAGTAGATCCATTGAGCCCAAAATGATTCAGCTTAAAACATAAATTTTTCAGAATCATTCAACTTTGTATATCATCATATGGTTCATATTACATCTTTGAGAGTTTGAGAGACTTAACTGTTACATAACTTTCGTAATTATCGGTTGAGTTTGCGCATTTGATGTTGTACATATAAAAGCTTCAATAAAACAAAACTTTGTTTTCGCGGATCACAATCACAAACATACATACAATGGACAAAACTTACAAGATATAACAATGGGAGTGGACAAAGTCATAAAGATCAGAGAAAGTTGTTGTAGACTTGTTGTAGGCGGCTCAAACATATTATGGGTTGTATTTATAAATATATATCATGATTGCGTTGACTATAACTATATCATTTTTGTATGTAAATATTCGTTCCACAAATTAGATCTTGAAAAATATAAATAAGTTTCGTCATGGGTATTTGTGCATGTGAACATTTTCTCTAAGACAGTTTTCATGAGTGTACTTAGGGTCCGATTGGTGACGTTGTGAATAGTGGTGTGTTACAGAATTTTCAGTGGTACGAAAGATAGTTACGAAAAACAGTGGTACGAAATATAGCAGTATAAATAGAGATAGTACAAAATAATAGTACGTAACTAAATTCCGATTGGTAACATTGTAACATTATGAATAGAGTATTTTATTATAAAAAATAGAAATCAATTTATAAACATATGTTAAATGACTAAAAATAAAAAATAACTTAAATACTGAAATTCATATATAGTCTAAAAATATAATATAAAGTATTTTACATTTTTTGTTTACCAACACATTTACTTAGTAAAAAATAGTAAATAATAGTTACAAACTTTTTTTGAAGAAAAGTTATTTTATATTTCAAGAAAAATGTGATAATTTGTATTGTTTGAATTTTTTTACCTTCTTAATTACTTGTCAAGAGATAAATGAATTATTATATCCAAAGTTTTTTTCTTCCAATTATTTGTTTATAAACTATGAGATTTGTTATTGAGATTCAATAAAACATTTTCTATTTTGTAAGTATGTTAGATTTTATAGGACTACTAAAAATTAGTATTACAATAGTTTATGTAAAATTATTCTGAAGTATTCATTGGTCCAAGTGTGGAGAATTTCATTAAATTTAAGTTAACAAAGTCATATTAATGCATAAAAAACCACATCACATCATGATAAACTTTAGTAAAAAAAAACAATGTTTTGTACCACTCTTATTTTTTCTGTAATACCACTAAAAGTAGCTTTACAATTGTACCATTGTTTTGCCTTTGTAACATCACTATTTTGTTGTAATGCTACTTTTTTTGTAACATGCTTTTTGTACTATCACATATGTAATACTCATTTGATTGGTAACACATCAAGCATTATAATTTGTACTATCTTCATTTATGGTTACCAATCAAAGCCTTAGTTTTTCTTATACATGTAATTTGGTGGCTCCTACTATATTTTTTAACAAACATGAATTGTTATCTATTCCTTACATAAGGGTATAATAACTAGAGTTTTTAGACGATCTTACTATTATAGCTGAGATGTGAAACCAAAATAAACGTGAGAAAATGAAAGATGATTAATAGTTAACTATCGCCTAATCAAAGTCTATTGTGAACTTCGTAGATACCTAACGAATATCTGCAACTAGAAGAAGACCAAACAGTAACAAACAAATTTAAAAGACTAGTAAAAGCTATAAAAGGACAAAAAAACTCATATAGTTTTTTCATAGACTGAAGCTTATCCATGGAATCCTTGTAAGGTGTTTATGAGGACTACTCACTACTCAATAAACTAGCAAAATATTGCCAACGAGTCTCAGCAATAAAAAAAGAACATGAACCGATACTAAATGATGCGACTAAAGCAATAATTCACGATCCATCTTCAAGTCATATCATTAACACAAACCATGTTGGCTAAACTAACCATATTTGTTCTATTCGGTTTGCCCTACTCATACCATTTGTAAGTTTGCAACTATTGTCTTCTTATATTGTTCTGCGTAATGCACTGTCAAATCAATTAAACAAAAAAATGTTTTGTCGAATCATATGTATATACTGCACATTTTTTTTGTTTTTTCAAGTATTATAATTATGAAACTTAAAAGTTCATGGCCCTAATGTCCAATGTCGTTTTCATCTCTTACGTCTTAAGCCCATCAATCCCATGGGGTCACCACAACTCTCACTCTCTATTTCATCTTTACTTGCAATTTCACAACTCTATACAACAAATAAAACGAGATGTTTCTATGTATACACTTTAAGACAATCATATCTACCAAAATCTAATTCTCTGTTTTTAAGTTTCCGTGCATATTTTTACTATTCCACATTCAAATATAAAATTTCAATCGCAAGCGTATAAATTATTGCTACGAGTAGAAACAAAACAATAATACTTAGATGTCATAATTATGTTTTGCCTTTTATTGTCACTATAGTAACCCACAATTAGTTGAACAAAATATTATTAAAATAATAATTGGACAATTATGTCCTCAGTTTTCCACAGTCTTAAAAAGAAACCTCATCAGAGAACAAACTAAAGGCTAAAAAAAGAGTTTCTCATTCTCTCTGGATCACATTACCATTACCTCTCTCTTCTTCTTCTTCCTCCACATGGATTCTTCAAGAACCAGAATTGTATCAAGAAGAGCCGATCCAGTCAAATTTCCGGCGAAGAAGACAAGCATTTCATCTCGGAGATCTTTATCTTCTTCTTCCTTTTCATCTTTCTCCTCTTGCTCCTCAAGCTCCCTCGTGTTTCCCGGCGATTCTCCTCTATATTCTCCGGCCACTCCTCTCCGTATCCTCGGTGTTCCATTCTCCTGGGAACAGCTCCCCGGAAAACCAAAAGACTACTTTCGTAGTCTTACTAAATCTTCAAATATTTTGCCCCTCCCTCCTCACCGGAGTGCCACGTTTCCGGCTACCGGAAAAAACCATAAATCTAGCAATTCCACCAAGAAGAACAGCTTCCCCGTGACCGAGAAAGATCCCTTCGCGACGGCGTTGTTGGAGTGTTCCAAAGACGACGACCAAGACGAAGCTGAAGAAGAGGATCGGAGAGGAAACTCCAGAGGATCAAGCAAGGTGTTGTCAAAGAGCAGCATCGGAGACAGGTTCGGGTTAGTGAATCTGTACGGTTCTTGTCGGCGAACTTGTGCAGTTTCAGAGTCCATTGTCTATCTTCCGGGACCTGCAGGAAAAGCTGCGTCGTATGATCATCTGTTTCGTCCACGCCGCCGCCGTTGATTTGTCGTAATTCTTGATTTACGATGTAAACTTTTCTTGGTCTTTGTAATATTTTTCTGTATAATTTTCTTTGAATGTGACATATTATGGGTTGTGGGCAAATGTCTGATGTGTGTTTTTTCCCCTTTTAGATCATAACACGAATGTAAAATTCAGATAATTAAGTATTTACAGTTTACTTATAATCATAAATCCATATAAATGGCCACTTAGCTAGACTACTACAAGTTGATTATAAAGTTACATATGTGTGAGGATCTTTAATAATTTCGTATAAGCTTTAGTCACTTATATTATATTCTTATGCAATTATGTAGGTTTGGTGGAACCAAGTTTGAAGGTACTGTGATCTCTAGCTAGTTTCCAATCCCATCCCATGTGAGAGCAAGCTAAGCTAAAATGTGCAAATACATACAAAAATAACATTGATTAATTTGTTATAGGATTCAAAACACGGACGACTTATCCTGACAAGATTTTGCTGTTTTCTTACCCATTTAGAATATGATGTTTTATTTTAGCATGCCTAGGGAATAGAGTTGTATTAGTATAATACTACTAAATATATTCTCTAAAGAGTTCTTTGTGGTCAAGTTTCTATTAAAATGGATCTTTCATTATTGTTGTTCTCACAAGGGAATAGAAAAAACAAAAGTTGTTCAGCAACCATGCATGTCTTTCATTTTTTTTATGACCATGCATGTATTTGCACCAAGTATGTTATCCGTTTTAAATTAAGGGAAATATAAACAAAACTTAATTTATTCTTAGATGGAGTTTTTATTTATATTTATTTGTTTATAACGACTTTGTATTGTCTTGTTTGGGAATTAAAATCGACTCCATTCTCCTATATTTGGGGTTTCAAAAAGACTTTCGTGGAAGAAGAAAAATCCCATTTCCACCAAATTACCATTATCTTTGAATTGAAATAGTTTTAGATATAATCATATGAATTAAAATATCATGTTCATTTATTGACAATATCTATTCACGTTTCTTTCTCCCCATGTGTGAATTGGGCTTCTTCTGTGTAAGCTACATTTTGTGTGGTTAAGGTTGTCATGTGATTCAAATACGCTGACCCAGTTGAAATAAAAGGCACATATGTAGTACAAATCTGTAATATTAATGTATGCACTATGCAGTGAAAAAAATGATGTCAATAGTCAGTTGAAATAAAGAGCACATATGTAGTACAAATATGTAATATTAATATATTCATTCACTATGCAGTGAAAAACTGATGTCTATGGTCAAATATCAATGACAATTCACAAGTTTGTACATAATACTGTTTCTACATCTGAATGCTACGCAACCTATGATGTAATATTTGAATAGTCGTCCACATTTATGTCCCACGCTATAGTTAACATGTCTTGATCATGCTTAAGGTAGTAAACTAGATTATCAACTGTTTATATAGAGTTGTTTGGTTTAGCGTACAGTTTAATAATATATTTACCTACTAGATCGTCCCATTTTACCTTCTCTTTGTATTTAATCCATATTCGTATGACCGTATCAGTCATACACCAAAGTAGTTTTTTAATACACCAAAAGTAGTTTAATAAGTAGAAGAATCGTGTTATCAATTAGGGAGTCTAATTCGCAAGTGTGGTTTCGGTTTTCGTTATAACTAAGTTTGGAGTTGGAGCACCAAGAGGAATTAGTGGGGAGCCAAATAACCTAAAGATCCGTAGGATATTAATGATGATCAATTTTTCTAATAGTAGGCATGATTATTAATACTATGAATACCCCTTTTCATCATTGTTTGCTTGGTAATTCGCATGTGTGCTTTTACATTATTGACTTATGTCCTAATATTATAACACTAAATAGTATCCCCCCGACATGTACCATAAGCACATTCGATTTGTGGTATCCTTTAAAATCGATGTAAAATAATCACATAAGTGTTAACTATCTCGGTTAATTATACAGCAGTCATATTAGACTTTCAAGTGTTCCTATACAGTAATAAGTGATTAGAATGATTTATATATGTAAAATATTCAGCATTCGCATATGTGTAGGCGTGGGCATGTGCTTTATAAAAATCTATAATAAATGAATACTAGATGAGACAAGATGGACCGCTATAAGTTGATTGAGATCGATGTAGCTTGAGACTTAAGACACCATTATCATCATCAACCATAATGTCCCTCTTTCCCACATGGAAAACAATATATCTCGTATATAAATTATACTATATGCAATCTGGATCAAGCATGCGAATCAGAGTCCATATATAAATCCGAAAAATGAAGTTTAAAATCAAGATTCTTGAGCGACAAACAAGCTGATATTATTCTTTCACTTGAAGTACATAAGACGGTGATTATTTAATAATGTAATGTTAGCAATCTTGAATTGCATACATTTACGAGGGGGTGTTTGGATAGAATCATAAAGAAGGTAGCTAGGTCGGTTAACAATATTTCGTCCATATCATAAACTTAGATGTCTTGTATATTCAATCTAATCATAAAGAAATTAGTTCGGTTGATACAAACCATTAAGCTGTACATACATTAGCACAAACTACTATATTTAGTTTATAGTAGTATACACATGTGTATGATTTTTCCTTGTAATACGTACATCACCTTTCATATCATGTTCATTATATTTCTCATTTTATGTGAGCTCTAAATAATAGGGATTTATAAGAAAATGATACAGAAAAAGTTTGTATTAACATACACTTTTTTTTGTTTGTTTGTGAACAGAATTTCTAAAACATCTAACTGTACGAAGCGAACGAATATAATATTGAGATGCAAGATAGATGCAGAATATTAAAAATATTAAATGCTCTGTTTTTTTCTTTCTTCTTTTGAGCCTTAAGTATCACAGACGTAAACATCAAGTTTTAATACCCATAATGATTGAAAAGATCGTGCATGAGCCATGTGGAAGTGATCAACCCCAAAGTTAAGCTAATTACACCATGTCACACATATTGACATATATATACAAACGCATCTACCCCAAGAGTGTCGAACAAAAAGCCATGATAGTGTGATATATTGATTTTCACCGATCAGATCACGCAGAAAGGTTCAAGAAAATTTGTAAACTAGTGAACCACTTGGAATGCTGATTCATGTTTCGTTAGGCATCGAAAAACCCCACTCCCACGTTAATTGGAAGTTGAAATAGACATTGAACAAACAATTGATCGAGGCGAGAGGCACACGAAATATTCTACCGTATAATTTCTACGTTATCAAGAACATGAGTATAGGAACATTCCCCATCTTATCTTATTCACTAGCCCTCTCAGCTTGATTTTAAACTCTCAGAAAGTTGCACTTGATGACTTGATGTACAAAAGACTTTTTTGGGTTGGAATTAATTTTACATACAATTAAAGAAAAGAACATGAGAATAGGAGCAATCTAAGACAAATCCACATCAATTTGATCCAGTTTGCTACTTCTCATCTCATCGAAGAAAAACTACACATAATCCTTGATTCATTATAGTGCATGCAAAATAAAACTCATTTTCACCGCATTTTTGGAAAGAACGATTTGTGTTACATGTTACTGCCTTACTGGCAAGTGAGATCATAGAAGCCAGCTCAGAATCTGCAAGGTTACTTAACCTTCTTGTTCATATATATATATATATATATATATTTTTTTTTGGTGTGTAAATGTTAGTCTTGTTCATAGTTGAGTCGGCGTTTTCTTTCTTGTACTCTCTGAATTGAAACTCGAATGAAAAAAGGTCAGTCCAACTCCAACTAAAAAGTGAGATCGTTTTGTACGAGGTTTTAAAATGCTTATGTGGTTCATGGGCTTATTTAAGGCCGACGCTTAAAAAGGCTGAAACTCAAACAGAGCTCCAATATACTGAAATTGATGCTAGCGGGTTAATTCATGTTGTTTTGTCACGACTTAACATAGCGATAAACTGATAATGAATGTTGAATTGAATCATACAAGGTTTAAGAAACAAAAAGTAAATTAATCTTAGTTTTTAATCTAAGGGTTCACAGGAGTTAAACTCGTGAGTCGTGGTAAAATGGTTGATACTATGAATTCAGGAGTAGAAGCAGCTAATGATATGTGATTTTAAAAAAACTAATATCTATCTTATTGGGGACCATCATGCATTCATGTCCCGTGGTCTACAAGAGTGTACGAACAGATAAGAGCTATCTGGAGAATTAGTAAAATAAGATATTAATACAACTTTCCACATATGGGGTTGACTGGTTTATTCGAGAAGAAACAAAGATAACACCTAACACGAGTAGGTTTAGTATTAAGAACGCTAAGAAAACTCTAGTGTGTGTAACCTAAATGATATTGTTGTTGTAATTTTTGACGTAAATGATATATTGCTATTAGGTTTACTCCATTTTAAGATGTTTTAATTTTAGAGTAAAATATGAAGTAATACATTGGATATACGCCTGAAACTATTATAAATCTAAAAATACTAATAATGCAAGTGCAATAAGAAGATTAAATTATATTATTAGAAAACATACATTTAGAAAGTAAAACTTTGATTTCAGTTAGTAAATGGCTTTTTTTCTTGAAAAGTGAAACAGTAATAGTAATTCAATCTTGCTGTAATCACATGCATGAAATTATATTTGCAATACTTTTTTTTTATAAAGTTATATTTGCAATACATGCCTATCAAATTCAAGGCAGTGACTACGAAGAGAATCCAGATGGGACTTTTCATGGCTTTGAAAGCCCCCAATAGTTTTCCAAAGAAACTTTCAGTTGAGGCCTTGTCGTCGGCGGTAACCGTTGTTAGGATTATCAAATTTATATTTATGTTACAAAGTAAAATCATCTTTTTTGTTTGTTTTAAACACTTGTGATAAATTGCATAATTAGGTGGATGAAATGAAATATATAAATAATTGTTAAAAGATACTATATGAACGAATTACACAAATGTTTCAATTAATATAGTTAAGCTAATGAAACTTTCCCTATTAAATACAGACTATAATTAAAATGCTTGGGTTAGTAAACAATTAATTTATGCATAAAAATAATATAGTTATCTTAAAAACGATTCACAAAAATAAGCATAATATAAGTAAATTATAAGTATATCATAAGCAAATTAGAAACAAAAGATATGCAATTTATAAGCAAAACATAAGAATATAATAATATTATCATGCTTTTGCTAATATATATTGTCTTTTTAAAATCATATGCTTACAACTGAGAACCCAATACAATTACTTTATGTAAATCTTGGATCTAGCAATAAAATATGTGTTATTAATTAGTTTAATGCATTATCTTTATAAAAACAATAATATACGTTAAAAATTTAAAACTCTATAAAAATATGACTTTTAAGACATATATTAATCAATTTCAAAACAAGTCAAATAAATCACTAAGATGTTACTGGTTTCATGGGTTTTCATATATTTGAATTACATCAGATTTTCAAAATTTTGATTTATTTACAATGATTCATTATTTACTTCACAATATATAATATCAGAATTATCTTAAATTTTAAAAGATGTGGGTTAACAGTGATAATTATTGAATTAAATAAATATAATAAACTGATTACAAAATCTGAAGATAAAAAGTTAGATTTTGATTGCTATAAGTTACGCATGAAAGTGATTTTAAATTCAAATAAACTATGAAATCAATTGAATAGATCTGAGAACCTAAAACTTTAAATGATTTATTCAATTCTTCAATTGAATAGAACAAGATACTCTTTTAATGAAGAGACTGTAAATACAAGAACCAATAACACTAGATTTTAAACTCTTTTAATGAAAATATTTTAAATACCTAAATCAATAATACTAGATTTTGTTAGAAGAATTAAAACTCATGATTGAATAACAATAGATTTCTCTATAAATAATAAAATATCATTTTACATAGAAAAGTAATATTCTTTTCATTTCAAATTAGTTGTCATTTTGGAAAAATGTATATGCAACTATTTGGATGTATTAAACTAAAAATACATCCAGATATATCCAAATATTTGCAAATACATTATGTCAGAATGACAACTAATTTGAAACGGAGGGAGTATAACAGTAAAATACAATAATTTTTAAATACAAAAGATAATAGATAAAAGTAGAAAACTAGACAAGGCATTTTAACAAAGTTATTTTAATCTTCACATTTTTCTCACAACCAAGTAACCGAAATCATAAACTAATCTAAAAACATGTAAAACGTCACTAATTTTTACCATTTAGGACATCAATAACGGACTATATTTTAGGATTATACAGTAAGAGACTAAAAACTGTTAATTTTTCAGTTAATTATCTATAAATTATGTGACATTTAAATAAATTGCAAGAGATTGCATAATAATGAGTTTGAGTGGTATGATAAACCAACAAAATCAACCAACGGGTCGACAAAACCATGAGCAGCTCACGACAAAACCTCATCTCCACTGACTAGTCTACGTGTTTCTGTCTTTTTAACAATAAAAAAACGATTATTTTAAAGTTTCAGCAATTATCCGATAGATGCGAATAATAAAAATGAAAAATGCTGCCAAATAAACCTAACCAAGCTCGAATCGGAGAAATCCAGACATTACAATCAGACAATTTTGGTAATATAGCTTCCCAAATCTCATCTCTTCTCTCTCTCTCGTCAAGAACCCTAATACTCTCTGCAAAAAAAGATCCTGAAAATTTCCCAATTTCGTAATCGACGATCTCATCATCTTCTCGGTTTAATTCCCTTCCCTTTAAAAATCTTCTGATATGGTTTAGAATTTGTGATCTAAATGGCCGCTGACGTGTCAATTGTCTGAAAACAAAAAACCCTTATCGCCAAAATTTTCCAGAAACGAAAAAAAAAAATCAAACCTTTATTTTCCGTTTTGCTCGATTTGTTTGTGAAGAAGGAGGTAGGGACGATGAAGCTGATGATGAATCGTTCCCTGGTCCTACTCCTATTCTACGCCCTCACTGTTCCTTCTCTAGCGTCAGGCAAAGTGATTCTCATGAGGAACAACACCACTCTCTCTTTCGATGACATCGAAGCTAATTTCGGTCAGTTTTCTTAATCGGAATCAGAGAGGTTTTTTGTCGAATCTGTAATTCCGGTCAACGGTTATTGAAAATTGATCTGGTTTTTGCCCAATTTTGCAGCCACGTCAGTGAAGGCCACAGGTGAAATTGGATTACTTGATGTCGCTGAGCCACTCGACGCTTGCGAAAATCTGATCAACAAACCGAAACAGAGCACAAACGAAACTTCCCCTTTCGTCTTGATCATAAGAGGAGGTTGCAGTTTCGAAGACAAAGTGAGAAGAGCGCAGAGAGCTGGCTTCAAAGCTGCCATTATCTATGACAACGAAGACCGTGGAATCTTAATTGCAAGTAATTAAAAAAAAAAAAACATTCTTTCTCTGCTTTCTTCTTAAATCTTCTCTGTTTCTTGATTAACATTTTGAGATTTTTTTTTGTAGTGGCAGGAAACTCCGGCGGAATCAAGATCCATGCGGTGTTCGTAACAAAAGAAACAGGAGAGATCTTGAGAGAGTATTCGACTTTCTCGGATACGAAACTCTGGTTGATTCCGAGCTTCGAGAACTCTGCGTGGTCGATCATGGCGGTTTCGTTCATCTCCCTGCTCGCAATGTCGGCTGTTCTCGCCACTTGTTTCTTCGTCCGGAGGCACCGGATAAGAAGACGAACGACGTCGAGACGTGTCCGCGAGTTCCACGGCATGAGCCGTCGCTTGGTGAAGGCAATGCCGAGTCTTTTGTTCACCGAAGTACACGAAGACAACACAACCGCCTTCGCTTGCGCTATCTGCCTCGAAGACTACAATGTCGGTGACAAGCTCAGACTCCTACCTTGCTGCCACAGTGAGTAACCATAACTAATTGCATACAATTCTGTTACGTTTCTGTTACAACTGACTAACAGATTGGTGCATTTTTCTGTTACAGTTCTGTTACAACTGTCTAACAGATTCTGTTAATTCTGTTTCTGTGTGTTTGACTCTGTTTTTTTTTTGCAGAGTTTCATGCTGTTTGTGTTGACTCGTGGTTAACATCATGGAGAACGTTCTGTCCTGTGTGCAAGCGTGACGCGAGGACGAGCAACGGAGAGCCGCCGGATTCGGAAAGCACGCCGTTGCTCTCGTCCGCTTCGTCGTCTTTCCGGTCTTCTTCCGCGGTGTCTTCATTCAGATCAACATCAGCGATGGTGATCGGTCCTTCGATCGGATCAATACCAACTTCGATCTCTTTCTCACCAGCACACGCAAGCTCGTCTTACGTAAGACAGTCCTTCCGGTCTTCGTCTCTCCGGCGGTCTCCTCCGATAAGCGTAAGTCGAAGCTCAGTGGATCTAAGACAACAAGGAGGAGGTGGAGGAGGAGGTGGTGGTTCTCCGTCGCCGTCGCAGAGATCGTACATTTCTCATATGGCTTCTCCGCAGTCACTTGGTTACCCGAGTGTATCGCCTCTCAACGCGCGGTATATGTCGCCGTATAGGCCTAGCCCGAGCAATGCGTCGCCTGGATTAGCCGGTTCGTCGTCGAATCATTATCCGTCGTTGTTCCATACGCTTCGTTACAGTGAATCAGCTGGGACTTTCTCTCCTTACGCCTCTGCAAACTCGCTCCCTGACTGTTGAAAGAAGATATGATTTTTATTATTCTTATGGATTTGATGAGTTTTTTGGTACGATTGTGTGCGTTTGCGTTTGTGGTTGTGTGTGTGGTTTAGGTTAGAGATTTCACTACCAAAAATACACACAAATTCGGTTCCTTTGTAGAGAAATATGAGCTTTTATGTATGTATGTATATAAAACCTCTCTTTTCTTGTTGCTGCTTTTGCACTTTTGCACTTTTGCACTTTTGCTTCATTCTCTGATTCAGAGTGTATGGTCTTGCAAATCAAATTAGTTAGGCCCAAGTAAACATTCATTTTGAAAACGACGGCGTTTTATGATTTTTGTATTTGGTAACGAGTGTGAGACACACAGTAGAGAAAATGTTTACGTTTTTTAGTGAATGAAGAAAAGCCGATCCACCGTTGGCCGGATTTTACTCTCCGGCGAAGAGGATCTCGGTGGTTGAGAGGGATCGATAGCGAGCCATGCCAATGAGGCACGTCAACGCGGTGGCGGTTTTACTAATGATGTTCTTCACTCTCCTGATCCTCTCATTCACCGGCATTTTAGAATTCCCGTCTGCCTCCGATCCGATGGACCGGGAAGTGAAATTACCCGATTCCTCCGACGCCGTTTCGTCGGATCCGTTCCGCGACGTCTTCTCAGCTTTTAAAAAATGGGACTCGCGAGTGGGTTGTGCTCGGTTCAGAGTGAATCACAAGGATTCGATCCCCGGAAATGTTAGTTCGGGTTCTCTACAAGAATCCGGAGTCGGGTCGGGTGGATCGGGTTGCGGTAAGCTGAAGATGGATCACGTTAAGATTCTAGTTAAAGGGTGGACTTGGATTCCGGATAATTTGGAAAATCTCTACTCTTGTTCATGTGCGATGACTTGTTTGTGGACTAAATCGCCTGTTCTCGCTGATTCTCCCGATGCTCTGCTCTTCGAGACGACGACTCCTCCGTTACAGGTAGTTTCCAAAGCTTGCATTTTTAGAAATGGGTTTTGATTTTGATGATCAGGGCTAAGATTAGATCACACTATCTCTTAGTTTTTCCCCAAATTTGATGTGGTTAGGTTAGGTTACCAATTCTTGGAATAGCTGTGGATTAGTCTCAATGAATTTGATTGTGTTTCCTTAGAGACGTGTTGGAGAACCGCTGCGTGTGTATATGGAGCTAGAGGCCGGAAGAAAACGCTCAGGCCGGGAAGATATATTCATCAGTTACCATGCCAAAGACGACGTCCAAACAACTTACGCTGGTGCTCTCTTTCATAATAACAGAAACTATCACATCTCTGCACATAAACACAATGTAAGTAGACTCACAAAACTCCAAATCCAATAAAGTTTCTTTTTTTGAATTTCATCATTTTTTATTGCAACAGGATGTTTTGTTGTATTGGTCTTCTTCAAGATGTCTCTCTCACAGAGACCGTCTCGCTAAGAGCCTTCTTGATTTGATTCCGCATCACTCTTTTGGTAAGTGTCTTAACAACGTCGGTGGTTTGGACTCAGCTCTGTCCATGTATCCAGAATGTGTCTCAGATTCCAACTCCGAGCCAAAATGGTACGACCATCTCCACTGCGCAATGTCACACTACAAATTCGTTCTTGCGATCGAAAACACAGCCATGGAGTCGTACGTGACAGAGAAGCTTTTCTACGCGCTTGACTCCGGTTCTGTGCCTATCTATTTTGGAGCCTCTAACGTGCAAGATTTCGTCCCGCCGCATTCGGTGATCGACGGTAGCAAATTCGGTTCTGTGAAGGAGTTGGCGGCGTACGTGAAGCGGCTCGGTGATGATCCTGTGGCTTACTCGGAGTACCACGCGTGGAGGCGGTGTGGAGTGATCGGGAACTACGGGAGAGCCTGTGCGGTGAGTCTTGATACGTTGCCGTGTCGATTGTGTGAAGAGATTAGCAGAAGAGGTGGTAAGGACGCCGGAGCTTGACGAGCCACCACCGGAAGTTATACATGTAGACTGTTTGTGTAAATGTGAGTTCTTGATTTGTTTCTGTTATTAATTTTGTCATATAAGAATCTCACACCATAACATAAAGTATAAGCTCAATCAAATCATGTGTTTAAGAAACAAAAGTAGAATTATTCATTTGACTTGTTGTCAATTTACAGCTTAGATTTAAAAATGGGACTTCTGTCATAGAACCTACTAAAAAATAAAAAATAAAAAACAGAATAAAACGTACAAGTTTTCTCTTAATTTTGTAATTTCAAATCATGTTTAAATAAATTGGTTTTGAGTTTGGTGTCTATCTATAATTATAAATAATGAAATATATCCTGGCATTCTTTTTTATTTTCTTGAATAATATATCCAAATACATCTTCAAAAGGGAAATGATTATCAATTCTCTTGAATTGTACCGCAAAACATTCCATTTTCTTCTTCTTATCAAAGATAATGGCCACTAATTCTGTGGATGATTTACTACCTTAATTGTATTTTTTGCTGAGCAAGTTATTCCCGTTTTGTGAGAAATAATACCTTAATGAGCATTATATTCTTGCCAGCTTTTTGGTTTTTAATTTGTTATCAGCCTTTTTATTATTTTAGCTAATCAAAAGATACTTTCTATAAAATCACCATACAAAAGATGCACAACTAGTAACATAAAAAGAAAATGCTATTGCACAACAATACAGATGGTGAGATATGTATCTTGAATAACACATTCTTTGCATCCCATTTCTCTATATATATTATTGGCTTCTTCTCTTAACGTCATTTTTTCTTCTTCTTTTCTCTCCGAGTAAAACCAATCCTAAGATCTCTGATCCGAGAATCAAACACTGATCCGAGCAATAAAATCATTTGTTGAACAACTTGGTTAATCATGGATCGGCCAAAGAAACGGGACACACTACGAGCGGTGAGTTCGATGAGCTCGCTAACCGCGAACGTCGAAGAAAACGGATCAAAAGGAATCAGAGCAGTGAACTCGCTGTGCTCTATAGCCGAACTAAACGACAAAGACCTACTGGCTCTGCTCCTTGACCGGCCAAGGCTGAAATTGGAACGGAACAAATCATACGACGAAAAGTCTTTCGGCGACTTAAGCCTCTACGACGGTAGGTCTGGTCGGAACACTCCAATTTTCTCCATCAGAGACTCGTTTGACATCCACCCATTGGTCACCGAAGCTTGGGAGGCTCTTCGCCGGTCTCAGGTCTACTTCCGTGGACAACCCGTAGGAACCATCGCCGCCTACGACCATGCTTCTGAAGAGGTCTTAAACTATGACCAGGTATGGTTTTTGTGTTATCTTTCTTTCTAGTTTCTCTCTAACATTTACAAACAATGATCACAATATTGGACTTAGGATTATAGCTAGAAATGTTAGAAATGTTATGCCTCATTACCATAATGTAAATGTTGTACTTGGGATTATATATAGCTAGAAATGTTAGAAATGTTATGACTCATTACAATATTGTAATTGTTTGACTTGGGATTATATATAGCTAGAAATGTTATGACTCATTACAATATTGTGAATGTTGGAGTTGGGATTATATATAGGTAGAAATGTTATGCCTCATTATAATATTGTAAATGTTGGGATTGAGATTATAGCTAGAAATGTTATGCCTCATTACAATATTAATTTTATTGTGTATTGTAAGGTTTTTGTAAGGGATTTTGTACCGAGCGCTCTTGCATTTCTAATGAATGGAGAGCCAGACATTGTGAAGAACTTCCTCTTGAAGACGATTCAAATCCAGGGACAAGACAAAAAGATCGACAAGTTCAAGCTTGGTGATGGTGCAATGCCAGCGAGCTTTAAAGTTCTCCATAACCCTATCAAGAAAACGGATACGATCGTAGCTGACTTTGGAGAGAGTGCTATCGGGAGGGTGGCTCCAGTTGATTCAGGCTTCTGGTGGATCATTCTCCTTAGAGCTTACACCAAGTCTACAGGAGACCATTCTCTAGCTGAGAGACCTGAGTGCCAAAAGGGAATGAGGCTTATACTCTCTTTGTGTCTCTCTGAGGGTTTTGATACTTTTCCTACTTTGCTTTGCGCAGATGGTTGCTCCATGGTCGATCGGAGAATGGTAATCTTTCTTCTCATCCTCTTGCCTATATGTATAAATCCAATAATTTGAGTATGACCGCTTTAAGCTATTCTGAAAATATGCAACTTAAAACTAATTAACAATGAATGGATCTTTTTTTTTTATAATAACAATGGATGAATTGATCCATGCCTCTTATAATTTATATTTTAGGTTTTATCTCCTATGTGAGAACGGCAACAAAAACTTAAGAGATTTGTGTGAATGTACCATTTACAATTATGAATAAATGGTTTTTATTTTGAATTTATTTGCAGGGTGTTTACGGATATCCGATTGAGATTCAAGCACTCTTCTTCATGGCTCTAAGATCAGCACTGTCGATGCTAAAACACGACGCCGAGGGAAAAGAGTTCATGGACAAGATAGTGAAGCGTCTCCACGCGATGAGCTTCCACATGAGAAGCTACTTTTGGCTCGATTTCCAGCAGCTCAATGACATTTACCGTTACAAGACGGAGGAGTACTCACACACAGCCGTTAACAAGTTCAACGTCATCCCCGACTCTATACCCGATTGGCTCTTCGACTTCATGCCTCTCCGAGGTGGCTACTTCGTTGGAAACGTTAGTCCTGCTCGCATGGACTTCCGGTGGTTTGCGTTGGGCAATTGTATCGCAATTCTTTCCTCCTTGGCTACGCCCGAGCAGTCTATGGCCATCATGGACCTGATTGAGGCTCGGTGGGAGGAGTTGGTCGGTGAGATGCCGTTGAAGATATGTTATCCGGCGATGGAGAGTCATGAGTGGCGGATTGTCACTGGCTGCGATCCTAAGAACACAAGGTGGAGCTACCACAACGGAGGCTCTTGGCCAGGTTAGTTGCCTTCTTTAACAAGTTATTTATGTTTTGAATGAAATTAGTAAGTAGGTCAAAGAGCAAATCTTTTTCTTTTGAATGAAATAAGTAGACATTAAGTTGACGAAATCACACAAAACATTGAGAGTGAATATACTTTATTTTACTTTGAATTTTAAAACATAAAGATATTATTGTTGTCTCATGTGGCTGATGCAAAATGTAGTGCTACTATGGTTGCTAACGGCGGCCAGCATAAAGACCGGACGGCCACAAATAGCGAGACGTGCAATAGACTTGGCGGAGGCACGGCTGTTGAAGGACGGATGGCCGGAGTACTACGACGGAAAGTCAGGAAGGTTCATCGGAAAACAAGCCAGGAAATTTCAGACATGGTCAATCGCTGGATATTTGGTGGCTAAGATGATGATGGACGATCCAACGCATGTGGGAATGATCTCAATGGAAGAAGAGAAACCTATGAAACCTGTTCTTAATAGATCTCATTCTTGGACTTGAATTAGTTGATTTCCGTTTGTGCATTTTACTTTCTGATAATTACAATTAAACAAAAACAAAAACAATCATATATAGCTCCAAATTTTATTTATTATTTAGTAAATTCAAGGATGGTTGTGTCGAGATCACTATATGGGTACCATTAGTCTAATACTATATACGAGTATTGGACCACTGGAAAATAAGCGAAAGGAAGTCTAAGGAGCCATTGACTATTGACCATTGACCATTTGTATGTCTTAAACATTACTACAAGACACAATCCGACAGAAAACAAATTAGAGAAAGAAGAAAAAAAGAACAGAGTACGTACGACCTTTCGATTATCATGTACTTATGTAACCCCACACTTGTAGTAATTTTTGGTACTTTTACTAAGTCAAACGCAATAAAATCGTATGTCACCAATTTCTCCTTTCTGAGGTTCTCAATCGTTTGCCTACTACACTTGGAGTATTTCATTAATATGAAAGAAGATGTGTAGGAAATAATTTTGAAAATATATGATAAACTATTACACGATTCCGATAAATCAAATATTTTTATCAACAAAATGAAATTTTGTTTCTTTCTTATGACATTTTATTTGCTTTTAGGTGCAGGCGAATATAAACAGTGAAACTCTAAGAACATAAAGTAATTACTTTGTGAAAACCCTTTTATATCCAAATGGTTTAGGGTTTTTGAACGTAAATGGTCTACTAAGTTCATTAACAACTGGGGATTCTAAATAATCATATTAATCTCTGAATTTCATGATCCAACATCATCTTTCGAACAACAAGTCCTTGGTTCCCACTTTGTTTACTTTAGGTCTTGACAGGGTCAACTTATATGTCCTAGTACCATTGGCTTGACGGGGTCAACGAATCTGCTTTTATCTCCTTGTTTTATTCCAGGTTTTCAGCCATTTAACCTTTTATTTAAATTGTTTTGGTGGGAAATAAAACTTTTTATCTTTTATAGTAGTAGTAAAACGGTAAGCTCTGTTTTTGTGTAAGGTCGTTAATTTGAGCTAATACCAAACTATATCATGTTGTCATACATATAATCAGCATGGACATGACTAAACTGATTTGTTTTGAGCTCATAAATCTGAACAGTGATATATGAGCCTTTATAATATTTTACATCTGCATTTTGGATATTTTGAATCATGCCGTACTTCGTGGTTTTTGGATTGTATCAAAAAGTGTCCAGTGATAATCAAAATCTATATTGCCAAAAGATAATAATATGAAAATCTAAACTTCGTGAATATCTAACTTTTTCTTCATGTGGGAATGAATATTTAAAAAGAAGGCAAAAACAGGTTGTTGAGGAGACTGATTAACATGAATCACCGCTCACCAGTAACGTCTTTATCGACAAAATAACAATTAAAAAAAATGGTGAGTGGATTAGTATTAGCAACCACCAAACAGAATTAATTATCACTGATCTTTCTTTTTTTCTCACTAAGATAATTTATCTAATTCCGTGAATATACTTTCTTAAACTATACATATCGTAATTAATCTCACCTGGCTTTATAACTACTTTGTTGTAAATAGCATTGTATAATTTTCATGTATGAAACCAACAACTCTCAATCTCTTACTATTAGATCTCTCCTTCGCGTTTACACAACAAACAACAAAACAGTTCACATCATGTCTCCCTGTATAGTCTTTATCAAAAACACTCTTAACAATTAAAAGAGTCAATTAGGTGGATCATCAAATATTTAACTTTAATTAGAAAAGTAACTTTTGTCTCATTTTTTATAAGTAATACAAATTGATATGTTGATAAGACAAACATGTCCTTACACCATGGTGAAAAATAATAATAAAATTTTAGACAAAATATCTGCATTTTTCCCAAATAAAATAAATTCTGAAAAATATTTAGCATACTTACCCAAAATGAATAAAAACGAATTTTTTCTATTAAGGATCACTTTTATTTTTTAAAGACCAATCAGAGAGCAAAATGGAGAAGAAGATGAGAAACAAGAACAGTGTTAAGAAGCAAATAAGTCAATAAAGGTTGAATAGATTTTAGATGGATAGTTTCCTCCAGCAATTACACCATATCCACTTGTTTTCATCCTTCAATCATTCCTTCTCTTCTTCTCCTTCTCTCTCTCTCTCTTCACTCTCCACAACGCCATTTTAGTAGAAAGCTCTCCGCTTTAGATCTCTTTTCACTGTCATTGCTCTTCTTCTTCTACTTTCTTCAATTGATTCCCCAAATTGCTTCAGATTTCCCCAGATTTTTCAGAATTCGATTACTTATCGTCGGAATTCGCATGGGTTTCGCTTAAAAATCACAACTTTGAAGGGAATTCGATTACCCGGAGATGGAAATTCGCTCCAATCAGAATCAACGGGATGCTGTCACGGCGGCGGAATCTGGGCTTCAGCTCAATTCCGCTGAAAACCCGTCGCCGGGAGGATCGGTTCCTTTGACATCGACGTCGAATTCCACAAGCACGAGCTCCGGCACCGCGCTCGCCGTGGTGAAAACCGCGGTGAAGAAGCCGTCTAAAGACCGGCACACGAAAGTCGACGGCCGCGGACGGCGAATCCGCATGCCGGCGATGTGCGCGGCGAGAGTTTTCCAGCTGACGAGAGAGCTGGGTCACAAATCCGACGGAGAGACAATCGAGTGGCTCCTCCAGCAAGCCGAGCCGGCAATCATCGCCTCCACGGGAACCGGAACGATCCCGGCGAATTTCTCGACGCTGAACGCCTCTTTGCGCGGCGGCGGCGGCTCGACAATCTTCGCTCAGCCGTCAAAGTCTTCTTCTTCGCCGCTCTCGTTTCACAGCACCGGAATGTCTCTCTACGAGGACAGTAACGGTGGTGCTAACGGATCATCTTCCTCCGATCCGTCAAGGAAGTTGCTAAACGCGCAAAACGCCGCCGTTTACGGGTTTCACCATCAGATGTATCCGCCGATAATGTCGACGGAGAGAAGTCCGACTAGTTTGGTTAAACCTTACAGAGAAGATTACTTCAAGGAGGCGGAGCCAAGCGGGAGTAGTAGTAATCAGAAACCGGGTCAGTTTCAGGATCAAGAGCTGGGTCCGGGTATGGGTCGTGGGGCGGCGAATGTGGTGCCGCAACAAATGTGGGCGGTGCCGGGGACGACGAACGGAGGAAGCGCGTTCTGGATGCTTCCGATGAGCGGCTCCGGTGGGCGGGAGCAGATGCAGCAGCAGCCGGGTCATCAAATGTGGGCGTTTAACCCGGGGAATTACCCGGTTGGGTCAGGCCGGGTTGTGACTGCGCCGATGGGGTCAATGATGTTGGGAGGTCAGCAGCTAGGATTAGGAGTGGCGGAGAGCAACATCGCCGCCGCGATGCGTGGCGGTAGAGGCGGAGATGGTTTGGCCATGACGCTGGATCAACATCAGCAACATCAAGAGCCAAACCAGAGTCAACAAGCTAGTGAAAATGGTGGTGATGACAAAAAGTGAAAGAAAAAAACCAAACTTGTGACATTTGTAATGACCACACCTGTGTTTGATGCTGAGACATTTTGAATGATAGAAATGATGAAACAGAATGTGGTTTTTAAGCTTTTTTTGTGAACAGATTGTCACATCATTTGTGGGTTTTCGTGCTTGTGCGTGTGTTGTGACTTGTGAGTTTCTAGATTTTCTTTTGATTGTATCTTTCATTAATAAATATGTGAATATTTTGAGAGATTTTCAACATTTTGAATGACAAATATTGAAACAAAACATCAAAGTGTAAGAAATAAGGCCGTTCATGTCGGATTTATCATCATTATTGCAGCATCAAACAGCCAAGCAAAGTGAAACAGAGAAAAGAAAAAAGCTTTTACCATAATGATAAGACTTGTTTGTAGCTAAAGATCCAAAGCGAGAGAGAGAGAGAGAGCAAAGATTGAGTATTCATAGAGATTATTTAGGATGAGAACAATGGCGCTGTGAGTGGTTGAGACTCAACCAGAAGCGGTCTTCCTCTGCTGGAAGACGACGGCGAAGATGGGAACACCAACACCGATGCTGAAAGCGGTGAAGACACCGAGGGACATCTTGAGAGCTTGGTGCTTCATGCGGTCCAAGTTGTACATGTGCTTTGCGTGGAGGTAGTATTCGTAATCATCATGGCCATGTCCTCCTCCTCCGCTCATCTTCTTAGGTCCAGTCGAGTGGAAGCTTCTGCTCACTGTCGATGATAATGACAACAAACAACAAATAAAACTTCAGCAAGTAAACAACAATGCTTATCACTGGCCTAACTTGAGCACAGATTAATCATCTTATTGTAGTAGTAGAGCTAAAATCTACATGTAAACACAGAACAATGGAGGTATTAAATATGTTTGCAGAAAAAAATGGAGTCTTTTACAAATTGATCAAAATGATATAATCATGAACATGAAAATATAAACTTTTCATTTTCTGATTTCTCTCATAATACGTTTTTCATCAGCTTTCGTGAAAAAAAAAATTGATTCGCAACAATCTGCTTATGTGATTCATTGGTTCTACAGAGAAATTCAATAAAATAGCTTATGATCTATAGCAAAATTCATCGATTGATATGATAAAATCGAACCGACGCATTCACTGGACAATCAGAAACATAAAAAATCGCAATGTTTACAATGAATCAGGGAAAAGAGTATTCAATTTCTGGGAATTCAAACAAAACCAAGAGGTCCTAGACTATGGAATTGTTGGAAACAACGAAAAATGAGCAGATTTTGTTTTTGATTTTTGGGGTACTGACCAGATCTGGAGACTGATGATTCGGAAGAAGCTATGATCTTTGAGATAGATCTGATTCCGGTGTTCAACGCCATGATCTGAATTAATCGAGAAGACAGCAAAAAGATGAACGACTTTCTCTGGAAATTTTACGGCGAATGAGTTTGAGAGAAGACAACAATGGGAACGATATACCGTAAGCGAGGCTGAGAATGGAATACATTAACACACGTGCAAACGACATCTTATTTTAGGCCCGGCCCAATTAGTCCCACGCAAGGCTTTTGTTGACTAGTTTTGAGATTTTAAGAGATGATTAGAGAGGGATTAGAGAAAACTCAAAAGCCATCGGGATTTGGCAATTCAGGAAGAAAGTAAGTCCCTTGAATCTTCAAAATTTGCAAAGAGAGAGAGAAATAAAACATAAAATACTTTCTCGTGTATCTCTTAGGGATTAAAAAAAATGTTAGCACTAGTTAATGATTAGTTCGATCAATTTAATTGGTTTTATAAAATTCGAGTTCGGCCTGGTTTGGGAATTTGGCAATTACTAACCATATCTCAACATACTAATTTCATTTCTTAAAAAAATTAATTTCCTACAATTCCTGAGTATTTCTAAATACACAACCATATGATCCAAACTATGATTCTTATAGTCTACATCTCGATTTTGATAACAATGTCTTGATTATGACATTACGTTGTTGAGCATATTATAGCTACAATCAACTCTATATGACGAAATGAAAAATTGTTCGTGGTGTGTTTGCGGATATGATGGGCCTTGAAATGATGAGTTTTGAAATGATGTGCCAAATCAAGGTATGACAAATCACTTATGTAGAGTTGTGGATTTACCGTTGTTATACAATGCTTGTAACAAATTGATAAGCTGAAGAGGTCCACATATTTCCTAAATAACTCCAAACATATAAGTGGGTAAGCTGAACAAATCCACATGTTTCCTAAATAACTCTAAACACACAACTATATGATCCATGATTCTTATAGCATACATCTCGACTTTTATCCAATGTTTTCATTATGACATTATGTGTTTTGAACAAGTATATCATAGCTACAATCAACTCTAGATGACGATTGCATATACATAATGTGTTAGCACTTGCGAATAGTGCAACTGAGATAGATCATTAACGAATTGCACAAAAATAGCTCATACAAGATCTATATCCGATTTAAACCGAATAGACAAAAATCGGAAGAAGCTTTTCTATTTCAAAAAGATAATATCCAATAAATCATATTGAAAATTTAAGCTGGTCTTATTATGCATTTTACCCCCCATTATATTTATACCCACACGTTTTTTGTATTATGTACAACAAATGTTTAACCTAAATTGATTATATGTTGCTAAAATGCTAAGTGGGTTGGGTGAGTATTATTTAGTTTTCTTGTTACATATTTTTCCGTTAGTTTGTGGCAAATGATATATAATTGTACCAAAATAGTATTAGTCACACATTGAGATGAAATCTTTCAAGGAGCTTAATTTTACCTATTATGCCTAAGATTACTAAAATCATAATATTTACTTTAACAAACACGAAATGTACAATCCTTCGATGCCTCAAATCTCCAAGTGTAAGGTCATTATTTGTCAACGTGGCAAGTGAAACCAGCTGAAGTATTTAATGTTTCATATAATCAAATAAAAACAAAAACAAAAATTCTGTGGACGGTCTTTAGCTAGCGATCATTCGTAACCACAAAAAACAGACGATGGAAGTGTATCTTATCTCTACATTTGATATTTTTCTTGTCGTATAAAATGCAAGAAAATGAGAACATCGACACTTTTTCTTCGAAAAAAACAATGCTTGAATAATAAGATGGCTCACTTGCCACAGAGCCTCTACTTCGCCGCTAGGCCAGAGTTTCCACTATATCCGGGAAAGTCTTGCCTGGGAACAGATCAACGACAGAAGCTGACGTGGAGCCGCTTCCCACTGATCGTACGGTGCGCATCGACTGAGTCATTAACGAGTTTGACTCAGAATGCGGCGGAGACAGAGTTGAAGTACATGGTGAGTCAGAACGGGTGGGGCGTGAGGAGATTGAGGAGAGACGACGAGGACGAGATCAGGAGGGTGTCTCTTGTTCAAGCGGAAGCTTTCCACATCCCTCTCGCTCTTTTTGATGATTTCTTCTTTATGTTCTTCCAGGTTAGTTTTACTCTTTTATTGTCTTATTAAATCCTCTTGATGTCTTCAATGCAAAAATTCTCAACATGTAGAGCATTGTTTTGTTTTGATAATATATACTGTAAAATTCCGAAAAAAAGTTTGGGTAGATATAGATTTGATCAGTTTAGCCACAGACGCATAAGCTCATAACCTTATATTAAGATCAAATCATAATTACAAAAGAAAATAAATGTGAAAAGTGAAAACCATATGTTTTTTTACTTGTTGTAACGTGGAATAAAAGTTTCATTCCGTGTGACGTAGCTCAAAACACATTTTAAGGAAAAATTGAACCTTTCTAATCAAATCTGAGTAGACTAATTGAACACATTGTTGCAGGCAGAGGTTCTGTCGGCGCTTCTTTACAAACTAAAGAATTCATCTCCTGACAGGTAAAAAGTTAAAACCACATTTCATGAAGATTGGTGTCACATGTGTCTAATCTAAGTAAAAGGTTAAAAATGCGACAGATATGCATGCCTCGTGGCGGAGCAAGCGAGTGAAGATGAAACTTGTTCGAGCTCAAGTGTCGTCGGAGTAGTTGACGTCACAGTTCAAACGGAAAACTCAGTACTACGTCATTTCCCCGGCGTCGAAGAATATCTTTACGTCTCAGGCTTAGCCGTCTCCAAATCTCAAAGGTCTCTCTCTCTCACACTCTTCCTTGCTGTTTGTTATAAAAGTGTACAATATGAAATTGAGTTTCTTACGTCAACAGGAGAAAGAAGATGGCAAGTACATTGTTAAAGGCATGTGATGTTATATGCTACTTGTGGGGTTTCAAGCTTCTTGCTCTAAGAGCTTACGAAGACGACGCAGCCGCTAGAAATCTCTACTCAAACGCTGGTTACAACGTGGTCGAGTCTGATCCACCGTGGAAATCTACTTGGATTGGCAGAAAACGCCGCGTTCTTATGACCAAACGCTTTTCTTGATGTACATGTTATGCTTAGCATTTGCAATAACAAGAAACATACATCTAATTTGGATACAAAAGCATAAATGTGAAACATACCAACAAGATTTTCAAGAAACAAAAGCACCTAAGCAACATCAAACCTCTCTACAAAAGGGTTAATTTAAAACGGACACGATCCATGTTTTGGCTTCTACATCTAAAGATATGAGACAAAAGCTGCAGAGATAAGCGTTTTTTGTTCCTAAACAAAAGCCGATCATACTTATAGACAAACCCGACCTGACAAAGCTCCTAAGAGCTAACAAAAAACGGAGTCAAGTGGACGGATTCGGTCACATGGACGGTCTGGTCATGAGCGACATGGCCTTTCTGATATCGAGAGACGGAAGTTCAAGCCCCGGGACATGCGTGCCGTCTGGTCCCATCCACAGACCTCCATTGTTAGGAGGCATCAGCAGCTGAGACTGACCATTGCTCTTCTCTGGTGACGCTTCTTGCTTCTTCTTCACAAACTCAAAGAACTCAGCAATCTGGCGTGCATATCTTCAAACAAACAAACAACAATCAAGAACACATAAATGTTAGGTTTAGAATCAGAGTTTGTTTTGGTTGACATAAACAGTATTGAGAAGTGAGAAAACTTACTGTCTCTTTACATCAACATCTCTACTGAAGTCAATATTTTGATCACAGTCCAAAACCAAAGCAGGGACCTGTTAACAAAACCAAAGAAACCAGTCTTAAGCAAAATCAATCTTCAAGCTTGACCACAAGAAGAGGCCAATAAAAGAGATAACTTTTTACCTTCTGGATACTAGAATGCATATGGTTCCCTTCCAAGTAAACGACTCGATCTTTAATATCAGGATGCAGAGAGTTGTCCATCTGCAAAGTCGGTTTACTAACAGACAACACGCCGTGGTTCCCGCTCTTCATCGGGAGGAGCCAGCTCTCGTGCTTCTCGTGAAGATCCTGGAGGTACTTCAACGAGAGTCCTTCTTCTTCCGCTCGTTTCCTCGTCAACATCCGCTTGTGGCAAGTGTCAGGACTCGCTCTCAAGTATATAAACCCGTCAGGGACAAGTCCAGGCAATGCAGAGACAACCGGATCAAACCAAGAGTCGTAGATGCTTATCTCCATCTCACTCATCCACTTCGCTTCATGAACCGCTCTCACAAACACCTAAGAGTTCAAACTTTTCCACATTAAAACTTTGCAATCGATCACACATACACAACAAAGACTCACACTTTCATTACCATTCTCTCCTAAAAACCTAAACTTTCAAACTTTCCACATTTAAACTTTGCAATCAATCACACATACACAACAAAGACTCACACTTTTATTACCATTCTCTCCTAAACACCTAAAGTTTCAAACTTTCCACATTTAAACTTCGCAATCAATCTACACAAGAAAGACTCACACTTTCATTAACATTCTCTCACAAACACGTAAAGTTTCAAACTTTCCACATTAAAACTCTGCAATCAATCACACATACACAAGAAAGACTCACACTTTCACTACCATTCTCTCACAAACACCTAAAGTTTCAAACTTTGCAATCCATCACACATACACAAACAAAAGACTCAAACTTTCTTGAAAATTTTCATTTACCATTCTGTCACTGAAGACGCTTCTTTCCATCAACCTAAGTGGCTTAACTCCAGCAGCAGACTCTTTCTCCTGCATGAGCCGAGTGACGAACACATAGTTCTGGAACGTGTAAGCATACCTCTGCGGCTCGTTGTAGAAAGCGTCTAGTATGTTAAAGTGCTCAGGCCCAATATCTTGCCACTTGGCAACCGGCTCAGGAACAATCTCAACGAGGTCTTGCAGCTCAATAGTCTCACTCGCAATCTTCTGGAGGAACGTCGATTTGCCAACACTAATGTTGCCTTCAACACAGAACGTCAAACGCTTCTTTGTGTTTAGGTTAGGGTCAGAGCTAGAGTCCTTGAGCTCGTCGTCTACACTCTCTTTGATGAACGTCGTTATGCTCTCCGCGTGGTTTCTGTGTATGATTCCAACGGAGCTACGGAGGTAATCAACCATCTTCTGACTCGCTTTCCAAAACTGGGAAAATCAAAATCAAATTTTTCAATTTCACAATCCTCACAAAGTTCCAATTTTTTGGAGAAATAATGTGAATAGTGTTCATACCTTATCTTTGTAGAGCTTTTTGAGCTCTGCGACGTCTCCGATTCCGTTGTCGACGAGCTTTCTCTGGTTCCTCAGACCAACGCCAGGGATTTTCAGCAAATCTGGGTTACCGGAAAATTCACCGCTTGAGCTGCTCCGGTTTCTCCGGTTTATCCTAACCGGTTTCTCATCCTTATCCGTAGGAGAGTCTTCGTCTTCTTCTTCTCCGTCAGAGCCTCCGACACTCTCAATAACTGCTCCAGCAGCATTAACCGAGCTCGAACCGGCGTTAGATTCCGTGTAGAGCAGCGAACGCCAAGACCCGCTTTTACCGACCCAAGCCCGGTTCGTACTCCGGATTGAGCACCGGCAAGCGGTGGAGAACCGGACCGACGCAGTCGCGGCTCTATGAGAGCGGTTTCTCTGGATAAAAGCAGAGAAAACGCCGCCGCCTGAAGAGATAGAGCTCGCCGTCGTCGGCGGCATAGCGGAAGCGGTGGAGAGAGGTTTGGGAGTGGAACAGAGAGTGGGATTTTTGGAGGAGGTCTTTAACCCTAGAGAGAGAAGACTAGGAACGGCGATGGGTTGTGTGGAGATGAAGCTGGCGGCGATAGAGTTGGCCGGAGCAGAGAGAACAGGTGTTGAAACAGTGGTACTCTTGCACAGAATCTTCTGCATCGTTTCTCCTTTTACCGGAGCATTTCACATCAGTAGCTTCGGAGATGGAATAGCAAAAGGAAGGCGGAGAGGTGGAATCGAGAAACCCTAATTTCAGAGGATTGGGAAAACGAGACGATAACAAAAGAGAAGTGAAGAGAGGAAAAAAAAAAAAGAGGGTTTTGGTTTGGCGCAAAGACAGAGGAGGAAGAAGAGAGAGATAAAAAAAAGTTTAGGGTTTTAGATTGGATTTTTTTAATTTTATCATTTAACTTTCCACCGGGTAATAGCAATACGTGTGGTGTCGTCAAATTATTTATTACGGTGGATATGATTAGTGGGGCACTAATACGTTTTTAAAAATCGTTATGATATGAAAATTTATGGGGGAAATACGTTAAAATATACTCATGTCTCTGCCTAAGGTAATGACAGACAAGAAGGACGGTATTTTTTGTCATCGTTCTGATTTGTGTTAACACGCGTGACATGTGCTGATAACAAATAAAATAACTGAAGAATTAAAATTAATCATTTTTATTTGATTGTGTTTTTTTTCACTCGGGTGTTTGTATCGGACCGGTCTTTTAATTGGGCAAAGCCTTTGTTAAAGACGATTAATTTAAACGTATGTAGGTCCATTTCATTAAATGTATGGATTATGCCATGAAATATGTCCCTAGTTTTGGCAACATTTTTCTTACTTCTGACAATTGAGATAATTTGTAGCGAAGCTAGCTAGAGTATCCCATCCATTCAAAATTTCAAATTCTACAAAAAAAAATACATCGGAAAAAAAAAATGTTATCAACTTTATGGACCAGTGAAATATCGATTTTCCTCCTAGCAAAAAACTTCTTCATGTCTTGAAGCCTCTAATTCATGTCGAGCATATGTTTAGAATCATGGATCATCGTTTAAAAGAACTAATATCTGTAATTCGATTCGGTCTTAGGCGAAAAATTAACGGGAAATTAGACCACACTACACCAAACTACCAAAGTGCAACAGAGTACAGCACAAAGAAAGAGTAAATTATATTACCAGTATAGTGTAAACCGTGAAATATATTAAGATTAAGCTCGGTTCATATATTATACAACCAATACTGTTATTTCTAGTTATTCAACTAATTCTGTTGACTAAAGACATCAAAATATAATCCAGTTGACTAAACAATAACATTAAAATCCTAATTAATTTTATTTTTCTTTTAGTCAAAATTTTCAGTTATATATTAAGCTACTATATTTCTATACCGTTTTTAATTTGTTTTATTTTACCTTTACCTCTTAATTTGGCAATTAAATTTTTGTAATTGACATTTTTGGTGAGTTCATAAAAGATGAAGTAATATGACTAGCAATAAATTGATTAGCTTTTTTTTCTTATGATATTATATTATTAATAAATAGATTACTTGTTGACTGAAATTAGTTTATATATGATGGATTAATGTCGATGGAGAAACATAATTAAAATATAACAATGGTTTTATATTTAGTGTTTGTTCTATCTTTTAGTCTACTTTTAATGCAAGTAATCAAAGGAAACATCGAGGAAAGTTTATATAATTTTTACTTTGTTTTTCCATTTCTTAACATTTGATATTTTAAGTTTGAAGTAATTTCTGTATTCTAATTTACAGGATTTCGATTGTGTTGATATACATAAGATACAAGTATGGCGGTAAACATAATTCAATCAAATAAGAAATAAATGTTGTAAACAAAGTATAGTGTTGAGAATAGTTTGGTGTATTAAGAGCACTCTTATAATGTTTTTTATTTTCTTAATCTCCTTTTTTTGCATTATATTACAGGAAAACTTTGAAAACCTTGATACAGAAAATAAATATGAAATAAATGATCAAAGTTGTCCAAAAGGAATAGTGCCAATTCTACAACAACGGAATGGAATTGAAAACTTTCATCTCAGCATGCTCCAACCCGGCCAACATGTAATTTTTTATTCCATCTTTTCATTATTTTATTAAATTATCTGTATCATAATATATAAAAAATTTATATAGTTTGCAGTACAAAAAATGATTATACTGTATGCAGTCACTTTGTTGTCTTCTTACTAATGTTGTGATTATAAACAATCACAATTTGTTAAAACAACTCCATTTTGTAGTTTGCAACAATCGAAATTGTTATCACTGAAAACATCTATACAGGAGCACAAGCTCAAATAAGTATTCATAACCTAACTGCAAAAAATAATCAGTATAGTAAAAGTCAAATTTGGATAGAGAATGGACCTCGTGATCAACTCAATAGCATACAAATTGGTTGGGCTGTAAGTTATTATTATACTTCTAAAGTCTAATGTGTATTTATTATCATGTGATTTTATACATAAAACTAAAAAAAAATTTGCATAGAAACGTATGCCTATGAATATAAATGATACGATAACACTACAAATATAGAGAACCGTAGTTATACTTAAGCATACATATTTAATGAAAACCTATAGAATAGTGATATAGAAATACAATGAGGTTACAAGAATATTAATACTAATATTTACAATTCTATCATCATGTATTTCATAATTTTGTTTAGGTACATCCAAAATTATATGGTGATACTTCTACACGATTTACAATATATTGGACAGTAAGTAAATTCATTATTTTGTTGTTATGTTTTTTTTTATATATGATAAATCTATAAATTATTCTTAACTATAAAAGTAAAGTGAAACCATTGGTTTTGATAGATTGTCTTCTATTTCATTTTAATTTATCAGGCAGATGGCTATGGAAAAACTGGATGTTATAATACAATTTGTCCCGGCTTTGTACTTGTATCTCGATCTCATTGGATTGGGCAAGTATTTTCTTCAAGCTCTATTTATGGTGGAAAAACATCAGTATATTTCAAACCAATAGTTTTTTCAGGTAATTTTTGTTTGTGTTCTACATGATAAATAATTTATTTTGACAAGAATGTTGGAAAGTTTTCATATATTTATTTTGTGAGCCACAATTTTCCTAAAAGATATTTTCAGTCTTATTATAACATCTTTATCTTTTAATTTACTTTAGTTAATTTTTCTTATTATTTGTGTTTATAAACTTTATATAATTTTCTTAATGGTCTTTTTATGTGTTTCATTATTTTATAGGACGGTTTCACCGGAAACTGGGCATTAAAAGTATTAGGTGAAGTAATTGGTTATTGGCCGAAAGAATTATTCACACATTTAAATGAAGGAGCTTCTTTAATACGTTTTGGAGGAAATACATTTGCATCCTCGGATGAATTTAGTCCTCCAATGGGAAATGGACACTTTACGATATACGACTTTCAAAGAAGTTCTTATCACTTGCAAGTGAAAGTTAGGAATTCTGACTATCAATTTATTGATCTTGACACTAAGATAACAAGAAAATATTCAGACTCTTACCAATGTTATAGACTAACGTATTGGGGTTTATTCGAGTCCACATGAGTAGCTTTTTCTTTTGGAGGACGAGGTGGAAACTGTGATCACAAATGAGTGATGAATTTGATATAGTCCCTTTGATATATGTATTGATCAAAACTATGTAAAAATTGCAAAAGAAATAAAAGTTAACTAAACTATGTTCATCTTATGAATAAAGTATCTAAATTATTATTTGTGAAGTGATTTTTGAGGATGGTCTCTCAATCATTCTTACAAATTGTAAAATATTTAATGATAATGTGGACCAATCAAATTTTTTTTAATCCTATGTGAACACCTTTAAATGCTTATATGGTCAAACTTTTATTAATAAACCTATGGGTCAATTTTTATTCGTAATAGATAATTGTATTTCATAGTTTCCATAACAATTTACTGTTATTTTAAGTTAATCAACTAATTCAGTTATATATTAAGATATATTTCTATAACGTTTTTTGTTTTGTTTTACTTTTACCTCTTAATTTGGCAATTAAATTCTTGTAATTGACACTTTTGGTGAGTTCATAAAAGATGAAGTAATATGACTAGCAATAAATTGAATGATTTTTTTTAAAATGGTATGATGTTATTAATAAATTGATTACTTGTTGACTGAAACTAGTTTATCAGTTTTAATTAGTAATAGATAATTGTATTTAATAGTTTCCATAACATTTTACTGTTACTTTTAGTTAATCAACTAATTCAGTTATATATTAAGATACTATATTTCTATAATGTTTTTTTTTTTGTTTTATTTTACTTTTACATCTTAATTTGGCTATTAAATTCTTGTAATTGACACTTTTGGTGAGTTCATAAAAGATGAAATAATATGACTAGCAATAAATTGATTGATTTTTTTGTTTGTTTTATGGTATGATGTTATTAATAAATTGATTACTTGTTGACTGAAACTAGTTTATATATGACAGATTGATGTCGATGGAGAGACAGAACTATAATATAACGATGGTTTTATATTTAGTGTTTGTTCTATTTTTCAGTCTGCTTTTAACGCAAGTAGTGAAAGGAAACATTGATGAAAGTTCTTATAATTTATACTTTGTTTTTCCATTTCTTAACATTTGATATTTTCAGTGTGAAGTAATTTGTTTGTATTCTAATTTACAGGATTTCGATTGTGTTGATATATACAAACAACCAGCTTTCCAACATCCGTTATTGAAACACCACAAGATACATGTATGGTGGTGAACATGATTCAATCAAATAAGAAATAAATGTTGGAAACAAAATATAGTGTTAGAGAATAGTTTGGTGTATTAAGAGCATACTCTTATAATGTTTTTTTATTTTATCAATCTCCTTTTTTGCATTACATTATAGGAAAACTTTGAAAATCTTGATAGAGAAAATAAATATGAAACAAATGATCAAAGTTGTCCAAAAGGAACAGTGCCAATTCTACGACAACGAAATGGAATTGAAAACATTCATCTCGGCACACTCCAGTATCCCGGCCAACATGTAATTTTTTATTCCCATCTTTTCATTATTTTATTGAATTAGCTGTATCATAATATAGAAAAATTTATATAGTTTGCAGTACAAAAAAATAATTATACTATAAAGAGTCACTTTGTTGTCTTCACAATTTGTTAAAACGACTCCATTTTGTACATGCAGTTTGCAATAATCGAGACTGTTATGGATGGAAACATCTATACAGGAGCACAAGCTCAAATAAGTATTCATAACGTAACTGCAAAAGGTAACCAGTATAGTAAAAGTCAAATTTGGATAGAGAATGGGCCTCGTGATCAACTCAACAGCATACAAGTTGGTTGGGCAGTAAGTTATTATTATACTTCTAAAGTCTAATGTGTACTTCAAACATATAGTCATGTGATTTTATACATAAAACTAAAAAATAATTTTTTGAATAGAAATGTATGCCGAATATAAATTATATGATAACACTACAAATATAGAGAACGTAGTTATATTTAAGCATACATATTTAATGAAAACCTATAGAATAGTGATATATAAATACAACGAGGATATTATTATTATTAAGAATATTAATACTAATATTTACAATTTTATCATAATTTTGTTTAGGTACATCCAAAATTATATGGTGATACTTCTACACGATTTACAATATATTGGACAGTAAGTAAATTCATTCTTTTGTTTTTATGTTTTGTTTATATATGATAAATCTATAAATCGTTTTTAACTGCAAAAGTAAAGCCACACCATTGGTTTTGATAGATTGTCTTCTATTTCATTTTAATTTATCAGGCCGATGGCTATGGAAAAACTGGATGTTATAATACAATTTGTCCCGGCTTTGTTCTTGTATCTCGATCTCATTGGATTGGGAAAGTATTTTCTTCAAGCTCTATTTATGGTGGGAAAACACCAGTATATTTCCAACCTATAGTTTTTCAGGTAATTTTTGTTTGTGAAAATAATTTATTTTGACAAGAATGTTGGAAAAATTCATATATTTGTTTTGTGAGCCACATTTTTACAAAAAAATATTATCAATCTTACTATAACATTTTAAACCTTTAATTTACTTTAGATTAATTTTTCTTATTATTTGTGTTTATAAACTTTATTTATTTTTCTTAATGATCTTTTTATGTGTTTCATTATTTTATAGGACGGTTTCAGCGGAAACTGGGCATTAAAAGTATTAGGTGAAGTAATTGGTTATTGGCCAAAAGAATTATTCACACATTTAAACAAAGGAGCTTCTTTAATACGCTTCGGAGGAAATACATTTGCATCTTCAAATGAATTTAGTCCTCCAATGGGAAATGGGCATTTTCCGATGATATACGATTATCAAAAAAGTTCTTATCACATGCGAGTGCAAGTTAGGAATTCAAACTATCAATTTATTGATCTTGACACTAAGAAAACAAGACAATATTCAGATCCTTTCCAATGTTATAGACTAACATACTGGGGTTTCTTCGAATCCACAGGAGTAGGTTTTTCTTATGGAGGACCAGGTGGAAACTGTAATCACAAATGAGTGATGAAAAAAAAAATGTACTGCTCAAAACTGTGTTGAAAATTGCAAAAGAAATAAAAGTTAGTTAACTATGTTATCTTATGAATAAAGTATCTAAATTATCATTTGTAAAGTGATTTTGGAGAATCTATCATTCATTAAAACTCACAATTACAATTGAAAAGTGTAAATTGCCTTTGCCATCTACATATTAAGTTATCATCGTCGTGCTTCTTCACGTACTATGTTCTCGTCTCTCTCTGTTGAAAGACATCCATTAACACAAGCACGAGCTGCTTATCATCGTCGTGCTTCTTCACGTACTTTTTCAAGAAACTCTGATCCGTACAAACCAAAACAGACGACAATGCAGGGACGTTACTTCCAAGCAATCCTCTAGACAAGAGAGCTTCGATTACATTACACCTCGGCACAATCCTCTTCTCCATACTATATCCAAAAACCTGAGAATTCGAAACCAACTCCTTCAATCTCCACTTCATCTTCTTCACAAAAAACTCTGCCTTCTTCTCCACGGTATCTCTAGCCAACCCAACGCAAGGAGGATAACGCTTCAACATCAACGCAAACTCATCTCTACTTAACCCTATCCCTAAAAAAGTCTCAACCGAGCTCTCAATCTTCTCCTCTGACACACCAATCACTTGCGGAAACTTCTTGCAAATCAAACGTATCTCGTCTTCAACTAGTCCACATTTCCTTAAAGTTTCGAACTTCCGTTTGATCTTCTTCTCCGAGTGAGTCAAAGAGATCGGCCACTTCTTGAACATCTCCCAAACATCTCCTTCCTCAAACCCTAACCTTTTATACACGTTGACTTTCTCTTCCATCGTTTCCTTCTTCAACGTGTAAACAGTCCGCAGAGCATCCAGAAACCTTGACGTTCTCGGATCAAAACCCATCTCAACGACCTTCTTGAGTGACTCTTCGAACTTCTCTTTCCCACAAACGTGCGGCGAATCAGAGATGAGCAAAGGGAATAAAAGTTTCTGAGGCATTCCTAATTCTCTCAAAACAGACAAGTTTCTGATTTTGTTCTCTTGCTTACTTCCCTGAGCCAAACAATGACATAACTTTGAAGAAGAAGAAGAAGAAGAAGAGCTCTTATCAGATTCAATCACCTCTTTGACGAAATCATAATATACAACGAAAGATCTGTCCTTTCCCAGGATTTCAGGAACTGAAGAAACGATCTCTGTGAGCTCGGAGTTTAAAGCTCCTCTGGACTGAAGAAAACGAAGCTTGGGAGCGACTGATTTCTCAGCGTCTAATAAGAGCAGCCGTGGATAATCCGTAACGATGCTGGAGATTTGAGAATCTGTGAACTCATGAGCTCTGAGAAGGTTGAGAATGGAATCTGGGTTTCGTTTCTCCTCGAAAGTGACTTTCTTTGAGATCGATTCCGCGAGTTTTGTGGTTAGACCCAGTGAATCAACGAGGTAAGAGACTGTGAAAGCTTGCTCTTTTCGAGTCTCTTGAGAGCTGGTAACAGTAGCATAAGCAGAGGAGAACGAAGAGTTGGAGAAAGCTAGTGAACTTTGCAAAGGGTTCACTGAAAAATTCACAAAGTTGGCGACATTTCTGCAATTCGACCAACTTTCTTCCATGGCGTATCAGAGAAAACATGGCAATTGCAATGAAATTTACCAAAACGATTCGAGAGAAAACAAAAAAAATCTCAAAATCTCAGAACGAGAATTTCACTCTCACTCGATCGATTCTGAGTTTCTGACCAAAAACCCCAAAATCAGAAGAAAGGCTCAAAATTTACGAAATTCCTTCATTAGAAAATGGTTTAATTGGGCCTGAAAGACAATTGTATAAAGAAAGCCCATTTATATTAGGTTAAGAGTTTTTATTCCGAGAAAAAGAAAAAGAAGGTGAAATATAAAGGGCCATTGTTGTTGCTCATCATCATAGATCTCGTTTCTTTAGTTGAGTGCGGCGGCTGATAACGAAAAACCCTAGTTTTTTCTGTAGAAAATCTGAAAGAGATGGTGGATGATTCGAGCGTTGATGCGAAATCACCGGTGAAGAAGGACAAACGGAATTATCTCTGCCAGTATTGCGGAATCAGCAGATCGAAAAAGTACCTCATCACTTCGCACATCAATTCTCAGCATCAGGTTTCGATCTCTCTCTCTCTCTCTCTCTCTGAGCCTTTTTAGTTTGATGAAGTCCCAAATCGGCGATCGTGTGGACGATTACAGCTTTTCTGATTCGTTTTTCTTCTGGGGATTTCTAGATGGAAGTTGAAGAGGAGAGAGCTGAAGAAGCTTGTGAGGTTGAAGAAGAAGGCTCTGGGAAACATACTTGCCCGGAGTGTAACGCTGAGTTTAAGAAACCTGCTCACTTGAAGCAGCATATGCAGAGCCATTCTCTCGAGGTAGATTCAAGCTTCCTCTCTCAGATATATAATTTAAGCCCTAAATCGATTGGATCCTTGTGCGAATCTAACACAATTGGAGATGGATATGATCGTTTGCTTAGTTTTGTTGAATTTTGGTGTAATTGTGAACTAAAAGTTTATGCCTTTGCAGGAAAACGAAATAGTCTTTTTGTTGTTACAAAAAGTCTAATTTATGTAATTGCGTGAGGCATTGGATCCCAAAAAGAGAGAACTCCAAAATGCGAGGCTACATTTGTTATGGACTAGTATCAGGTTGGGAGACCTCCTGAGAAGCTCCAGCAAGTAAGCCTCGATCACGCTAAAAAGGTTTTTGATGTCTAATATTCATTACACTTGATTATGCTTCTCGATGCTTTCAGATTTTTCACGTCTTTCTTGAGCTATGTTTTCTGATTGTTTGTTTTGTGTTCATGTTCTTGTGATTGCAGAGGCCTTTTGCTTGCTATGTTGATGATTGTACTGCTAGCTACAGGAGGAAAGATCATCTCAACAGGCATGTTCTTACACATAAAGGGAAGCTCTTCAAGTGTCCAATGGAGAATTGCAAGAGTGAATTCTCGGTTCATGGGAATATCAGTAGGCATGTTAAGAACTATCATAGTGATGGAGATGGTGGTAAGGATGATGATTCTGGCGAGGACGTTACTGTTAATGGCGATTCTCAAACCTCGGAGTGTTCATCTGGTGAGAAGCAGCATGTGTGCAAAGAAGTTGGTTGTGGAAAGGCCTTTAAGTACGCTTCACGGCTTCAAAAGCATCAGGATTCTCATGGTAAGCATGAAACTTCCTATTGGTCAATTGTGATCTGCTTCTGTTTTCCAGTCTCTGATGGTCAGTTGTGGATTTTTGCATTTGTAGTGAAACTAGACTCGGTGGAGGCGTTTTGCTCTGAACCTGGGTGTATGAAGTACTTTACAAACGATGAATGTCTCAAGGCACACATAAGATCAAGCCATCAGCACATCAACTGCGACGTGTGTGGCTCTAAGCATTTGAAGAAGAACATCAAGAGACACCTACGGACTCATGAGGAAGATTCCTCGCCAGGAGAGTTCAAGTGTGAAGTTGAAGGTTGCTCTTCCACATTCTCAAAGGTACAAGAAACATCCTGAGCAACTGAAACACTTTCAAGTCTCTAAAATCAATATCCCTGATTACATTACCAATGATTTCACAGGCTTCGAATCTTCAGAAGCATGTGAAAGCAGTGCATGAAGATATACGTCCGTTTCTATGTGGATTTCCAGGTTGTGGGATGAGATTTGCTTACAAACATGTTAGAAACAACCATGAGAACTCCGGGAGTCACGTATACACCTGCGTAAGTTTCAACCTCACATCACGTTTTCGTTACAAACTCGAAAGAATGTGGAATCTCAAATGGAATTGGATTGTATTGTTTCAGGGTGACTTTGTTGAGACCGATGAAGATTTCACGTCGAGGCCAAGAGGTGGGCTAAAGAGAAAGCATTTTACAGTGGAGATGCTGGTGCGGAAGAGAGTCATGCCTCCTCAGTTTGTTTCAGAATAACACGAGACTTAATCATTACTAGTTACTAGTCTTAAGATATGAGTAGATCCTTAAGTACTTGTGTGTAGAGTTTGTTTGTTTGGTTTGTGTTCCTCGAAAAATAAATAATTGTACGACAATAGTAATAGTAAGTGTAAAATTTATCTAAACCCAAGACGTAAAAGATGAATCTTTGAGATAAAGATCGATACTTCTTTAGTGCTCCAAAAGTCCAATCTCAAGTCTCTTTCTTCGTCCATATTCAAAGTGACACTAACATAATTGCGGTCAAAGTAAACTATGCTCCGACTGTTCAACTTTTGAAGAAGTCAATGGTCGAACTAAACAAGTCAACTTTTGCAAGCTTATATGTATAAAGCATGAGAAATGAAAATTAAAATCCCAGTGGAAAGCATGGCTATATGCAAGATTTGGGTGATGTTTCTCATACTCATAGGTACTACAATTTGTTATCCTTAGTTTGGTTATGAATTATCAAAACACTCAGAATTTTGATATTGTTTCAATCTTTTAAAAAAATCCATGATTCTAGTAGGAGGAGTAATTCTTGGAGTTACTACAACGAAAACAGCAACCACTTGTCCTCTCTATTGCTTACAAGTAGAGTACATGACATGTGTTTCGTCCGGCGACGACAAGCTTCCTCCGAGATGCAATTGTTGTCTTGCTCCTAAAAACTGTACTCTCCATCTCTCTGATTCTACTTCTATTCATTGTAAGAAATGATTCTAGAAAGATGAAGTGTGAACCGCTGTTGGAATCCCTCCTTCGAATCCCATCCATTCCTCCCACTCTTCTGTTTCACCCATCTCTGTAATCTCTTCTTGTTCTTGTTCTTCTTCTTGTTTCTCAAACTTTTGCATCAGACACTGAAAGGTGATGGTTATTAAAGTAAGATCTTGTGAGTATCTTTTGTGATGTTTGGTTGCTATATTAAGGATAAAAGGTGCTCTCAGTTTCATAATTAAATGCCTAATATTACAAAATGAAGTTATGATACGAAAACAGATCAAGAAGTTAAAAAAAAAAAAACACAGAAGCAAAAAATGAATTTGTCAAATCAAGGCTTTTTTTTTTAACTTTGTTAATCCACTAAATAAGAATTAAAAAAAAAAAAAATCAAGAAATCAGAAAGTAAACAAAAAAAACCTCGTAAGCGGATTTAATCTCCTTGAAATCTTTCTCCTGTCCCTTATGCACATCTGGATGGTACTGCAATTGCTCATTTGTTTATTTTTCTTGATTAAGTTCGGCAATTATAATAAATCTTGATCTTTCTCCCATAAGAACAAGAAATAGGAACAAAAAAGAAAGAAAAACATTTTAACCTTAAGAGCGAGACGTTTGAAGGCACGTTTGACTTCAGCTTGGGAGGCAAAAGGGGTCAAGCCAAGAATGGTGTACTGGCTAACATCTGGTGGTGAGCATCTTGTCGGAAACCGGATCAACCAGCGAGTATGGTCGGTTTGGATGGCGGAACCAGGGTGATTCGTCGGAGCTCTAAACCGGATATTTCGTATCATCGTTCTTCACCAACCAACCATAGAGATATATTACTCTTTGTTTCCCTTTTTAGGAATATATGGTTGATTTCTCTACACAGAAACATAATCTTGAACCCGACGGTATGGTCATATGGATATCCGATTCACATTTCGATGTCAGTGACTATTTATTTATTTTAATATTTCTGTGTTCCTTGGGTCTTGGGGTGTAAACGTATTCACTATTTTAAGTCAAGAAAGTTTAAAATAATAGAAAAACAAAAGAGATTAAGAGGCAAAACTTTGTTGTTTAGTGGAAGAAAGCGGCAAACAATTTTTTCTCATCTTTGTTATAAAAATGTTCATAATAACCAAGTGGAAGAAATCGTGCCAACTATACGATACGTCGATAACCAGTTTTCAGGTGAGAAGCTCTAATGTGAATTGCGAAATTTTGGATGATATAGAAGGAGAAAACGCTCAAATATATTTTGAAATGAGGCTAAAAAAACATGTTCCTTTTATTCAAACATGTTCAACCAGCATTGTCGTCATACTTTACCGTCTACAGCAGAAAAATAAAAATGAAACAACATGCAACACATGCATGTTTATTAGGATGAAAAGACTTCATAGATAAACTCTAAGAATGATAAATGGGCTTTAGTTAGATTTGTAGGGTCTTAAATGAATCTGAGCCCAACACGGGCCCATGAGATCTCATCGTGCTTGCTTTCGCAGCAAAAACCAAAAACCTCACACTCGATCGTCGCTGCTTCTCATCGTTAACGCGCCGCCGTAAAAGAGAAGACATAATGGAGGATATCGAGGATTTGTTGGCCGGAGGAGTAGGTGGCGCACCACCGGGTTTCCGATTGCCGATGAATGCGGTCGGCATTAATCCGAAGACGAACAAGAGCAAACGCAGTAGCTCGAAACAGAATGAAATTACTGATTCGAATCGCGACTCGCTCGCTCCACCGTCTATGAAGATTCCAGGAACTCAGGTCATTCTCCTCCTCCACTCTCTCTTTATCTCTCTCTCTCTCTGTCGATTTCTTTTTATCATTTGCTTCGGTTTCTATATCTGTCGACGTCTTCTGGATCCACTGACACTTTCCTCTCGTTTTTTCTCGATGGATTTTCGCAGACAATTTACATCAAGACGTTTGGATGTTCCCATAATATGGCAAGTCATTTTACAAAATCCTCAGTTTTCGATTGTAATTTGGAGTTCTCAATTTGTTCAAATGTTGATATTTCTCTGATTGCTTCATCGGAATACACTTCACATGTTAATACGGTAGTGATTGAGATCGGATTATCTTTTAGCTGACTGATCTCACGATTGTTTCCGGTTATTTGTTCAGAGTGATAGTGAGTATATGGCTGGTCAGCTTACTGCATTTGGCTATGGATTGACCGAAGTCCCAGAGGAAGCTGATCTCTGGCTCATCAACACGTAAGCTTCAGCTTCCATTATCATGATGCAATGATTACTTTTTTTGCGTAATGTAGAGATGGTCATGAGTAAAAATGTGTAAGCTTTACTTTGTGTTTCACAATGTATCTGAAATGCGTGGTTGTTGCAGCTGTACGGTGAAGTCTCCGAGTCAGTCTGCGATGTCTACTCTGATAACGAGGGGTAGGAGTGGGAAGAAGCCTCTTGTGATAGCTGGATGTGTTCCTCAGGGTAGTCGTGATCTTAAAGAGCTAGAAGGCGTTAGTGTCGTTGGAGTCCAACAGATTGATCGTGTTGTTGAGATTGTTGAAGAAACTCTTAAGGGTCATGAAGTGAGGTTGCTGAATCGGAAGACTTTGCCTGCGCTTGATCTTCCAAAGGTATGCATAAAGTATAACTTTTGATTGCTTTGAAGTTTGATGCTGAGTTTGGTTATTCCTGGGAAGTGAATTAGTAGAAGCTTTGGAAACCTGATTCTATAAATGTGTTTATTTTCTTGTTTGATTTGGTTCTTTTAGTGTGGCTTAAGATGTCATTTGCCATTTGCAGGTTCGGAGGAACAATTTTATTGAAATTCTCCCTATCAATGTTGGCTGTTTGGGTGCTTGCACTTACTGCAAGACTAAGCACGCCCGTGGTCACTTGGGAAGCTACACAGTTGATAGTCTAGTAAGCTGATTCATCTTCCCAAAAAAGAGTTTTGATTTGCATCCTGTTTTTCCTCCAGAAGAGTTTTTTAAGGCTCCTACATTGCAGGTGGAGAGGGTGAGAACTGTAATATCTCAAGGAGTCAAGGAGATTTGGTTGAGCAGCGAGGACACTGGAGCATATGGTAATTTTTAGAAAAATATACTCGTTTCCATTGAAACTTATGGCGAACTTTGTTTTTGGTAGATGAGATATAATTCGTATTCCTTTTTCTTAGGAGCTAATGTTCCCCAAATGCTTGCAGGTCGTGACATAGGAGTTAATCTTCCAATACTGCTTAATGCTATTGTTAAGGAGCTTCCTGCTGATCAAAGCACAATGCTAAGGATAGGGATGACTAATCCTCCTTTTATTCTAGAGCATTTGAAAGAAATAGCAGCTGTTTTACGTCACCCATGTGTCTACACCTTTCTTCATGTCCCTGTGCAATCTGGCAGTGATTCTGTGTTGACGGTGAGTCTAAATTTGCATTATAAGTGCCAAAATTCTTGTCCAAGTCTCACCTGACTGTTTCTCGTTCCAGGCCATGCACAGGGAATATACATCAAGCGAGTTCAGGACTGTGGTAGACACATTAACAGAACTTGTCCCTGGGATGCAAATTGCTACTGATATAATTTGCGGCTTTCCTGGTTAGTGCTGGATAAAAACCTGATAGTCTGTGAATTTTATTTTTCCGATAACCATATAGAGACATAGAAACGTCACACTGCCATACAAATACACATTAATAAATAGATGGTCTTATGAATTTGAAGCATATAGTTGTGGTGTGTTGAAGATACGTTTGTTCACATCTCTCCTTTTCAGGTGAAACCGATGAAGATTTTTCTCAAACAGTTGGGCTTATCAAGGATTACAAATTTTCCCAAGTTCATATTTCTCAGTTTTACCCCAGACCTGGTAAGCTCAAAGTTTTGTTCAATGCATATAATCTGAAATTTAGGAAGTGTTTGATGGTTCTGAACATTTTCTTTTTGAATGTGCCGTTTATGATATAGGAACCCCAGCAGCAAAAATGAAGAAGGTACAAAGCAAAGTAGTGAAGCAACGAAGCCGTGAATTGACTTGCGTCTTTGAAGCTTTTGCACCTTACACTGGAATGGAAGGTAGAGAAGAGAGAATATGGATAACCGAAATAGCTACCGATGGAGTTCACTTGGTAAGCCCATCCCTAAGTCATATACACATCAAATAAAGTCGAAAGCAACTCAAATTTGTTTGATTTCTTACTTAGTGGCAATGAGAAAATTTGTAGGTTGGGCATACGAAGGGATACATACAGGTGTTGGTAAATGGACCAGAGAGTATGCTTGGGACTTCAGCGATTGCGAGGATAACATCTGTTGGAAGATGGTCAGTGTTTGGGGACGTGATTGAGACATTAACCTCTGCAAATGTAGAAACACAAGCCCCACGAGAGGAGACGAAGCCGCCTTGTTCGTCTGATGTCAAGACTTGCGAGACTTGCGATTGCTCTGCTGCTGAGAGCGGCTGTTGTGGAGATGAGAAGAAATCAGGAGATGCCTGTAACATTTCTAAAGAAATCTCAAGACAGGATCAAAGCGTGGGAAGTTACAAGACACAAGAGAAGCAAGAACTCGTAACAACACCATGGGGTCTCGTTGATAAGGCACTTGTGTGTGGAGTGTTCATCAGCTCTCTCACCATTCTTGTTTTGTTCATTAGCATCGCATCTAGAGTCTTGCTGCGTCAATGAAACCTCTTCATCTATCAGTTGTATTAAGATTCGATAATCTAGTGTTTTTTGTTTTTACTATGCTTTGCTTTGACATTCTGATTCGTAAAGATTTTTCCCTTGATACACTCTGTTTCTTGTTTTATAAATTCGATCAGTGTTTGATGGGCCTTAATCTACCAAAAGAAGGCCCATTCGGTGGTTTCCTTCGAACTAACTTTACCGACCATTTCGGGTGATGTGCAAAACTGCAAGACAGAGTGCTGCTTATCGTCGAGAGGGGTCGAGAAGTTTACTTTTCCCGAAGAGACGACACGTACAAACACGTGGACACACGTGTCATTCAGAAGCTAAAAGAAAATGTTTGTTACGGTTTTGTCGGTTCAACATCTTTTCCAAAGCGTTTATTATACTTACTGGTAGTTAAGATTTTGATGATCGAGACAGAAGTATAATGACGAATCTTTTGGCTTTGGGTCTTGTCTTGAGCACTTTACTAGCGGCGGAGGTATGGTCTCCGAGCCCCGCCATGACCACTCAACCGACGGCGTCGGAGGGAGAAGTTATCGTCAAAGACGGCCACCGCGTAGTGGTGGTTGAGTACGATCGCGACGGAAAAACCAACACCAGAGTCTCGTTCTCGCCGCCGTCGGCAGATCAAGGAGAAGAAGAAGAAGACAATGAAACCAATTTGTTTAGAAATGCCAAAGAGAAGGCAAAAGAAACGGCGTCGTATTTCCCAAACGTCGGGCAAGGGATCTCTCAGCCGATGGTGACAGAGGAGTCGCGTGATCACCATGCTACTGCTGGGGAAGTCATATGCGACGCGTTCGGAAAGTGCAGGCGGAAGATCGCGAGTGTGGTTGGTAAGGCTAAAGACCATACGGCCGATACCATCGATGACGTCGGCGAGACGATCTCCGATGCCGGAGACGCTGCGACGGGTAAGGCTCATGATGTGAAGGAAACGGTTGCACGTGCGGCACGTGATGGGGAAGAAGCGGTGGCTGATAAAGCCCAATATGCTAAAGAGAAGGTGAAAGAAAAAGCACATGATGTGAAGGAGAGTGTGGCGGATAAAGCCAAAGATGCTAAAGAGAAGGTGATCGAGAAGGCGCATGACGTGAAGGAGACGATGGCTCATAAAGTCCATGAATCGAAGGAGAGGGCGAAAGATAGAGTGAGGGAGAAGGCAGAGGAATTGAAGAAAAGGGCGGCTCAGAAGTCGCAAAACGCGTGGGAGAGAGTCAAGACGGCGGCGCGTGGATACGGTTCAGCCACAGCGGCGGCTCTAAGTCCGACGAAGATAGCGAGCGTGGTGGGTCTGATTTCGATTGCGGCTTCTTTTGGGACTTGCGTGTGGGTGACGTTTGTCTCGAGCTACGTGTTAGCCTCGGTTTTGGGGAGGCAACAGTTTGGTGTGGTGCAAAGCAAGCTGTATCCTGTTTACTTCAAGACGAGCTCTGTCGGAATCCTGGTTGGTTTGCTTGGTCACGTGCTTAGCCGGCGCCGGAGACTCCTCACTGACGGGACGGAGATGTGGCAAGGTGTTAACCTCTTGGCGTCTTTCTTTATGATCGAGGCTAATAAGTCATTTGTCGAGCCACGTGCCACCAAGGTTAGTGCACTTGCATTTCACTTTATTTATGAATAGCTTTATAATGCTAGACACATTTGCTCTTGGTAATTGAATGGATTCTAATTTTGTGGGTTTAATATATTGTTGTGGAAAGGCAATGTTTGAGAGGATGAAGGCGGAGAAGGAAGAAGCAAGAGGAGGAGAGAGGACGAACAACGAGCAGGAGGTGAGGAGGAAACTGGAGAAGCTGAGTGAGAGGCTGAGCAAGCTCAACACATACTCGTCTTGGTTGAATATATTGACGCTCATGTCTCTGACCTGGCACTTTGTTTATCTCGGCCAGAGACTCGGAGCCGCCGCTTGTTGATGCATCATGCATGCCTTTGCTCGTCTTTAAGTGTATCTCTTGGTTCCAAACCCTAACTTGTTTTGTGTTTTTGTTGTTGTTGTTTTCTGACGTACTTCTCACGGTAACATGGGTTTTGTGTTGTGTTGTTGAATGTCATATGTAGATATATCTTTGTAAAATATTTAGAAACGAAAAGAAACTTTTCTTTTTATTGAACTAAAAAAGGTTTAAATTTTTCTGAATTAGAAGAAACGTTTGTGTATATCAACTAAACACTAGAGTTGAAGATGATAAAATCAATATATAGGTGATTATTATCAAGCTCGTAAAGTTTAGTATGCCCTTGTGGCTTGTGGCAGATTACATGCCACGTACATTTGTGAAATGCGGGCCTTGTGCATTGTCGTACACACATTTATGGAGGAATGTGGAAGTGTTGTAAAGGTCGTTGAACTATCTAATTTTCATACACGTACATCAAATTAAAAGATGATAAACTCAGGATGAGATATTATACGTACACGAAGTATTGAAAATAATTATATGCTCGATTGAACACTGATTATACATTTAATAGGTTGTCTTCATTTGCCATGCCAAACATTTGTTTTAAGCCTCTAAAGAATGAAAAATCTTTTTTGGAGTAGCAGAATTCATCATGCCGAGAGCTTCGATGATGAGATCACAAAAGTGATGAGGATCTGGAATCACGTCGAGATCAACATTAATGTTGATTATAAGTTTGTCGACATAGCTTTGAATACTGATGATGAGAGCCTTACCAATAAGAAAAAATCGGAATTAATTAAGGTTTCATTTTTGTTTACCATCTGTTCAATTCTAATAAGAATTATCGGTATGGGTATGTGAATTGCGTGAGTAAAAACATATAGAAAAAGATATATATTGCTGTAAATATTCTTTTACTCAGTAAACAAGTTATATTCCTCATTATTTTATTTTATTGAGGCCACCGTTAGTAGTCTAATTGCTTAGGAACTAAACAAATGTGATTTTTCAGTTTTGCCAATGGTTTCAAAGAAGTTTTGTGTGTTAGGAGAGATAGTACGTACCTGCGGGATACCAAAAGTACTTGCACCAATGTAAGATATGTGATGGCCAAAAAAGCTAATTTCTTCGGCAGGTCCAACCACATTTGAGAATAGCATTGTTGTTCTACCAAAAATTCTCTTTATAAGGTTTGTAGCTGCCTGTTTTTCCACCCCCATGTATCCAAATATATATCGGTTAGATGCACAACATACATATTTTATATTAGGAACTATCAAGATAATGTTGTTTTAGTATCTTATTCTTACCTTTAATCCGAAAATTTCCAAGGTTAATTTGAGCAACCAATGGGAAAATAGAGGTTCGAGGGAAACTTTTTTTTGATCCATCTTAGTTTTTGCTTGTCGAACATATGCAAGTATATCTTCCTCTGACTTCATCCACAAAGGAATTAGAACAAAACCTATTGAGTTTCCCCATCTACACTTTGAACCTTTTGCCATCATATTAGCCAAATCCTGTATATAGGTTTGTATGTTTAGATTTCTTCCTATTTCAAATTAGATAAAATCAAATATCGTAATGGCGTGGTATGTTATTCAGTACCTCGATGTCTCTATTTGGCCTTAAGTTGAAAAAAACAACACCATGAAGACCTAATTTGTCTAGAGTTTTACTTGTTTTTGAAGTTGTTTCAAGATCTGTTCACAAGTTTGAGAATATATTAGCAAAAGTTATTTTATGATATTAAACAAGAGTAAATGATTTACCATATCTTTGTTTCAAATATCGTGAAAGACCAGCTTGTACCATCCCAAAGATTACATCATTCATAGTCTAACCAAAAGGACACAAAAAAGAACATAAAAATTCATTTTAATTTCAAAAGAAAACAAAAAAACTAATTAAGCAAACGTACCATATTCATGGCGTTCTTTACCATCTTGACATCATCCAAACTAATTATCCGATGAATAATTTTATTAGTGGTTAGTGTACCTCCTGGTTTACCTATAAGATGAGTTCCAGTGTCCCTCGCAAAACACATAACAATTACAGACTTGATAACTTCAACACAAGTGTGGAACATTAGTCTTACTATGAGCCATAACCAAGCAACCAACGACCAACACACATTCTTCGCTTTGCTTTTCTTTGGAGCCACAAAAGTAGGCAATGCCTCGGGATCACATACTTTCCGAGTACAAGCGAGTAAAAGAGACATAAGAGACATCCCATCTCCCAAAGAGTGATGGAACCTAGCCACGGCAACGGATTCAGCATGTGATGTTTTAAGTAGTAAAATATGAAACTCCCATAAAGGTTTGGACATGTCAATTGGAGAAAGAGCCAGGTTTGCTGTATAATCCTCTAGAAATTCATCAGGATTCTCAATTTCTGGATCTATATCCGGAACAATCACATGATCTTCAACTTTTACTTGCGTTGGAATCCATTTAGCTTTTACTTTCTGCTGACCATGACCCGTCACCTACATGTATCATGTCTATATATGAAATAAGAGGATCCATAAAATCTTGAATAGAGAAGACTATAGTCACTACCACATGATTTTTATTTGGAAGCCTATAAAACTAAACATATAAACAATGAAAAATACGAGTACGTGTGCATATGTGTGTGTGTGTGTGTGTGACTGTGTGTGTTATGTACTGACCAGTATGCTTGAGAAGCGTGGATGCTTGATCAATGTGTTCTTTAAGCCTTCAACAATAGTGGATGGATCGCCTTTGGTTTTGCATCCAATGGTGACTATGTTGAATATGTCGAGACCCGGTAAGCTTAACAGCAGTGAAAATGGACTGACAGGCTCTTCTCCTTCCTTCAGTTGCTTCTCGATTGCCATCTCTTGATCTATCTCTATTTTGTTGGGTTATAGGATGATGCCACAAATCACATAGACATGCGCTTAACCTCACATAGCTATTAATATATATTGTTGTAGTTATATGAGAGTTGTCGAAAAACTAACTACTATTCCAGTCACTTATTATGATTGTGTTTCGGATTATTAATATATTTATGTATGTCGGATGGTATGAAGTCGATCGAGAATAGTACTGATTCAATTTATTGATCTATTTCCCCAGATATACATATGTTTCTTAAAAACTTTTACTATGAAGTTTTGGGCGAGAGTCTTGCAAATTTGATATAGCTAGGAGCACATATCTTTTTTTTTTTGGGGGGCTATTTTTTACTTTTCAATTTGTTTCATTAGTTTCAAAATCTTTGTCGTTTTATAAGATTTGTTGAAGATTTATGCATTCTCTACATATCTTGTAGTTGTTAGTAGCTAGGTTCATAATATAGTTTTCTAGTACTAAAGATTTAATAGAGAAGTTAATATGCCTCCTGAAACAAGTAAGGCACGGTTAGCTTATCCACTTGTTTTGACACTGATGTAACATTTATGTTTTTGTATGGCTAGAAATAGCATTACATTTTTTTTTTGTTTGGTCGACAGCCTCCAATCCTAATCCGCTCCGGTAGTTCAGGTCGGTGGAGTGGAGTTAATAGCATGACGTTTTGTGTAATAAAAAGGCCTACCACGTTAGTAATTGGTTGTTAAAGGACAATGGAAAACATGTTTATAGCTTTTTACAGTTCCAAAAGAAATCTAATGGACAATTGTATTTATTGTACTCATACTATGTATTTAACAAAGGTCCAATCATTCTCGGATTCATGCTAACAAGACATTATGTTATGTGTGTGATGCCACGTCATTTATATTCAAGTAATCTGTAGTTTAAGATAAGATGTATGGAGAGAAATTAGACTTAATTTAATACTCTCTTCATTTCAAATTAGTTGTCGTTTTGAGGAAATGTATATGCAATTATTTGAATGTATATCTGAATATGTTTTGAATTTAATACATACAAATAATTGCAAATACATTTTTTTCAAAATAACAACTAATGTCAAATGGAGAGAGTAGTTGATTATGCATGTATAGGCGCTGTCTTCATTTTCCCCACCAAACATTCCGTTTAAACCTCTGAATTAGAATGAAAAATCTTTTTTGGAGCAGCAGAATTCATCATGCCAAGAGCTTCGACGATGAGATCACAAAGGTGATGAGGGTCTGGAATCACGTCGAGATCAACATTAATGTTGATCATAAGTTTGTCGACATAGCTTTGAATACCGATTATGAGCGCCTTCTCCAAATAAAAAATAAAAAACATTGGAATTAGTTAATTCAAATTAAGGTTTCATTTTAGTTTACCATATGTTCAGTTCTAGTAAGAACGTCTGGTATTGCTTAGAAAGACTAGCTGTTTATAATTTTTTTTTTAAATGTGGTTTTTCATTTGAATTTTGCTAATGAATTTCAAAGAAGGTTTTGTGTGTAAGGAGAGATGTACCTGCGGGATACCAAAAGTACTTGTAGCAATGTAAGATATTTGATGGCCGAAAAAGCTAATTTCTTCGGCAGGACCAACCACATTTGAGAATATCATTGTTGTTCTACCAAAAATTCTCTCTAAAAGGTTTTGAGCTGCCTGTTTTCCACCCCCATGCATCAAATATATATCGATCAGATGCACAACATACATATTTTATATACGGAACTATCAATATGATATTGATTTAATTAGTATATTACCTTTAATCCAAAAATCTCCAGGGCTAGTTTGAGCAACCAATAGGAAAATAGAGGTTCTAGGGAAACCTTTTTATGTTCCATATTAGTTTTCGCTTGTCGAACGTATTCAAGTATGTCTTCCTCTGCTTTCATCCATAAAGGAATCAGAACATAACCTATTGAGTTTCCCCATCTACACTTTGAACCTTTTGCCATCATATTAGCCAAATCCTGTATATAGGTTTGTATGTTTAGATTCTTACTATTTCAAATTGGATAAAATCGAAGATAATAATTATTATGTGGTATGTGAAGCACCTCGATATCTTTATTTGGCCTTAAGTTGAAAAAAACAACACCATGAAGACGCAATTGGTCTAGAGTTTTCCTTGCCTTTGAAGTTGTTTCAAGATCTGTTCACAATTTTAAGAATATGTAAGAAAATGTATTAGCAAAAGTTATTTCGTGATATTAAACAGGAGTAAATGAGTTACCATATCTTTCATTCAAATATCGTGAAAGACCAGCTTGTGCCATCCCAAAAAGAACATCATTCACAGTCTAACAAAAAGGACACAGTAAAAATAACCTCAAAATTCATCTTTAGTTTCAAAAAACAAACAAAAGAAATCTAACTAAGCAAACGTACCGTATTCATGGCGTTCTTTACCATTTTGACATCATCCAAACTAATTATTCGATGAATAAACTTATTAGTGGTTAGTGTACCTCCAGGTTTATCCATAAGATGAGTTTTGATGTCCCTTGCAAAACACATAAAAATCACAGATCTGATAACTTCAACACAAGTGTGGAACATCAGTCTAACTATGAACCATAACCAAGCAACCAACGACCAACACACATTCTTCTCTTTGCTTTGCTTTGGAGCCACAAAAGTAGGCAATGCCTCAGGATCACATACTTTCCGAGTACAAGCGAGTAAAAGAGACATAAGAGACATCCCATCTCCCAAAGAGTGATGGAACCTAGCCACAGCAATAGATTCAGCATGTGATGTTTTAAATAGCAAAAGATGAAACTCCCATAAAGGTTTGGACATGTCCATTGGAGAAAGAGCTATGTTTGTTGTATAATCCTCTAGAAATTCATCAGGATTTTCAATTTCTGGATCTATATCCGGAACAATGACATGATCTTCCACTTTAACTTGCGTCGGAATCCATTTAGCCTTTCCTTTCTGCTCACCGTGACCCGTTACCTACATGCATGTATCATATGATATTAGGTATCTTACGTATGAAATAAGAATAGCCATAAAATAATAGAGAAAGACGAATTTACTAGTTATTTAATGGTTGATTTTGATTTAGAAGCCTATAAAACTTAACATATAAACAATAAAAATAGGAGAATATATATATGTGTGCACATTTGTGTGTATATTATGTACTGACCAATATGCTAGAGAAACGTGGATGTTTGATCAACGTGTTCTTTAAGCCTTCAACAATGGTGGATGGATCGGTTCCGGTTTTGGATCCAATGGTTACAATGTTGAAGACGTCGAGACCCGGCAAGCTGAACAGCTGTGCAAATGGACTGACCGGCTCCTCTCCTTCCATCACTTGCGTTTCGCTTGCCATCTCTCTCAGTCTTTTTATTTGCGGGTTATATCTATGAGATTACTCCACAAATGGTTTAGTTATATATACGTATAATAACCACACAAAGGTATTAATATATATTGTTGCACTTACAAGATGGTTGTTGAAAATCTAATTACTACTCCAATCACTTACGCTTCCAATAATTACTGCACTATACAGTTGTGCTTATTAATGTCTGGTCGAAGACGATGGTAGCAACTAGCTAGCAAATCAAGAATAGTACTTATTCAATTCCTTGGTATTCCCTTACCACACAGTATTTCTTAAAACAAACGTATGAAGTTTTGGCTGAGTCTTGTAAATTTGATAAAGGTATAAATATCATATTTTCTACATTTTGTCATTAATTTCAAAATCTGTGTTTTACAGGATTTTTAGTAGTTTTATGCAGTGTCTTGTACATATTTGTAAGTCGGTTCATAAGATACTTTTCTTGTACTAAAAAATCAAGAGAGAAGTTAATAACATATATGCCCCCTAAAACAACTAAGGCACGATTAACTACCGAATTGTTTCCAAATTGATGTAACATTTATGTTTTGAGACTAGACATAGTATTATAACGTTGTTGTATAATTAAAAGGTCTATCACGTCAGTTAGTTGGTTGTTAAAGGACACTAGACAACAACATGTCAACAGTTCCATCCATGTCAGTTAGTTAGTTGGCATAACTTCTCACAGTTACAGAAGAAAGCGGTGGACATTATTATATTTATTATGGACTCATATGTCGGATCATTCTCGGATTCATGCTAACAAGATACATGTTATGTGTCATGTGTGTGATATTCTGTAGTTAGCTTTCCGTTGAACTGCCAAATACCACACATCCAATATCCTATATATATCAATCAACGACGCAATGGTCTCTGTGAGATGTCCAAGATCCTATATCTTCTACTCCAATATATAATCATGGCTTAATTGATGAGACAATAACGTTCCAAGTGATTCCAAACGATTGATTGGAAAACTTTATTGTTCCATACTTCCATGCATCAAAGAAGGAAACTAATCTTAGCAATCTTGCTCGCTCTCTTTCATTTTCTCTGTTCTTTAGATTTACAATCAGTCTGTCTAACATGGCTCTCTAAAGTTGGGGACTTTTTTTTTTTTTTTTTTTTTTTTTTTTTATAAAATATTTGTTTCTCTTAATTGGATAACTAATCAAGGAGTCAATTTTATTTTTTGTTTTTTTATCCTAATGAATTGATGGATCAAATGAGTTTTGGTGAATAAACTAGTTATGAGTTTTGATCAAATGTATTGATGGGTTTAAGTTGATCAATAAACTAGTTATGTGAATATGAAAAGAAAAAAAAAATGGAACAGAACTTTGAGTTGACTTTGGAGTAAGAAGAGCTTGTGGATCATTTGATGAATATGAATAAACCATTACCGTTATTCTTGTAAAGCTAATTACTAATTAGTTTCTTAAAAGTAAAAAAAAAAACAAAATTACTTTTAGCAATTAGTTTCCTAATCACAAAATTACATAAACGTGACGGCATTTCTTTACCTTTTTGACCCTACAGATGCAAAGAAACAAAAACCACTGCCGTTAGCTTAATTTCTCGCTTGATAGAGAAATGGCGACGACAGCAGAAACACCTCTTCTCGAAGAACACGTGATCGACGCCGTTGACCACCGTGGACTTGCCGCCGGCAGATCCAACACCGGTAGATGGAGAGCCGCCTGGTTCATAATCGGTAAAAACGAAACAAATTTCGATCGAGAGCTTCTCTGTTTCTTCTTCTTCTTAATTTCTCAGTGCATTTGCAGGCGTGGAAGTTGCGGAGAGGTTCGCGTACTACGGGATCGCATCCAACCTGATAACCTACTTGACCGGACCGCTCGGCCAATCCACGGCGGCCGCCGCCGCTAACGTCAACGCCTGGTCTGGATTCTCCTCTCTCCTTCCCGTTCTCGGAGCTTTCGTCGCCGACGCTTTTCTCGGCCGGTACCGTACAATCATCATCTCTTCTCTCATCTACGTACTCGTTAGTCTCCTTCTCTCTCTTCAATTTCCCAATTTCCGATCTCAATTCAAAATTAGACTAAGGAATCGTAGAAATCGATTAACATTTAGGTCAGTGATCAAGAAATTGACTTGAGCGCCGGATTTCAATGTTAGGGTTTGGCACTTTTGAGCTTATCTGCGTTTTTGGTTCCAATCACTAGCGAGAACAAATCACCGTCTTCATTGCTCAATGTTCTCTTCTTCTTCTCTCTGTATATGGTTGCCATTGGACAAAGTGGCCACAAGCCTTGCGTTCAAGCTTTTGGTGCAGATCAGTTTGATGAGAAAGATCCTCAAGAGAGGAATCACAGAAGCTCTTTCTTCAACTATTGGTACCTTAGTCTGTCTGCAGGGGTCTGCTTGGCCTTAGTAGTCGTTGTTTACATTCAAGAAGCCGTAAGCTGGGCGTTAGGGTTTGGAATCCCTTGTGTGTTCATGTTGGTCTCTCTTGCTCTCTTCGTTTTAGGAAGAAGGAGTTACAGGTACAGTAAGAGAAGACAAGAAAACGAAATCAATCCCTTTACAAGAATAGGTAGTGCCTTGCTTGCCCCAGATTCTTGCAGTGATAGTGATGTTGAAGATGCAACAGCTCTCGTCAGGCTTATACCAGTATGGCTCACGACGTTCACATATGCGATAGTATACGCGCAGTACATGACGTTCTTCACAAAGCAAGGCGTGACGATGGAGAGAACGATACTTCCCGGTTTAAAGATCCCGGCTGCTTCTCTTCAGCTCCTCATCGGGATATCGATCGTTTTCTTTGTCCCAATCTACGAGCGTGTTATGGTACCGATTGCGAGGTCTGTAACTAAAGATCCATGTGGTATTACAACGCTGAGAAGGATTGGAACTGGGATGGTACTAGCGACTCTGACTATGATTGTTGCGGCTCTGGTTGAGTCGAAGCGGCTCGAGATTGCGAAAGAGCATGGGCTTATAGACCAACCGGAAACGACCTTGCCGATGTCGATATGGTGGCTGATCCCTCAGTATCTGTTGCTTGGATTGGCAGACGTATTCACGTTAGTGGGGATGCAAGAGTTCTTTTACAGCCAAGTCCCTACCGAGCTGAGAAGTATTGGTCTCGCGTTTTATTTAAGTGCGTTGGGCGTGGGAAGCTTGTTGAGCGGCTGGCTTATCTCGGTGATTGATTTAGCCACCGGAGGAGATGCCGGAAACAGCTGGCTTAATAGTAACTTGAACAAAGCTCATTTGGATTACTTTTACTGGTTGCTTGCGGTTATTAGCGCTGTAGGGTTCTCTGTTTTCTTGTTCATCTCTAAGTCTTATGTATATCGCCGTGTGGATGGAGTTTAGTCTTTATAGATTTTTCTTGTCTTTACACATTGATTTATTTGTATTCCCATTGTTTCAAACGCACGCATATGTATTCTAATAATTAAATTAAAATACTTTTGATAGGCATTTTTCAATATGTTGATCATCTTGGATCAGATCTGGATCCATCTTATATAAATGTAACACCCCTATTTTAACACCTTATTTTAAAATAATATTTTGACTAACTGAACATGTTCCGACGACTTACGTAAAAAATAATAATTAAAAAAAAGCACACATGCTGCGCGAGTTATCTACAAAATCGTTATCATCATTAATATTGCAACAACAACACAAGAAGCAATTTATAAAATAAATAAAAACACAAGAAGCATTTCTCTGTATTTTAATTTCTAAGCACATTAATGGCTAACACTGGTCCTGCCGGCGATGAGCTTGGAAACGCAGCAGTCAGATTCTCCTCCGGTGGATGGAAATCGGCGAGGCTCATCATTTGTGAGTACATAACATGTTTTCGTGTTCCTCACTCAAACCCTCATTAATTGATTTTTTTTTCCCGGATATTTTGTTATGTTGCTCTTTTTTTGTTTTCTTTCTATTTTTGGTAGGTGTAGAAATGGCGGAGAGATTCGCGTATTATGGTATATCGTCGAACATGATAATGTACTTGACCGGACCATTGGGACAGTCAACGGCTGCAGCGGCGGCGAATGTAAACGCTTGGATTGGAACGATGTCGTTTCTGCCGCTTCTTTGGGCGTTTGTAGCGGACGCGTTTCTTGGTCGTTTCCGCACTATAATCATCTCATCTTCTCTCTATATCTTGGTATATAACGATCTCTTATCAAATCTTTCTTAATTAATACCAAAAGTTTCTTGATTGTTGCAAAATCTTAGATTATTTGTTGAAACAAACGGGGACTTGGGTTGTTGTCGTTTTCAGCAATGATTCCTTCTAAATGCGAAGCTCCGAATCATCTTAGCTCATGTGCTTCTCAGCTCCAAGTGACTCTCTTCTTCTGTTCACTGTATGTTATAGCCATAGGACAAGGTGGTTACAAACCTTGTATTAAGGTATTTGGAGCTGATCAGTTTGATGGAAATGATTTAAAAGAGGCACAAGCCAAGAGTTCTTTCTTCAACTGGATGATGTTTGGAAACTGTGCTAGCATAGTGATGACTCGTTTTGTCTCTAACTTCATCCAAGAGAACGTAAGTTGGTCATTAGGGTTTGGTATTCCAAGTGTTTCCATGCTACTTGCTCTGTTTCTCTTCCTCCTTGGAACTTCCTCTTACCGCTTTAGCACTGAGAGAGGAGGAAAGAAAAACCCTTTTGCTAGAATTGGGCGCGTTTTCGTGGAGGCGATAAAGAACAGAAGAAAACCGGATTCAAAAATAGCTAACACGGATGAGACCCTCCTTCTCTTGGCTCACCAGAGTTCCAAGCAATTAGGGTAACACAATTCTTTTTTTCTACAATTTTTGAGGCCACGTTTGTGCTTACATCATCTTTTGACAATTTCATTTCCTTACTATGTAGATTCCTTGATAGAGCAGCGTTTTCATGTGATCCGGCTGAAGTTGAAGAAGCAAAAGCAGTGCTTAGGCTTGCTCCTATATGGATGACTTGCTTAGGCTATGCCATTGTATTTGCACAGTCTCCTACTTTCTTCACAAAGCAAGGAGCAACAATGGACAGGTCAATCACACCAGGGATCGTAGTCCCCGCAGCTACACTCCAAAGTTTCATAAGTATATCAGTCGTCGTCTTCATCCCAATCTACGACCGTATGTTCGTCCCAATCGCAAGATCATTCACTAAAAACCCATCAGGAATCACAATGCTTCAAAGGATTGGAACAGGCATGTTTCTCTTTGTTCTTGCTATCGTAATAGCCGCTTTAGTCGAGACCAAAAGGCTTCAATCAACTCGGGATCCCATCTCTACATCGATGAGCGTGTGGTGGTTGGTTCCACAATATGTTCTTTATGGAGTTGCGGACGTGTTCACGTTGGCGGGTTTGCAAGAGTTCTTCTACGACCAAGTCCCTAGTGAGCTTAGAAGCGTTGGTATGGCTCTCAACCTAAGCATATATGGGGCCGGAGACTTCCTAAGCAGCTTCATGATATCAGTCATTGATAAGGCCACGAGCATGTCTGGTCAAACGAGCTGGTTTGATAACGACTTGAACAAAGCTCATCTAGATTACTTCTACTGGCTACTAGCTTGCCTCAGCACCATTAGTTTAGCCTCATACTTGTGGTTCGCCAAATCGTATGTCTACAATAGACCAAATACCTTCTAAAGCAATTTATTTTTTCTATCAACTGAATCAAATTTGTTACCATATATAATGCATTGTCTTGAGTTGTGACTTCTGACTGTGTATGTATTCTATATACAGTAAAACTGTCTATTAGAAAACACATAATACCAAAAAAAATCTGGTTTCTAGATGGACTAATTCAAAATATAACACAGTTCAATAAAATAGTAAGATAATGATTTTTTTTAAAAGATGGTGCAAATATATGGTTTTCAAGAATATCGTACATCTGAATCATTTGTTATAATTAAACCAATGAACTTTGACTGCACCACTCGATCTATTGTGTGTGTCCCTTCTTTTTCTGTTGTCGGCAGGTGGTTACAATTATTATCGATTCTCTTGCATACTAGTGTGGTTGGTTCTCTTTGTCTATTTTCTTCCTTTTTTTAAATCTGAATTCATATTTTGGTGAAGGATTTGTAGAAATTTATATATTTCAAACACAATATAAGTTAGATCAAGGGTTCCAATTTCATTTTCCAGTTAATGAGCGTTAAGTTGCTCACTATTAGTATTTTGGCTTCCTTGTTCTTCATGAAAAAGTGTACAAACTTGGCGGTCTACATGTGTAGGAATTAAAAGTTGAGAATTATAAACTTTCTTGAATTAATGTAGATGTCACTATCAACGTTTCTGGTTCCTATCACTAGCGAGATGTGACAACTTCTATTATGAAACGAAAGTTACGTCTAAAACAAATTGTATTATGAACATAGAGAGTATAAAACTACTCAAATGTTGTTATCTTGCTCATAAATAAGCGTTGATTACTAAGGCATTTTACGTATGACACCTTCACTCATTATCTAATCCTTGGCCACATACCGCAACAAGACCACGTACAAGAAGCATATGTCGGTGGTTTCTTTTATAACTAAGCATTTCATATATGTATTTTAATCTCTAAACACAAATGGCTATCAACGCTGCTGAGCTAGGAAGTACTACTACTGAGGGTTCCATGGACTACCGAGGAAACCCATCCGTTAGATACTCCTCCGGTGGATGGAAATCGGCGAGGCTCATCATTTGTAAGTAAAGTGCAATCCGACACAATAGCTTTCATCGCTTTTCTTTATGTTTCTGTTTTTTGTTTTTCTTGTAGGTGTAGAAATGGCAGAGCGTTTCGCGTATTTCGGGATATCGTCGAACCTGATAATGTACCTGACGGGACCATTGGGTGAGTCAACAGCTGCAGCTGCGTCCAACGTGAACGCTTGGATTGGAACCGTGTCGTTTCTGCCGCTTCTTTGGGCGTTTGTTGCGGATGCGTTTCTTGGACGTTTCCGTACTATAGTTATCTCTTCGTCTCTCTATATCTTGGTATGTAACAATATCCTCTCATATGTTTTTTTATTAACCTATTGTTGTGGATCTCTTAAGATGATTAACTGAAATTACAAACACAAGCAGGGACTTGGGTTGTTGTTGTTTTCAACCATGTTTCCTTCTCACTGCGAAGCTACGAATCAACATCAACTCGTCTCATGTGCTTCTCAGCTCCAAGTGACACTCTTCTTCTGTTCTCTCTATATTATAGCCATAGGACAAGGCGGTTACAAGCCTTGTATTAAGGTATTTGGAGCGGATCAGTTCGATGGAAATGACATAGAAGAGGCAAAAGCCAAGAGTTCGTTCTTCAACTGGTTGATGTTTGGAAACTCTGTTAGCATAGTTATGACTCGTTTGGTCTCTACCGTCATCCAAGAGGATGTAAGTTGGTCACTAGGGTTTGGTGTTCCAAGTGTTTCCATGCTACTTGCTCTGTTCTTGTTCCTCCTTGGAACAAAGACTTACCGTTTTACTATTGAAAGTGGGGAAAAGAAAAACGCTTTTGCTAGAATCGGCCGTGTCTTCGTGGAGGCAGTAAAGAGCAGAAGAAAATATGATTCAAATATAGCCAACTCGGATGAGACCATCCTTCTCTTGGCCCACCAGAGTTCCAAGCAAATAGGGTAACATAATTTACGCTTATGATTATTTTTCTTGAGAATATTTAGAGGGCATGCTTGTGCTTATACCATCTTGATTCTTGTTAGAAATATCACACTAATAATTATAAGAGAGATAATGATGATATGATATTTGGCTATATACAAATTGGTTTTGAGATGAACTTTTGACAGTTTTCTCTTGGATACTATGCAGATTCCTCGATAGAGCCGCGGTTGCATGTGATATTGTCGAAATTGAAGAAGCAAAAGCAGTACTTAGGCTTGTTCCCATATGGATGACTTCCTTAGTCTACGCCATTGTGTATGCACAATCTCCTACTTTCTTCACAAAACAAGGAGCCACAATGGATAGGTCAATCACACAAGGAATCTTAGTCCCGGCAGCTACACTCCAATGTGTCACAAACTTCACAATTGTCATCTGCATCCCAATCTACGACCGTCTTCTTGTCCCAATCACAAGATCTTTCACTCAAAACCCATCAGGAATCACAGTGCTCCAAAGGATTGGCACAGGGATTTTCCTTTGCATTCTTGCTATGGTAGTAGCCGCCCTGGTCGAGACCAAAAGGCTACAAACCGCTCGGGATGACGCCACGATACTCATGAGCGTGTGGTGGTTGGTTCCGCAGTATGTTATCTATGGAGTTGCGGACTTGTTGACGATGGTGGGTTTGCAAGAGTTATTCTACGATCAAGTCCCTAGTGAGCTTAGGAGCGTTGGTATGGCTTTGAACCTAACCATATATGGGGTCGGGAACTTCATAAGCAGCTTCATGATATCAGTGATCGATAAAGTCACAAGACAGAATGGTCAAACAAGCTGGTTCGACAACGACCTGGACAAAGCTCATCTAGACTACTTCTACTGGCTACTAGCTTGTCTCAGCTTCATTGGTTTAGCCTTCTTCTTATGGTTCGCCAAGTCGTATGTCTACAACAGAACAAACACCTTCTAAATGCTACTTGGCTCGTCAACTTTAGTAATATTTTTTATTATTATGAATAAAACAAAGAAAAGCACACATGCTGCCGATTTATGTACTATTATCTTATTTTTCATTCATAAATTTAAATTATAAATTTATAGAGAGATGTTTCTTTTTAGTTATGACGTTTGAAAATAATTTTTACAAATGATGTTATATTACAGAACTTAGATGACTTTAAATTGTTAAAATTACATGCATGAATTCGAGGTTGAAATCAAAGAAAATCTCAAATGTCGTAATAGAATGTGTATTATTAACTTACTAGACTATTTATGTAAAAATAAGATTTGTTAAAATTTAGAAAAATAAATTTGTGGCTACTAATATTGATGGTGAAATTAAAGACAATAATATGATTCAAAATTTAACACAATTCAATAAAGTAATAAGAATAATAATTTTATATATGTAAATTAATAACTAAATATATGGTTTCAAAAATATCGTACATGCATGTGATCAGATGAAACCAATGCTACTTGAGTACTGGACCACTGGACAAGTCTATGGTGGCGACTAATCTATTGCATGGCCATTTCTTCTTTCTTGTCTGAGCTTCCGTACAATGATTCGATTCTCTTATCTTATTTCTGCTAACTAATAGTGGTTGGTTCTCCTTGTCTCAATTTTTCCCATTTTGATCTGGATTCAAATTTTGGTGAAGGAATTGTAGAAATCTATTAACTTCAACTACAATATGAGTTAATTCATAAATTCCAATTTTGTTTAATGATTGTTAAAGTGCTGTCAAAGAGCGTTAAGATGCTCACTATTAGCATTTACTGTTCTAAAAGCCCCATAATATTTTTATGAAATAGTCTACTTATATTTTTTTCTTTACTGTTCTATAGAACATCGTAATATATTTATGGCAAAACGCTAGCTGTTAATAATAAACAAATTTGACTAAACAAACTTATTCCAACGAACTGTTAGAAGAAAAGAGTATCCAGATATTTTTGAAAAACTAAAAAAAAAGAGAGAAGAAAACAAAGCACACATATGTTACACGCGCGAGTTTATACTACTCCATTATTGTGAACAATTGCTCATAAATAAAACTTGTCCACTAAGGAATTTTACGTCGGACTCGGACACCATTCACCATTTAATGCTTGGCCACATACAGCAAGGACAACAACAACGACATAAGGATTTGTCTGTATAACTTTCTACTTCTAGTTGAACATTTGCCTTTACATTATTATCTAGCAATCCAAAACCAATCAAAACAAAAATGGCAATCACCGAAACCAACGCTGATGAGCTAAGAAGTACTATTGAAGGTTCCATGGACTACCGGGGAAACCCATCGGTTAGGCTCTCCTCCGGTGGATGGAAATCGGCGAGGCTCATCATTTGTACGTAAATACAATCAGAGACTTGTATAATAGCTCTCATCGCTAATTCCACTAATACCACTTTCTTTTGTTTCTATATTTTTCTGTAGGTGTAGAAATGGCGGAGAGTTTCGCGTTTTTCGGGATATCGTCGAACCTCATAACGTACCTGACCGGCCCATTGGGACAGTCAACGGCTGTAGCTGCGGCTAATGTGAACGCATGGACTGGAACAGTGTCGCTTCTGCCGCTTTTCTGGGCGTTTGTAGTGGTTGCGCTTCTTGGTCGTTTCCGTACTATCATCATCTCATCTTCTCTTTATATCTTGGTATATAACATTTTCTTCTCACACATTTTTAAGTTTCGTTTATCGTTGTGGATCTCTTAGATGATAACTAACTGAAACAAACACAAGCAGGGACTAGGGTTGTTGTCCTTATCAGTCATGATTCCTTCTCTCTGCGAAGCTCCGAATCAACTCGCCTCATGTGCTTCTCAGCTCCAAGTAACACTCTTTTTCTGCGCTCTGTATCTTGTAGCACTAGGACATGGTGGTTACAAACCTTGTATTAATATATTTGGAGGTGATCAATTCGATGAAAATGACACAGAAGAGGAAAAAGCCAGGAGTTCCTTCTTCAACTGGTTGATGTTTGGAAACTCTGTTAGCGTAGTGATGACTGGTCTGGTCTCTAACTACATCCAAGAGAACGTAAGTTGGTCACTAGGGTTTGGTATTCCAAGTGTTTTCATGCTACTTGCTCTGTTTCTCTTCCTCCTTGGAACTTCCTCTTACCGCTTTAGTATTCAAAGAGAGCAAAAGAAAACCGCTATTGCGAGAGTCAGTCGTGTTTTCTTGGAGGCAATAAAGAACAGAAAAAATAACGATTCAGACGAGACCAGAGTTCTCTTGGATCACCAGAGTTCCAAGCAATTAAAGTAACGGACATGATCTTTTTCAATTTTTTTTATTAAGAATCTTTGAGGTCATGCTTTGTGCCTTGACATCATCTTTGGTTATACAATATGGTTTTGAGATGGATGTTTATGAGCGTTTTGACAGTTAAATTTCTCTTGGATGTTATGCAGATTCTTGGATAGAGCAGCGATTTCATGTGATATTGTCGAAATAGAAGAAGCAAAAGCAGTACTTGGGCTTGTTCCCATATGGATGACTTCCTTAGTCTACGCCATTGTATCCGCACAGTCCACTACTTTCTTCACAAAGCAAGGAGACAAAATGGACAGGTTAATCTCACCAGGACTCTTAGTCCCAGCAGCTTCACTCCAAATCTTTATAAGTCTAACAAAGGTTGTATTCATCCCCATCTACGACGGTCTAGTTGTTCCAATCGCAAGATCTTTCACTCAATGCCCTTCAGGAATCACAATGCTTCAAAGGATTGGCACAGGGATTTCCATCTCCATTCTTGCTATGGTAGTAGCCGCCTTGGTCGAGACCAAAAGGCTACAAACTGACCTCACCACACCATTGAGCGTGTGGTGGTTGGTTCCGCAATACGTTATCTATGGAGTCGCGGACGTGTTCACATTGGTGGGTTTGCAAGAGTTATTCTACGACCAAGTCCCTAATGAGATTAGGAGCATTGGTATGGCTCTGAAACTAAGCATTTTTGGGGTCGGCTACTTTCTAAGCAGCTTCATGATATGGGTCATTGATAAGCTCACAAGCTACTCTGGTCAAACCAGCTGGTTCGAGTTCGATAATGACCTGAACCGAGCTCATCTAGATTACTTCTACTGGCTATTGGTTTGCCTTAGCTCCATTGCTTTAGCATCCTACTTGTGGCTCGCCAAGTCATATGTCTACAACAACCAAAACACAAGGGAGGACCTATGAAGAGGGTGTCATGTGACTGAGAACCAGTTGGTCTTGCTCTTAAGTTAAGTGCGTTGGGTGTATGAAGCTTATTGACCCGCTTGCTTATCTTTCTGATTGACTTGGCCACTGGAGGAGACGCTGGAAACTATATTTTTAGTTGTTCATAATATATTTTGGTAAAATACATAACTATGTATCTATATTTTTAGTTGTTCATAATATCTATTTTGGTAAAATACATAAATATGTATAACAGTATAAGTTCTTTTGGAATAAATTGTAAACACTGTACTGTACAGTGTACCCATATCATGCAAGCAAAACGATGGAGTTTTTTTTGTCGTTTTGATACGTTTAATGTTTTTTCTGTCGGCCATGACTAAACTGATGTTATTAGTGTTTAGTGTTTGTCTTTTTCCTTTGTTTTTGCCTTTTCTTGGCTTAACATACGAATAATTTATATTACTCCAATGTACAATTACACAGCTTTATCCACCTCTACTAGAGATAATACCCAATTAAGCACGATAGAAAAGAGAATCCTCTACAGCTTTCTTGACCACTTCTTGAGGATCGTATTCCCTGTGTGTTTAGTGTTTGGTTCGCATCATTTTTATTTATTTTTCTAATAGAATTTTGAACCTCCAAGAAATAAATCCTTGGGCTTTAAAACAAGCCCACAAAAGAAAGAGAAGAAATTGGATTAAAAGTTAAAACTAAACGCTCTGGCTTATCATCTTCGTCTTTATTCACATGTTAGCTCAACTACTTAAGAACGAAAATAATCTTTAAATTAATCAAAGCAGGTTTCATGTTTTTAAAAAATATGTTTTTCTGAATAATTGAACATATGTTGCCATCAAACCATTGCTGAAAAAGATCACATATGATTCACGAGTTGGCGACTACTTCAATAACCGTTATCTTCTTCATAAAAAGCCAATCTACACCATTTAATAATGCTTGCCCACTAGCCACCTACAGCATTGTCTGTATTCTTATCAAACATAAAAATGGCCATCACCGGAGCCGCCGCCAATGAACTCGGAAATGCTGCCGTCAAATCCTCCTCCGGCGGGTGGAAATCAGCGAGGCTCATCATCTGTAAGTAACTCCAGTCTATTTCCTCACTCACAACCAAATAATGACCCGCTTTGTTTACATTTTTGTTTTTGTTTTTGTTTTTGGTAGGTGTGGATATGGCGGAGAGATTCGCGTATTTCGGGATATCGTCGAACCTGATAATGTACTTGACCGGACCATTGGGTGAGTCAACAGCTGCAGCTGCGTCCAATGTGAACGCTTGGATCGGAACGATGTCGTTTCTGCCGCTTCTTTGGGCGTTTGTAGCGGACGCGTTTCTTGGTCGTTTCCGTACGATCATCATCTCATCTTCTCTTTATATCTTGGTTTGTAACAACTTCCTCTCATTACCAGAAGCTTTGAGGATCTTTTAGATGATTAACTGAAACAAAAAACAACACAGGGACTTGGGTTGGTGTCGTTTTCAGCTATGATTACTTCTCACAATGGAGATCCGAATCAACACCAAGTAACTTTCTTCTTCTGCGCTCTGTATCTTGTAGCCGTAGGACAAGGTGGTTACAAACCTTGTATTAAGGTATTTGGAGCTGATCAGTTCGATGCCAATGACCTAACGGAGGCAAAAGCCAAGAGTTCTTACTTTAACTGGTTGATGTTTGGAAACTGTGTTAGCATAGTGATGACTCGTTTGGTCTCTACATACATCCAAGAGAATCTAAGTTGGTCATTAGGGTTTGGTATTCCAAGTGTTTCCATGTTACTTGCTCTGTTTCTCTTCCTCCTTGGAACTAAGACTTACCGCTTTAGCACTGAGAGAGGAGGAAAGAAAAACCCTTTTGCTAGAATCGGCCGTGTTTTCATGGAGGCCGTGAAGAACAGAAGACAACCTGATTTAGAGTTAGCTAACCCTAACGAGACCCTCCTTCTCCGCCCTCACCAGATTTCCAAGCAGTTTAGGTAACATAGTATGCATTTACTTCATGTAGTTTAATACCAGTTGGTTTTGAGATGGAAGTTCCAACGTTTTGACAAATTTCCTTGAATACTATGCAGATTCCTCGACAGAGCAGCCGTCTCGTGTGATGTAGCTGAAATTGAAGAAGCAAAAGCAGTGCTTAGGCTTGTTCCAATATGGATGAGTTGCTTAGGCTATGCCACTTTAAATGCACAATCTCCTACATTCTTCACAAAACAAGGTTCCGTGATGGACAGGTCAATCTCACCAGGACTCTTAGTGCCTTCAGCTACACTCCAAAGTTTCATAAACCTAACAATTGTCTTCTTCATCCCAATCTACGACCGTGTACTCGTCCCGGTCGCAAGATCCTTCACTGGAAAACCAGCAGGAATCACAATGCTTCAAAGGATTGGCACAGGGATTTTCCTCTCCGCCCAAGCAATGGTAGTAGCTGCGTTGGTTGAGACCAAAAGGCTCCAAACTGCTGGGGATGACCTCAACACACTGATGAGCGTGTGGTGGTTGGTTCCCCAATACGTTTTATTTGGAGTCGCGGACGTGTTCACAATGGCGGGTTTGCAAGAGTTCTCCTACGACCAAGTCCCTAGTGAGCTTAGGAGCGTTGGTATGGCTCTGAACCTAAGTATATATGGGGCCGGAAACTTCATAAGCAGCTTCTTGATATCTGTTATTGATAGAGTCACGAGCCACTATGGTCAAACGAGCTGGTTCGATAACGACCTAAACCAGGCTCATTTAGATTACTTTTACTGGTTACTGGCTTGTCTCAGCTTCATTGCTTTAGCCTCCTACTTGTGGTTCGCCAAATCGTTTGTGTACAACCGACAAAACACCTTCTAAAGCATTGTCTTATGTGTTCTGCCAACTGAATTTTGCTTTATTCATTTTTAAAATGGACTTCAGAACCAACCAAATCGGGATAGTAGGATTTATGAAATTTGCAAGCTCAAAAACAGAGCAATCCGAAACAAGGCTTCTATTGTTTTGTAAGAGTATATCAATGCCACGTACAAAATATAAAGAAGTGCTAATGTTAAAGCTTATTTCTACTTTTCGCAAAATTTTGGATCACTAATGTTGTAAATTATATATAAGATATCTGCATGCACTAATGTTGGAAACATTTAATTTGAGTGTTTTTTTGTACATGTATCATATATGTGAATAACATGATTTATTTACCCTCGAAAAAAAAAACTTGCATAAATTATATGGATCAGATTCGACATATTGTTTCAAATCTGATCAAATAATTTAGTAATTTTTTTTTTATAGGTTGAGATTCGAATATGAATAAAACTTTGGATCGAAACAACCTGTTCGATGATATGTGTCGCCTGATTTTACCTACATATGTAATCGTGAGCACGCATGTGCTGAGTGAGACAAGTTCTTTTACGTATTAAATTGAATCATTATCTATTACTAGGAGAGCACCCGCGCAACGCGCGGGTTGAGATTTTTGAAATATTGGATTTTTCTATTTTTGTTTTTTGTTTTTGTTCTTTCACATGTTCTACATTAGTTGTGTTATACAAAATTAATATAATTTCATGCATAATAAACTTTTATATTTATTTGACAATATTTTTCTAAACATCTGCATAAAACGGCCCCATATTATTTTGGGCTGTATATTTGAGAACTGGTAAAAAATGGGGAAATAGTACTTGCTGCATGAAAAATTGTAAACTTGAAATGTAGAGAATCTTAATAAAAGAAAAATAAATTAAAAGAACGGAGAAAATAAATGGAAAAACAATGCTTTTTTTGTGTGTGCAACCAGAGGCCATTTAATTAATTTAAATCACCAATAGAAATGTACTTGGTAAAGCCTGTTTGGCTAAGGAGTCATCGATAACATTTGCTGCTCTAGGGATAAAGTAAACTTAAAATCAATACAAACAAAGGCAGAGTAGTAAATAGCGATATCCGCTAAAACTCCAATAATCTCCGACAAGGGAAAATCCGACTTGATAGCACGGATGAGGTTGAGGGAGTCCGATTGTAGGAGAATCCGACTGAAAACTTGGGAAATAGCGCTTAGTAGAACTGATCTAACAGCTAAAGCTTCTGCCATAAGAGCTGATGCAACATGCAAACTTGAAGAGGACCAGGTAGAGGCTCTTTCCTTTCCGTATTGAATGTCCATCCGAAACCTGTGTGAAAAAAAGCATTGCTTTAAGTGTCTTTTTTTCCAAACCAATCAAACATGAGAAACAAAACAATATCACACTGACCATGAGAGCAATACCAATCCTTGCTTAAGCTTTCTGAAGAGCTATCAAATTTTAGAAACTTTCTATACACGTATACCCTATGAAGAAGGTTAGTTATGAAAGATGGAGAGGAGCATAAAGTTGTAAGAACCAAACTTAAAGCAAGCCTGTCAAGAAAAGTTTCCCTGTTAATGGGACACCATTTTGGAAACTGATCAAGAAGCCAAGAAAAGGCAAACCAGATCTCACAAATAACTGAGGTCAACCACAGGGGATATGCATCTTTCACGGGATGAGTTACACGATAATGCAAGAACACTCCCAAAATGAGGAGCCGGAAAACTATCACAATACGATAAGGTGTCATGCGAGAGGATGGAATAGTAATCACACAGCTCATAGGAAGCCGAGCATCACCATCCCTGTAAGTACAAGATAACCAATAGCAAACGAATTCAGAAGAGTATGTAACCAAGATCGGTTCTTAGTGTCACTACAAATAAAATGCAGACTTTTAACTTACATTTGGAGTTCTTCACCATTGGAACCAGTCCCTTCAATCTCTCCTCCCTTCCCTTCATGAATTTTACCACTCATCTGTAACATATTCTTCTCCTGTTTCAGCTTCCAACCTTGGATCCTTTCTTTCCAGTCAACATTCCCAAGCCCGTAAGAGTTCAAGTCTTTCGATGAATCCACGATTCTTACAGGCACTGCATATTTGTATCAAACTTTTGAAAACTTACAATCTGATGAGGGCCAAACAGTGAAAGGAAAAATTCATACATACCAGCAAAGTCCCTCTTCTCTGCTTCTCTGTATCCTAAAGCCCAGCATTTTTTTTAAAAAAAGCAGAATATGGAAACCGTCGCTAAAGCTAGGCACATGAAATATTTAATACTTCTATTTGAGGGCGATGCAGCACAACACTAAAAGAGCGGCCGAGCAGGGATGTATAGAAGATAACTCACATTGTAGCAAAGCAAACGATCATCGAGAGAAAGGCAGCCGTAGAGAGAGAAGCAACACCATTCTCTGTTATTCTTGGATAGTCTTCTACATCCTCGATTTCTAAACTGCACAAGAACCAGAAAAGATCCATATTGGTTTTAAAGTTCTACTAAGCAATACGAAAGGTTAAAGAAGACGCATGACAATATTCTTAATTGCATAACTATTTGGCTTAATTTCTTCGTCACTTTTAGATCTTCTCACCAGTTTGAAATTTCAACATAAGAAACACATATATTAAATATATAACACCAAACATGAAAATTCTTACCATCATTGAGAAATGTCTTGAACTTAAACTTGAAAGAACTTTGTTGGTTCAATTCATTAAGAAATTTCTTACCTGTGAAGAAAATAAAGTTTGGTTACGTATGCACAAATATATATATATGTCTGTAAAGACATCCAAGATTGTCAAGTGGTGAGCAAATATTAACAAAATAAAATCTTCATATGAACTTGGAAGCTAATCTTTCCCACAATATTAAGCCAGAAACAAGAATGGAGCAGGTCGATAATTCTAAAATCAAATGAAACCAAAGGTAAATCTATCGAAGGTTTTAATTCGGTGGAGCAAAGTCTCTACTTTATAGGAAAAGAAAACAAACTCTATCGAACGAAAAGAACAGATTGAATCGTTCAACATCGATAAAAATACATAAAATAATATACCTTGCTCGAACTGGTGGCCACTTCGGAGGTTAGCCCATGCCACCGGCTCGAGATAAATGGAAAATGTAACCTAGGTAAACTCATTTCTTCTTCGGCGAGAACGGAACAACGTAAAAGTAACTCTTCGTAAGTACAGGTCGACGGTGGTGGAGCCAGAGGGTGACCGGAATCCATGGCGACTGGTGGGCCGGAGAGACGGACGTGTTTGAGAGGAAAGAGGGTGAGGGATTGAGTTTTTTATACTGCAAGCCCGTAACTGAAGGCGAGAAGAAGTAAACTCTGAAATTAAAGTGCGGCAATAACATCAGTAACGGCGGCTGCGGAAAGTTGGATAGTCTCGCCGGAAGGGAAGCTATATCGCGTAGTGAATCTGACGAAGAAAGCAATTGGGCGGAAGTAACGAAGGAAACGATGTCGTTTTGGGGTGTTGTGATTCATTCCAAAACGACGTCGTTTTGGAGTCAGACGGAAGATTTAAAAAAATCGGCTTACGTGGCACTCTCTGGGATGCTGATGTGTCATAGCTGGAGAGTGTCGCGAGAACTTTCAATTATACAGATTGATTTGAAAATAACTCGTAAAACAACTCGTTAGTTCTGATGAGCATACACGTGCTCGACATTGATACATATCTTTTATGAATTATTTTTGAGGTGAAAACAATTCCCAACGTATCTTGTTACATTAACAAATCAAAATTTTCTATTTTTTAATCAACATTTGAAAATCGAATAACAGTGACAAAAACTACCAACAGTACATGATCTACCGACTTTCGTAATATTTAATACCAATAAAACAAAGCACATCACATTTCCAGTATACAAAGTACGTCTGCACAGAACCAATATAAAAGCCTTTGCCGGAAAAAAAAACAAAGTAAAAGTCAATGGCAATCACCGGTGACGAGCTCGGAATTACTCTTTCTCCGGGAAAGCCAGCCGTCAAACTCTCCTCCGGAGGATGGAAATCGGCAAGGCTCATCATCTGTGAGTAAAGCACAATCACTCTCAGTCTTTCACAGAATAAGCTTCGGTCAATTATCATAGCCATAGGTTTATTCGGTTTGTTTTGTAGTTGTAGTAATGGCGGAGCATTTCGCATATTACGGGATATCGTCGAACCTCATAACGTACCTGACGGGACCATTGGGACAGTCAACGGCTGAAGCTGCGGCAAATATCAACGCATGGAAAGGAACGATGTCGTTTCTGCCGGTTCTCTGGGGATTATTGGCTGACTCGTTTCTTGGCCGTTTCCGTACCATCCTAATCGCATCTGCTCTGTATATCTTGGTATGTTACAATTTCCTCTCTAACATTTCATCTATATGTTCTTGTTTATTACAAGAAGAAGATGATTGGATGATACATACAGGGACTTGGGTTGCTGTCGTTTTCAGCAATGATTCCTTTTCGCTCCAAAGATGAGAATCAACTCCAAGTAACACTCTTCTTCTGCGCTCTGTATCTAATAGCACTAGGACATGACGGTTACAAACCTTGTATTAAGGTATTTGGAGCTGACCAGTTCGATGGAAATGATCTAACAGAGGCAACAGACAAGAGTTCTTACTTTAACTGGTTGTCTTTTGGAAGCTGTGCTAGCATATTGACAACTTTTGTGGTCTCTAACCACATCCAAGAAAATCTAAGTTGGTCCTTAGGGTTTGGTGTTCCAAGTGGTTTCATGCTACTTTCTCTGTTTCTCTTCCTCCTTGGAATTAAGAGCTATCGTTTTAGCAATGCAAGAGTAGGAAGTAAAAACCCTTTCGCCAGAATCGGTCGTGTTTTCGTGGAGGCCGTGAAGAACAGAAGAAAACCCTATTTAGATGAATATAACCCTAACGAAACCCTCCTTCTTCTGCCTCACCAAGATTCGAAGCAATTTAGGTTAACAATACAGTGATATGTTTTTTTTTTTTTTCTTTAGTGTCTTTGATGCCACAATTGTGCTTATACCAATTTGGTTCCTCTATTTACTGTGACAGATTTCTTGACAGAGCAGCCATTTCGTGTGATTTGGTTGAAATTGAAGAAGCAAAAGCAGTTCTTCGACTTGTTCCCATATGGATGACTTCCTTAGTCTACGCCATTGTATCTGCACAATCCAATACTTTTTTCACAAAGCAAGGAGCCAAAATGGAGAGGTCAATCTCACCAGGAGTCTTAGTCCCTTCAGCGACACTCCAAGGCTTCGAACCCCTAACAATGTTCGTTTTCATCCCAATCTACGACCGACTACTCATCCCAATCACAAGATCCTTCACTCAAAACCCATTAGGAATCACAGTGCTTCAAAGGATTGGCACAGGGTTTTTCCTCTACATTCTGGCTATGGTAGTAGCTGCCTTGGTCGAGACGGAAAGGCTCCAGACCGCTCGGGATGACACAATACTGATGAGCGTGTGGTGGTTGGTTCCGCAGTACGTTATCTATGGAGTCGCGGACGTGTTCATAATGGTGGGTTTGCAAGTGTTCTTCTACGACCAAGTTCCTAGTGAGCTTAGGACCATTGGTATGGCTCTGAACCTAAGCATATATGGGGTTGGAAACTTCTTAAGCAGCTTCACGATATCAGTCATTGATAGAGTCACAAGCCAGTATGGTCAAACGAGCTGGTTTGATAATGACTTGAACAAGGCTCATCTAGATTACTTCTATTGGCTTCTGGCTTGTCTCAGCACCATTAGTTTTGGCTTGTACTTGTGGTTCGCCAAATCGTATGTCTACTATAGACCAACCACTTTTTAAAGCGTTGTCTTCTCTATTCTGCCCACTGAATAGAGCTTTCTTTTTCAATTTCTGAACCAGTGGAGATTGGAATATTATTACATAGAGTAAGTAAAACTGAAGAGTTTCTTTTTTAGAGTAACAAACTAACAACAAAACTAACAAAAATTATTCTATGGTTGTGTTTATAAATTTATCGAATAATATAATTTGTAAAGTTTAACCGTATTCTCAACTTGTTTTTTTAAAAGAACCATATTCTGAAGATGGAGTCTAAATTAACATGACAAGCGTTCTAGGAGGAAATCGACATATGCAAAACGATGTTTATTTCTTTCTCCATGTCACACATATTAAGAAACAAGTTACCACGAAATGCTTGAGATCTCCATTATGATTTGTATTATGTAATCTCTTTTTCTCGGTTTGGATTTCTGAAAACTTTGAAAGACATATAGACTGATAAAAAAGACAAAACAAAACAGTATTGTGTTTTGGCTTAATATAACTCCTCCTTTGTTTATTGTGAGCAACTGAGCATGCATGTGCAGATGTGACTCAAATGACATACCTATTTCAAAAAAAAAAAAAAAAAAATTAAATTATTTTATATTTGGAGCTTAAAATAATCCATTGCGTATTATCATTTTCTTTGGTCGAATAATTCCAGCTGTTTCCGTAATATTTAATATCAACAAACCAAAGCAGAACGCAAAGCACGTCTGCATTTTTTTAATCAGTATATGCTTCCCTTGTTGGTTAACACAAAAATCAGAACCTTGCCGGAAAAAAAAAAAAGAAGAAAAAGCTCGAGTTCAATGGCGATCACTGGCGAGGAGCTCGAAAGTACCCTTTCTCCGGGAAACCCAGCCGTCAGACTCTCGTCTGGAGGAGGGAGATCGGCGAGACTTATTATATGTAAGTAATAAAGTAAACCCTTATAATTCACTCTAACCAAAACAAGATTGGTCAATTCTTAATTTTTTTTATGTTTGCTTTGTAGTTGTAGAGATGGCGGAGCACTTTACGTATTTCGGGATATTGACTAACCTCATAACGTACCTGACGGGACCATTGGGACTGTCAACGGCTGCAGCTGCGGCGAATGTCAACGCATGGAGTGGAACGATGTCGTTTATACCACTTCTCTGGGGATTTGTGGCTGACTCGTATCTCGGCCGTTTCCGTACCATCCTAATCGCATCTTCTGTATATATCTTGGTATGTAATGTAACAATCTCCGTCTCTAATATAATCTTGCGTTACTGTTTTACTTATTTTGAAGAAGATGAAACGAACAGGGTCTAGGGTTTCTGTCGTTTTCATCCACGATTCCTTCTCATTCCAAAGATCAGAATCAACTCCAAGTAGTTCTCTTCTTTTTCTCTCTCTATCTTGTAGCAGTAGGACATGGCGGTTACAAACCGTGTGTTCAGGTATTTGGAGCTGATCAATTCGATGGAAATGATCTAACAGAGGCAAAATCCAAGAGTTCTTACTTTAACTGGTTGATGTTTGGAGTCTGTATTAGCATATTTACCACTCGTTTGGTCTCTAGTTACATCCAAGAAAACCTAAGTTGGTCTTTAGGGTTTGCTATTCCGAGTGTTTTCATGCTACTTTCTCTGTTTCTGTTCCTCATTGGAACAAAAAGTTATCATTTTAGCAATGCAAGAGAAGGAAGTAAAAATCCTTGTTTTAGAATCTTTCGTGTTTTTGTTGAGTCGGTAAAGAACAGAAGAAAACTAGATTTAGATAAATATAACCCTAAAGAAACCCTCCTTCTGGCTCAAGAAAACCCTAAGCAATTCAGGTGACATTACAGTGATCATGTTTCTTTTTCTTTTTAGTGTTTATTAGGCTAGATTTGTGCTTATACCATTTTGGCTCCTCTGTGTACTATGGCAGATTCCTGGACAAAGCAGCGACTACGTGTGATTTGGTTGAAATCGAAGAAGCCAGAGCGGTGCTTAAGCTTGTTCTCATATGGATGACTTGTTTAGTCTACGCCATTGTATATTCACAATCCAATACTTTCTTCACAAAGCAAGGAGCCACAATGGATAGGTCAATCTCACCAGGAGTCTTAGTCCCTGCAGCTTCACTCCAATCCTTTATAGGCATAACAATGTTCGTTTTCATCCCAATCTACGACCGTCTTCTCGTCCCAATCACAAGATCCTACACTCAAAACCCATCAGGAATCACAGTGCTCAAAAGAATTGGCACAGGGATTTTCATCTCCATTCTTGGTATGGTAGTAGCATGGTCGAGACCAAAAGGCTTCAAACCGCTCGGGATGGCGTACTGATGAGCGTGTGGTGGCTGGTTCCGCAGTACGTGTTCAATCGAGCCGCTGACGTGTTCACAATGATTGGTTTGCAAGAGTTATTCTACGACCAAGTCCCTAGTGAGCTTAGGAGCATTGGTGTGGCTTTGAACTTTAGCATTTTTGGGGTCGGTGACTTTCTAAGCAGCTTCATGGTAACAGTCATTGATAAGGTCACAAGCAACTCTGGTCAAACGAGCTGGTTCGATAACGACCTGAACCAAGCTCATCTAGATTACTTCTATTGGCTGTTGGCTTGTCTCAGCACCATTAGTTTTGGCTTCTATTTGTGGCTCGCCAAGTCATATGTCTACTATAGACCAAACACTTTCTAAAGCCTTGCTTGTCTTCTGTATTCCGGCAATTAAATTAATTGAGTTTCTTTTCTTTTTGTTTTTCAATTGCTGAAGCAACCAAAGTCATTTGTCTACTATAAATATTTTTTCATGCTTGAGAAAAAATCATTCCTCTTATTTTTAGACTAGACAGAATTGACCAAGCCAAAAATTTATGAGAAGCGTCACAAGGAATCTGTCGAAACGGTTTCAGCATTGTAAGAAGAAGAAACAGAAAAACTGTTAAGAAAAAACAACAAAACAATTTTGGCTAACGTACGTAATAAACAGAGATGTGTTTTCTTCCTCAAGTTTTTAGTTTATTTTTTTATCAAATTTTTAACTCTTAAACCAGGTGGACCAGTGTGCACGTTAAATGGAAGAACAATGGCCAAAAAAAATGAAAACTGAATCTTACACTATCCACCCATTTAAGTAATATTGATATATATATATATATATATATATATATATATCAATATATGACACGTCTGATCTGCATTTAAAACCAACCATACAAGCCTTACCGGCAAACAAAAAAAAAGCACGTAAAGTCAATGGCGATGGCGGGCGAGCTCGAAAGTAGCCTTTCTCCGGGAAACCTAGCCGCCAGACTCCCCTCTGGAGGATGGAGATCGGCGAGGCTTATTATCTGTAAGTAAACCCTTATAATCACTCTAACTAGATAAGCTTCGTCCATTCTCAAAGGTTTTTTTGTTAGTTTTGTAGTTGTAGAAATGGCGGAGCATTTCGCATATTCCGGGATATCGTCGAACCTCATAACTTACATGACGGGACCATTGGGACAGTCAACGGCTGCAGCTGCCGCAAATGTCAACGCATGGAGTGGAACGGTGTCGTTTTTACCACTTCTCGGTGGCTTCATCGCTGACTCGTACCTCGGCTGTTTCCGTACCATTCTAATTGCATCTTCTCTATATATCTTGGTATGTAACAATCTTCATCTCTACTAGTAGAATATGATCTATCACCAGGTTGTTCGTTTTTTGGTCCCTATCTTATATGATGAAGATGGTTGAATGAAACAAGCAGGGACTTGGGTTGCTGTCATTTTCATCCATGCTTCATTCTCACTCCGAAGATCAGAATCTACTCCAAGTGACTCTCTTCTTCTGCTCTCTGTATCTTATAGCCATAGGAATAGGCGGTTTCAAACCTTGTATTAAGGTATTTGGAGCTGATCAGTTTGATGGAAATGATTTGAAAGAGGCACAAACCAAGAGTTCTTTCTTCAACTGGTTGTTGTTTGGAAACTGTATTAGCGTAACAATCACTCGTCTGGTCTCTAGTTACATTCAAGAGGACCTAAGTTGGTCCTTGGGATTTGGTATTCCAAGTGTTTTCATGCTACTTTCTCTCTTTATCTTCCTCCTTGGAACAAAGACTTAACTCTTTACTACGGAACTAGGAGTAAAGAAAAACCCTTTTGCTAGAATCGGGAGGGTTTTCGTGGAGGCGGTAAAGAACAGGCGAAACCCTGATTTAGATATCTATAACCCGAGTGAGACCCTCCTTCTGCATCAACAAAATTCTAAGCAGTTCAGGTAACATTACATAGAGATGTTTCTTTTTCTTTTTAGTGTCTTGAGGCTACACTTGTGCTTATACCATTTTGGTTCATATATATGATATGGCAGGTTCCTTAACAGAGCAGCATTTTCGTGTGATTTGGTTGAAATTGAAGAAGCAAAAGCGGTGCTTAGGCTTGTTCCCATATGGATGACTTCCTTAGTCTATGCCATTGTATATGCACAATCTCCTACTTTCTTCACAAAACAAGGAGCCACAATGGACAGGTCCATCTCACTAGAACTCTTAGTCCCTGCAGCTACACTCCAATGCTTTATAAGCCTAACAATTGTCATCTTCATCCCAATCTACGACCGTCTATTCGTCCCAATCGCAAGATCTTTCACACAAAACCCATCAGGAATATCAATACTTCAAAGAATTGGCACAAGGATTTTCATCTACATTCTTGCTATGGTCGTAGCTGCCTTGGTCGAGACAAAAAGGCTCCAAACCGCTCAGGATGACGTCACAATACTGATGAGCGTTTGGTGGTTGGTTCCACAGTACGTTCTCTATGGAGTTGCGGACGTGTTCACAATGGTGGGTTTGCAAGAGTTCTTCTACGACCAAGTCCCTAGTGAGCTTAGGAGTATTGGTATGGCTCTGAACCTAAGCATTTTCGGGATCGGCAGCTTTCTAAGTAGCTTGATGATATCAGTCATCGATAAGGTCACAAGCCACTCTGGTCAAACCAGCTGGTTTGATAATGACCTGAACCAAGCTCATCTAGATTATTTCTACTGGCTACTGGCTTGTCTTACCTCCATTGGTTTAACCTCCTACTTGTGGTTCGCCAAGTCATATGTCTACAACAGACCAAACAACTTCTAAACCATTGTCTTCTCTGTTCTTTCAACTGAACTGAGCTTTTTTTTTCTTTTTTTTTTTTCCAATTGCTGGACCAACTAAAGTCATATGTCTAATATAAATATTTTTTCGTGCTTGAGAAAAAAATCGATCCTCCTCCTTTTTTATATTAAAGAGAATTGACCAAGCCAAAAATTTCGATCATGATTGATATGCTTAAGTGTGACCCGCAAAATGTAAAACATTCTCAAGATTTGTCTTTCAATAAGATTGATATTTTATCTTTGAATTTTGAAGATATAGTTTGTTTTTTTTCTTTATGGAGAAGGCAAACCCAAAAAGGAAATATTTATAAGAAGCAAATCTGAATGCATCACGAGGAAGTAGTCCAAAGAGTTTTCGCATTGGAAGAGGAAGAAACAAAAAACCCTTTGGCTAGAATCAATTGTGTTTTCAACAACAACAAAACAAATTTAGGTATTATAACCTCAACGAGAACCTCCTTCTCGAGGCTTACTTGTGTTCCAAGCAATTTAGCTAACGTACGTAATAAACAGAAAACACATCTAAAAAAAATATAAGTCTTACTATTACACATTTACACTATCCAGCGAATTTCGTAATATTAAAATATCAATAAGACAAAGCACATCTAATCTGGCACATTTACAGAATACAAAGCATGTCTGCATTTAAAAGTGTCCATTATTGTAATTAACACAGAACCAACCTGACAAAGGCTTACAGGGGGAAAAAAAACACGAGTGAAAGTCAATGGCGATCGCCGGCGAGCTCGAAAGTACCCTTTATCCGGGAAACATAGCCGTCAGAACCTCCTTTGGAGGATGGAGATCAGCGAGGCTTATTATCTGTAAGTAAACCTTTATAATCACTTTAACGCACCAAATAAGCTTCATCAGTTCTCATAGGTTTTTTCTGTTGGCGTTGTAGTTGTAGAAATGGCGGAGCATTTCGCGTATTTCGGGATATCGTCCAACCTCATAACGTACCTGACAGGACCATTGGGACAGTCAACGGCTACAGCAGCGGCAAATGTCAACGCATGGAGTGGAACGGTGTCGTTTCTACCACTTCTCTGGGGCTTCATCGCTGACTCGTATCTCGGCTGTTTCCGTACCATTATAATTGCAGCTTCTCTATATATCTTGGTATGTAACAATTTTCATCTCTAATAGTAGAATCTGATCTATCACAACTTTGTTCATTTTTTTGTCTCTATCTTATATGATGGTTTGGATAAACAAACAGGGACTTGGGTTGCTGTCGTTTTCAGCAATGATTCCTTCTCACTCCGAAGATCAGAATCAACTCCAACTAGCTCTCTTCTTCTGCTCCCTGTATCTAATAGCACTAGGACAAGGCGGTTACAAACCTTGTATTAAGGTATTTGGAGCTAATCAATTCGATGGAAATGACATAGAAGAGGCAAAAGCCAATAGTTCTTTCTTCAACTGGATGATGTTTGGAAACTGTGCTAGCATAACCGGCACTCGTTTGATCTCTAGTTACATCCAAGAAGACCTAAGTTGGTCATTAGGGTTTGGCATTCCAAGTGTTTCCATGCTACTTGCTCTGTTTCTCTTTCTCCTTGGAACAAAGACTTACCGCTTTACTACTGAAACAGGAGTTAAGAAAAACCCTTTTGCTAGAATCGGTCGTGTTTTCGTGGAGGCAATAAAGAACAGAAGAAAACCTGATCACACCAACGAGACCCTCCTCCTTCTGCCTTACCAAAATTCTGAGCAATGGAGGTAACATTACCAAGAGGTGTTTCTTTTTCTTTAATGTCTTTGAGGACACACTAATTAATGTGCTTAGGGTATTTCCGTTCCTCAATGTACTATAGCAGGTTCCTTGACAGAGCGGCGATTTCGTGTGATTTGGTTGAAGTTGAAGAAGCAAAAGCGGTGCTTAGGCTTTTTCCCATATGGATGACTTCCTTAGTTTACGCCATTGTGTATGCACAATCTCCTACTTTCTTCACAAAGCAAGGAGCAACAATGGACAGGTCAATCTCACCAGGAGTCTTAGTCCCTGCAGCTACACTCCAATGCTTTACAAGCCTAACTATTGTCATTTCCATCCCAATCTACGACCGACTACTTGTCCCAATCGCAAGATCCTTCACTCATAACCCAATAGGAATAACAATGCTTCAGAGGATTGGCACAGGGATTTTCATCTACATTCTTGCTATGGTTGTAGCCGCCTTGGTCGAGACCAAAAGGCTCCAAAACGCTCAGAATGACGTCACAGTACTGATGAGCGTGTGGTGGTTGGTTCCGCAGTACGTTCTCTACGGAGTCGCGGACGTGTTCACAATGGTGGGTTTGCAAGAGCTATTCTACGACCAAGTCCCTAGTGAGCTTAGGAGTATTGGTATGGCTCTGAACCTAAGTATTTTCGGGGTCGGCAGCTTTCTAAGTAGCTTGATGATATCAGTCATCGATAAGGTCACAAGCCACTCTGGTCAAACGAGCTGGTTCGATAATGACCTGAACAAGGCTCATCTAGATTACTTCTACTGGCTACTGGCTTGTCTCAGTTTCATGGGTTTAGCCTTCTACTTATGGTTCGCCAAGTCGTATGTCTACAACAGACCAAACAACTTATAAATAATCACAATCTATACTACTATGCCGCCTTTATATCTCTCTTCTCCTGAGTATCTCTCAATATTCAATGTTTTGTAGCGTGTCTATGATGCTCTTCAGAACACACACACACACACACGCACACTGTAAATATGAGCTTTTAAAGAGGGGAGTATGTATGTGAACTGTCTTTTAAAGAGTTCTTTGTTATCAAACCATGATGATATTTTTTTTTCTTGTTGTTAAAGAACCATGCTGATAATTTGCCACAATATAGTAGAGATTGTAGTAATATATGATATTGTTAGTTAAGTTTATTAGGATGGGTATATTATATGTATGACAGATATTTTTAATTTAAAATTCAATCAAAACAGAAAATCTTTTATCAAAGTGTAGTGACTATGTTACGTTTAAGTTTGTGTATGTATACACCGGGGTCACTTTTTCTAAAATTTCATTTTATACTCTTGTTTATTAGTGAGTTGGTAAACCAAACTGTTTTATCATTCCATTATATAAAATTAAAAGTTTTGGTAAAAATTAGGTGTTTTTCCTAATATTAAAGTGCTAATACAAAAAAAAAAAAAAAAAAAAGTGCTAATACAATAGGATGGTAAGCCCACATTTTGAGATTTAAGAACAACAACAGGTCTTAAGAAATCAATCATTATTAGAAAAGCTCTATATATTGAATAGGTATAACTGATTATTTGTATTGATCATGATAGCTCTGTTTCTATACAAAGAGCATGAGTATACTAAGAGGGTAATACAATATTAATGTAGCATAATCACAAGATTGTAGGATAACTTTCTATATCCTAGGGAATATTTCAGTAGTACAAGTTTTAGCTATACCACTTTCAAAAATAAATCTTAATATATTTTAGGAAAAATTAGCTAAATAGAGAAATGAGAAACTCATACTATATTTGTCTCTCTATAATTAAAATTAGTTGTAAAACTAAACTACAACTTAAATATTAGTTGGGCCCATGTTATCATGCAGTTTTTAAAAGCTAATACGAACTTACCTTTCCACGACGTAAACCACGTGTGAATGTAAATCTGACATATGCTTCCCTTATTGGTTAACACAAAAGTCAGAACCCTCCAAGAACAAGCCTTGTCGGAAAAACAAAAAAACGAGTCAAACTCAATGGCGATCACCGGCGGCCAGCTAGAAAACAACATTTCTCCGGCCAACCCAGCCGTCAGACTCTCCTCTGGAGGATGGAAATCGGCGAGGCTTATTATCTGTAAGTAAAGTAAAGCCTTATACGCCAAAATAAGCTTCGTCAAATCTCAGAACTTTTTTTCTGTGGTTTTGTAGTTGTAGAAATGGCAGAGCATTTCGCGTATTACGGGGTATCGTCGAACCTCATAACATACCTCACGGGACCATTGGGACAGTCAACGGCTACAGCTGCAGCGAATGTCAACGCCTGGAGTGGAACGGTGTCGTTTTTACCACTTCTCTGGGGCTTCATCGCTGACTCGTTTCTTGGCCGGTTTTGTACCATCCTAATCGCATCTTGTCTCTATATCTTGGTACGTAACAATCTTCATCTCTACCAAAATCTTATCTGTCACCAGTTTGTTCGTTTTTTTATTTTGTCTTATATGATGAAGATGGTTGAATGAAACAAACAGGGACTTGGGTTGCTATCATTTTCATCCATGATTCCTTCTAACTGCGAAACTCCGAATCAACTCGTCTCATGTGCTTCTCAGCTCCAAGTGACTCTTTTCTTTTGCTCTCTGTATATTATAGCCGTAGGACAAAGCGGTTACAAACCTTGTATTAAGGTATTTGGAGCTGATCAGTTCGATGGAAATGATCCAACAGAGGCAAAAGCCAAGAGTTCTTACTTTAACTGGATGATGTTTGGAATCTGTATTAGTATATTGACCTCTCGTTTGGTCTCTAATTACATCCAAGAGAATCTAAGTTGGTCATTAGGGTTTGGTATTCCAAGTGTTTTCATGCTACTTTCTCTGTTTCTGTTCCTCCTTGGAATTAAGAGTTATCGTTATAGCGATGCAAGAGGAGTAAGTAAAAACCCTTTTGCTAGAATATTTCATGTTTTCGTGGAGGCAATAAAGAACAAGAGACAACCAGATTTAGATAAATATAACACCAACGAAACACTCCTTCTTCTACCTCATCAAAATTCAAAACAATGGAGGTAACATAATAGAGAGATGTTTGTTTTAATTTAGACGTGTCTATGAGGCTACACTACACTTGTGCTTATACCATTTTGGTTGTACTATGGCAGGTTCCTTGACAGAGCAGCTATTTCCTGTGATATCGTTGAAATTGAGGAAGCGAAAGCAGTTCTTAGGCTTGTTCCAATATGGATGACTTGTTTAGTCTATGCCATTGTATATGCACAATCCAATACTTTCTTCACAAAACAAGGAGCCACAATGGACAGGTCAATCTCACCAGGACTCTTAGTCCCTGCAGCTACACTCCATTGCTTTGTAAGCCTAACAATTGTCATCTTCATCCCAATCTACGACCGTCTACTCATCCCAATCGCAAGATCCTTCACTCAAAACCCATTAGGAATAACACAGCTTCAAAGGATTGGCACTGGGATTTTCCTTTACATTCTTGCTATGATAGTAGCCGCTTTGGTCGAGACAAAAAGACTCCAAGCCGCTAGGGATGATATCACAATACTGATGAGCGTTTGGTGGTTGGTTCCGCAGTATGTTCTCTATGGAGTCGCGGACGTGTTCACATTGGTTGGTTTGCAAGAGTTCTTCTACGATCAGGTCCCTAATGAGCTTAGGAGCATCGGTATGGCTTTGAACCTAAGCATTTTTGGGGTCGGCAGCTTTCTGAGCAGCCTCATGATATCAGTTATCGATAAGGTCACAAGCCACTCTGGCCAAACGAGCTGGTTCGATAATGACCTGAACAAGGCTCATCTAGATTACTTTTACTGGCTACTGGCTTGTCTTAGCTCCATTGGTTTAGCCTCCTACTTGTGGTTTGCCAAGTCATATGTCTAACAGCAGACCAAACAACGTCCAAAGCATTACATACATTTAGTCAAAATTTTGAGTTTTTTTTAGAGAATAACAACAACTTGTTTTAAGATCAATCGTTATTTTTATACGCAAATAGATTATAAATTGAAGTTTTAGTACTCCGTATTTACTGCCTTACCGGTGCTTTTTATATTCTAATCCGTACTAGCGGAATTATCAATTGAACCAAATCTATTTTGCGGACCAATCATATTTTTGTTAAGAACCAAGGAGGGGACCATTCTCTCATATTTTGCGGACCATCCACATAAACTTCCAAGCGAAATCGAATTATGAGCATGGACCATTTCCAGTCACTTTCTAATATTTAAAACCAATAAAAAGTAAAAAAAAAAACAAAAAATAAAAAAAAGAAGAAGCACATATGCAATTATTACTTAGCTTCTAGTTCATAAACAATACAAGAACCGTAAACCACAAGAATAAAATCAATGGTGATCGTCAGCGGTGAGGTCGGAAGTAGATTCTCCACTGGAGGATGGAAATCGGCGAGGCTTATCATCTGTAAGTAAAGCCTCACTCTCACCAACTGTTAGAGATTGTTCTGTTTTGTTTTTTTGTTAAAGTTTTTTTTTGTGTTATGTAGGTGTGGAAATGGCGGAGCAGTTCGCCTTTTACGGTATATCCTCGAACCTGATTACATACTTGACGGGGCCACTGGGAGAGTCAACAGCTGCAGCTGCGGCAAATGTCAACGTCTGGACTGGAACGGTGTCGTTTCTACCACTTATCTGGGGCTTCATCGCTGACTCGTTTCTTGGCCGTTTCCGTACCATCCTAGTCTCATCTTCTCTCTATATCTTGGTAATGTAACAATATTTCTCGTTACATTGTTTCTTATAAGAAGAAGAAGATGTATGATTGGATGAAACAAATCATGCAGGGACTTGGTTTGCTGTCGTTTTCAGCTATGCTTCCTTCTCACTCCAAGGAGCCGAATCAACTACAAGTGATTCTCTTCTTCTGCTCTCTCTATCTTATAGCCGTAGGACAAGGCGGTTACAATCCTTGTATTAAGGCATTTGGAGCTGATCAGTTCGATGTGAATGATCTAACAGAGGCACAAGCGAAGAGCTCTTACTTCAATTGGCTGATGTTTGGATGCTGTGCTAGTATATTCATTACTCGTTTGGTCTCTAACTACATCCAAGAGAACCTAAGTTGGTCATTAGGGTTTGGTATTCCAAGTGTTTGTATGCTGCTTGCTCTGTTTTTGTTCCTCCTTGGAACAAAGACTTATCGTTTTAGCAATGGAAGAGGAAGTAACAAAAATCCTTTTGCTAGAATCAGTTGTGTTTTCTTGGAAGCCGTAAAGAACAAGAAAAAACCAGATTTAGGTGTATATAACCCTAAAGAGAACCTACTTCTCAAGGCTCATCAGAGTTCCAAGCAATTTAGGTAATGTACGAAACTTTGAGGTCACGCTATTGCATTGATCACTATAATGGGGTTAATGACTTGGTTTTTTCTAGAAGAAACTTATGTTTTGTACCAATTCGTTTTGAGACGGAAGTCTATGAGCTTTTTGATATTTATTCTTGTATGTTTGTGGCAGTTTTCTTGACAGAGCAGCGAGTTCATGTGATTCGGCCGACATTGAAGAAGCAAAAGCAGTGCTTAAGCTTGTTCCCATATGGATGACTTGCTTAGTGTATGCCATTGTTTCTTCACAATCCTCTACTTTGTTCACAAAGCAAGGATCCGCAATGGACAGGTCAATCACACCAGGAGTCTTAGTCCCCGCAGCTACGCTCCAATGTTTCATAAGCATTACAATTGTCACTTTCATCCCAGTCTATGACCGTCTACTAGTCCCAATGGCAAGATCTTTCACTCATAACCCATCAGGAGTCACAACGCTTCAAAGGATTGGAACAGGAATGTTTCTCTCCATTCTTGCTATAGTAATAGCCGCCTTAGTCGAGACCAAAAGGCTCCAAGCCGCTCGGGACGACGCCACAGTATTGATGAGCGTGTGGTGGTTGGTTCCGCAGTATGTTATCTATGGTGTCTCTGACGTGTTCGGAGCGATTGGTTTGCAAGAGTTCTTCTACGACCAAGTCCCTAGTGAACTTAGGAGCATTGGTATGGCTCTGAATCTAAGCATATTCGGGGCAGGTAACTTCCTTAGCAGCTTCTTGATATCTGCCATTGACAATATCACGAGCCAGTATGGTCAAACGAGCTGGTTTGATAACGACATGAACCAAGCTCATTTAGATTACTTCTACTGGCTACTCGCTTGTCTCAGCTCCATTAGTTTAGCCTCCTACTTGTGGTTCGCCAAGTCGTTTCTCTACAATAGACCAAACACCTAAAAACATTATGTAGTCTGATTTGAGTTTTCTCTATTTCTGATACTAATTTGAACCAACCAAGTGTGGATTTCTGTTTTATATCTCAAGATTTAGAGCATGAAAACTTTGTATCGTACGTTATTTAATTAGAAAATTATTTTACTCCATAAGGAAAACAAAATTAATTAAAATAACAAGTACGATAGTCTCAAATTATTTTAACGACATGGACCAACTTACATAGGTCCTTTTAACTTTTTAAACTTTACGTAGTCTCAAGTTTTAGTTTATGACTTTATATGTTTATGTTGTCAATAATGAATGTAAAACATTTATTGAAAAAGAAACGTATCAAGTACGATAGCATTGGGACAAAAACAAGAAATCGAAAATGATCAAGATTCCAACCAATAATTGAATCATTTAAATTTCTGGGCTCCCGACAGTGACAATGCCCCACTAGTTTGAACCTTTGTGTCTTATTATAAAACGAACATGGAATAGATCTCGGTCCACTCACTCTCTTTAGTACACTAACTAAATAATATCCTAATCCTTCATGCGACTCTGAAACAATATTTTAAGACACGATGTCGATCTCCGGCGACGGTGACGAGGCCGAAGCTACACTTATAAACGGTATTGTCGAGAGCTCCGTTGACTTCCGAGGCAAGCCATCCGTCAGATCCTCCTCCGGTGGATGGAGATCCTCTGGCTTCATCATCGGTAAAGTCTTATCTTTTTTCTTTACCAAACTTCCTAGATTTCCCCGCCAAAATTCTAAAAAAAACCGAATATTCCGGCAGGTGCTGAAGTGGCCGAGAAATTCGCCTACTTGGGGATAGCATCAAATCTGATAACTTACTTCACCGGGCCGTTAGCGATGTCAACGGCGTCTGCTGCGTCAAACGTAAACCTTTGGCTCGGAACGGCAGCGTTTTTGCCTCTGATATGGGGCTCCATCGCCGACTCGTTTCTCGGACGTTTCCGTACCATCCTCTTAACCTCATATCTCTATATATTGGTAAAGTAACTCCTAAGCTTTCTCTGTTGTTCCCTTAAACTAGCTCATCATCATCTTGATTTTGTGTCGTTCTTTGATTTTAGGGACTAGGGTTGCTTACGTTTTCAGCGACAATGCCTTCTCTTTGTAAAGATCAAGAAACAAACGTCTCGTGTGTTTCTCAGCTCAAAGTAACGATGTTTTTCTGTGCTCTGTATCTGATAGCGATAGGCGAAGGAGGGTTTAAGGTATGTATTAGAGCTTTTGGAGCAGATCAGTTTGATGAACAAGACCCTGAAGAATCCAAAGCCAAGAGTGTTTACTTTAACTGGTCGTATTTTGCGAGATCAGCTGGGATATTGGCCACTCGTTTGATCTCTAATTATGTCCAAGAGAATCTTAGTTGGGCTTTAGGGTTTGGGATTCCATGTTTTTCAATGATGCTTGCTCTGTTCTTGTTTTTGCTTGGAACCAACACTTATCGCTTTAGCACTGGAGGAGAAGCAAGAGAGCATAAGACTAACCCGTTTGTTAGAATTGGCCGTGTTTTCGTCGCCGCAGCTAAAAACCGGCGACAAACTTCGCAGGAAAGCTTCTTTCTTCTGCCTACCGAAAGTTCCAAGAAATTCAGGTGATTACTTCATCATCACATTTTGCCAAACTTACGTAATTACTTGCATACACAACTTATACATTGTGTGGAACGTACTTAGTTTTAGTTCTCTTTATGCTATTTAAATTGTCTTTTCATATTAGCGTATACAACTTGACTTGCTTGCGTCACAAGTTTACAGAAGAAAAATATAAAATGCCATTAAAAATACTTAATCTTTGGAAATTGCAGATTCTTGGACAGAGCTATGGTTTCGTGTAATCCAGCTGAAGTTGAGGAAGCAAAAGCTGTGTTGAGTCTCGTTCCAATTTGGATGTGCTGTCTAGTGTTTGGCCTCGTGTATGCGCAGTCTCCTACTTTCTTCACAAAGCAAGGATCAACGATGGACAGATCAATCTCATCAACACTCTTAGTCCCAGCAGCAACACTCCAATGTTTCATAAACCTATCAATCCTCGTTTTCATCCCAATCTACGACCGTTTATTCGTCCCCGTTGCAAGATCAGTAACTCATAGACCAGCTGGAATCACAACGCTTCAAAGAATCTCCACAGGCATTTTCCTCTCAATTCCTTCCTTGGCAATCGCTGCTTTGGTCGAGATGAAAAGACTCAAGACTGCTCGAGATCATGGTTTAGTTGATTCGCCTAAGGCCACGGTTCCAATGAGCGTTTGTTGGTTGATTCCACAGTATGTTCTCTATGGAGTCTCTGACGTTTTCACTATGGTTGGTTTACAAGAGTTCTTCTATGGACAAGTCCCCGTTGAGCTTAGGAGCTTGGGACTATCTATGTACCTTAGCGTAGTGGGCATAGGCAACTTCTTGAGTAGCTTCATGGTATCTGTCATCGCGAAAGCCACGAGCCAGTCCGGTCAAGTGAGTTGGTTTGCTAATAACCTGAACCAGGCACATCTTGATTACTTTTATTTTCTGCTTGCTTGTCTTAGCTCCATCGCCTTCGTTTCCTTTGTCTATTTCGCCAAGTCGTATGTCTACAATAGCCCAAAGTAAACTTTTTATGGATCTTGAGTAATGTTGAGTATTTTGGCAAAGTATAATAAAATAAAATAAATAAGAATGAGCTCCTGCGCGTGGGTTCAATAACTGATTTTATTAATAGAGATTTTCTTGAGGAACAAAATGTTCATGTTAATTTGGGTTTGACCTTGCGTACATGAGTTGTCCAAAAGAATGCGGTAACTGCAACTACGTACATGGTTGGTGGCATAGTCATAAGAAATTTATGTTTTTTTTTTTTTAAGAAAAGAGTTAGTTTATGTTAATTTGCGTTCTATCTTTGGGTTTATTACATGACCTCCTTAAACAACCTTGACACAAATAAAACAAAACTACATTTAATGTTGTTTACACATCATATTAAGTGGAGTAATCTCAAAACAAAGCATTAACCGAAACGAGTTTATTTCTTTGGCTGAAAAGAAATCTAATTGGCCTTTCGCCAGATCAAGATTCTGGTTTATAAAGAGAAAACTAAAAGAAAACAATATACATTCGAAAAACATCCATATATAACAAGAAATTAACCAATCAAATTCATTATAAAAGAAACAACCCAATTTTAGCCAATAATTGGTAACAAAAATCAATTTATTTTGTTTGGATTCCTTCTAATAGCTCATCAGAATATAGCTCTATATAAGCATATAAAATTGCCAATACTTATCATTGTCTTAGAAACAAATATTTACAAATAACACACTGCTCTTTGCCACATACCCCAAACATACAAAAAAGATGGCCATTGCTTCTCCGTTTAAGGCTTTGTGTCTGTCTCTCTTGTTCATCGCCGTTGCAAGTCGTCCAACTGTCAGGCAAAAGGTTTTCAACGTCGACGCTATGGTGCTAAATCTGACGGAAAAACTGATAACGCCAATGTATGTACATGAACAATTTTCCTATTTAGTTTTTAATAATATATTTTTATTGTTTTGTTGATTATATATTGTTTCCACATACTTAAGTTAAGCTCAACCCAATTTTGTTTAATACTAACCTATAGTTCGAGTCTCTTATGCATATACGATGTTTTAGGTGTTCACAAATGTATGGAAAAGCGCATGCGCAAGAAGTGGAAGTAGTAAAATCTACGTACCAAAAGGAACATTCTATCTCGGTGGTGTAGAGTTTGTGGGCCATGCAAAAATCAGATTGAATTCGTCATTGATGGAACTTTATTGGCTCCTTCAAACCCTAGAGATATTAAGCAGGACACTTGGATCAACTTCAGGTACATCAACAATCTATATATCTCCGGTACCGGTACACTCGATGGTCAAGGGAAGCAGTCTTGGCCACTCAATGACTGCCACAAAAACACCAATTGTCCTAAACTAGCTATGGTACCATTTCTTAATCCTTTATATATTGCTTTAATATGATTATTATTTGCATTTAAATCGTATTACAAAATTGACCATGGGATTTTTATATTCAAGTCTAGCTAATCTTGTAACTTGAATTTTTTTATAGAACATGGGATTTGCATTCGTGAACAATTCAAGAATCGATGGGATAACATCACTCAACAGCAAAATGGGACACTTAACTTCTTCTCCGTCCATCACTTCAACATTACTGGCGTCACCGTAACAGCTCCCGGCGATAGCCCAAACACCGACGGTATCAAGTTCGGTTTCTGTAGCAACATTCGCATCTCTAACACAAACATTGGTACTGGAGACGACTGTATCGCCATTCTTTCTGGAACATCAACATGGATATCTCTAACGTCAAGTGTGGTCCTGGACATGGGATTAGTGTCGGAAGCTTAGGGAAGAACAAAGGCGAGAAAGACGTTAACGGTTAACAGTACGTGACACAGTCTTTAACGGCACAAGTGATGGTATTCGGATCAAGACTTGGGAATCTTCTGCTGCAAAGATCGTCGCTTCTAACTTTGTGTTCGAGAATATTCAGATGATTAATGTTGGAAAACCAATCAACATCGATCAGAAGTATTGTCCTTACCCACCTTGTGAAAAGACGGTTAGCTTTCTACACAAGAAACAAAGTCTATTTTCTTTTCATCACACGAAACAATAACTAAAGAAAGATTTGTGTGTTTGTATTCTTTCAGGGAGCGTCTCACGTTCAGATAAAGGACATTAAGTATAAAAACATATATGGGACGTCGAAGAACAAAGTGGCAGTGAATCTACAATGTAGCAAGAGCTTTCGTTGCAAGAATGTTGAGCTAATTGACATTAACCTTGAGCATAACGGAGTTGAGGGTGGTCCTTCCACTTGTCCTTACCCACCTTGTGAAAAGACGGTTAGCTTTCTACACAAGAAACAAAGTCTATTTTCTTTTCATCACACGAAACAATAACTAAAGAAAGATTTGTGTGTTTGTATTCTTTCAGGGAGCGTCTCACGTTCAGATAAAGGACATTAAGTATAAAAACATATATGGGACGTCGAAGAACAAAGTGGCAGTGAATCTACAATGTAGCAAGAGCTTTCGTTGCAAGAATGTTGAGCTAATTGACATTAACCTAGAGCATAACGGAGTTGAGGGTGGTCCTTCCACTGCCGTGTGCGAGAATGTTGATGGTTCTGCTCGTGGTAAGATGGTTCCTCAGCATTGTCTGGCTTGATTGGACGGTCGGTTCAGACGGTGACCGTATCTTGTATTTGATATTTCATATTTGTATAATTGTTGTGTATATATATCATGTATTCTTTCTGTAAACAGATATAATTAAGTATAACCAATATTTATAAATGGTTTGTAAGAGTGAGTGTGAGTGTGAGTGTGAGTGTGAGTGTGAGTGTGAAGTATATATATTGTTTGGTTGCCAACAATTATGCTGAGTTTTAAAAAGTTTGTGTGGTTCTAGGATGATATACGTACAAGGATTTGTAAAGTTAGCAAAAAAAGGTCAAAAGTATGAGTAGTTTCGAGCTTCTCGGAAGTTGTTTGTTTAGTTTTAGGTTGTTGATTTGAGCCAAATTAGTTTATGTTCAAACGTCTAGAATTCCTCGAGCCAAAAGTAAAATGCGTGATGACAATTATTTGACGTCTACGAAGATATCTTGAAATACCCTTTTTCTTACGAGACATGCAATCATTCTTAGTCCAAAGCTGGAGATCGTCCAGAGTCATCAATTGAGATCTAACATTACCTTTTTTATTCAATTTCTAACCACCCGATAGTGACAACTCTCCCTCGTTCCAACTACTTCCACACTCTCTATCAAGTACCTTATCTTATCTTATTTTCTTATTTCTCTCTTAACATTTTTCATTTACTATATATATACTTTTTTGTGTGGTAACGTTTATTTGCCGACTAATGTCAATAACACCGAAAACAATCTCACGACCCATTTATCAACCGATGGACCAATGCCCTGCTTCGCATTTATCAACGGATGGACCTCTGCCCAATGGTGTTTTCTTCGTTTTCCACATGTTACACCGACGGATTCTACACTACACACCAACGTATGCACTAGAAAAAAAAATGAACCTAGACGAGATTTCGGTCACGTCAATATATAAATATTACTCATCCTTGAGATGAATCTAAAAAATATATATAAGAACCAATGTCGATCTCCGGTGCCGGTGATGATGAGACTGGAACTACATTTTCAAATGGTATTGTGGAGTGCTCCGTCGATTACCGAGGCAAGCCATCCGTAAGATCCTCCTCCGGTGGATGGAGATCCTCTGGCTTCATCATCAGTAATTCTTGAGCTTATATCTATTTCCCATTTCTTTGGGTTTTCCCGCCAAATTCTATTTTCTTGAAAAATAATATAATACAATACGGCAGGTGCGGAAATCTCGGAGAAATTCGCCTACTTCGGTGTAGCCTCAAATCTGATAACCTACTTCACCGGGCCGTTAGAGGAGTCAACGGCGGCCGCAGCTTCAAACGTTAACATCTGGCTTGGAACGGCAGCGTTTTTGCCTCTGATATGGGGCTCTATCGCCGACTCGTTTCTCGGCCGTTTCCGTACCATTCTCTTAACCTCTTCTCTCTACATCTTGGTAAATAAATAAATAATATGCTTCTTCTTTTGTGTTGAAAGTTATGACTCCTAAAAACTCACAAAGAGTTTTTTAACTTTTTTTATCTTATGCGTTCTTGATTGTAGGGACTAGGGCTGCTTACATTTTCAGCAACGATTCCTTCTCTCTGTAGAGATCAAGAACCAAACGCCTCGTGCGTTTCTCAGCTCGAAGTAACAATATTTTTCTGTGCTCTGTATATAATAGCGATAGGCGAAGGAGGCTTCAAGGTATGTCTTAGAGCTTTTGGAGCAGATCAGTTTGATGAACAAGACCCTGAAGAATCCATATCCAAGAGTGTTTACTTTAACTGGTCGTATTTTGCTATAGCAACTGGCACATTGTCCACACGGTTGATCTCTAATTATGTTCAAGAGAATCTTAGTTGGGCTTTAGGATTTGGGATTCCTTGTCTTTCAATGATTCTTGCTCTATTCTTGTTCTTACTTGGAACCAACACTTACCGTTTTAGCACCGGAGGAGAAGGAAGAAAGCATAATAACCCTTTTGTTAGAATTGGCCGTGTTTTTGTCGCCGCAGCTAAACGTGCGATTCAGCTGAAGTTGAGGAAGCAAAAGCTGTGTTAAGTCTCATTCCAATTTGGATGTCTTGTTTAGTATTTGGCATTGTGTATGCGCAATCTACTACTTTCTTCACGAAGCAAGGATCAACAGTGGATAGAACAATCTCATCAACACTCTTAGTTCCAGTTCCAGCAGCAACACTACAATGCTTCATAAGCCTGTCAATCCTCGTTTTCATCCCAATCTACGACCGTTTATTTGTCCCAATCGCAAGATCAATCACTCATAAACAAGCAGGAATCACGACCCTTCAAAGGATTTGCATAGGCATCTTCCTCTCAACTCTTTCAATGGTAGTAGCTGCTTTGGTCGAGATGAAAAGACTAAAGACCGCTAGAGATTATGGCCTTGTTGATTCGCCTAAAGCCACCGTTCCAATGAGTGTTTGTTGGTTGATTCCACAATACGTTCTCTATGGAGTCGCTGACGTTTTCACTATGGTTGGTTTACAAGAGTTCTTCTATGGACAAGTTCCAGTTGAGCTTAGGAGCTTGGGACTGTCTCTGTACTTAAGCATAATCGGCATAGGCAACTTCTTGAGTAGCATCATGGTATCGATCATTGAAACAACCACGAGTCAGTCCGGTCAAGTGAGCTGGTTCTCTAATAACCTGAACCAGGCACATCTTGATTACTTTTATTGGCTACTTGCTTGTCTCAGCTCAGTTGCCTTCATTTCATTGGTCTATTTTGCCAAGTCTTATGTCTACAACAGCCCAAAGTAGAATTGTTACCGATCTTGAGTAAATATGTTGAGTAAAATGAAATAAATTGAATGAAAATAGTGAAAGGGATGGAATAAACGAAATGACTCTGGCAAAAAATTATGAATTTATTAGTCACTGAATTATGAATTATGAATTATGAATTTATTATGAATTTATGAGTGGTTTTTATTTGCATGTAATAAAAGAAGAAAAAAAAAACTTTTGAAAAATAAATTATATGAGGTACTTGTTTTTGCCTACTCAAGTATTAAGATGGTGGAGATTAGAAACAAATTTATTCACCTGAATAACAAAGATTCTTTCTATTCTGGTTTATCCACTGATTTAAGGCTAAATTAGAAAAAGGAGAAACAACGACGGGAGTAAAGATCCGAACCCTACTTGAAGAAGAAAAAAAATCGACTAAAAATAAAGGGTCCATTGAGTTGAAAGATGATTAATTCATAGTGGGAACGCCAATTATTCATTTGGTGTGTCTTAGTGTCTCTCTGATATCATAGAGGGGATGCCCTATATCTATATTTCAGAAAGAAAGAAATATTGTTGTTCATATTTGGACACGAAACCACTCAAAACTTGTTATCTCTTTTAATAACTACACAAACTACTATATATCGGTCTAAAACCATACAAACTATTAATACTCGGCCTAAAACTGGACCAGCTATTAGATTTGGCACTAAACTTGTGTGTTGATAAACCAAAATGGGGTTTACAGATATATTGCTTGGTTTCAACGGTGCCAAATATCTTTTGCCGATTTTTTAAAAATTGTATGGTTTTAGGATGACATACAAAGATTTGTGTACTTCGTAATAGAAATCAAAAGTATGAGTAGTTTGGAGCTTGTCGGATGTTGTTGGTCTATTCTCAGACTCAGATTCTTAGTCCCCAAGTAAGGAACAATTAAACAAAAAAAGGTTTTCATTTTTATGGTATATATGAATTAGTTTTTTAAGGTTTTAGGGTATAAGAAATTGTATAACTTTTAATTTTAAAAACAAATATGGCCTATATTCTAAATTGGTACTATTAACTTTTTGACATAGAAAAAGGATTAAGTAGGAATATCCTGATTCCTTAGGATAAAAACAAAATATCGAAAATGATTGAATTCCAATTAATATATAGTCGTACCGCTACAAACAAAACAAGTTTATTCTTTTTCAGTAGCCAAAATAGTCAAGGTTCGACACGTCTAGAATTCCCCGAGCCAAATTAAAAGCTTTAAATGCGAAGATGACAACTAATTAGTGTCTATGAAGAAATCTTGAAATACCCTTTTTAACGAGACATGCAAGTATGCAATCATGCATCGTCCAAGGCTGGAGATCACCATCTTAATGTCCAAGGCTGGAGATCACCATCTTAATATAAGATCTAAACTAACTTTCAACTCATTTTTATTTATTCTAATTTCTAACCGCACGATCTTGACACTTCCCATTCGTGCCAACCACTTACACACTGTATATCATGTGCCTTGTCTTATTTTCTTATTTCTCTCTTCACATTTTTCATTTACTATATCTTTAATTTTTGTGGTACCGTAATTTGCTGACTAGTGTCAATAATTACACCGAAAACAGTCTAGCGTCGCATTTATCAGTAGATGGACTAACGGTGTTTTCGTCGTGAGTCACGTGTTGACAGACTCTATAGTGTACATTACACACCGACGTATTAGAAAATGAACCTAGACCAGATTTCGGTCACGTTGATGTAACCAACTATAAATATACTAACTCTTAGAAGACTCCAAAGCAAAGATCATAAGAGGCAACAATAATGTCGATCTCCCGCGCCGGTGATGAGACCGGAACTAAGGATTCAAATGATATTGTCGAGTGCTCTGTCGATTACAGGGGCAAGCCATCCGTAAGATCTTCCTCCGGTGGATGGAGATCATCTGGCTTCATCATCGGTAATTCTTGAACTTAATTATTGCCGACCTCTTCAGTTTTACCGCCAAAATCTTTTTAAAAAGAAAGAATATTCCGGCAGGTGCGGAGGTGTCGGAGAAATTCGCCTACTACGGGGTAGCTACAAATCTGATAACCTACTTCACCGGGCCGTTAGATGAGTCAACGGCGACTGCTGCTTCAAACGTTAACATCTGGCTTGGAACGGCAGCGTTTTTGCCTCTGATATGGGGCTCTATCGCCGACTCGTTTCTCGGGCGTTTTCGTACCATCGTCTTAACCTCATCTCTCTACATCTTGGTATATAACTAATATGCTTCCTCTTTGGTGTTGAAAGATAATGATTCCTAAAAGTCAATGATAGTTTTTTATATTTTGTGCGATCTTGATTTTAGGGACTTGGGCTGCTTACGTTTTCAGCAACGATTCCTTCACTATGCAAAGATCAAGAAACAAACGCCTCGTGCGTTTCTCAGCTAAAAGTAACGATCTTCTTTTGTGCTCTCTATCTAATAGCGATAGGCGAAGGAGGGTTTAAGGCATGTCTTAGAGCTTTTGGAGCAGATCAGTTTGATGAACAAGACCCTGGTGAGTCCAAATCCAAGAGTGTTTACTTTAACTGGACGTACTTTGCGGTATCAACTGGCACATTGGCCACTCGGTTGGTCTCTAATTATGTCCAAGAGAATCTGAGTTGGGCTTTAGGATTTGGGATTCCGTGTCTTTCCATGATGCTTGCTCTGTTCTTGTTCTTACTTGGAACAAGAACTTACCGGTTTAGCATCGGAGGAGAAGGAAAAGAAGAAGGAAGAAGAAAGCATAATAACCCTTTTGTTAGAATTGGCCGTGTTTTCGTCGCCGCAGCTAAAAACCGGCGACAAACTTCTTCGGAAACCTTACTTCTTCTACCTGTCCAAACTTCTACGAAATTCAGGTAAATAATCGGTTTACATTTTCTCCAAAAATGGTTTAAATTTTGTTTTTCTTACTTTTTAGATGTTTTATTTGTTTGTCTTTTTTACAAATAAAATCACAATTTTTAGTTAGCGTTTGACATGTAAAATTTTTTTTTTTTTTGTTTAATAAGAAGAGCCCATAGGAAGTTGCTTTCTTTACAAGTTAATGGGAAAGAAGTGCTTAAAAGAATGAACAATCTTTGGTAAAATGCAGATTTTTGGACAGAGCGGCCATTTCGTGCGATTCAGCGGAAGTAGAGGAAGCAAAAGCTGTGTTGAGTCTCGTTCCAATATGGATGTGTTGTTTAGTATTTGGCCTCGTGTATGCGCAATCTCCTACTTTCTTCACAAAGCAAGGATCAACAATGGACAGATCAATCTCATCAACACTCTTAGTTCCAGCAGCAACACTACAATGCTTCATAAGCTTATCAATCCTCGTTTTCATTCCAATATACGACCGCTTATTCGTCCCGATCGCAAGATCAATCACCCATAAACCAGCAGGAATCACAACCCTTCAAAGGATTTCCATAGGCATCGTCCTCTCAATTGTTTCAGTGGTAATATCTGCTTTGGTCGAGATGAAAAGACTCAAGACTGCTCGAGATCACGGGTTAGTTGATTTTCCAGAAGCCACGGTACCAATGAGCATTTGGTGGCTTGTTCCACAGTATGTTCTCTATGGAGTCTCTGACGTTTTCACTATGGTTGGTATGCAAGAGTTTTTCTATGGACAAGTACCGGCGGAGCTTAGGAGTTTGGGACTTGCTATGTACCTAAGCGTAATAGGCATAGGCAGCTTCTTGAGTAGCTTCATGGTATCTCTCATCGAGAAAGCCACGAGCCAATCGGGTCAAGTGAGCTGGTTCGCTAATAACCTGAACCAGGCACATCTTGATTACTTCTACTGGCTGCTTGCCTGTCTCAGCTGCGTCGCCTTCGTTTTCTTTGTCTATTTTGCGAAGTCTTATGTCTACAGAAGCCTAAAATAATATCTTTGACAATCTTTGAGGATTGAAGTGAAACAAATTGCAAGAAAATAATGGGAGGGAGGATATGATGAATAAATTGAGTTGTGCCAAGTTGAACTAATCATTATGATGAGTGGTCTAAAGTTTTTTTAAAACCTAACAACTATGTTAGAGAAAAATATGCTTTTATGTGATTTAGCTAGTAATGCTCTCTATGCATGAGAAATAAATAATAATTCGCTAAGCTTATATAATGAGATATTGTATATAGCCCATGGCTTTGTTATTTCCATAACGGGCTTGGGCATCTAACTAGGTCTAGTTACATAAGTATTAAACTTTCGAACGTTAAGAGGAAAAAAAACAGAAGTAGTTTGGCAGGGAAACAAAAAACAGGACAACACCTCCGGGTTTGATTTGTTCTGTCTTCATCCGTTGATGTCAGAGTAATATGCAAAACAAAAAAGACAGGTTTTGAATAGGCTTTTTAAATAATGGCGTACGTTTCATAAAATGTATTGTCTGTAGTGGTTAAAAGCAAACTCTAGATTAATCTAATTTTAGGCACAGTTGCATAAACTTCGTCTTACATATTTTCTGGAGGCAGTGTAATTCACATTTTTGTCGTTTTTGGTAAGAGAAACAAGCAAGTTGTACCATCATATGATGTGAACACTGTAAAGTGAAAACGGCAACTGCAAGTAATCGTTTTTTGTTATCTTTTTAGTTTTTACCCTTTAATCTACCCTATTTTACTTTATCTTTTTGTTATTTTCTTTTCTTTAAAGAAATTAAAAAAAAGTGAAAATATCCGAGGGACTCCCGATTTAGTTTATAGGGTGTATGGAAATAAGGAAATGCATTTTTCATTTTTTTTGTCTTAATTTATCTTCATTAACCATTGTTCATCGATTGTCTCTAAAAATAAATGTCAATGATACGATTCAGTCTTCACAAGTGTCGATTATTAACAATAAGTCAGCAAGGAAATTCAAATTATAAACAATTTGTTCTAACTGTAAACGTATCGTTGCATCTCTATTCCAACAACATAGTTTCTTGATAACAAATCACTGTGTACGTTAAAAAAAATTGTTAAAAAAATTGAAATGGCTTAAAATAAGTCGGAAAATGCAATTGACGCACCATCATGGAAATTCGATAAACAATGTCATAGACTTCCTCACAAACACGTTAGACAGAAGCATCCGTCGTCTCTCGAATATTTTTGTCCTAAAATTACAAAACTAGTTACTTAAACTGTGGGTTCGGAAAACCACACTCAAAATTTATGTGTATTTTGTAGGGAGAAATTGCCTGTGGAATCAGAGGTTAGATTCTGATGTAAGTCGAATGATTCGTAGACAAATATTTGACGAAATCGGACTTAGGCTAATCGAATAAAGTGGTTACAAAACCGGCCTAAAAGACCATGTAAAACACTAGGATTCGACTAAGCAAAAGAGATGGAAATGAGGTGGTGGCTGCGCTCGTTAACGAGCTGCCTACGTACCCTGTTTTAGGGATCAAGCCTGGACGTAGTTCGATTGTAAGTTGTTCTCTATTTCGAGTCGTTTTCTGAAGAGAAATGACCACGAAAAGAGCTAAAGGGGTGTGAAGATGACGATAAATCTCAGGTTATCGGAGTGATCCGAAGGTTAAAGATTATGTCAAACTTCTGCCGGAAGTGATTTCCGGCTAGAAAGATCAGGGCTTTCTTTATCATTCTGCTGTGAAAAGATGATGAGAAGAACTTGTGTAGTGATTTTTGATCAAAGGAATTCTGCCTTGTGATCAAGAATCGTCCTCTTTTTATAGCACCGAAGTAGATCGCAACCTCCTCCGCGTATCTCGTCCACGTGCAACTACCGATCCCGCTATTTCCGGATCTGAACAGTCGAAGCGAGATTCTCGTTTGACTCGTTCAAACTCAGCTTGTGGACTTGACTCCGTCGAGCTAGAGCTCGACTTCGTCTTCACAAGTAGCTCGGACAGTAAACAGCTGGATTTGGACAAGGATACTTGGTGGGCTCGAGGTCACTTTACTGGGCCTGAGTGGACTTATCTTGATCTTAGGACTTAGGTGATGGGCCTTATGGGCCGGATTTCTGGAGGGAAATCCAGGTCCAACATTAACGTATAATTGTCGGATACCATTTTTCAAAATTTCTGGCCTGAAACCAATGATTTTTCTAATGCCCATAGTTTTTAACCATAAATCCTTTTTTGCGTCTAAATGATTACTTACACAATATAGTACTGCTGCCTATATAAAATGGAAATTAAGAAGAAAATATATATAATGCGCAGTTATATGCAGATAAAATAAGAAAAGTCAGATACGATGATCTTAGTATCTATAAAATAGTGTCAAAATATTAATACTATTAGCCCTCATCCAAGTAAATATAATATTCTCTTAATTACTCCCTCCGTTTTTTTTAATGAATTTTCTAGCCATTATGTGTTGTTTCACAAAGATAAAACTTTTACCTTTTTGATGCACTTTTTCAGTTTTCAAGATACAATGATTATATTTATTGGATTTTTATTGGTTTAAAATTATAAAAAGTTGTTTTATTGCAGAAATTTATGCACTAATGATTGAAAATCAACTTTTTCTTAATCTGTATGAAAAAACTAGAAAATTTATCTTTAAAAAACGGAGGGAGTAGTATACTGCATACTGCGATCAATCATTTGCTAAGAATGTATATAAAATATGTGAGTGGATTGGAAAACAGCTAAATACGATGCAAGAATGTATCATAATAAGAAGATGGCACCAGGCACCAGCGATGAACAAAAAACCTACCAAACAGTTTCTTTCTTCTTTTTCTTTTTGATAAAGGCAACCGATGAATGGATTTTTAACGGATCACTATCGGGTCCCGCGCGATTGTACCAACTTTACTTTAATTTGATGAAAATGAATACAGTACAATTCTAGTTATTTCGTGTTCTTTTTCATTTCTTTTTAATCAACAAACATGATTTTAGTATTTGAGCAGATTTTTTATATTAGTTGTATATATTTTTTTGTAGTTTAAGTTAACTGTAATTATTATCTTACATGACACATAAAATGTGAAAGCTTAGTTGAATTTCTGGGATACATAATATACATATGTGAAATATAAATATAAAATGTGGATACATATATTTTTACACAATTATATATAGAATTCTAGTTATTGTATGGATTCATATTAGGTGACAAAGAAAGTCTAATGACCAAAGTCTAAAGTTCTGGTTTATGACAGTATTTTGTTAGACGCCACCGTAGGCTTGACAGCCTAATACCTATTGGAATTTTCCCCTTATTGTCTGGTTTCGCAATCAATTTAGAATCAATAATCCAAAAGATGTAGGTTACAACTACGCATCAACAACGGTTCCAAATCCAATACAATCGTTTGAGGATTTATAGTGCTAACACACCGGAGTTAAACCGTGAGACTTTTAATAATCAAAACTACAGAATAATATGATTTCATGTGACTTTTATCGGAATGTAAAAGAAAATACATCTTAGGACTTCGTTTTCGCAAATGAAGCTTAGGTATATTTAAATATAGAGCTAAGACAAGTTCCAACGTTCTATTTCTTTTATTTTTTACCCTTTTCTGGTTAATATTAACAACGTTCTTCTATACAGCTGGCTATATCATATAGCCTATATGATGTCAACAACTTGAAAAAGGGATCCCATGTTTATTTCGGGTTGGCATCCTTTTGGACATAACACTTCAAAACCCATGTTTTTGTAACTAACATTGCATCTATAAGCAAATATAGTGCGTATGACGATATTTCTATGTCGACAGATTAATGACGTATATGTTTATGAGGTTAATTGCTCGTTACCACAAAATTGCGGTATAAAAATGCTGACGGAGTCAGTGACCCACAATATTCATAACTAAATTATGGCGACTGAATATCAGTCAATTTTTTTACGATTGCATAACTATCATGACAATGGCTAATTTGGTAACAGAATGAATGGATTTGTAACAAAAAGATTATACACAGATTTGTTTTATATAAATCGTTTTGGGTTTAATAACAAGTCGGCCTCAATTTTTTTTTTTTAGATTAGTGAATATACATATATTGGTCAGTTTTGTTGTCATTTATCATGCATATTTTTAGTGTTTGTATATGAATGACATGCAAAAAATATATAAATGTAAATTAAATTGGAGTATTGTGTACTAAATAAACTCGTGATCCACTGACATCCGAAATTTTATTTATTCTGTATTCTGTAATACGAATGCCCACAGGTTCTAACTTCTAACTTGAATTCTAATATTTTTGTGCAGTACTTACGGTAAAAAGGAGAGTTAATCAAACTTTTACTGATTTTTAAAATCTTAATTAGACTAATACTTATATATTTAAGGCTGGTGTGAAATTAACATGGTGTCATGATTCGAAACACACTTTACTTTAATTTTTTTTTTTTTTTTAAACATGAGTAGCATGCTAACTCTTCTTCTCTTTCCTTTTCTCAAATGATTCCACTTTTTTCCTCAACTCAAACATTTTTTTTCCATATGCAATTTGAAATTCCATTCTTTAACTGTAAAGATTTGATAATGAAAATTATATAGCCCCATAGAAATAATCTTGGCGACTAAGGAAGAAAAGCGGTAAAATATCTTCAAAATGAAGGAGATCATCAAGATATATTTAAACATCAAACCATCAGAATATATATGATACTAAAAACTCACAAAAACTGTCGCTTATGGGATGTATATATAAATGTAGTAAACAATCAAACTTTTATTCTAACGTTTATAAGGAAAGGTTGAGTAAAAACAATATTTCAAAAACTGTGGGGGGAGAATTTAAGGTTAAAAATAGCAAGTTTAAAGAGGTGTACTAATTCGTGAAGCAAAAGACGGCCGTTGGAGAAAGAAATGGGACCCACTGAGAAAGCGTTTTGAAGAATGAGCTGTCAAATAATAAAACAGCTCCGACCAGTCTGTGTTCCCTTTTGCCTTCCATTACCAAACTCCTTCCTCTCCCTTTTATATACCTCTCTCTCCTCTCTCTCTCTCTCTCCTCACAATTCTCTCATTCTCTCTCTCTCTCTCTCAATTCGAAAGTAAAGAAGATGGCTCAAGAGGAGGTACAGAAATCAGCCGATGTCGTCGCCGTCACCGCAGCGGAGAAGCCAGTTACAGACAAGGAGGTGACGGTTCCTGCTCCGGTGCCGGAGAAGGAAGTTTCTGCTTCTGATTCGGTTGCGGTGCCGGAGAAGGAGGAGAAAGTGACCACGGAGGAGGCGGAGAAAGCTGCTCCGGCGAAGGAGGAAGAGGCGGTTGTTGCTGTTGAGAAGGTGATTGCTCCAACACCTGAGGAAATTGAGAAGAAGGCTTTAAATGAGTTTAAGGAGCTCGTGAGGGAGGCTTTGAACAAACGTGAATTCACTGCTCCGCCGCCGCCGCCGGTGAAGGAAGAGAAAGCTGAGGAGAAGAAACCGGCGGAGGAAACTAAAGAAGAAGAGAAAACAGAGGAAACGAAGGAAGAGACACCGATTGAGAAGGAAGCAGAGAAAGTAGAAGAAGCCAAGCCGGAGGAGAAATCACCAGAGGCGGCGGCGGCGGCTCCGGCAGAGACCAAACCGGAGGAGAAACCAGCCACCGTGACCACCGAGAAGACGGAAGAAGACGGAACCAAAACCGTGGAAGCAATCGAAGAGTCGATCGTTTCCGTCACTCCACCGGAAACCGCCGTAGCCGTCGTGGAGGAAACCACCGTCGTCGCCGTGGAGGAGCCAGTAGAGCCGGAAGAAGTCTCGATCTACGGAGTTCCTCTCCTCCAGGACGAGAGATCCGACGTGATCCTCTCGAAATTCCTCCGAGCAAGAGACTTCAAGGTCAAAGAAGCCTTGACGATGCTGAAAAACACCGTCCAGTGGCGCAAAGACAACAAGATCGACGAGCTCGTCAAGACCGAAACCACCGGAGAAGAAGCCAGCGAGTTCGAGAAGATGGTGTTCGTTCACGGTGTGGACAAGGAAGGTCACGTCGTGATCTACAGCTCATACGGAGAGTTTCAGAACAAAGAGCTTTTCTCCGACAAGGAGAAGCTTAACAAGTTCCTCAACTGGAGGATTCAGCTTCAAGAGAAGTGTGTGAGAGCTCTTGATTTCAGCAGCCCTGATGCTAAATCTTCGTTCGTCTTCGTCAGCGACTTCAGGAACGCTCCGGGACTTGGCAAGAGAGCTTTGTGGCAATTCATCAGACGCGCCGTCAAACAATTTGAGGACAATTATCCTGAATTTGCCACTAGAGAGGTACGTAATTAGATCATTCTTTAAAACGTAATTAGAATTACTACAATTAAATATATTATAATTTTATTTTATACAAATGGTGTTTTGTTTTTCTTGTTCTTACAGCTGTTCATTAATGTTCCATGGTGGTACATTCCATACTACAAGACATTCGGATCTATCATCACATCGCCAAGGACAAGGAGCAAGATGGTTCTTGCTGGTCCATCCAAATCTGCTGATACAATTTTCAAGTAATTAACCATTAATTACTTTATTAACAATTTCATATATTTTTCAGTTTTTCTCACTAAAGCTTATGTTGGTTTGAAAATAGATACATAGCTCCTGAACAAGTTCCGGTTAAATATGGCGGACTTAGCAAAGATATTGCTTTAACCACTGTTGACACCGTCACTGAAGCCATTGTTAAACCAGCAGCCAAATATACCATTGAGTTGCCTGCTTCTGAGGTATATCATTAATTCACTAATCACTATCACTAACAAATTTCAGAATTAAGTTATGATGTAAAAATGTTGGTTATTAAGAGGCTAATGTGGATTGTGTTTGGTGGTGGCAGGCTTGTACACTTTCATGGGAGCTTAGGGTTTTGGGTGCGGACGTGAGCTACGGAGCTCAGTTTGAGCCAACGGCAGAGGAGAGCTATGCTGTGATTGTCTCTAAAACCCGGAAGATTGGGTCAACTGACGAACCGGTTATAACTGATTCGTTTAAGGTGGGTGAACCGGGAAAGATTGTGATCACAATCGATAACCAGACTTCCAAGAAGAAGAAAGTGCTCTACAGGTTCAAAACTCAATCATGATCTGATCTTTGAAAGTGAATCCGAGACCAAATCGAAGGAATGAAGAAGAAAAAGTTGTTTATTTGGGAGAACAAATTTTTATTAATTTAATTTAGTTTGTTATTTGATATGTAATTTTGAAATCTCAAAAGGTGGGTTGTGTTTTGCTGGGAGAGTTTGCTTTTGTTTTTGAGTATTGGGGGTTGTTTTGTGTGTGGAGAATATGTGATTAAAATTTAAAAGCAAAAAAGAAGAAGAAAAAAAATACTCTGTTTCATTATATTTACCCTTTTCTATTGTAAAATTTGTGTAAATCATAACGTATTCATTATTTAATTTGTCTTTCTTTATCTTTTTACCTTTACTTTTTTTCATCTTTACTTCTAGTTCATGGAATTGGTTGATTTCTGAACCAAATGGCTTGGCTTTTCCTGGTAAAGCATTCGGAAGTTTGTCCATGTTCGAAAAGTTGAAAGTTACATGTGTTTAGTTCTTATGTATTATCATCAAGATAAAGATTTAAATATACTTTTCAGTGGATAATATATCTAATTTAAAAGATAAGGAGAAGAGGCGTGTCAAGAATAGTTGTAGACTCCTTGTGTTATCAATATGTTGATAGAGAGATATAAATATAAATATGAAAAAAAAAAAGTTTCTCTGTGTATCTGTGTATGATACATCGAAGTGGATAAACACTGAATGAGACATTAGGGACGAGATATAATGATAATGGACCCTTGTTGTTGAAATATGGACTGATATATAATTCGTGGATAAGAGACGAAATCAAAGCACACATCATATTTGACATGTCGAGAAAGAAAAAAAGATATTTAGCCGTAAAGTCTATTTTCTCTATATTTTCTTATATCGAATCTAATTTTCTTGGAAGTGCGAAGACCAAATACAGTCTCTTTTTTTTTTTGCTAGAAATGTTAATAAAATACAGTCTCGTTTTGGATTGTATTTGATTTGTTTTTAAGTTATCATTAGGGTTAGAAAGATTAGAAAAGGTTGAAATCTGCGGATTACTCATATAGATCAAATTGGAATGAATAATGTTTAGTCTCTTGGTCTCTAAATTGAGTTCAACATGTTAAAAGGATTATCCCAAGATAACAATGTATAACGCGGAATATTTACCAGACATAAGTTAGTAAGTTAATACACACAAATGTAAACACATAATGAGCTAATTGGGTATGGTCTACATATAAACTACGGCCATTACCATGATGATCAAAACAGATATTTTCATCTTAAACAAATCTTAAACTATAATATAACTGTATACATGTCATTGTCCTTTAGTTTTTTTCTTCATCAACTTACGTCATTCATTTTGAAAACGATAGTACTATTCTCATATTTGAAAATGAGCAAAATGAGCTGGGAATACTAAAAACCTTGGCCACCAATTTTTTTAGTCGAAAGATTTTAAATCGGGTTTCGTACTACTTAAATTACAATCTACTTTTTTTTTCTAACAACCATAGTTGAATGTTACTTAACCATAAAATGCCAATAATATGCTAACATAGTGTATCTAATTCAAAACGGTATGTCCAATTTCTCACAAAAAGAATATCGCAAGCCTAATATGAATCGAAATTTAGAATCTGGACTCTATTAACATGATCCACCAAGAATATTAAAAGTTGAACGAAGACAGAGTGTCAAATTGAAAGTAGCTATAGAGTTGAGTTTCTTTTGTCGTTGTTGTTGTTGTACAAAGCATGAAGTTTTCTAATGGTTGAATAAATGAGTGATATATATATAAAAAAGAATGATGTATTCATATGGGAGTGATCATAATGTCGGGTCCGAAGACAGTTCGGAGTTTAGAAGAAAACTGCATAAATAATCAAAAGGGAGGGACATGCGTGGACCGACACAACAAAAACAGCCATGAATGAAATTTGAACACATTCACTACCAAGCCATAGTCTTCGCATGTGCCTCTTCATCAATTCCTCATTCATTTCCTTTGTGCTTTTTCCTTGTTTAATTCAGAAAGAAAGAAAGTCTCACTTTCACACAATTGATTTACACAATAATTGTGGTGGTTGGTCTCTTCGCTTCCATAAATAGAGAGATATTTTTGTGTAAATGAATTTGTACTTTGCAGATATACATATGTTTATAGGTTTGTTAGTTTCACTTTCACCCTTTTAGTATTTAGCAACATGCAACGATAAATGATCAAGCGCTGGAGACGATAGCGATTTAAAATTTGCATTGGTGGCTGTTTAAGCAATGGTAAAAAAACGAGCATTGCAAATTTACATTGGTAGATATAAGTTAATACATCATGTTCGTCGCTGTTATTATCATTGCAAATAACAATGAATCAAACAATCTTAGATATACAAATGAAGTATAGAGTTGAGTATCATCGACTGATATGTTATATCTTTCTAAATAATAAAACTCTATGCATGACATGGATTGTAGTAATACTCTAATACATATTCCATATGACCTCAATTTCTGCTTAAATACCAAAGAAATAATTGAAAATACTCACATGGTCAGAAAATCCATCTAATTAAATATAATGTAACTTATATATTTTCATTAATATTGCTAAAATAGTAGGTGGATGGTATTGTTTATAAAGAAAACATTTGTTAAATTTTGAAATTACTTTCTTCCAATCCATAATTGGCACTTGAATGATGCAACAGCCAAACAAGTTTTTGGGTAAATAAGACACGAATAGAACCTCTTCCACCCACTCCAGTCTCCAGACAAGAACATGTCAGTGTCCAGAAGTTGTTACAACGTGTAAATCAACAGCCTTTACGAATCTCTCTCAATTTATTTCAAATTAAATTATACTATTAAACGTTTATATTATAAACTTGTGAGTGTGAATTATAGAGTTGATGTTGCACGACACCTACTAAGCCACAAACATGACACAATCAATAAACGGTTGAGATTTCAAGATCTTTTATTACAGAAAGTCACGTAAAATATATTCTCCCCAAATGATTACAGAAGTACAAGCTTCATCGTATAAACCACACAAAATGATATGATATGATAAAAAAAAACAGACACTCTTCACATATACAAGAAGACACACATAAAACATATCTCACAAAGAACCACATTTTTTTGTAAATAAAAAAGTTTGCAAAGATTTCTTAAAGAGGTTTGACATTGAACCTGTAAACGAGCTTCTTCTTCTTAGAGGTTGGGTTGTCTACAGTGAGTAAAACCTTGCCAAGCTCATTGACTTTGAAGCTCTGTGTTAAAACCGGTTCATCAGCCGGTTTCATCTTCCTCGGTTTCTGTATAACCACCGTATAAGCATCTTTCTCTTCCGGCACAAACTCTGCCTTGTAGCTCACTTCCCATCCAATCACCCTTATCTCCCACACAATCTCACATTTCTGACCCAACAAAAAAATAAAAACTTATTTACAGAGTTTTATTAACCATCATGACTCAATGTGTAATAAATGCAACTAACCTCATAGATAATGATCTCAACAGTCTGCTTAGTTCCTGGCTTAACAGTGACCTCAGAGGCTTGATCATCCAATGAGAAGTCTGGATTACAGTCACAAGGATCAACACTCAATCCTCCGTACTGTACAGGGACTTGTTCAGGTGAAATGTACCTACACACAGTCCACAAACTCTTAAAGAAACTAAACAAACAAAGCTAAAATCACTACAAATAAAAAAAAAAAAAAAGTTTACTTGAAAAGAGTCTCGGCTGATTTTGATGGACCAGCAAACACAAGCTTGCTCTTTGATCTTGGTGTCATGAACGGACCAATCACAGTGTAAAACACAAGATACCACCATGGAACATTGATGAATGCCTGCAATTCAAACATAATTTGTTCCACCATGACTAAAGTTTCTAAAAATACAATCAGATTCACAACAAGATCTTGTGTACCTGTTTGAAGACAAACTCAGGGTAATTGTCTTGAAGCAACTCAACGGCTTGCTTGGTGGCCGATCTAAGCTCTTTCTTCCCCAATCCGGGAGAGTTCTTCATGTCGTTGATCTGAAAAATGGTGGAGACACCACCGGAGTTGAAATCTAGCTTCCTTATACTCCTCTCCAAGAACTGAATCCTCGTCCGCAAGAAATGTTTCCTCTTGTCCTCATCGGAGAACGTCTTGTTGTAAAGCTCCTTGTTCTGGAACTCACCGTAGACGTTGTAGCAAACCGGGTGTCCTTCTCGGTCGTGTCCGTGCATGAACACGACCTTGTCGAGATCATCCACGAGCTCTTCTTCGACTAGTTCGTCGATCTTGAACTCCTTTCTCCATTTGATCGTGTTCTTGAGCATCGCCAGCGAGTCTTTCACCTTGAAGTCTCTGGCTCTTAGGAACTTGAGCAAAACGACATCGCTTCTGTCGTCTTTGAGCAATGGGACTCCCCAGATCGTGACTTCTTCTTCCGGTGTGGTTGTGCTGAATTGGTGGTTGTCGAGAGCGTCTCGCACGAGATGCTTAAGCTCATCGAGAGATTTCTTCTCGGAATCGGATAGATCGGAGAGCTTGCTGCTTTCTTCTTTGAACGAACCAAGATTCTTCGGAATTCTCTTGTTCTCTTCCTCGGCAGCTGATTTTTGAGACTTGTCGTCGTCTCCGTCTCCGAGCTCGAGCTCTTTTTTCTCCGTCGAAGCTGTTTCCGTTTCCGTCACCTTTGGCTGTTGATGCTCTTCCGGAGTTACTTCTTTTTCCGGCGCTTCCGACGGATCAGTCTCAGTCGCTTTCTCCGTCTCTCTCGCCAAGACTTGTTGAGTAGAATTCGATTCTTCCGGAGATGGTTGCTTTTCCGGCGGCGTAGTGAGAGTGGTAGTAATCGATTCCTCCGCCATTTTTTTTTTTTTACTCTGCCGTTTTGCTCTGTGTGATTTTTCTAAATTGGGCAAATTGATTTTTGGGTTTATACACAAAGACAAAAGTGCGTTGAAGTGTCGAAGTTCCAAATTGGTTTAGTATATTATTTTGGTCACGGTCACGCCCGAACCGGTTTCTTTGTTGTCCTAAGCTCGCATGAACCGGTTTCACAGTGCTTGTTGTGTGTGTGTGTGTGTGTTTTGGGGGAGTTTAGTGTGTATTACAACTTATGATTTGTTACTATAAGAGATATTGGAATTCAAACAAAAACTTGCCGATTTAAAATTAAAAAAAACAATAACTTACTAAATTGATACTAAATTTATAATATTTTACTTTGTTACTGTAAGAGCGATATTGGAATTCAAACAAAACTTGCCGATTTAAAATTTAGAAGATCAATAACTTACTAAACTAATACTAAATTTAGAATATTTACTTTGTTACTGTAAGAGATATTGGAATTCAAACAAAACGTGGTAATTTATTTTAAGAAATAACCATAAACAAATCTATAAATAAACAACAATCAAGAGAAATCCATGAAACAACAAATCATCTATAGTTTACTTTTCATTACTAAACCAAAAAAATTGTGTTGAATCAAAAATTCCTAAACATCCAAAAAAAAATGGTGATTTTCATGAAAATAATGATGATCATGGCTCTTTTAGCGATAAGTGTTAACGCAAAGACGATGCAAGAGTGTAGAGAAACAACTTGCAAAGAACAATGTAACAATATAGGGAGCATGGTTTGTTTTACTGCTCCGGACCGAGCATTGCGGATCAAGCGGATTCAGCGTAACAAAAGCGGAACCAGCGGATCGAGTGGATTGAGCGGATCAAGTGCGGATCGAGCGGATATAGTAATTCCAATAGTTCAAAATTATGTTTAAATGGAAAAAGCGGATATGAAACGGTTCAAAACACTGTATATAATTGTAATAATTATATAAGATAAAAAATTATTATTTTATTTTGTATAACTAAAATAATAAAACTAGGCTCTTTATAAATTTTAAATTAGAAAAATTGTTTAAAATTTGAAAATTTCTCAATAATATTTTTAGACAATCCAAAATACTAGGTTTTATTTATTTCAGTATGTAAATTTTAGTTAGTCTAAAGTTATTAATTTAAAATAGTTATTATCATAGAAATATGATTTAGTGTTTTATGTGATTTTGTTTTAATATTTAATTTAATATATATTATTATTATTCAAAAGTAAATAATTATTTAATAGTATAGATAAAAAGAAGAAGAAACGCATGTACAATGAAGAAATACACCTAATTTGGAACGTGCCATGATCTGCTAGTGGTTCATCACTTCTCTTCACAAAAATGAACCGCTTGTGGTTCATTACACTTTTTATTATTTTAAGTTATAAAATACAAGACAATTAATACTAATGTTGAATGGCAAATTGTATTGTGGGGGAACCACTTAGATGTATGGACCGTCGTTAGTCCGTTTACCATTCAAGACCTACATGTGTATTTTATTGTGCTTATCCTAGATCAGGTAACCAAAACTCGCACTCTCTTTATATAACTAACTAAGTGTATATTTTATATCCACTGTGTTTCATAAATGCTTATACATGATGATATTTTCAGTTGGAAATTCTCAGGAATGAGAGGATAATCTATATAATTGATTTAGCGATTGTGCTACCAATTGTGGCACGGACGATAAATGCTACGGCAAATGTATGACAAAATGTGAGTCCAGCGCCCCGCCAGTCTGATTTGAGGTTAATTTAGAGATCCTAGACTTGTGCAACAGCTTTTAATTTGTTATTCTCGTGATTTTGTTATTTACATCTCTGAGTCTTTTGATGTTTGGATGTAATTGACATGAAGAAAAAAATGGTTTTATAGTATAAACAAAAACATATAAACTCTAATAAAATTTGTTTGTATCACAAAATTACCGTAACTTTGAGATTTTGATTTATAGATCTATTCCAAATACATCTACCTCTTGAATATAGTTCGGCAAATAACAAAAATATGAGAAAAAACAAACAAAAAACATGTAAGGGAAAGGAAGTGAATGGAAAATATATGGATGATTTTTAGTAATTACCGTTTAATGGGTTACGGGAAATAAACCAGTGAACCGCATCAACGTTAAAGACATACATAATACACATATAGATACTCCAAATCCAATCTCTTCTCCATCTTCTGCTCAAATTGAGGATGTCTCTACAATTATTATCACTCCGATCAAGGCCAAAGTATAGAGACACAACCTCTCTCCACTCCCATGAGGTAAAAGCCTCCTTCTAGTGTTGATATTTTATCTCATCCTTGCACCCTGGATGAGAGATTAAAGTGGCTGTAAAATCAGGTACCTTTGGGGATCTATTTGATAAAAAATGGGGTCTTCGTAGGTGATGATTGGAATACTTCTCCCCAGATATCTCGCAAATTTAGAATATTTACTTTGTTACTATAAGAGATATTGGAATTCAAACAAAACGTGCTAATTTCTTTTAAGAAATAACCATAAACAAATCTATAAATAAACAACACTCAAGAGAAATCCATGAAACAACAAATCATCTTATTATAGTTTCCTTTTCTTTACTAAACCAAAATAATTGTGTTGAGTCAAAAATTCCTAAATATATAAAAAAAATGGTGAGTTTCATGAGAATAATGATGATATGGCTCTTTTACCGATAAGTGTTAGCGCAAAGACGATGCCATAGTGTAAATTCATGGAGACATCAAGGATTTATAGGTTTTTAAGAGGAGAAAAGTAGGGACGCTGCCTGATAGTAGATTGGAACTGAGTTTGAGGACTTTAAGGTTTGTGTAGTTGACTATCACCGGAGGGATTATAGGAAGAAATGATAACTGTTCTCGGCTTTCACAAAACTCTCTACATTGTCACTGCTAAGTAATTTTTGTCTTCCGGATAATTCCACCAATATAAATTAGCAAAACTTGATAAAATTGTTATATATATTTCTTATGTTTTGCATATTTTTTTGTTTATATTTAGCTTATAAGATGCTTATGTTATACTATTTTTGTAAAGTAAATTTTTGACAACTCTTTTCTTTTTCTGATGTATAAATTAATTATATATTTCTAAACAACTATAATTCTTTATTCTAATTATTACTAAAACAATTGCTTCAATTAAAATAATTAAGTATTTTGTATTAGGGGCCACAATTATTATGTTAACACCCAATATACACATACATATACTTCTTTATTAGCTAAATACGACTCAAATACTTCCCAATTTTTGGGGGAAAATGGCGGAGAAGAAAACGGAGACCATGCCACCACCGGACTGCGATATGAATGCTAAGTGGGAAGCATGTATCGATCTCACTATCCGCCGCTTTGTCTACTCCTCCCTCGGCGGCGCCTTCGTCCGTCTTCTCTTCTTCAGTTCCATGTTTCCACTTTCCCACTCGATTCACTTTTTTCACGATTAGATATGTATTGTGATTGAGGATTTAGGTTCTTAGATTGATTTGAATATACAAGATGAGTGTGTTTATTTCTCCAATTTCTGATTTTGTTTATAGGGAGTCATGTGACTTATTATAAACCAGTAAACGGCTTTCGACGTAAAGACATATATGATACACATATAGATATAAAGAAATTTCAAAACTACACTTTTTTTTTTTTCAACAACTACACCTTTCTAGTGCCAATTTTCAAAATTTATCTATACATACTGAAAATAATATTAATAAAATAAATTATGATATCTATAATATTAGGCTCATTTTGAAGGCCAGTTAATACAGTAACCAATTTGGCCCATTTTGAAGCCCACGTTTCTTGTGTTCACCACAAACCCTTGAGATCGGGAAAAAACCGAAAAAGAGGAATCACGAACGACGGAGGAAATCGATTCTCGGGGAAAAAATGGCGGAGAAGAAAACGGAGAGCGTGCCACCACCGGACTACGATATGAATGCTAAGTGGGACGCATGTATCGATCTCACTACCCGCCGTTTCGTCTACTCCTCCCTCGGCGGCGCCTTCGCCGGTCTTCTCTTCTTCAGTTCCGTGTTTTCACTTTCCCACTCGATTCACCTTTTTTTCACGATTAGAGGATTTGAATTGTAATTCTCTTTGGACTTATTTTCCCTTTGGAGATTGATAGTCGAGTTTTTGATTTTGCTTATAGGGAGTCCTGTAACAAGATGGGCATCGATTGCGTTTGGTGCTGGACTCGGTATTGGCTCTGCATACACAGATTGCTCTCGTGTCTTTGATGCACCTTCTTCGTCTTCTTCAGCTAATTCAGAGCCTTCTGTATCTCAGGTTAGCATTGTTGTCAAATTGCATTTGTTTTGTGGGAATCTATACATTTTAGTACACAATTGATACTTTGGAAGCAAAATGTTATACATGTTGTCAAGATTACAATTCAAGAACAATTGTTTATCTTTGTAGTGATTGGTACTGTTTGCAGGAAGCGGACGAGTAGACAATTACGATAAAGTCATTACGAATGGAGGAACAAAGGCCATTACGCAATTACTGTTGAATTGTGAATTGTTTCTTAAACCTTGCAAGAATTTGTGTTTTGAGATACTCTGCTTAGTGTCAAATGTAAAAAACCTTTTTAGTGATTTTCTCTTCGTGTTCAAAATGTTATATCAGTCACACGCATTCTCCGAGATCTAGAGTTGGTTAATTGACAATTCCTCAGCTTCAATCTAGAGTCGACCTCTCTCAGAAATTTCCTCTAGATTGGGCGTTTTTTAACTTGTTTATATGCCGAACGATGTCGTTTTGATGTTGAAAATGTGAAAACCGGGAATAAACCAAACCAGTAATTGAAAAAATACCGAACCGAATTCCGATGGACCGCCAGAATTCACGACCGACTCGTAATCAATCATTTCAAGTTAGCTACGGAAAAACTCAGAAAGGACAGAGAAAGGCGAAGGAAGAGGAGAAGAAAATCGGGAAATGAATAAGCCGCCGGAGAACGATCTATGTTCGATTTGCCATGCCCACTTCACGGCTCCTTGCCAAGCCAATTGCTCCCATTGGTTCTGCGGTTTAACTCCTCTCTCTCTCTCTTCCCTCCATTTTTTTTGTTTTCTCGTCGATTTTCGTATCAAGAATCCTCGTTTTTTAGTCTTAGGCTTTTCTGGCATCTTGATTCGAACAATTATCCTGTTTTTGGATTTTACCTGAAGCTTTAATCCATTTTTATTATTTCATAGATGGAACTTTTCTTGCTGACGAGCTCTCTCCGATCATTTGCTTTTGGTATGAGATTTGCAATGCATTTAGAATCTCAGTTGCACACAGTTCGAAACACACAAAATTGATCTATTTCTTAGCTTCCGCTTTTAGTTTGACTTTTTTTTTGTTTTTCCCTTAATTGTTTTGTTTTGGTGACATGTGAGGTTTCGGAAATCTGAAATTTTCAAACTTGGACATCCTTTTTTTTTTCATGAAGAGATCACGACCTGATTACAGATTCTTGTAATGGTTGTAACAGTAGTTGCAAGATGTTGTATCCGTTGTAGACATTACGTCAAGCTTAATGTCTCTAAGAACTCTTAAAATTTGCAGTTAACTGTGTTGTGTTCTGCATATTCAGAGCTCTAGTATGTGATTGATTTTTCATTTTCTTAAATAGGAAATTGCATAATGCTTGTGTGGAGGCATGGATCAACACTACAGCCATGTAAATGCCCCTTGTGTCGTCGTCCAATCAGTTTGCTTGTTCCTTCAGAGGACACAATCAGAGACCGTAACGACTCTGCGGTTGCTGAGGTTCTTGGTAGTCTTGAAACGTATAACCGACTCTTTGGCGGGCGTTCAAGTAGTTTAGTTCAGGTATATGTTATGCGCTCTCATTATCTCATCTCTGTATTCCAAGCTCTTAACAAGTCTCTGAGTTGTAATGACTAATGTCAAATCTCTTCTTGTTTCTTTGGCAGAGAATGCAAGATCTTCCCTTCTTACTCCGCAGGTTGTTGCGGGAAATGATGGATCCGCAAAGAACGCTTCCACTTGTCATCAGGGCTCGGGTCTATATCGCAGTTAAGTTCGACATTTATTCATATTTCTTCATCGCTCTGTTTACAAAGTTCAGTCATGTGACTAAAGCAGTTTCTTTGTATTGGATGCAGATGATTCTCAGTGGTGTTTACATCATCAGTCCTATAGATATAATTCCGGAAGGTGATTCGTCTTTTTTTATTGTTTTCATATGAATCATCATCTTTATCTCATTGTCTTCTCACAAATCTTTTCTTTGACTTAGGCGTTCTTGGGGTAGTCGGTTTGCTTGATGATCTACTCATAGCCCTGATTTGTTTCCTCCATGTTGCTGCCTTGTACCGCTCGGTTCTCTATTTCCGTCATGCCGGTTCGTGAATCAAATGAATGTTTTTGTCATTGTACGTCACAAGTCCAAGAACTAAGAGATGTACTTACTTTTTTTTTTGTGTATTTAGTGATGTTTTTGAATCAAATGTTTTACGAATCAAATGAATGTTTTTGACATTATACGTCACAAGTCCAAGAACTAAAGAGATGTGCCTACTTTTTTCTTGTTTGTGTATCTTTGGTCCTTTCCCTTTTATAAATACACATTTGTTTGTTTCGTTTGGCTAAGGAAACTGATAATGAGTGATGATAGATATGATCATAGAACAACAAAGCTTTGAAACACATATCAAACATAAGTCTTTTTAACTATTCCACTCATAGTTTTGTCAATTATGATTTGATCTCTTGACTCTGAAATGGATGATGGTGGTGGGATCATTAGGTTTTGAATCTGTCAAACAAGTTATATAGACACACATCTACATTTTTGAATATATTTTAAATTATTAGCTAACCTCGGGACTCATCTCTATTCAATGTTCTGTTTGATAAAAATATCAACAAGTTTAGTGAAATTTTACCTTCCAACAATGGCTTTCCTTGATGGAAATTGCAATTTTTTTCTTGACAAACATAATAAAATTGTCTTTTATATATTTCTTATGTTTTACTGATGATTTGCATAAATTTTGCTTATAAGTTGCTTAATTTTTACTTATTTTTATTTTGATGAAAATTGCAGTTCTTGATATATTACGTACGTAAATTTTTTTTTAAAAATGGATTATAAAATCTATAGGGATCACTAAACTCTGTTCGTTTCATGAACTTTTGTTAAGATTGTTTAAATGTGTCACTAAACTCTGTTAGTTAATAAATTAGATATTCGTGTCTTACATTGTTAACTTTGAATTCACTAAACTCTATCCCACAAGAGATATATATAAGAACCAATTCGTTGGTGAATGGCCTCGAGGAATGGAAAAGCTCAATCATCTAAGAATCTTTCATTGCCATGAGAACAATTGGCCAGCATTGGAATGTTTTCGCCTTTGGAAACGGTCGACATATCCGAAAACAGTTTTACAGGTGCCTTTCCGAGTTTGCTTTGTCTAAACAAAAAACTGTGAATCTGGGATGCCCTGGACAATAAGTTTTCCGGTGAGCATACGCCAACTGCAAGTCTCTGTGGAGATTCAGGGTCAGCGGAAACAGTTTTAGTGGTGAAGTTTCAGAAGGATTTTCGGTGATGCCGAAAGCAAAGTTGATTGATCTCACTTCCAATAGGTTTACCGGAATGATTCTTGCTGATATTGGTCTTTCGACTAACCTGGAAAAAAAAGTAGTTTATGCTAATAGCTTACGATGCTAAAAATAAGTGATGCTATTAGTTTTATCATCTTTGGAAGTGATGTTAATACATAATATCATTTATAACAAATGAAATAAAAATTTGCATCAATTAATATAAATGAAGTAAATAATTGTATCAGTTAATATAAATGATGTTACTATTTGTCTTGGTTATAAAAACTAATATCATATAAATTTTATTATATCATATATTTTAGTTGATAATATTATTATATTAGCTATAAATAAGTGACATTTAAAATTATGTAAATTTAAAATTTTGAATTAATTTTCAATACTAAATTCGAAATTATTAATATTTCTGTAATTATTATTCTAAATAATATATTTATATTGATGATTTAACTTATATAAAAGATAAAAAAAATTGGGTGAAGTTATTATATAGATGAGCAAACTACTATACTTCATCTTTCATTAGCGATGTGGGATAAATAGTTGTTTACTCAAAATTTTGTTTGCATCACTTTTTATAATTGAAATAAATATTAACATTATTTATTATTGATACTAATAAAATTGAGACAATGCTTCAGTTATGTAATGCTTCAGTTATGTAAATGATGTAAACACATATATTTGTGTCAGTTTTCTAAAATTGATGTAAATCATTATTCACTTGTATCATTTTTATTTTAAGTGATGTTAATCAAGTTAGTGTAGATATCAATTATTTTAAGTGATGTAAAATCATAAATTTAATATCAATCTTTAATAAATGATTCTAATTAGAGTCACTTAAATTTTTGACACTATATAAGTGATACTGTCTACCTAATTTTTTGTAGTGATTTACTTACATGCCACTACTTATTGTCGAAACATACATGTTCTTGGTTGTTGATCTTTGCTCAGTTGCATATGTCATTCTCTTCAGCTCCATCTAGTAGAATCCTTCTCTCATTTATAGCATTGATTTTTGAAATAACCTCTTTTTGTTTTGCTTTTCCATTCAGGATTTCGCCTACAATCAAAACCAAAAGAAAACTTTCTTACTAAAGATGAAATATTTAAGAGGAGAAACATCAGAAGATTTAAAACCGAAGGAAACCTAATTCTCTTTTGTACTCACTCCATGTATGCCAAAACAGTGAATAACTTGAAACCAAAGTAGGAAAAAATACAAAACTAAAGCCATAGCATGAAAATTAGAGAGTTAAACCAAGAAACATGTGTAAATCCAATATAGCAGTAGAGTTAATCCAAGCATATTGAAGTTTGCAGTTTAGTGTGATGTGTTCTGCATATTCAGAGGTCTGGTATGATGTTTCACTTGATTTCTCATTTCTTGAATAATTTTTTTCTTTAATAGGAAATTGCATTATGCTTGTGTGGAGGCATGGATCTACACTACAACCAAGCAAATGCCCCTTGTGTCGTCGTCCAATTAGTTTGCTTGTTCCTTCAGAGGACACAATCAGAGACCGTAATGACTCTTTGGTTGCTGAGGTTCTTGCTAATCTTGAAACGTATAACCGACTCTTTGGCGGCCGTTCAAGTAGTTTAGTTCAGGTATATCTTATGCCTTATGTTCTCTCTGCCTCTCTCTATCTCTGTATTCCAAGTTCTTGAGAAGTCCATGAAAATCTCTGAGTTGTAATGTGACTAATAATGTCAAATCTCTTCTTGTTACATTGGCAGAAGATGCAAGATCTTCCCTTCTTACTCCGCAGGTTGTTGCGGGAAATGATGGATCCGCAAAGAACGATTCCGCTTGTGATCAGGGCTCGAGTCTATATCGCAGGTAAGTTCGACATTATTCATATAACTTTGATCTCTCTGTATTGGATGGGTTGACGACATTATACGTCACAAGTTCAAGAACTAAGAGATGTGCTTACTTTTTTCTTGTTTGTGTATCTTTGGTCCTCTCCCTTTATAATATACACATTTGTTTGTTTTTTGTTTGATTAAGGAAAACTGTTAATGAGTGATTATAGATAGGATCATAGAACAAAAAAACCTTTGAAACACATTATCAAACATCATTCTACACATATCCTTATTCCTGAAACATACATGTAGTCTTTTTGACTTTTCCACTCAATAGTTTTGTCAATTATGATTTGATCTTTTGCATCAAGAAACTCTGAAATGGATGATGGTGGTGGGATCATTAGGTTTTGAATTTGTCAAACAAGTTATAATCGTAGTGAAATCAAGTGTGTAGTAAGATGTAAATTATATGTGGACTACAAGACATATAGAGGCATAATTTATTTGTCTCAACATGGTCACACGTGCATGGACATAGGTCGAGGATTGTGTTCACATGTAACACTCAAAGACACATACGCGTGAGAGAGTCATCTTTTTCATGTGCGTGTCCCAAAAGTGACGTTGCTCCACTGAACTCACCGCCTAAAACGTGTCTCCTTTCTTATGGCCTCATTACAAATTAAATGCATTTTTTCTAACCACATTGTCGATATCGTTTCTTCATCATTCGGTTTTATTATAACTTGTAAAAACAAAAATTAATGGAGATGGCATTTGGTGGTACTTATAACGGGTATTACATATATAAATAGTAATGTAAAGAATTGTCCCTGAAGTTGCATAATCTTTGTGTCTTGTAAACAAATTTATAATCATGACGTGACGTTGAGTTAATAGAGAGGTATGGAGACAGATATGCTCTTCTTATCAGCTTCTTCTCCGAGTCCGATCTAAATTGTTATCATTGTTGGACGGTCCTACAATACAAATTATAGACACCATACATCTACATTATTGAATACATTTTAAATTGCTAGCTAACCTCGGGCCTACTATCACTATTAGCTAGCTTATTTTCTTCTAACAGAAACCCTCTACTCATCTCTATTCAATGTTCTGTTTGATAAAATATCAATAAGTTAAGTGAAATTTTTTACCTTCCAAGAATGGCTTTTGCTTGATGGAAATTGCAATTCTTGATACATTATGTACATAAAATCTCTTATGAAAAGAAAAATCTCATAAAGTCTACAAAGATCACTAAATAATTGGTTCATTCTCTATAATGAAAGAAATCTAATAACTGATTCATTCTCTCAATGATGTATAAAGTCTTTGATATTCATCAGAAACGGAATGAATATATTTCATTATTAATAATGTGTAATATAAAATTGGAGATATTCGATTCGTAACAAAGAGAGGATAACATTAGAAAGACGGATGTAGAAAGAAAAGGACATCGAGGAGGTTAGACGATTCTAATCAAACTTCCCTTAAAAGGGTAATCGACGCAACAACATTTTAGTTTCACTTTTCATGTTAGGTTCTTTTAATTTATTTTCCAGACTATAAACTAATATTAACAATACAGAAGAATGAGATGCTCTTAGAAGTTAATAATGAACTTTGTTTCTACCCCTACACTAAAATAAATCTTGCATACGTACGATTAGGAAACCTAACACTGGGTTCCTCTTTAAATACAACATCATAAAGTTCTTAATGTTAATGTTCGTTTATATAGTAGCAAAATTAATATTGTTTATCTCATTCTTCTGTACTGTTAACATTCGTTTATAGTATGGAAAATAATATTGTTTACATATTCGTTTCTATATTAGCAAAATTTGTCAAATTTTTCATATTTCTTATGATTTGCATATGTTTTGCTTATATTTTCCTTATAATTTGCTAATGTTATACTTATTTTTTTTTAAAGTAAATTTTTGATGATCTTTTTTTTTTAATGTATGAATTCATCTTTTAATTCTAAATAATAATTTAGCTATTTTAATTCCATAATCTTGTCGGAGAATCGGTTGTGTCCCAAGAGTAGCTGACTCAGCTGAGTCGAAAGACCAATATGAGGAGTAATCTTCCCCAGTGAGGAAACGAAGTTCTCCGAATCCAGATAGAAACTCGCCCGTAAAGTTGTTTTCATGGCAGTCAAAGACTCTTAGATCATTGAGCTTTCCGATTTTTGGAGGCAATGCACCAATAAACTAATTCTTAGAAACATCAAATTCCTGTAAACGAGTTAGATTTATGATCTTCGGTGGGATTAGGGTTTAAGATGATCTATGATCATCAGCTAAAACTACATTAAGAAATCAATTCCATCTATTACATTATCAATTTGTAATGCAATACAATTGACATATACTCCAACATATGACATACATTATCAATTTGTTATGCTATACAATTGACATATGTTGCAAATCTTTTTAATAGCTTTACTAACAAATTTATTTATCAATTTGTAATGCTATACAATTGACATATGGAGTAATATTTATTTATCTTAAAAAGTATTCTACCCATATTAAATTTAAAACACAAAATAGACAAAAATAAGATATTAATAGTTTAAAAAAAAAGACAGTATAAATTAATTAATCAACATGGCCTACCCCTAGTTTAAATATATGGTGAGAGAGTGATCGAGAGAGTCGAGTCGAATTAAGATAAATGAAAAATATTTTTGGCTCCATATCTCATCGACAACCTTCTGTCTCTTCTCTTTTCTCTCTCTCATTTCTTGGAGACATCCTTCTCTGTATCTGTTCTTCACAAATATTCAATCTTCTGAGGTAAACCAAAAAAATAATATTTAATAAGTTTTCATTCCAGTTATCTGCGAATCAGTTGATCTGGTGTATTCAAAGAACCCCCTCGAAATCAGAACTACTTTTTACTTTTTGTTTTGTTGTTTCCCAAGAGATTGTACAGGAAAGTAGTCCAAGAAAATCACCCAAAAAGATATTTCCTTTCTTTTTCTGAAAACCACAAATCAAAATCCTTTCATTGCCCTCTTTTCTCTGTTTTGGATTGTGTTTATCTAAATTCTATCATTACCTTCAACAGATTTTAAGAAGGATCGTTCATCAAACTCAGATTCTGGATTGTTTCCACTTTCCATATTTTCCACGTATAACTTATTCATTATATTTTGTTTGATCTGTTGCTTTTCTTTTGAATCTTAAAGGCCTCTCACTCAAGTTTTTTTACTCAATCTATGGTTACTTGATTATCAAAAGATTGATATGATATATTCTACGAAAAAGTTGCAAATCTTTTTAATAGCTTTACTAACAAATAGGAGTAATTAGTTTATCCACTAATTATTATCTGTGAGACTGATTGTTTTTAAACTTGATTGTGTATGAAAATATGGTCGATTTTAACCCCCAAAAAATGAAAATATGGTGGTTGGTTTGTTTATTTCTTTTCGTTTTTTTTTTTCTTATGTAGGTGAATTCCAGTGCACTGACGACCATGATGAAGACCTAAAGCTCCGAATTGACCGTTTTCCCCTTGGAATTCACCATAAATGACGAGAAGACCTGACCTCCGACGTGGCATCTTTGCCACCGTGGCAGCCACGGTTCTCCTCTCAATTCTCCCGCCAAATGTTGAATCGACCGTTGAAACAGAAGCCCTGCTTCGCTTCAAAAACCGCCTCGACGACCCTCACGGCGTTCTACGATCTTGGAAACCCTCCGATTCACCATGCGGGTTTCACGGCGTCACATGCCACCCAATCTCCGGCGAAGTCACCGGAATCTCTCTAGGCAACACAAACCTCTCTGGCTCCATTTCTCCGGCGATCTCGGCTCTCACAAAGCTCTCTACACTGTCACTACCAAGTAATTTCATCTCCGGAACAATCCCACCGGAGATAGTCAACTGCACAAACCTCAAAGTCCTCAATCTCACCTCCAATCGACTCTCCGGTACAGTTCCCGACTTTTCCCCTCTTAAAAACCTAGAAATCCTCGACATCTCCGTGAATTTCCTCACCGGAAAGTTTCCGAGCTGGATCGGGAATCTGACTCGGTTGGTTTCACTCGGTCTCGGCAACAATCGCTACGAAGAAGGCGAGATTCCCAACAATATCGGCGGTTTGAAGAAATTGACTTGGCTCTACTTAGCCCGGTCCAACTTAACCGGACAGATTCCAGACTCGATCTTCAATCTCAACGCTCTCGAAACTTTCGACATCGCGCGAAACGCGATCTCAGGTGATTTCCCACCGTTGATCACGAGATTGGTGAATCTCACCAAGATCGAGCTCTACGACAACAGACTCACCGGCCAAATCCCACCGGAGATCGTAAACCTGACTCGTTTACGGGAATTTGATGTTTCCAAGAATCAGTTGACCGGTGCATTGCCTCGAGAAATCGGAAACCTCAAGGATCTCAACGTTTTTCATTGCTATGAAAACAATTTCACCGGCCAATTCCCCTTTGGTTTGGGAGAGATCCGTTTCCTCACCTCGTTGTCGATTTATCGGAACAACTTCTCCGGTGAATTTCCGGCTAACATCGGCAGGTTTTCGCCGTTGGACACGGTTGATATATCTGAGAACAAGTTTACAGGTCGATTTCCTAGTTTCCTATGCCGAAACAATAAGCTACGGTTCTTGCTTGCCCTGCAGAACGAATTTTCCGGTGAGATTCCGGGATCCTACACCGATTGCAAATCCCTAACAAGACTCAGGATTAATTTAAATCGTTTCAATGGTCATGTTCCTGAAGGTCTCTGGGCAATGCCGCTTGCTAAGATGATCGATCTCAGCGATAACAGCCTCACCGGAGAGATTACTCCTCATATCGGACTTTCAACTGAATTGAGCCAGCTACTCTTGGAAAACAACAGATTCTCCGGCAAGATTCCCGGTGAACTCGGAAAACTAACCAGTTTAGAGAGGGTTAATCTGAGCAACAACAGTCTTTCCGGCGAGATTCCGGCGGAAATCGGTTATTTGAGACAGTTGACTTCTCTGTATTTAGAGAGCAACTCATTAACAGGTTTGATCCCCATTGGATTGACAAACTGCGTCAGACTCGTTGACGTGAGTCTTGCCAAGAACTCTTTGACCGGAGAAATCCCAAACAGTTTATCTCAGATGGCTTCTTTGAACTCTCTTGACCTCTCAGGGAACAAGCTAACAGGAGAAATCCCGGCGAATCTTGTAAATCTGAAGCTTAGTTTCATAGATTTCTCTGAAAATCAACTCTCGGGAAGAATACCACCGGATCTTTTAGCTGTTGGAGGAGCCACCGCGTTCTCACGCAACGAAAAGCTCTGTGCTGATGACCATAGCGTGGAGCAATCAGCTCTGAGACTATGCAGCGGCGACGAACATGTGCGGAGGAATCGCTCACTCGACCTAACGCTCTTGTTCTTGGCTCTCGCAGTTGCCGTTGTAGTGCTTGTTACCGGTCTGGTCGCGTTGCGTTACAGAGTGGTGAAGATACGCGAGTACGACTCGGAGAACGGAGATATCAAGAACGCGTCGGAGGGGACATTGAAGATCGCCTTGTTCCATCAAATGGAGCTGGACGCTGAGGAGATAAGTAGGTTGGATGAAGATCATTTGATCGGAGCTGGAAGCGCGGGAAAAGTGTACCGTGTTGATTTGAAAAAAGGCGGCGGGACGGTGGCGGTTAAGTGGTTGAGGAGAGGAGGAGTGGAAGAAGACGGGACAGAGGTCTCTGTTTCGGAAATGGAGATTCTTGGGAAGATCAGACACAGAAACGTGCTCAAGCTCTACGCTTTTCTTGTCGGAAGAGGTTCTAGCTATTTGGTGTTTGAGTTCATGGAGAATGGTAACTTGTATGAAGCTCTTCGTCGGAATCTTAAAGGTGGATTACCGGAACTTGATTGGCACAAGAGGTACTCACTGTTTGTTTTCTCATATGAAGTATGTATCCAAGATTACAATTGATTGAATGTTTTTGTCTGAAAACAGGTATAAAATTGCGGTAGGGGCTGCTAAAGGAATTGCATATCTGCACCATGATTGTTGTCCTCCGATCATACACAGAGATATAAAGTGTAGCAACATTTTACTTGACGGAGATTACGAGTCGAAAATAGCAGATTTCGGAGTTGCGAAAGTTGCTGACAAAGGGTGCGAATGGACCTGTGTTGCTGGGACTCATGGCTATATGGCGCCTGGTGAGTTTTATAAACTTAACCATCGTTTTGGTTTTTTTACTTGAAAACTGATTTTTTGTTGTGATGTGATGAGTGTAGAGCTGGCTTACTCTTACAAGGCAACGGAGAAGAGTGATGTGTACAGTTTTGGTGTGGTTCTTTTGGAGATAGTGACGGGTCTACGTCCGGTGGAAGACGAGTTCGGAGAAGGAAAAGACATTGTTGATTATGTCTTGTCTAAGATTCAACAAGATGGGAGGAACCTTAGGGACGTTTTGGACAAGCAAGTTTTGTCGTCTGACGTACAAGAAAGCATGATTACGGTTCTGAAAATGGGTCTTCTCTGCACTACGAAGCTCCCGAATCCACGACCAAGCATGAGAGAGGTCGTGAGAAAGCTTGACGATGCTGTTCCTTGTGTCTCAAGACAGAACCGGAAAGATTATAGTATAGGTTAATGAGTCAATAACCGGGTTAGGTTCATTTCCCGGTTTGGTTAAGGCTAGTCATAAAAGTTTCAGTTTATTCTGAAAATCAAAACACTTTCATATGATCAACCTTTTTCATTGAAGATATGAACTTCTTGTTCACTACTTCCGCCTGAAAGTTTGATCATTAGGTACAAATCTGTCAGTCAATTTATATATATAACAATGTGCTTATGAGTTTTCACTACTAAGAACATCTCTTCCATATATCTTCATGTGATTGACCAGTTTATAATGGAGGAGAAGTAGGAACAGTTACCGATTCTTTGTTCAGTCTCAAACAAACGGCGACTATGTCAGCTTTACCCGTGAACGTGTAAATGTCTTCATGGCTACCTTTTTCATCAACTAGATTACTAGCTGAAGACAGAAGTAAACATATTTGTTATGTTTTGCATTACTAGCTGAAGACAGAAGTAAACATATTTGTTATGTTTTGCATATTTTTTGCTTATATTTTGTTTATAAATTGCTTATATTATACTTATTTTTTTTTGTAAAGTAAAATTTTGACAACTCTTTTCTTTTTTTATGTATAAATTAATTATTTATTTCTAAATAACAATAGTTTCTTTATTCTAATTATTACTAAACCAATTGTTTCAATTAGAATAATTAAGTATTTCAATTGTATTGGTCATTTGTAGCATTTATTCATATAATTATTATTCTCCGATGATTCAATATTTTATTGTTTTATTGTTGGTATTTTCATTTGATTGAATGTCCTAAAACAGGTATAAAATCGCCGTGGGGGCTGCTAAAGGAATCACATATTTGCAAGGCTGGCTTACTCTTACAATGCAACAGAGAAGAGTGATGTGTACAGTTTCGGCGTGATTCTTTTGGAGATAGCGACTGGTCTACGTCCGGTGGAAGAGGAGTTTGGAGAAGGAAAAAACATTGTTGATTATGTCGTGTCTAAGATTCAACAAGATCGGAGTCACCTAAGGGACGTTTTGGACAAGCAAGTGTTGTCGTCTGAGGTTTAAGAAACCTTGGCCTACGGCATCTGATTTGATATGATACGGAGAGACCCAAAATTACAAATATTTTATTTATGTTACTTGTATAAAATTGATTTTATATTATGTTTGTATTCACTATGTAGATTTTTCATTTCTTTTACTAGTTTCTTCTTCCCTATTTTGTATTTCTGAACCAAAATAATTACATCCGTTTTAGTTTTTTTATTTATACTTGTTATATAATTTAAATGTACATGCTATAAAATCATTTTATTATTACAAATTTGTTTAAAAAACACCGTCTATTTTTCTTGTCACAAATTTATTTTTTTTGTGGTAAGGACTCTTTTTTTTTTGGTAAGGACTTGTCACAAATTTATTATTTAGATAATTTTTTTTTTTTTTTAATTTGCCTACGGCATTCAAAACTCTGCAGTTCTATGCAAAGCCGTGTTGTTCCTTGCGTCTCAAGACAGGACCGGAAAGATCATAGTATAGGTTAAGAGTCAATGAGTCAATGAGTCAATGAGTCAATGAGTCAATAAGTCAATAACCGAGATTAAGTTAATTATCCGGTTTCGTTAAGGCTAGTCATAAAAGTTTCTGTTTAGTTTGAAAATCATAACACTTTCAATATCTATAAAATTTGTAGAGAAAAGAGACTTCGATTAATTTTCTCCAGTAAAACATAGTAAAACACTGTATAATATACACATTCTTATGAAGCAATAATTGTTCATGTCATCATCATCAATTGACGAATTCGATTCCGGTGAGAGGAAGTCCTTTATGCATTTGCAGAGCAACATCTCCGGTGACCTGCATTTTATACCAGTTGAGTTTATCAGAGTCTGTTTTCAGACAAAATGAAGAAGATATGTTAAAGAGATTGTATCTTCCTCGGCTAGTGTTTTTACCTTGGCCATGGTTCTGTATGAATGTTCTGTAACTCCAGCGACGTGAGGGGTTATGATCACATTCTTAAACTTCAAAATGGGATCATTCGGATCAAACGGCTCAGACCACGCCACGTCGATCCCAAGGCCTCCTAGATGACCGGACTCAAGATTCTGGTAAGCTGCTTCATAGTTTATCAGACCACCTCTGGAGATATTCACAAGAAGTGCACCCTGAAACATCAAAAGAGATGATCACCAATCATCAATCACCACAATCTAATAAAAAACTTGGTGTTTTGGTATATATATCACCTTTCTCATTGAAGATATAAACTTCTTGTTCACTACTTCCGCCTGAAAGTTAGATCATTATGTACAAATCTATCAGTCAATGTTACATAACAACTTGCAAAAGAGTTTTCACTACCCAGAACATCTCTTGCACTACCGTTTCTTTGTTCAGCCTCAAACAAACGGCAACTATATCTGCTTTTCCCGCGAACGTGTAGATGTCTTCATGGCTACCTTTCTCATCAACTAGATTACTAGCTGAAGACAGAAGTAAACATATTACTAGATCTCGAGGTACCTGTGTAAAGATAAACAGAGGAAACAGAGGAGTTATAAACAGATAACTCATACAATCTGAGTCGATGGTAGAATCAGGCCAGCTTCTCTTCGTAGCTATTACTATCGAACCAAATGGCTTCAACCGTTTCGCCAGTTCAATTCCAATATTACCATATCCCAAGATAAACACCTTTACAATAGAAAGAAAAAACACAAACCATTGTAAGCTATAAAAACCAAAGATAAAGAATGAAAGTTCACACTGAGACTCACAGTTTTACCGAGAAGTGTGTCACCGGTTGGTTCTCCAAGTAGTCTGTTTCTCACAGAGAGTTGCATTTCGTTCTGCATGAGAATAACATGCCGTAAAATCAAGATCAAAAACTAGAACTTGATTTGCGAGGTTAAGAGGTATGCTAATGAGAACCAAACAAAAGACAAATCAGATAAATGCACCACCTGTTTCTTAAGAAGGCCAAGCATTAGATAGATAGCCATTTCAGAGCAAGATGCTGCGTTTCCAGTACCTTCACTAGGAATCCTAGCGACTTTGATCCCATGTTTCGTAGCAGCATCAATGTCAACACCTTTCACAAGTAAATTACATGAAAATAAGTTAAATAAAACTGAAGCTTAAGATGGGTCCATCTATCAAAAATACTAATGGACTTCAAAGATACCTTCGAGACCAACACCGTACTGCATAATAAGCTTCATCTTGCTCGCACGAGATATAACATTTGAATCCAATTTCATCATCATAACCACACATATATGATACTTCTCTATCACCTCAGGTACATCACAGTGATGGACACTATCGACCTACATGAAACCAAACCAGTAAAAATAAATCAAACCATAACAATCTTGATTCTGTTTTTCAAAACCAAATAGCACCTACACAACAAATAACTAATCTTGGAGAGTAAAATTGAAAACTTTAGTAAATTGTGCATTTTTTATACCTGAATATAAGGGAACTGTGTGCAATACTCTCTGGTGAAATTGAATGAATCAGGAAAGTGAGGACCACAAAACAGAACACGAGTTACATTCGTATCATCTTTCTCAACCATTCTCTCTGGCTTAATCAGCGTACTCTGCCTAATGAAACATCATAAAACATCTAAGTATGACGAATTAACAAGAGCATCATCAATTACGCGACTATATAACATCAATTACTGAAATTCCCACTAATTAAGTTGAAAAGAGAATTTATAGATTGACAAAATTCGTCGAAGGAAAATCGAAAATCGGTAGTGAATCTGTGAAGAATCGGGACGAGTTTTTGATTCACCTGGAGATTGAGCGAGCTTGGAGAGAGTAGATGATGAAATCGACGCTTGATTTTCTGTTTCGAAACGCGGCCTTGGCGATTTTGTGCATTATCGCCATCACTCTCACTCTGTCACATTTGAAACCGTTGATGTGTTTTTTTGCTTATTTTCTCACGCTTTACATTATTTACAGAATTTACCCGCATAAATTAATTTACTACAAATCAGCCCACACATTTCATATATATATTCTGTTAAACCCTAGTTCAGCTGTTCATAACAAAATCCATGTTTTGTATTCTTTTATTTTATTTTTGTAGTAACTGATGTACATTATGAGCACAAATTCAGACTAATCATCGAGATATTATAAAATAAGATATCTTTGACACTTAAAAAATATATCAATTTAGTTCCATTCAAGCAAAACACAAACTACTAGGCCATACGTCGTTGTGTTTTGTATTTTAGTTTCTGATAAATTAGATTTTTTTATAAAATTGTAGACCACAGAAAGACAAGAGCGGACCTCGCATGTTTCCGTGACATTATAATTGAAAATGAAGAATGCGAAAATAAAAAAAAGACAATTTATGTACAGAGACTTTTTTTCTCAATAGCCAACAATTACACAATTTTGGTCTACACAGGACTAGCATCACCAGACCGTAGGTGATCCGTCGAACGTTCACCGACGTCTTTCTTACCAAGAAACAACCGATCAAACGGTGATCGCATCGCTAGAAGCAAACCTTTAGGTGTACCAGCACGCACCTCATCACTTGGAGACGTAACGATCGAACTAGTCCGGTACGGAGGAGTTATAGAAAATGGTCTACGGTCTAACCGGCCATCTTGATCAAACCGCTCATAGTAGAAGTAGTTTGTATCAGTCTCTAGGCTTCCGGTTCTGTACCCTCTCGCTGAACTCATCACTTGAGGAAACGCCACGTGGCCTTTTGAAAGTGTTGGGTTCACGAGCTTATTGTGAAGGTCTTGCGGTAACCTAAGCGTGAACCGGTCGAGATTCTCCGCATGTTGACCGGTTAAATCAGAATTAGTGAACATTCCAGCTAAATTCCACCCGGTAGACATAGACCTACGTGGCATACTCTGGTTACCGGTCAACGCTACCGAGTCAATCAATCGTGCGTCGGGAGAGCCCAAAACCCGAATCCGATCACCGGACCGATCAGAACTGGGAGGATCGTCGACTAAACCGGGTATCTGGATTGAAACAACGGTTTCGCCCGGTATGGGGACGAGATTGGCGCGGCAGAGAGGACAAGTGGCGTGAGAGCGGAGCCAAGCGTCAATACAGCCAGGATGGAACACGTGGCAGCATTTAGGAATCAAACGCAGCGTTTCTTCCTCCTCGAACTCGTTTAAGCAAACAGGACACTCGAGAGCTTCTTTACCGATCCTGAGCGTCTTCACAGCGGAGTATCGGAAAGTCGGAAAAGTCTCGATGACGGACGCGTCGAGTCCACGCACTTGCGGACGGCTCACGGAAAGCCAGTTTCCGCCGCCGCCGACGTTGGCGGAGTGTGCGTTGTTCATCCCCATGACTTGCTCGAGACACCTACGGATATAGACGGAGAAAAACCCTAGACCGAAGAAAAGGCTCACGAGGACGATCATGAGTATCGCCATGGTTGGGTCGAACCGGGAGCTTTCTCCATACATATCTGAATCACCGTGAGAGGCTTGAGCCGCGGCGTGGCCGGAGAAGAGTAGGAGAAAGAGGAGTAGCTGTAGGATCGAACCATGTTGACCGATGATCGAACGGTTGACATTAATTCTTGCTTTGAGGTTCATGAGGAACAAGATTTAGCCGGTTTGGCTCTCCGGTCCATGCAACAGTCCTATGAATTTTATGAAAAGTGTGAAGATCGAAGGAGATGATGTGATGAGAACGAGAGGAACATTAAGAGACACTGCGATTTGAGGTTGCTCAATGGTTACAAAGGGCCTTTGTGGTTGGTAGGTTGACTTTGAAGTTTGAACAATGGCACTATTTAACAGATGTTGCATAATAACTAATTAATATCTTATAAATTAAATATATGATATGATTGTGATTTTTACATCAAGAGGTTGAGATGTATTTATCAATGGAGCAACCGGCTAGTGTAAATATCGCCAAGATTTGTTAATGTCTTTTTTTTTTCGTTTTTTACAACTCCAAGATTAGTTATCGTTCTTGTTACATAAGTATTCTTTTTCTTCATATATGTCCAAGTCCTTTCTGCTTTCTTAAGTATTTTAATCTTTTAGGTCTATCCCACTTTCAGCACGTACATAGTCGTCAACTTCAATACATCGAATTTAAAGTCATAATTGTTTTTTCAGAGATTTTGATATATCACAGAACTATAATGGTAACCTCTAGAAAAACCAGTGGGTGTGTGAGATGGTGGTTATTTGGTCAAAATAAGATTTCAAAAGTTGCATGTCTAGAAGAGGATTTGCATTTTGGACTATTGGTTTTGTTACGCAATTAGGCACGAAAGCACGTTGACTAACAAAATGAATTATATAAGTGATCACTAATTTGGCATTGCATCGTGCTTATCCCATGTCGTCATCACGTCGTTTTCCAATTATAGATTATGTATCCTTTTAACAAAAATGAAAACAAAAAGGTTATCTATCGAATAAGTCTATAGGTTGATACATGCGCTTGTTGAGCATATTTAAAAAAAAAAAATACTACGATTTTAGAGCCTCTATCTGATCATATCCGTATGGAATAATGATTGGATGACTTTGACAACGCGTTTTTTTAAGAAAAACCAAAGGCATATGAAGTTAACCACAGCTGAAATATTTGCTAAAAAAGTCATACGATAAAAGATAAAATAACTGCCAAGCTTTTGTAAGCAAGGCACTAAAGAGAAAGTGATGAACAAAAAACATTAAAAAAAACTAATGGTGTTGTAGATCTTCTCATGACGAGTATTTTGTGGTAGAAACAACTACAAATTCGACTTCAACTTTCAAAGATCCTTCTTTGTCCAAGTAACCCTTCTGAAGTCTATCTAAAGACACAAATTCATTCCAACCCCAAGCTGACGAGTCCTTGTCCCATCTTTGACCTGAAAAAAAAAGTGAAACAAAATGTAGTCTCTAATGAATATAATAGTTAGTACGTACATCACATATATTATCTATTCTCATGAAGAGGTATATAATTTGTTAAAATGAACGTTACGACTTACTCAAATTCTTACTAAAGTGATTGCATCCAAACGGGTCGAGAATTCGAAAATCCACTCCCCCGTAAATCTCCTCTCCCGCCTTCATTGTTCCACTATCAGGTAAATGCAGAAAGAGAGATAACCATTGGCAATACGTTGTAGAGTAGCCCTTGGGATACAACTTAAGAACCCTGAAAAACCATTGTCATATTCATGTTTAACACATATATTCCATAGTCATGTTACTATTTCCATACACACTAACTCACCAATTCTTTCCTCCAACTAAGAATTTTTGTGATTCGTAGCAATGATCTTTCGACTTAGAGAATTTTGGAACCGTCCAAGATAATTTAGGATTAGAGGGTTTCTGAGAAAAGGAGACAACGTAACTTCCCAGTTGGTAAGTGGAACCATCACATCAACACCAAACTCGCATTCATCTCCGTCGAAGACATATCCGTTGTTAGGATCATTAAACGTATCAAGCGGAAGCACTTGCGGGGATCCCCACACCGGTCTTACTGCATTGAACTGCTTCCCTTCAACATCTGAACGTCACAGATTATATATATTCATCAATAAAATCTATATACATTATATGTAATAGATCTAGCTAGGGTTACGAACCTTGAATTGTTAAGTATTTATTGATTTTCTTGTTGTAGACGAAGAAGGTAAGATATGCCAAAACAGTGGACGAGAGGTTTGTGTTATCTAGTTCCACATACATTGAAATAAATTCGGTCCCGTTGTCCTTCTTGTTCCCTTTTGGATATATCACCAGTTTCCTGATATTACAAAAGGATGAAAATATTAGTATACTTTGTTACAAGAAGTTTGTATATATATATATATATATATATATATATATATATATATATATATATATGTCCAATAATTACACGACTAAATTACCATTTGTATTTTCCGGAAGAGAATGTACGGGATTTGTATCGTCAGTGCAAGGGAAGAGACTCTTGAGTTGGGAGAGGCTTTGGATCTTCATGGAATATGTAGAAGGAAGACGATCGCCAAACTTGTTCATCATTGTAGAATTTGCTCCTGCGCATGATTCTTCTGTTTTTAACATTCTGATGCAGCTTATGAGAGAGAGAGAGAGAGAGTGTTTGAGTGAGATCAGGGATATAGGAGGTTCTAGAAAGATCTAAAGATATTATGAAAATATATTGTAGGGATTTGCATATATCTTTATATGATTCTGTTAGTTAGTAATAAGTGGAAACTGTTCATATAATTCTCTTTTATATTGATAAAAAAAAAAAAAAATTGGGAAACGATAGTTCTATATGAGGGCAATCAAAGGGAAGAGAGTCACAACCTTTGATTTGGTAAATATCAAAGCTTCCATCATAAGCTCTCATCACTTCAATATGGCTGACAGAATATGATTTTCTTAATCTTCCATTACATAGAGAGATACGTCTATAAAAATTATGATAAAATCATAAAAATGAGAGAACGCTATCCCTAGCTAATTGGATTATCTTAATAATTCATTTAGTGGAAAGCTTAAAGATATAGTGAGTTTTCTCCACAAGAAAAAATGTAACTAGCTACCAACTATAATAAACTGGTAGGTGGTGGACCTAGTTGATTAAAAGTGAATATAGTTTTAAAGTTTTCTAACCGGATCACTTAATTAACTATATAATACCGTCCGCAAGGTCGTTTTCCTAATTTTCTAACAAAATTGTATTACTAGTTTTATAAGAATACTATATTATGTTTAATAAATTATTATGAATAAGTCATATGATTTCATGAAGAAATTGTGTTCTTGTTTAAATTGCTATAAGTCTTACTAATCTATATATGTTGACTTAAAGCTCAATTGGTTTTAACGCAAAAGTTATAACTACGAGTGCGGATATGAAAAATTGCGAAAACTAATGATTACAGTTCTATAAACATCGCTTTCCAAAAGAGTAATATTACGGGCCTAGAACTTATGATCATAAAAAAATAATAAAAAAGGATGGAAGCTGATATATTTTTACAACAAATAATATATGTCGAATATTGAATTGGTTAATTTGATTTGATAATATTTTCTTAGGATAAGTTTTTTTAACATCTGTCCATCATTGCAGATAATCGACATAAGGAGATTATGATCTTAAACGTTATAAAATCCTATACAAAAGCTTCATATGCTTTACAACTGCAACCGTCCAGTATCCACGGGTTGTTTTGGGACAGCTGATACATAACCTTGTCCCAAATAAATGGACCCATCTAGGTAACATGAAAGGCCCATTTATTTCTAAGTTTATGTATCCCATTAGTTTATATACAATCGATTAACACTATTTTTAATAGTGTATTTTGTTGAATCTATCTCTCTCATTTTTTTTAATTTTGGAGAAACCTCATATTTCTCAAAATGAAGAAAGTTCGTCGAAAAGTAAAATGGAGAAAGTTTGGACAACATATATTCAAATGTTCCCATCAATTGATTTGCTCTGTTCTTTTGGGAGCCAAAAGCCGAAAAAGGAGATTTAATAGCAAATAATGCCAGTTTTTGTCATTTGGTTTTACATTATTTTTCGGAATGAAGCTATATATTGAGTTAGCAGTCGTTCAAAAAGAAAATGCTATATACAAGTTAGTATTTTGTTGTTTTGGAAAGTCATCTTATGTAAGAACGTGTGTGTGTGTGTGTGTGTTCGTTCGCTCGAGCTCGTAGATACGAGCATTGGCCCATGGTCAAATGCATCCCCACGAGCCACTTGCAACAAACACGATCTACTGTATGTTGCTCAGCTAATAAATTCAAGCCCTACAAATCTATGTGTATAGTAACAGATGTACGGTTTCTAAGGAAATTATTTACTATAATTTAAGAATGACTTTCACTCGCTTTACAGCTAGCTAAACTCTCATGCTGAGAGCCTGCAAGGCTGCAAGTCTGCAACTATGATCTGTCCTAATTATATATCATATCATTTTTAGAATAAGACCCCTATAACTCCTAACTTTGTATAATATTTGATGGAACGAAGATCGTTAGTCAACCATCAGATCATTGGGCTCCATAGCATGTGATGAGGTTTAGTCTTTCATTTGAGCCAAAAACAATACGGAATTTTGTTTAAATTCTTTTTTTTCTCAACATGTTATTTTCTTTAAATCTTGTGTATATATAGACAAAATTTTGTTTAAATTTCTAAGCATTAATTATTTGTTCTATTCATCACAAAACACGAGAATCCAATTTTTGCGTAATTTTGTTTAACTCTTGTAACGTGAAAATACAAAACTTTATGTAATTTTGTTCTATTCATTACTTTTGTATAAATCTTTTAAGTTCTTTGTTTAAATTTCTCTGCCTTCTTTGTTCTACTCATTACTCTGCATTTGGAATTCACATGAAAACCACACACACACACACACACACAAATCTTGTTTTTTTCCTCTTGTTTTGAACTTTTGAGCTTAAAAGGGACAATCTTTGGAATCTGGAAACACTAATAATCTAGAAATCAGAGTGTGGTTTTATAAAACTAAAAACAAGCAACACTAAATTATCGCCATGATACGTGTGGACCACAAGAAATTAGAATTTTATCCCGGCGATGCATAGCTATGGCAATCTAATTTTAAGACAAATATAGTAATTTTTTTTTTTGTTAACAGAATATCACACATGACTCGAACAAGTACGAGTTAGAATTTCAGGTAGCGGGGTTTCCGCTTAAACCACATGCTCATCTCAACATTTCAATTTAAAACATTGATTAGGGTGTTTGTTGCCATGATGCTTAGTTGTAAGCTATGCCGTTTTTTTAATTTACCAGCTATAGTTTCAATATACAAAGGGATGCTCCAGTTTTAATAACAGCAATTTAAAGCATTTTCGTGCGTATACGTGGTCAGGGTTCTCTGCTATGTATAGAAAACAAAACTTTGATTTGATATTCCGGTCTCCGTTAGCAATCATATTTGTTGTATATAGATCAAACATATAGTAACAAAAACGTCCATATCCATCTCTAGATAGTTGATATTGATATATATATATATATAGAGAGAGAGAGAGAGAGTACAAGTGCATACAGTTTTGATTCTCTTCTTTTTCTTTTCAATACAGTTAATGTTATTTTGATTTGTAATCCTGCTAATGTTTAAATATTGTACACTATAGGGTTGGTGTTATTCATTGTTATATGTGTGTGGCATAAATCTCAAAGGTACAATTAAAAATATGACTATTTCATTTTTTAAGATTCAAATACTCTATAGGTAGATAAAGATCTAAATATCCATCGAATGTGAAGATTTTCAAGATCTGTAGAACAAATAGATTTATTATTTGTAAAATAATATTTGCATGGTCAGGCTAAATAAAAAACAAAACAAAAAATGAATCGCCGTTTTCTAGTAGTTGAGCTGGAAATGCGCTTATGGGCATTTATTTATCTTCGAAAAATATAATCTGATTTAGACTTACTGTTTTCGTTGGGACTGATTGCTAACAATCATTTCCGTTGGCGCAAGTCCGACTACAGCGACTAAATTCGTTTCTTTTCTTTCTTTTTTTTTGTTGTTAAAAGACTAAATTCGTTTCGGATGAATATGTTTGGTAGCCGTCGTTTGATTTGTTTTTAAAAAATAAGAATGTTTATGTGCTAATGTGTTAGTAAGAGAGTACTTTTCCATATTTTATACACATATATGATTGCTTTTTATGCGTAGTGTTGTATACATGTCTATCAATATGTGATGGGGGTAGTCGACATTTTTTGTTATAATATATTGGGGAATATTCCACGTATATCAATATGTAGGAATATGTATGGGGCAGTCGATATATTTGTTAAACATTGAATTTTATAAAGTTAAAAAATAAAGAAAACATTGAATCTTATACTTAGTTGTTCTTCCGATTATATTATATAGTTCAATTTCCTTACTGTAGTATCATTTTTTCTCAAAAATGAGTTACTAAATAGTAATTTGTTTTTTTAAAAAAATAAAAAATATTATTAAGAAACTCTTATAAATCTTTACTGGAGATTATAGGCCACCAGAATCCTTTTTTTTATTATTTTTCTGATAAAGGATTTTCAGGCCAGTAGAATCTTATAGGAAAAATTAGGCTAGTACTCTAGTAGTCATTAAGGAAAAGTAATTAAGTGGAATATCTTTTGCCACATGAATAGTCGAAAACACTATCACCTCCATCTATGGGAAACAAAAAAAATGGTTGTTGCTGATATCACACATTAAGGTCATTTTTGTTAATTTTATAAGTATGTTACATGTTATATCCACTCTGGCCTATCACTTGTTTAAGCCATTTTGTCAGTTTAAGGTTTTTAATGGATCCTGAATTACTGATGCTAATTTCCCATCTGTCTATTTCACCAAGACTTACTGTATAGATACGAGTTTCTATGCAACAAGTCCTAAAGTAATGGTCTAAACTCTAAACCCATGAGACTAGCTAGTGTGTTCGCATTTGTCAAAGTGCGGTAAAACTGTAGAAACCAAATTAAAGAATCAGACTGAGTAAGCATCCTATCAATAAATAATCATTTTAAACATATGCGTGTCATAATCCGACGAAGATATGGCCAGTGCATCACGAATCATGTACAAAATGTATTAAACTAAATAATTACGCGGTTATTTTTAACTAATAACGACATGAGAAGTGTAGAAAAGCGTGCATCTAACTACATACGACAAAGGAAAAACTTGCGACGTGTAATTTGAGTATGTCCTCGAATAAATTAAGAATTACAAGATCGCTGTTACACTTAAACACCGTAGTGCCCTAGATTATCTTTGATTATGTTATAATTTAGCTAAAGTTGGACAGGCATCTGATAAAATTGCATACATAAATAATCATACACTGATAATATCACATTCTCCAAGGAAAAACCTCGTCGTTGTTAGTAAAAAATGCATGAAAAATTTATATAAATAGTAGTATTAAAATCGCAAACCATCAGAAACCACAAAAACCGTATGGAATGTCTTGCTGGAAATTAGAGTCATATCGAAATTTTAAATTTTATAGAGCCAATAGAAAACGATATATATATTAGTATTCCATCCACTCAAAGGTGTCAGGCTTAATTAATAACTAGTTTGTACGGATGGAATATAGATGGATAAAACATTTATACTACATTTTAACGTAAATTACTTTACATAAATACATTAGTTAATACGTATGATTAATATACTGTACTAAACAATACTCCATTATATTACGTGAAAACATCAATACATTAGTTAATAACGAGAGAAGACATCAATCTTCGGAAACTTACTTAAACCTTTGGGAAAAAAAAAACTAATTATTAGACCATTTGTTTTAAAGTAAATAATAACTCATCAAGGATTTGATCAACTTTGGTGAATCAAGTGTGGTGAAACAAAGGATGTGATTAAGCTAGATGGGAAACAAAGACATTGGAAATGGAACTGCTGCAGAAAGCTACTCAACTTTTTGATCGGAAATAGAGACAGAGAGAGAGCTTTGGATTGTGTTATTGGGAAGTCCCCTCGGGAAACGAGAGAAGCCAATGTTTGAGACTATTATGAGAGAGAGAAGAGGAGAGTTTCACATGGCTCACTCCTCTCCCATTCTTGTTTCATATTTACTTCTTTGCCCCCATCGACAACTTATTTTTATAGAAGCTAGATTTAATACTGTTTTTCTAAAAGTTGAAATCGATGCGTCAGTTTACCCAAATTAACAACAAACAAAATTGATGCATGAGTTTATATTTTGATATATACGTCGGACTACTTTTTAAATATGGAATCATTTGACATTTTTGCATACTCCGAGCAAATCACTTAAAAACATGTATAATAGTTCTAAGGGTAGTTTAATACCTAAAATGTTGCATATTAAACATATATATCCTAGTTTGACCCCAAAAAAAAAAAAAAAACATATATATCCTTCAGTTTTTTAAGATAAAGGTAAGTTATCTGACTCGCATCCTGATAAAAAGATAGTACTCTCTTAATCAGTTAATGTGGTCAAATAACCAAGCATTCGGTTCATACAATTTGTTTTTTTATTCTTCTTCCTCGAAAGGGGCATCATTTAGGTTAACAAGTTGAAAGTAACATTACCTATATCAAGTATTGGATTTTCAGAGGATCGGATTTAGATATTATTTTAACGAATTCTAAAATCATAAATTAAAGCAAACAAAATTGGCAGTACATGAACATGATTCAATTAAACAAAGTTATATACGTGGATAAGTGATCCATCTATACTAAGTTGCACATGACGTTAAATGATTTCAAGAATTTTAGTGGTAATATAATTTTTTAAGTTGCTGACCTGTTTAATCTAATTTTTTTTCTAGTAGGAGATCTAGTTACTTGAAAATGTTATTGTATCTCCAGTTTTGTTCTTTAATATTTTAGAAAAAAAAATACTGACGTCCTATTTTTTTCTCCTTCAAATTGATGTCTGTACTAACTCTTGAAAATCTTCCATGTTCTATCTATTACACGATCCTTGAAAAAAATATCAAATGATTTTGCCGGGCTTTAACAATCGAGAAGCTATTTTTCCTTCTAGAGTACTTCTTGGATGGTTTTGAGATTATGGTATCTTTTATGTCGAGTAAAAATAGATAAATAAAACTATAGGTACACGGACTCAAAGGAGACAAGAGAATCATAGCTTAAGATTTATTTTCCACCGTGTTCTAAATAGGATTCTTTTGATCAGATGATTTATTTTTCTCTGAGATTTTTTGTTGGATTGTTGTCCTAATTTTGTTTTATAGCAACCCTAAGTGGTATCATATCCATCAAATTCTCACATCGTCTTTTTAGGGATTAAGTTCGATAACTATTAATGAACACAGTGATTAAATCAGACTAATAAAAAGGTGACACCTAGTTAATAGACAAATTAAGTTGGGCTATCATCTTCTTATAAGTTCTTACTTATGTCAACATCAATAATAACATGACATGATTACAACAATAAAGCAATTGCCCCACACGCCGAAATGTTATTCTTATTGCTAATCGTGAATTCTTTTTATGATGGATTTTGACCATGTAATTGGAAAGCAAATGTGACTGTTAACTCTCATCACTATTGGAAGTTCAGGTCATGGATTTCTATGGTCATCATTTTCATATCATAACATCCAAAAAAACTAGATAGTCGAATGATTTTGATATAAAAATAATCAGTTTGTAAACTCTAAACTCAGAAATCCAAATAATATAGTCAGTGTTCCATAAATATGAACTACTAATTAAAATATTCTTAGTTAATAGTTTTTGTAATTTACAATTAATTAACATTGGTTAATAAAGAATACAAAAGTAATTTAGGAAACTAATCTTTGCAGAACAAACAAAAAACCAAAAAAAAAAACAGCTTTATGGAATAGAGGGAGTATGCAACTAGTAGTTTAGAATTGATTAATGATTTTGGAGTTGATCAGAATTAGTTGTTTTGCTAAGATTCATGTAATAAAGGATGTTTTAGTTCCAAACATTGTTGAAAATATATTCTCTACAGTCGGATTAACAAATATCTATCTAAATTTGTGTCTATTAGAAAAAATGGTGTTAGCAAAACATTATATGGTGTAAACCAACGTATACAGTTTTTTTTTTTTGCATTGATAATATGGATATATTTTGTTGAAGCAATATTGAAAGAGTAATAGTAGTATTTATGGATCCAAAAACTTGGAAATATATTTGCTATTGAACAATATAATCTACTAGCTTGAATCATTGATCTGAATATACATATTGATTCAAAAATGAACTTTCACCCTATCATTAGATCCAAGAGTTGTATTACAAATTAAGCATTCGGACCCATGCATGGTTCTTGATGTTTTTTTACGGTATTCCATTAAGGGTAAGGTTATGTGATTAAACGATATGATTTCATAAAAAGCATAAAGCAGCGATCATTGTCTCTCCGCATGGTCCAAGGAAAAGATCAACCGTATTAGGAAGCCTTTCGATTTCGAATTTATAAAGCTTTAACGTCGGCTGATACATAGAAACAAAAATAAAAACTTTGATGTCAAGCTCACTTTCTCTCTATCTATACGCATTAGTACACACGCACTACAGAAGCAAAGTATTGTTTGAACACCGAAAATTAAAGGTGATATACCAAATAATTAATATCATCTGCAAATTTTGGAACTATATTTACCTTTCATTCGAATATAGCGACTCGCCAACTCGCATGATACAATAGAAACTCTATAAATTAATACTCGATAAATTAATAAACACGATAAATTAATAAATTTCTCTGGTCCCGAGTTGGGCCGGTGTAAAATATGACACAATTCGATAAGATAATAAGATAATAACTTTTTTTGAACTCCTATGTAAAATATGGTCCCAATAATATCATAAATTAATAATTATTTTTATTTATATATATATACACCTAAAATATCTAACTACTAAAATATGAATCTCTCACATACAAACATATATGGAAATTAAAAGCAAAAAAAGAATTTTAATAATATGGCAAGTATGAGAAAATGTAAGAATAAAGTAAATATAGAAACATCAAAAAAAAGTTAAGAAAATATATATATAAAGGAAACTTCTGATTTAATATTGAATTTTATTTTTTGAAAATATTTTTAGTCAAAATCTATATATTAATAACTCTATAAATTAATAAAATATCAAAGTCCCGACATTATTAATTTATAGAGTTACGGAAAAAAAAACATAAATTCGTAGCAACGTATAAAGTTGAGACTTCAACTTGTTAATATTTCTCTCTCCTCGAACATGAGTGTAACTTGACGAACCCCAAAGCCTGCAAAAACACACAGAATCTTTTCTATGGTTTGTGGACCGGTCTATAATCTCACGTGCAAAACAAAACATACAACATCTCTCTCTCTATATATCTTCCTACTTTTTCTTAACTCAATTGTTTTCGATTTTCTTCGGGACTTTCTTCTATTATTTTTTTCCAAACAAAATCAGCTTTATAACCTCACAAGCTTCTCCTCTCCTTCCATCGATCTAAACCACAACTTTGTCTGACCTTCTTGTTTCTTTTTCTCTTTCCTTTCTTCTTCAATTTTGCTGAGTTCTTTGGAGAAAGATTTTGTATAATTTTTTTTAATATCATTACAAGTTTAATTTCCCTATAGTGTGTCTTTTACCTTTTGCCTTGTCTCCCTCTCGAGACAAAAAGAGAAAGACAAACACTTTCTGTCTTTCTTTTTTCTTTTCCTCTCTCTCGGACTCTTTTCATATTTTTTCTGAGTGGATTATTATAATTTTTCAACAAATTTGTTAGGTAATTATGGCCTTGGAGGCTGTTGTTTACCCGCAAGATCCATTCTCCTACATCGCTTGCAAAGATTTTCAGTTTCACGACTCATACTTTCAACAAGAAGAAGATCGAGATCCACAAGACACCAAGAACAACATTAAGCTAGGGCAAGAACAAGGACAAGCGTTCGCAAGTAGTAATTACACCGGCAACAAAACCGCAGAGAGTGATGATTATGATTACAAAGAGGATGATCTTCAATGGCCGCAAGACGACCTTCCCTATGGATCCATCGTCGACATAGAGAAACAGCCTCCGCTGTCGGATGTGGCGACGGGAGGAGGGAGAAGAAAGAGGAGGAAGACAAGGAGCAGCAAGAACAAAGAAGAGATTGAGAACCAGAGAATGACTCACATCGCCGTCGAGAGAAATCGCCGGAAACAGATGAATGAGTACCTCGCCGCTCTCCGTTCTCTCATGCCGCCTTCTTATGCTCAAAGGGTTAGTCTCTACATACAAAAAACTTATATTGTATATTAACATATGTGTGTTTGTGCGAGAGAACGCGCGTGAGATTTTTAGTGTATTCTTCACGCGTGAAGATAAGAAAAGCAAAAAGCCAAAGCCTATGTTCTAGACTTCTACTTTCATTAGGACATACATAGGCTATATACATATAGATATGCATGTATGTATACATGTTTTAAACAATAAAAATTTGATAAAGATGATGGATTTATGAAAACCGTTATATATGTTGGCAAGAAAATAAATAAAACGAAATTCGTTATTTTCTTTTCATAGATATTAGATCATGTAGTCTCTTGAGTCTTGATAACTTTTTCGTTAGTGGAATTGTGGGAGCATGCATAAATAAAGTCTAGAACATCATTGCAATCGAAAAGGACTATTCATATGATTTAGGCATGATAAAATGGTGACAAAATATCTAAATACAAAAGCAATGTACGATATAGATTCGTTTGATTGTTTTTGAAAAACCTTTTGCAATTTCTATGGGCTTAACTTATGGTTGGTGGTGGTTAAAGGGAGATCAAGCGTCAATTGTTGGCGGAGCTATTAACTACTTAAAGGAGCTTGAGCAACATTTACAATCAATGGAGCCTCCGGTAAAGACCACCGCCTTAGAAGACGCCGGAGCCGGAGGAGACCAGACAAAAACAATCACCGCCGGCTCAACGGGACCATTCTCTGATTTTTTTTCATTTCCTCAATACTCGAGCCGGCCTTCGTCATCGTCGGTGGCTGAGGGGACGGCGGAGATAGAGGTGACAATGGTGGAGAGCCATGCGAGTGTGAAGATACTTGCTAAGAAAAGACCGAAACAGCTTCTTAAACTGGTCGCATCGATACAGAGCCTAAGGCTCACTCTACTTCATCTCAACGTCACCACGCGAGACAATTCCGTCCTCTATTCCATCAGCCTTAAGGTACATTTTTCTCTCTCAATCTTTAGTTTTTTTTTCTCTCATATTGATAGCTTCATAACAAACTAGAGTTAGAATGACGTATCACGTATAATACCGTTTTTAGGGTTTATTCTGTATTGCAAATCCCGATTAAAGTGGTATTAATGGCCTTACAGGTCACTAATATCACTATTCTGATTGTTAATGATTCATTGATTCTTCTCACATTCACAAAAGTTTAGTTCATTTAATGTGTCTCTTCTGTTTTCCTGTGACACATTTAATTTGTCTCTTATTATTTGTACGTCCTGTGATTAATTTGTCTGGGCCAAAAAAAGGTTTTGAAGAACAATAATAAAAATCGTTCGTATGTTTCGTTTTTTTACTTGGTTAGGGCTGGCCTCAATTATTGGGGGGCGTTCAAAATCATAATTTCTTATTTATTAAAAAATATAAAACAATTTTTTGAGTATCAAAATAATGATTCTTGTAAGAATCAGGGACCAAAAAGATGACATATGCCTATACATGTGTGTATGTGCGTATGTACATGTGTACTGTGGAAGTTTTGGTGGTCACAAAGAACTGTGGATGCACTGTGCACGGCAGAACGAAATGACGCCACTTGTTTCAGTACACATTCATAAGCTTCTTCCTCGAAATATATACATTTTCTTTTATTATTTTTCACTTAACTTTTTTTACTATATCAACCATTTTCATGTAATTTATATGTAAAGTTTTATTTGATTATTTTTAATTAAAAAATTGGGTTATTCAGGTTGAAGAAGGGAGTCAATTGAATACAGTGGAAGATATTGCAGCAGCTGTGAATCAAATCCTAAGGAGGATTGAAGAAGAGTCCTCCTTTAGCTAATATAGTTGAATTTTAGTTATGACACATTTAGAGGAACTCTAATTTTTCATGTGTGATCTTTTACTCTCTTTTTCCATATTAATAAATAAAAATAAAATAACTTTCCCTTGGTCTTTGTGTTTTGTACAGCTTCTCTTTTTATATATATATATATATATATATATATATATATATATATATAATGTGTCCTTTCCTTTTATTGTTCTTTATTTAATTTAATCCATCATTGAAATTTGAAATTTAGCATTTGCTTACGGAGACATGGATTTGTGCAGTGGAAATGGCTAGATGGTAAGTGACTGGTTCGGGAAATCCGTTTATATAGTTCAACTAATTTGTTTGCCGACATTATGGGTAACTCAATAGTATAATAAGATCATCGGATCAAAAATTATAATGAAATTGACATATAGTATTGGTTTAGAGATGTAAACAATAACTTAGAGCAAATTAGGTTATATATTTTTTTTTTGCCATTTTTTGGTTCGTAATTAATAGAATGATTAATCGTACACAGGCCAAATAAAAAATCGGCAGGCTTGTTAATTCATGTCTCACCAACAATGATGCTTTGTAAGACAATGGGGTTTTGGTAAAGGAAAATGAATATGATCATTCACTCCTATGACTTCAAGCTTTTTTCATGACTGTATATTGAATATATAAATGGTTTGCACAGCTTTAACGATGATTGTACTTTGACATTTTACATCATTTCGAACTGAAACAATTTCATTTGAACAAAATGTTATAGGGAAAAAAAGTTGAAAAAACCATATATATATACCAACCGAGACTACCGAGTCGGTTCCACAACCTTGCTTGTATACGTTTCATGCAGACACTTACCATTTTCTGTTGTTTTACCATCATTTTAAATTGGGTTTAACTAAAGGTTTTCTGTTGTTTTGTCAAACAATCATATCCCTTGAACTATATGATCTAAAAAAACTCATATATATATATATATATACTTCATACTTGTATTTTCTTTTTATGTAAAGGTTATCTTTTACATTTTCTGAATAGTTATTATTATTTTTTTCCTTAAGAAAGAAAACCAATGGAGTATCAGAAAGTTATTTCGTAGTTTTTAAATTTTATAGATCGATATTGATTTTGCGTAAAATAAATACGTGGGAGATTTTTTTTGCATTTGTTCTTCAAGACAGGTGATTAAATAGAAAACAAGAAACTTACGATTATGAAAGGCTATTTCTTCACTCTCTTATTTCCCCCTTTAATTAAATTGTTCATCACGTCGACGTCGACGCACAGAATAAGCAGTACGTGGGATTCATGCAACAAGACGTTGATGATTGTCGTATCATGAAGACCTATCTAATATCTATAGAATCTATGTTTTTCACTTTCAGGGTTAAAAGCCAAAAGCCAGAAAAAGAAAGGTAAAAAGTGAAGCCTACCCATGTGATTACACAAAATCAAAATATATTCCCTCAATTACATTAGCTGACTGTTCTGTTTTAGCATCTTTTTTCATGATTGAGATTTAGAACCACCAACTTTTCCTTAATTTTGTCTTAAGTAAATTTGTTTAGATGTGACTGAAAATGGTAATATTTCCGCACCGTAAATCTAAATGATCTAAATGGGGAAACAAACTTTCATATCAAAAATGAAAACAAATTTACACATAATTTTTTTCATAAAACCAATTTTCTTCATAAATTCATACCCCTATAGGCGGCTTAGGCCATAGAGTAATAGATCCCCCCACGGATAAACGACGGCGTTTAATACACATTTGATCTGCGTTAAAATGAGCATAGTGTTAGACCATTTGTGATTTTGTGGAATTGGGCTTTTACATGTTACGTTACTTTTTCTTATTTTGAAAATGAAAATGGCTCTTTTCATTAACACATTTTACCATAGTTGTTTAATCTTGTGAGAAATAAGAATGAAATATTTTCCTGAATAAAGTGTATCTAGATTTTCTAAGTATAGTAACATTGCAAAAATCATAATATATATGTTAAGACTTCAGACTGTGAAAAACAATAAAACAAGAACACAGCTTATTGCTTTATCTATAGACTATAGTGTAGTTACATTACATACAACTAGGAGAGAACCCGCGCAATGCGCGGGTTTATTAAACCAAATATTTTTAATTTAATTATTCAGAACATTAGATTCGAATATATCATTTGTTTTTTACTCGAATATATTAGATTCTGTAAGTTTTGCATTTTGTTTTTTTTCATATAGTTTTAAAATTTAGTTGTTATTTACGTGAAATCTTATATAGACTCATAGTGAATAGTTTCATATGTTTTTTGTTCTTTTATACAATAATTTATCGACTGGAGTTGAGTTCTTCTAATTTTCCTTATACTAACAATCATTATAGATTGATTATTATCCTACAGACTCATAGATAATAATAATTGCAATCCTTTTTAAAAGGAAATGAAATGAGCTAATTAGCCAGTAAGCCCATTTAAAGCTACCATGGAAACGAAGAGGTCCGATAAATAATCAAGCCCATCAAAACGAACAGCATTACACATAATTTTGATTTAGATTTTTTTTTTTTTTTTAATACGAAAACGACGTCGTTTTGGTGTAAGACGAAAAAAAAAAGATAAAGCGCAAAACGACGTCGTTTTGGTGTAAGACGAAAAAAAAAAAAAAAAAATAAAGCCAAAACGACGTCGTTTTGGTGTTAGGCGAAAAAAAAAAAAAAAAAAAGAGAGTGCCACGTGTCAAAGACTGGAGATTGTCCAAGCCTTATTAGTTATGTAGATTGAACACTTCTGCTTTATTTTTTTCTCTCTTTATATATTAAAAAAAATGGTTTGGTTATTAAATCGGAAAAACCGAACTCTTGTTTGTTGTATTGAAGCATGACATCGAAGAGCTTCCTGTTGTCTTCAACAAAACGCCTGACTGACTTTTCCCTGCATCTTCTGTTGCTTCGCCGTTCGCTTCACCGGAATCAAAACTTCTCCGTGATTTCACATTGTCTCCACCGTTTTCTTCGGAGCAGCTTGCTTCCTCTCCGATGGCTCTGTTCTCTTCTCCGGTGAAGCCCTCACTTCGATTCTCGCATGACTCCAGCGGAAAATCAAAACTTTCTTGATGAGTTTTCGCCGGCGACAGAGAATCAATAGTATCTCTTCCATTTGGATCCATACACTCCCCAAAAACCCTAACTTTCTCTTTCGACTCTGTTTCGGATCCATCGCCGTCGATTTGCTCTAAATTCCGATCACTCTCGCTCACAGATCCATCAATCTCAATCCTCACATCAGAATTCCGATCTGTATCCTTAAAACCAGATTCATCACTCTCTCCCCCTAACTCACCTCTGTTCTCGCTCTGTTCACGATCTTGATCTTCTTCACCAACTCCATCACGAGATCCTGATCCTCCAGGAGTTACTACATCGACCGGAACAGAGCACCGTGGAGTTGCAGCACTGATCGCAATACCAGCACGACACAGAGGACAGTTTGTGTGAGACCTAAGCCAAGTGTCAATGCAAGAGATGTGAAAGGCGTGGTTACATTTAGGCAAAAGCCTAAGACTCTCATCTTCTTCAAACTCGTTCAAACACACAGGACAATCTGTTCTCTCAATCAAACCATCTCCTCTCTTGTAACTGCAGATCGTAATCGAGTTTATGACCGATTGTTGCAGACCCGTTGTCCTGATTAGCCAGATCGGATGATCCACTTGTTCTCTATCTTGAAACTCTTCATCCACCGTGTCGTCGTCTTCGTAATCGCCGGAGTTATATCTTCCTCCTCCGTGGTTGACTCTGTTTACGCCCTTTGAAACGTATTTGGCTACAAGGAAGAATCCGGTGAGAAGGATGGCTAAGACCGCACCTGTAACGGCGATGATGGTTATGGCGTCAATGGAAGATGAAGTGTTTTGATATGGTTGATAAACGGCTGAGATTGATGGAGATGGAGATGGAGCTTTGATTGGCTGTGGAGATGACCATGGAGGTAGCTGTGGAGATATGGTGTAGTAGTCTGGTTCTTGGTAGCAGTTGTAAGGGCAAATCGGGTCGCAGATTCCTATTGAGCAATCTAATGTTATGTTTCTCTCTGATGCTAACATAGGGAAGAGCTTTCGATGCTTTTTCTTGGCCATTAAAGAAGACTCAAAGAGAAAAGAGTATTTGTTGCGTGGATTGCAAGAAAGTAAGATCAAGAGGAATTTGTAAGGGTAAGTGGTGAAAAGCAGAGAAATGAAATGTTAATTGAGTTTTGGTTTTGATAATGGTGAAGAAGATTGAGTTTATCTTTAGGTTTGTTTCATATTAAAAGAAAGAAGATGAATATTTCTTCTCATCTTTGGTATTGACTTGTTCTGTGAGAAGTTGAAGTGTCTTTTAGTTGTTTAATTGGTGGAGAGTCTTAGTCATGAAAGCCATATTTTACCTTTGAGCTTTTGACTCTTTGGCTTTTGAAGATTTAAGTAATGTTTTATCTTTTTGTTGGCCTTCGGCAGATTATAATATATAAAATATCTTAAGAGACTGCGTGAGAAACAGGAATAGAGTTACTTTACTAGATTTGTTAAATCTGTTAACAACAAAATGTTTTTGAGGTTTTTTTAAGATCATAAAAATTAGTAGTGACACAACGCGGTATAATAACAGTAGCACACGTGACGAACACGAACTAGAATATGAACAAAAAATGTCGAGAAGAAAAACATAAACTAGTATTTTAAAAAACATTATGATCTGTTCTCCAGCGTAAAACACTCTGTCTCAAAGTCAAGCACGTTGCTATTTTCTCTTTAAAACTTGATTGGATTCTCTTTCCAAATCGATAGAACGTTTAAGGCTATTTCATTGTTCCGATAGAAATGGCGCCGGGAAGAAGTTTGTTGCTCAAGGTCATTGTCCTCGGGGATAGCGGGTAATGGAATTAGGCCGATTTTGATGCGTATATTAATCTTGTTTCCATGTTAGGTTTTATAAGTATTAGCAGTTGCCAGTTGTATTAGGTTTCATGTGCAACACTATTAACATAAACTAACAATTAGTGATTGTCGTTTTTCAGGGTTGGTCAGACCTCCTTGTTGGACCAGTATCTTTGAGTTTCAAAACTTATATTTTAGATGATATCTTGCTCTTGTTCTGTTTCTGCTTGAGCCAGAGAATTGTATATATATATATATATTTTTTTTTGTTACCTTAACTGATAATTTAGATATGTGTGTAATCGGTTTAGTCTGCAGCACGAAGCGACTATTGGTAAAGATTTCCTGACGAAGGAGATTCAGATTGAGGATGATGAGAATGTTATTCTACAGGTTGGTTTTCTTGTTAATTAGAAAGAAAATTACTCTTTCTTGTTTCTTGTCAAGATTCACTACTCACTTACGTCATTTTGGTTGTAGCTTTGGGATACTGCTGTACAAGAAAGACAGAGCCTTGATCCATATTTCTTTAGAGGCGCAGATTGCTGTGTCCTGGTATTTGACGTTAATGTCTCCAAGTCCTTTGACTCCCTCCAATATTGGCACCAGGAGTTTCTTAAACAGGTTCTTCATAAATTTCCTTATTTCTGGCACATTTTGCTTTTATTTCTTCTCCAATTAGTAATGTTTGAAAGGTCATAGGTAATGTGTTGATAACAGTTTTAGGATTCGTAACTTTATAAAGCATGTGCCTTGGTCAGTTTGTTATATCTTGACACTCAAACTTTTAAGCCCTTGACAATTTTTGCCTGATTCAGTTTGTTTTCTTGACATTCACACTTTCAAGCCCTTACCAATTTTTGTAATATGCGAACTTTAACGTGCATTGTAATATGGATCTGCTTAGGCAATTCCATCGGATCCAAAGACATTTCCGTTCGTAGTGCTTGGAAACAAGGTTGACATGGATGGAGGGAGCAGTAGAGTGGTAAGATAGAAAGATTAAAATATTTAAGTATCCATTAATGTGGTTTAAGTCTTTTAATATGCTTCAACTTCAGGTCTCCGAGAAGGAAGCAGCTGAGTGGTGTGCTTCAAATGGTAACATACCTTATTTCGAGACATCAGCAAAAGAAGACTACAATGTTGATGAAGCATTCTTTACCATAGCCAAAATCGTCGTCGCGAAGGAACATGAACTGGATAGGTATGCTTTTCTCTATGGTTTAGCTCTAGTTATCTTTAAGTTTTATCTCCTTGGTGTTACTCATCATCTATCTTGACTTCTTGAGACACTATCTATTTTCATTTTGCTTGTGTAGTTTATTTGTTTTTGAGTTTTGTATTGCGGAAATAGACCATGCCTAAAGGCTTTGGCTAAAATGACAGAAGTGAACAATCTCGGAAAACTAATAAACATTTTTTTCACATGTGAAACGAATTAAAGAATATTATCGGAGGAAAAGGAAGAGGAAGAAAGCAGTACTTGGTCCTTTGAAAATTGTGAAGAAACAGAGGAAGTCAACGTGGATGGTCGTCTCTCACCATGAAGAGATATTTAATAAAGAAGCAAAGACTCGGATGCTGTCAAAGGCTTTGCTATTTTTCACTTTCCTTTTGTTTGTTTGTTTGTTTGTTTGTTTGATGTGGTTGGTGATTTAAAGAGTCGACATCATGAGATACATGTTGGAACCAAATTTTTAAGCCAAATGGGCTGAATAAAATTGTGGACAAGTGTGAAAAGAAATGGGCTTAGGCTCATGTAAAATTAATGAGAAAGTTAAGTGAGTTAAATGAAGGAGCACTTCATTTGTCCCAAATTGGAAAAAAGGAATAATGTCAAGAATAAATCTTCCAGAAACTTCTAGAAAGATTGAGTTCAGTTTCTGTTTGATAAACAAGAAATTAATAATGGAATTCTTCCTTATCCCTTAATGGAATAATGAAATTCTTCTTATCCCTTAATGGAATTATTCATTATCCTTTAATGGAATTATTCCTTATCTCTTTTGGTAAACATCAAAAAAGGATATTTCCTCCTTGGAGAGCAAGTCTCCTATCACCTATAAATAAAGGGCCTCACCCCTCTCATTATTCATTCACAATTCATTCAATCATTGATTCATAAATCAAACACTCCAGCAAATCTCTCACATCTCTTCCTTTCTTCTCTAAAAGTAAGTCTCGAGAGTATAGCGTAGTTATTTAGTTCGCATATTCTGTAGTTGGGTGTTGCAACTATAGTCTCACACAGTTGTATCCTGGGATTCAAAAGTCTCATCAAAACCGCCACACTGCGGGAGATTTATTGAGTTAAGGAAAGAGATAAAATCTCGCCTCTGTGTATTCGTCTGTTTTCAATCGGATTTCTTACTATATATTATTATTATATAAGAATTTCATTCGTATTTTTCAATCTGGACATCTAATTGATTATCATGTAACTGGATTTCTTTCATACAATCGTTTGGGAATTTCTTATTATGAAAGTTCCATACTGAAGGAAACATTTTAAATTTTTTTATTACCGTTGTTCCAAACGTTTTCGAAGATTAATGTTTGCATTCGGCAGATTACTATAATCTTTAAAATAATAAAATAGTATTTGGACCGATGAGTTTATTTTTCTCACAAAATGTTGTATTAGTCTAGTGGTTTGTATTAGTATCGTTATCGTGTTGTAATCTGATTTTAGTTAGAAAGTATTGAGTCCAAAAACATAGGTTATATTTTGACTTTCGTTAGCATTGCAGGTACCGTTATTAAAATTTCTTTATTCCACAGACTCTAATATTTTACCAAGAATTGGTTTGCTGTCAAAGTTACCGTTATCATGTTCGAATAATCAAACTTACAAATGATTCACTTCTTTCTTTGTGACTTTGTGTAATGATGTTTTTCTTTTCTTTTAAGCTTCCATATCTACTTAAAGATGTTTCATGGGCCTCAATAAAATTCAATTTCACTTTGTAAATACTGGCGTATAGAGTGTCCAAAAAGAGGCCTATAGTGTACTATTTTGAGGTTCAGGCAAAAGCCTAAGGTACTTCGACACTTCAACGCACTTTCCTCTTTGTGTATAAACCCAACAATCAATTATTACCACTCTCACTACGCCGGAAAAGCAACCATAACAAGAATAGAAGTCACAAAAAATTTCCGTGTTCTTCGTTCTCAACTACTCCATGGCGATTTAAGATCATTCAAGATTCGATTCGATGTCACTAAGCTAAGCTAATCTCATATTTGCTTTTATTTATTTGGTGACTGAGTTGATTCTTCTCGCATACATTTCTTTGATTTTCGTTTTTTTTTTTCTGTCGTTTGACCTTCGATTGTTGCTATTTCATTCATTTTGGCACAATCCTCTTCTTTCTCTTAATTTCGCGAATTATTTTGGAGATCAAATCATGTAATCTACTCAAGTGAATCATCAATTCTTAGATCGATACGATATTCAAATATTTGGAATGGATCCATAAATCCAAATCTTAAAAGTTACAGCATCTTTGTGACACGCACAAATCTTATTGAGCAAACTATTATAAAACCATTCATTTTTTCATGTCAATGACATTTTCTGGTACATTTTTCGTAGCAGTCTTCGTCGAAGAGACAAGTTTCTTCACATTTCCTATAACATTTCATGTCTTGTTTGATGCTCCCAAAATTCCCAACTGAAAATATTGTCATGTATAAGCATTTATGAATCACAATGGATATAAAATATACAAGAAGTTAGTTATATAAAGAGAGTGCGAGTTTTGGTTACCTGATCCAGGATAAGCGCAATCAAATACACATCTAAAACAAACCATGCTCTGTGTATCGTTGCATATCTCCTTGCAAGCTGTTTGTTTACACTCTGGGATCGTCTTTGCATTAACACTCATCACTAAAAGAGCCATGATCATCACTATTTTCAGGAAACTCACCATCTTTCTTTGATATTAATTAGGAACTTTTGATTCAACACAATTTTGGTTTAGTAGAGAAGAGGAACTTGTGTCACGAGTATTGTGTATTTATAGATTTTTTTTTTGGCCGACTTGTGTCACGAGAAGAGGAACTTGTGTCACGAGAAGAGGAACTTGTGTCACGACTCACGAGTATTGTGTATTCACGGGGGGCTAAATGGTAAAATGTGTTAATAACAATCATGATTCAATACATCACTCTATATTCGACGCAAACAAAGGCAAGAGTATTGTTACTTGGAATACAAGAAATTAATTCTAAGAGAACTATGAAAGGGTGGTTTGCTGTCAAAGTTAAGTATTTAGGATTTCACTGAAGATGAGATTCGAATCATCAAATTTACACATTATTCACTTCGTTGTGACTTTGTGTAATGATATTTTTACTTAACAAGATGTTAACATTTACACCCAAAAAAAACAAAATTTACTTGAATAAGTTTCCAAAGAGTAATGGGTTTGCTTAAATACCTATATCAGAAGATGTTTCATGGGCCTCAGTAAAACCTATAGTCGACTAGATAAATGAAGATTAGTTTGAGGTTCTGGCAAAAGCCGAAGACAAATCATGATGAATCATGGACTGGTTGATATATTGCTTTTATTTGGCAAATCTGATAACCAGTAGAATTTAGTTGAAGGGTCTCTATCATATCATGTCCATGCTTCGTCTTGCTGCTTTCGGTGAGATTTAATTCAAACTAACTTATACAACATCACCTTTTTAGTAACTTAGATTCTAAATTTAGTATGACTGAAGCATTATTATTTATTATAGACTTTTAAGAAAGTATATATTTTGTTCTTAACATTAAATCCAAAAAAAAAGTATATATTTGCATTTGAAAGGAGAAATTTCCTTTGTTTTTGTTTTTTACAATACTAATTATATACGATGTTACAAGAAATCAGTTATTCGATTAGCTGCTCGAGGTCTAGGACTATATATATGACTTGGTCACATATCCACTTACATTTGTTAGTGTTAAAACTAATCAAACTGAAGTAATTTACGTCACGTACTCGATTTCAGTTGTTGCAAAGCCTCAGTCATTGCTCGTAAGAAAAGTTAATTAGTTCGTCTGCTTTATGGTTTAGTCAATTGTATTGAATCATCATTAAGGCAACTTTGATGACACATAGTGACTAACTTTGGTTTGCATCATCATATATCTTTTTACAAAGAACCCTTGAGTGTTACTTTATGATCTGTCACCAAACTTCATGAGTCGTCATGACCCATATTCTAGAGGTATGGCAATATTTCCTTTTGTTGAGTATGTTTAAAGCTAAAGGAGAGGAGGAACAAGTCCTCATCCCAAAATATGAAAAAAAAGTTTTCAAAAACTTACATGATGAGCACTTTAGTTGGGGGGCAAGTGGACCTAACTCTCTACCAACTCCAACGTACCCTTTTGGTTCCATTCTCTCTATAAATTTTCTCACAACTCACAAGGATTTCCTTAGTCACATCATTTTCTAATTAACTATACACTGTTTCACTCATACTAAAAAATGGCTAACTTGAGTACACTTTTTGGTTGCCTTGCCATCATCTTCTTCACTATTGTCGCACCTGCTTCATCGGCCTCTCAATCCGTCGAATGGTCGCTCGGGAAGGACTATAGCTCGTTGGCTACCGGAAAACCCTTCGCCGTTGGCGATACCATCGGTATATATATAGCCTCTCTTATGCATATTATGTTCTTATGTAGTTATGTCAAGCTCTACTATATACATTTATATCTAATTCCATGTGAAATTTTCACACTTTAAGGTAACACAATATCTTTTAGTTTCTAACTAATAATATCTCTTTTTGTGAGATAAAATCTGTTTGCATTTACCATTATTAACAAAAAAATAAAGTTATGAGAATATTAAAATTGTGTTTCTATGTATAGTTGAAATTTTATGTATGTGTACATTGTGTTGCATGTATAGTGTTCAATTACGGTGCGGGTCACACGGTGGACGAAGTGAGTGAAAGTGACTACAAGAGTTGCACACTGGGGAACGCAATTTCTTCCGACAGTAGTGGAACCACAAGCATAGCTCTCAAGACAGCTGGTTCTCACTACTTCATATGCGGTATCCCCGGCCACTGCGACGGCGGCATGAAGCTCTCCGTCAAAGTAGGTGCTGCAGCCTCTTCAGGCGGTGGTGGAGACGGTACCGCCGCCAAAAACACACCAGTAGAAGGCGGAAAAACTCCAACGTCAGAAGGTGGAAAGGCTTCTCCTTCTGCTTCTGCCACGGCCATGTTGAAGCCATTGGAGGCTTTGGCTGTGACTTGTGTAGTTGCATTGTTATATGGTTTGGCTCTTTCTTAGTTGGTTTCAAGTGTTTTGGTGTGGCTTCACTCGTTTGAAAGAGACCAGGCTAGAGGCAGTGCTATGAGCCCTATTATTATATGTTTCTTGTTGTGATTAAATTATCCTATGTTATTCTCCCTACATTTCGTATTTACATTTCTTTCTCACGATTATATATTTTTTTATTGCTATGATGAGCCGTTACTGGAAAAGTAAATCAAATTACGAAGGACCGTAGATTAAAGACTAATACTCATGACAAATGTTAGAATTATGTGGAATTAACTATGTGAAAAGCATGCAACTCAACTGAATATTTTTTAATGGTAGTGGGAATTGTTAAATTAAATGGATTTCCAACTCAAAACATTTCGACAGTTAGTGGATTGGCCATTTTTTTCTATATATTACGTAAGTCTCATCTAAATATATGATGTGAATTTTTTAACACACCACTTCTAGATGATAGCTCTTCCGTCACATTTCGAACTGATACCATTCTTGGACCAGCAATAAATCTTAATATATCCATTCACGTGCTATTGTCAACTAAATCGAATTCCATTCTAGGTGCGATAGTAAATTCTTCTAATCGAACCACTCATGTCTAACGCAGGAGATAATTTTTGTTCATTATTGGCTTTAGATTACTTAATGGGCTTTGACATCTTCCCTGTATTCCAAACCGAAATCAATTGTCACATTGCACATTTATTTCCGGCCCGTAGTAATATGAAGTCTATTTTGCCAGTTTAAGATCTAAATCTTTTCCATAGTTCCAACTACCAGTGGCCAGTGCTACACATTTTCGTCTGTACTTGTGTTTATGATAGATTAGCAATTTGGTAATTTTGTGTTCTACCGAATCTGCTAAATACATAAATTTTTGTGAGAGAACTTTTCTTTATGAGTGCAAAACTGTGAATTCTCGAAAGAATTGTACGTGGGATTGACAAGTGTTATGAGTTATGACTTATGTAGCAAGGGCGAAAAAGACTGCAAGATGGGCATTGATTGACCACATCTGAGGTATAAAGGCCCAAGAAAACCGACCCACCGACTTACCTAATTAGATGGAACCCACCGGATCTCTTCATGCATCTAAACCGTCCATCTAAGAAAATAAATTGTAACCACTCCAGATCTCATAACTAAACCAAACACAACAACACAACAAAAAAGTTTGGTCAAAATTAATAATGTTTGCATCTACTTAACCAACTTTTTTCTCATTCACATACAAACAAAATATCTACTTATCTTTACTTATTTATAAAACTTTCTACGTTTGAAGTTGATTAAGGTTTAATATCAAATGATCCAATGACTAAATCACAAACGAAACAGAGTGATTTAGAGTTGGTAATAAACATTTTTAGTTTTATTAGTGTTGCCACTTGCTATAGTGTGTCGCTGAAAACAAACATACACCAACAAATAAACACTGATCGGAGTTTGTGGTTTATACTTGTCACTTGTGGTGTACTACAAAATACAAATTAGATATGAGTGTATTTGAGTCATAATAGACAAGAAAAACAAGTAAAAATAGCAAAATATGGGTCCATTCCACATTGATTCACCAAAACATTTCCAAAGATTACATAGTTTTTTCAGAGAAATATTAATAAGATATTAATAAGGTTGCTATGATTTTAAAATTTTGGTAATAATGATTGAAAAATATATGTAGAGAATATTCGTTTATACGAAATGTGTGATCAACAACCATTTTGGTAAGTACATAACCTCTATTTAAGGCAAATCTTCTGATTTTGTGCCATAATTCCGCCGATTATATGTTTTAACTCCATAAACAACTGAATATGGAAATAATATCATTGGTTTAACATAAGCTTATTGATAATATCATTGCTCTGATATTATATTAGTTCCAAACTCATATTTTGCAGAGAATACTAGTTTTATAACTGTGTTTGGAAATGGAGATGTAAAAGTGACTTGTCAAAAGTTGGCTGACATTTTATTTTTGTTTTCTTTTTCTTGCCTCTTTGAATATGAAAATAAAATAAGATAAAAACAAAACAAAGGGAAAAATGAGAAAAGAAGGATCTCGGAAACATCGTGGAAATCAAAATATTCAAACCAGCTTTGCATTAATCACACACGACGCACCTATATAAATGCAATCACGAGACGGCAAAAACAACATAACAAGAAAAGCAAAAAACAAACACAGAGCTTACGACGGACTTCATCAATGGCGAACATCTTCCACATCACGAGAAGATCAAGAAGATCAATGAAATCAAAGAGCCATGAAGGGAAGGTATCAGATTCCAGTTCCAATTTCGACAATAACTTCTCATGCAAGAAGCACACGAAACACAGACAGTCTCATGGAGTCTGTTCCCTCTGTCTTACCGAGAGGCTCTCGAAGCTGTCTCTGGAGTACTACGACTACACTAAACCCGCAGCTAAAATGGCGTCGTCTGGCTGCTCATCATCAACTTCTTCCACGTCGGTCTCGTCTTGTTACTCTTCTTCTTCAGTCTCTTCTTGTTCGTCTCCTTTGCAATTTGGTTACAGAGCGAAGAAGAAGGATGGGAAGAAACAAAGCTTTTTGTTCAGATTATTGCTCGGATCCATCGTAGATTAAATTTTTCTTACTCTTATTCATACTACTATAATAAATATATTTCCTTTTATTCATTCCTCGTCACTCGCGAATTGCAGAGAATCAGCAAAAAATGCAAAAGATTTAATACCTACAAAATTGTATTTTTTTTCAGTTTTGTTGTGACCCAATAAAAGAAGTTAATTTTTTATTTTGTTTCATATAATATATCATACATCAGTCTCCAATTGTCAATTATGTCGGTGATGTGCATTTGTTTTATAAAGAGGACACATTAAGTGGTTACGGAAATGTTCTCCATTTTTGTCAAATTTATAAATCCAGACACTGCGTTACATCTGGAAAAACATATATTATGATCATATTTTTGTTTTAATGGTTTTCTGTCCAAAATTTTATGGGCTAAGTACGCTAAACAATTGTTTTGTTTTTGCCACCATCGTTAATGACTGTAATATATTTCACAACATGTAACGGAATCAATACGCACTAATTTTCTATCTTGAATTGGATGATTATTATTTGAGGAAAATATATATACGAGAGAGTGACTGAGAGTAAAATCGTAGGGGATATGTTGAATTTTTTTTATTTTTTAATTTTTTTTTTTGACAAGGGTAGTCAAATATGTTGAATGTTCTCATACGTGTAACTTAAATAGAGTATAATTTGAAACTAGGACTAACTTTTCAGATACGTAAGAAAATAAATATTACTATTACTTAAATTGTCAATAGAATACAGTGACCAAACTGGAACTACAGTACAGCGATGCTTTTTAGATGGTGGTCCATGATCTTAACTTACATGGAAAATCTTCCATACCAACTCAAACAAACTAAATAACTAGACCACGTACACGCTAGATGTTAATAACGTGAAAACAGTTACTTGGTTTATGTGATGATAAATAAGTTGATAATATACTTATGTGATATGAGGATTAAAACCTAGTTAAACACTTAAATGTTAGGACAACAATTGGGAAAAAAAAAAAAATCATGTTTCATTCTTGGAATGCATGTATTGGTTATGTTTGAGGAAAATCAAAATAAAAGAATACACGATATAGTTGACAAAGAGAAAAAAGAATGCACAATAAATAAGAGCCATAACAAGATAGGCTGGCACATGACTTTAACTCAAGTTGCCAGAAAGAATGTACGGCAAGAGGACAAAGACGTGTTGTACTTTCAAATCATATGATTCACTTCATATTACATCACAGCTGTTCAAAACTTTTTTATTAAGCCGTACCACTAATGTTTGATACATACAATCATAAATATTTACAGATAGATGTCGTGTACTCGTGTGTACGTGTTGCGCGTCCTTGAACTTAGAAGACGCTGTATGATCACCGGATGATAGTCCCGTGAAACTTCCTTTGAACATTAGTATGTAATTTTTAATTTTATCGGTAATCATTAATTAGTTCAAATTAGCTAACTCTTTGATTGTGATGTCATGAAGGACCAATCATAGTGTCTGTAAAACACAAGGTTCCACCAAAGAACATTGAGGAATGTTGTAAACAGAGCAAGTATGGAACTGAATGTTTCGATTGATGCATGTTACATGAAAGAGACTTATATAAACAAAGACTAACAAACTTGCTAGAATTGGTGCAACTTATTTAATCGTCTCCTACAAGTTAGGAAGACTTACTCGTAACATTTGACTAAGCCAGAACCCATAAAACAATCTCTAAAACAAACGTCTAAGAGTAAAAGCATCACAATCAATAGTTCAATTGATTATAACTGCACAATATGCTCACTAAGTTCTTCATCACAAGAGACAAACTATTGTATAACTGATTCTGCGCGCTACGTGTCGTACACGGTGACAAGTGATATCCTTTTAGCATCAACAATTGACTATATGTAATTAGTCTCGAGACATAGCCTTAAAATGCATTTTTATTTTTATAACTGTATATATCAACGAGCTCTAAGAGACTAAGATAGTACTCATCACCAGGCCCGGCCCAAACAGAAACTGACCCTTGTGCTAAAAAATAAATAAATTAAATTTAGATATATAATTTGATAAATCTAAAAATCTGGACCCTCAATGCTTAGTTTCAGAAAATATAGAACCCTAAAATGTAAAGAAAAACAAATGAAAAAACGTGGAACCCGGCGCTTTTGCATTGTGTGCACATCCCTAGGGCCCGGCCTACTCATCACTGCAAATTATTATCGTATGAATGCACAATTATGCAGAAAATTACCATCAAGATATAACTATTTTTACAATTTAAGCACTAGGAGGGACAAAAAAAAAGGATATGAAAAGGCTCTAGAGAAATTGTATATAGTGTTTAACAATAATGTCTTAACAAATATTTGACTTGAGTGTCATTTTGCAGAAAAAAATGTGTAGTAGCTAATTGATGAAGGCAATGACCACAAACAAAGAGGCAATTTATAACATCAATCAAGATCAAGGGGCGAGCCAAGATTTTGACGAGCTTAGCCTAGAGGAAGAGCTGAACTCACTACTTATAAGTGAAGAAGCGAGTGTTTAACCAAAAGTTAAGGATCAAAAGTAGTCACTAGGAAAAAAATGGAATTCAGAAGCAAAAGCAGAAGTATCTACTTACTTTTTTTTTTGGTTTTAATGTGAAGATTTTATTACCAAAAAAACTTATTATACAAGAAAAGGAACCCTTATCTATACATACCCAAATGGAACGAAACACCAAAAAACTGTATCATAACGGATATGAAATATAACCAAAGTAGAATTGGAGAATAGAAGAGTTACTATCCCAGCAGGGTAGGATAGTAATCTGTCACGCATGGTGCAGTCCACAGATTCTTTGATCACACTCAAAAGGATTGTTGTTGTTGTGAAGATCCTAGCATTACGCTCTCGCCAGACAGTGCCGTGCGAAGGCTTGTAAGAGGCCTAGGCCAAATTTAAAATATACAATTTTCATATATTTTATAACAATAATTGTAACAATTTTTTATAAAAATAATCAGTTAATAAACCTTTTAATTCGGTAGGTAGACCGATTCGAACTCGGGCTGTGATCAAAGAATTACTCACTAATCTTCCTTTAACCACTAGACTACCAATGATTTTCGGATATTGGGGACCTCTAAAATATATATTCTAAGTCGGGGCCTGAGACTAATGCCTTTTTCACAACACTGTGAGCACGGCTCTGTCGCCAGATAGCGTAAAAGATAATCTGGAGAAGAAGCTTTAAGACGACAACTACTAGAACCAAGTTTCTCGTGGTTGCCGGCGGAGAGAGGAGGATCATGTCACTTATGCCAATCAAGGTAGAAGGCATCTACTTACTTACTCCAACGATGTCAACATATACACGTGTTATGGATTTTGTTTACAGGATTTACATATTTTCAGTTTGTAGCTGGAGCAAAATTGACAAGATAGATAGCTAGACATGCGTGCTTTGATAAATGGTTTTTTTTCAACATCTTATGTTACTCAACCGAATATTGCAGAACACTGGAATTAAAAAATTTGCATTGTTATCTAATTGCTTTAAGTTAAATTAAATCCATTAGAATAAATAATTTACCTTACGTACTGTTTAGTAATTAAAAATCAATAAAATATCATTTCATTCGGTTATGTCCACTTGGATCCCGTTATATCGCCACGTGTCGGTGATTCAGCGTTGCCCGTAAAAGGAGGTCAAATCATTGCCCGTCTGCCCGGGAAAACCATTTCAAATTTCAAAGGAGCAAAATGATCAAACGGTCGTCTTAAAACGTTAAAATAACCGCAAGGGGAAAAAAGAGGATCCGATTCTTACCTTAACCACAAAATATTCTCTCTTCCTCTTCTTTCTCTTTCACCATTTTGAATCTGTTCGCTCTTCACACTCGATTTTGATGGAGGATTGTTCTGATCAATGGCACGATCCACTTCTCGCTCCCTGTGAGATTTCGATTTTATCTTTATCTTATCGAAGATTGTTTTTGTTATCTCTCACTGTGCTTACTCTTTTGCGATTTGTTCATTTCACCAGCAGCTGAAAAAGCTACGGTATCAAGCTCAGTGACTATAAAAATGGCAGATCTGGATTCAAATTCCGAATTGAGCAGCGGTAAGTCAAATGAAATTTGAAGTTTTATCTATACAGAATACATAAGAGATCTGATTTTTCTCTTATTCAACTAAATCTGGGTTTAATTCAGATGTTCATATGGAACTCTCAAGCCCAGGATTGACGGAAATGGAACAATCCAGTGATCCCATTGCGTTAGATGGTAACCAAACCTTTCATTTCCTCCTTTGACATAATCAATCGCTTCACTCTAGACATTAACGGCGGCGCGATTGCGTTTTCAGGAAAACTCGTTTTAGGGTTTCCACTAACATCTCCCGATCTAGTCAATTGCGGCGCTTCACCAGATATCCCGAGAGGTAGCTACGGAGAATCCCCAGAAATTTCTAAGAAACTCAGATTTTCGACGGAGCTTTCTCTAGAGAACGGAATCGACGGTCCTACGACTAAAAGAGACGGCCGCAAAACTCAATCTGTGAAGTTCTCAGCAATCAATCAAACATTCGGATTCGAGTTGTCTCCTGAGTCTTCCTTCGAGTTACCTTCTCCACCTGGAAACTTCCGGGAGATCACAACTCCTGTGATTAGTATCAACTCGGGCTCTACAAGCGCGGATGTGACTCTGGATGATGTAATTTTCCTGAAGGATGAGTTTTTCAGTGGAGGTGAAAGCTTTTCGACTGGTGCTGTTGTTGGCGATGAGGACGAGGTTTTGCTGTATCAAACGGCTCGGCTTGGTAATTTCGCTTACACGTTTCAGTCGTTGGAGCCTGGGGATTACTTCATTGACTTGTATTTCGCTGAAATCGAGTTCACTGAAGGTCCAGCAGGAGTTAGAGTTTTCGATATATTTATTCAAGGAGCAAAGGCAAGGCCATCACTTGCATTTTGAGTTTTTTTTTTTTTTTTTTTCTTCTTGTGTTCTTGTTGTTTACTTATCGTTTATGATTGGATTGGAAAACTGTTGCAGGTCATATCTGGACTTGATTTGTTCTCGCAAGTAGGAGCAAATACACCTCTTGTGATTGCTGATCTAAGGATGCTGGTTGGTGTTGAAGGAGAGTTATCTATACGATTAGAAGGAGTGACTGGAACTGCAATTCTGTGTGGCATTTCTATTAGGAAAGAGGCCACGGCTACTTGTATGTTGCTTTCTTGCCTCTTTGTGTCTTACAACTATTTACTTGGTAAATCAAATTTATGGATTGCTAAAAGTTTTCTCTTTCAGATGTTGAAGACACTGGAATGCTAGCTGTTCAAGGAAAAACTGATACTGTTCTGTCTCTGCCACCTCAAGTGAGAGATCTTCCACAAGCTTGATGTTTCTAGTTTAGTTTGAGTGTATATGAGGGGCGGATTGTTTAAAATTTCACTGTTTTTAGGATGTTGACTGCAAGATGGAAGAAGAGACTTATGAGATGAGGAATGACTGTGAGCAGCAGGAGAAAGAGATGGCAGAGATGAAGAGAATGGTTGACGAACTTAAACAAGAGAATCAACGAAAGAGTAGAGAATGCGAAGAAGCATTGAGTTCTCTCCGTGAGCTTCAGAATGAGCTAATGCGCAAGTCAATGCATGTTGGTTCTTTGGGTATGTACATCCCTCTCCTTTTCTGTTTTGTCTTCCTTGCAAGCGTGAAAGTTGACATTTTGGTACCTTGTTTATGTTTCTAGCCTTTGCTGTGGAGGGACAAGTGAAAGAGAAGAGCAGATGGTTCTCTTCATTAAGAGATTTGACAAGAAAACTGAAGGTACATGGAAGCAAACTTAAGATTTGGTCTTAATATCAGCAACTGCTAACTCGTATGCCTCATTTTAACAAATTTGGATCCATAGATTATGAAAATGGAGCAAATTAAGCTGTTGGAAGAGGCATCCTCATACAAAATGCTAGTCCAAGATATCAACGAGTTCAGTTCTCACATTCACTCCAGAGGTGAGTCTTGGTCTTTCTGTCATATGAACATACCAACAGCACTAAATTTTTTTTTGTAAACTTCTGTCATTTGATCCGTTTACATCTGTTTTCAACAGTAAAGCAGGACGCAGAATTACTTGAAAATCTCAAAGTCAAATTTGTAGCGGGAGAAAAAGAGAGGAAGGAACTATACAACAAGATATTAGAGCTAAAAGGTTTGTGCTTAGTTTAAATATAACTTCAAGACGGACCTCCTTGACTATAATTGGTAGTCTTGCAACTTACAGTGATATCATTCTTGCCTCCAGGAAACATCAGGGTCTTTTGCAGGTGTCGGCCTCTAAACTTTGAAGAAATTGAAGCAGACGTATCAATGGGAGTTGATGTTGAGTCGACCAAAAGTGGGGAGGTCATAGTCATGTCAAATGGGTTTCCCAAAAAGAGCTTCAAATTCGATTCTGTTTTTGGTCCTAACGCTTCCCAAGGTGATCTTTAGGCATCCATTATCACCCTTTGGATACTTGCCTTGCTGGAAATCTCATCTCACAAGTGGATATGTTGTTTCCTGTTTTTTTCTTCAGCTGATGTTTTCGAAGATACTGCTCCTTTTGCTACGTCAGTCATTGATGGATACAACGTTTGTATATTCGCCTATGGCCAGACTGGTACAGGGAAAACTTTTACCATGGAAGGAACTCCAGAGGACCGTGGTGTAAATTACAGAACACTGAAAAATCTTTTTCAAATAACTAAAGAGCGAGAGAACCGCTATAATTATGAGATCTCTGTCAGTGTCTTGGAAGTTTACAACGAGCAAATACGAGATTTGCTGGTCCCTACTTCCCAAAGTGCTTCTGCGCTGAAAAGGTACTACACAACTTTGCTAATACTCTCCTTGGTTTGTCTTTTCTGAAAGTTTCCAAGCTCCATGGTTGTTTAGTAAGTCACATTGATTATAACTTGGTGCTTCAGTAAGGACTATAAAATAACATTTTGCTCGACATTCTTTGGCTTAGACTCATATCACTGGTCTTTGCAGATTTGAGATAAGGCAAGCGAGTGAAGGAAACCACCACGTACCAGGGTTGGTTGAAGCAAGCGTGAGAAACATAGAGGAGGCTTGGGATGTGTTGAAAACAGGAAGTAATGCAAGGGCTGTTGGTAAAACGACGGCCAATGAGCACAGTAGTCGATCTCACTGGTCTGCACACCTGATTTTTAGTTCAAGCCTCCTTTTTCAGACTAATCTTTCTAGTGATCAAGCTATCTAAACGTAGTTTCTTTTCTTTCCTTTGCACAGCATTCACTGCGTGATGGTAAAAGGTGAGAATTTGTTGAATGGAGAATGTACAAAGAGCAAGCTATGGCTAGTTGATTTAGCAGGAAGCGAACGGGTTGCCAAGACAGAAGTGCAAGGAGAGAGACTCAAGGAGACCCAAAACATCAACAAGTCATTATCTGCTCTTGGTGATGTCATTTTCGCTCTTGCCAACAAAAGCTCTCACATTCCTTTCAGGTCCATATGATACATCAATTTTCCTTAAGTTACTATATGTCACAGTCACCATTTTTTTAACCCAACTTGACATTTGGTTTTTGCATTACCTTTGCAGAAATTCAAAGCTCACGCACTTACTTCAGGATTCTCTAGGTACTTAAACTTTCTTTTGATTGCAGCAATCAATTTATGGACCTTATTATGAAATTCTGACTAAATGATTGGTATGTGACAGGAGGAGATTCGAAGACCCTCATGTTTGTACAAATAAGTCCTAACGAGAAGGATCAAAGCGAGACACTATGCTCACTGAATTTTGCTAGCAGAGTAAGAGGGATAGAGTTGGGGCCTGCAAAGAAACAGCTAGACAACACTGAGCTCTTGAAATACAAGCAAATGGTAAGCTACATACATCCACATAATGTCTTGATCGAATCATTCATGCATTGTTTCTGAGCTGTGTTAACTAACTCTTTCTTAGGTTGAGAAGTGGAAGCAAGATATGAAAGGAAAAGACGAACAGATGAGGAAAATGGAAGAAACAATGTTCGGTTTAGAAGCAAAGATTAAAGAACGAGACACTAAGAACAAAACCCTTCAAGACAAGGTTAAAACAATTACTTACCACAACCACAAGAAACAACATTTTCATCTTTTGCTGAAACCATCAGATCCCTTTCTTTCTTTATAGATTAAAGAACTCGAATCGCAACTGCTGGTGGAGAGGAAGCTCGCTCGTCAACACGTAGACACCAAGATCGCTGAGCAGCAGACGAAACAGCAGAACGAAGACGAAAAGAGGCCTCCACTAGCAAACATACTGTTGGCAAGCAACAACAAGACCTCAAACGAAACGTCAACTTCGAAAGAAATGCCGAATCTAACTCGACCGCCACTCTCAGAGAGCACCACCACAACCAGCAGCAGCAGCTCCGATCTACCTCCTTTACCTAACGGTGGCTTCAAGTACAATGACCTCACCGAGAAGGAGAACAATCCAGAAATGGCTGAGAGATTCCAAATACCAAAGAGAACAGGAAGATTCTCCGTTTGTCCAAAACGTGTTCTACCACCACCAGCTCCAAGAAGAAGCTCTCTTGCCCCAACCCCGTTCTTCCCAGTCACATCAACTTCGCCATTACGCCCACAACGCCCAGCTATTACAACAAACTCGCCTGATGAAAAAAAGAGCGGTACGAGCCAGGTGCTCTGCGTCAGCCCTAAGTTGCATAAAAGTAACGGGAAGATGTTGAGTAGCATACTGAGACGAAGTATGCAAAAGAGAATGCAACCGAGACAGCAACCGATGATGAGAAGAGGTGGGATTAATGTTGGGATGGAGAAAGTTAGGTTGTCTATAGGAAGCAGAGGAAGGTTAGCTCATAGAGTTTTGCTGACAAATGCTCGTAAAGCAGGTCTTAAGGAGACACCACTGAAACAGATACAGAGAGAGAAAGAGAGATGGATCTGAAACTATATTATTTCTCTGACCTTGATGACTTAACTTTCTCATTTAATTAAGATTTCTTGGAGGATGATTGATATTTTATCATCCTCCTCTTGTGTGCGTTTTGTGGATTTGATTGCTCCTAATGTATAGATGGATTTGGCTTTTGTTTAGTGCATTCTTTCTGTTTCTAGACATTGAAACATTTGATTTTTCATTTCAGATATAGAATGTGTTTTGCTCATATCTTATGGAATCTTCTCAAAGACTATAGAGAGAAGCAACAGAGTATTAAAGTCTAATGTGCAAGAAGACTAGAAGAAGCACTGTTGTTCGAGTTTAGATTATTCTCAAAGATTAAGACTCAATTTACGAAAGAATTCTGAGTGGTATCAAACAAGCACAATCCAAAGTTTATTCAATTTTATTTATTTAGAAAGCATAATGTAAAAGATTTGTTGGGGGGTCTGGTTTAACAATTATAAGTGCAGCTGCAAACATCAAAATTCCCCGGACAAATCCCATCCCCGTTGTATTTCTCACGACAAAGTGGTTGGCATTCTTCAGAACTGCATGTCTTGTTGAAGTTTATGGCTGCACTGCATTGTTGAATAATAGGTCTCTTTCCTTCAATACTTGGGATTGCCCAAAAAGCTATATATAGATATACAGTAATTAAAAAGTTTAGACAAAACTTAGAATAAACGAACTATCATATATATCAATATGAGTATCATTATGATCTTTTTCAAGATGTGTTTAAAAAAAAAAAAAAAAAAAAGACTAGAGGATAATAGTCGCTTTGGTTAAACGATCTTCAATGAAGTACAAAGTGTTCAATTTTGATGGAAAATAAAGAGAGCAAAGTGTTCAAATTTATACCTGAGAGAATCAACATGGAAACGAACACATATGAACACAACAATTTGTTCATGGCAAATGAAACAATTAGAGAATTCTGTTAATATAATGAATTTTGTTAGAGAAAGTTTTTATAAAGTGAAAATGGGATAGAGTGTGAGAGGATGTTTATATAGACTGTTATTGATGAGAAATGATATGCAAACAGCATATCTTAGAGATATAAATGTGTTTGACCAAAACAAAAAAAGATATATAAATGTAAATAAAATCTAAATAGCTGACTTGCATACCCAATATAGAAAAAAATCATAATTATTTTTCAACTATACTATAAATATATTTTCTTAGATTGTTATGCTTATCTATACTTTTATAAAATATAAACATATAAGTATTGATTTTTTTTGTAATGAATACATACAAATTTTAAATAATGGAAAAGTATTGTTTATAAATATTATCTCCATTTTATATTAGTTTTCGTTTTAGAAATGTATCTGAATGTGTTTCCAGTTAAAATATATTTTTAAAATGATAATTAATAATATGAAACGGAGAGAGAATCAAATTATAACTTTTACATTCAGTGAAATTCTTATATTGACATATTTTCCAATTTTTATTTTTGGTTCTATAATCATTTGTATAACTGAAAACTCTATAGTTTCAACAAAAAGTTACATTAAATTGAATTTTAAATTTAAATCAATATTATATTTGAGATTATTTCTAATAAAATATTTTCTTAAAGAAGTGAATATATATAAGTAAAAGAATTTGTAATAAAAAATATTTAACACTATTTTTAAGGTAGTCAAAATCATTAATTTGCTTCTTGAAATAATGAAAATCGATTAGCCTTTCTATATTAAAAAGAAAATCGATTAGACTTTAACAAACCCTAATGGTCATATAATTTGACGTCTGGCTTTTACATTACCTTTGCAGAAATTCAAAGCTTACGCACTTAATCCAAGATTCTCTTGTACTTAAACTTTGTTCTTACATATGTATGTTCAAAGTATGACAAACTATAAAGCTACATTTCCACTTTGTTCCTGCGTCTGTATTAAATTCATTACCTCAAATAAATCTTTACTTTCTTTCTCTGTTTTACCAAAATCTTTTGTATGAGTTTGTATAATGGGTTTTTCCACATTTCTTTACAACGATGACTATCCATCTAAGCCTGCATTGATTCAGCATCAAATGCCTAAATGCTAGACAGTTCGTTGTGTTGACAAGGAGATGATAGTAATTCACCATAAAGAAGCAGCTAAATCCCATATTCTCCTCAATCTCCCAGGTTTAGCAGCTGATGTCTTAGCTATCTGATCCTCCATTAGCCTCTCCACGTCTGGTCCCATATCATGAACCATTTTAACCGACTCAGAGAGACGGTTGAGTAAATTCACCAGCGCAATCACCTCATTCCTTTGCAGTTGCAGCTGAACAAAATCAGGAATATCAAGAACCATGAATACAAAACCATGCATATATACAACATGTTGAGAAACTCACTGTTTGGTCTTGATTTCCAACAGAGAAGAGAATCTTCAATGCTGTTCCTAAACCCTGAACCTGAAGCTTCCCCCAAAGCCGGCATTTTTCACATCCTACGCAATCCATCAATGCACTGCAAACACAAACATATTAAGTCACTATTACTATTACTACATACTCTCTCTCTCTCTCTCTCTGCTCCACCATGATTGTGTCTATATCAAGAAAAATAAGACGAACCTAATATTTCTGAACTGTTTCTGGATCTGCTGTTTCAACTCCGGTCCACTTTGACCTTGCCACAGCTTAGCTTCATCAAAAGGAACAGGACACGCTGTTTGGAGTTTCGGACTGTACAACAACTGCTTAATCAAGGACTGTGTTTTCAGATCTTCAGCGTTGTTTCCAGTGTCATACTCTGCTTGCTCCAAGTACGCTGTTGCCTGAATCAAACATTGCAAGAGTCACTCAGATTGTTGTTCAGAGTGACATGTCAAAATTCCCAAAAAGACAGACTTGCAGAGAAGTTTACTCACTTTAGTTACAGCTCGTAGCACAAAGAGATACGTGAAGTACATGTTTCTAACACGATCCGGATGTCTCAGAATACGATCATACATCAGCTCAATGTTCTGTCCCCACTGAAAAACTCAATGAAAAACATGTCAGCCATAATACATAACTGTTGAGAGGCTTGTTCTATCTTTTGCTAAGAAAAACAACAACAAACCTGGTTGCGTGACTCATCAAGAAGATAATCACCAGCTATATGCATTGAGATTGAAGAATGAAGACCAGATATCAACTTGTACAAAACCTTCTTCTCAGGACATGTCTCTCCAGATGAATCTGCAGAGAAACCATTTACACACCATCACATCACAAACCTTTGTCCCACAACACAACAATATGGTAGAGAATGAAACACACAAAGAAACTAACATTTTGGACAATTCTCTGAATATATAGACTCCCAAATCCTCCTAGCAGAAGGTCCAGTGTAACCAGTAAACCTCTCAGGGTTTAGTTGAAGATTCACATAAGTCATCTCACCTGAACATGAATCAATGCAACATTATATCATATATCCTAAAGAAGATGTTCCCCTAGAGAGTTTTTAGTAGCTACATACTGTTATCTGTGTCATCTTCATGCGTCCACGGGTTATTGGTCTCGACCCATCCCCTGAATGCTCGGTTATCTATGGTCCGGTCAACAGCTGCCTGAGGTTTCCCTTCTTGACAAATCGGATTATCCGAAGGAAGACCGGCGATGTTATACGGCCTTTTAAACGGTTCAGGGAACTCATTCTCTGGACATTCACAGACACTGCAATCTCGCAGACGACACATTCCATCGTCTGGCCAGAATGGGCAGTCACACCACAGTTTAACCTAGTGACAAGAACTTAGCCATTTAGAAGAGTGACATCAAAGTAAAGAACATATCCACATTCATTGAATCAAAGCAATCATTTACTGACCTTAAAGTAGCGGAAGAATGGAGTTGTGACGAGATCTTGAAGCAGAGGATTCAGAACCTCAATGTTGAGATTGTCCACTGTTTCGTAGTCACAGCAACAGTCCTCAATCATACCTTTGTATTTACCACTTCCCTGCATTATTATCCAAAAAGATTGAATCTTTACTTTACAACATCACTGATTAATCACACATCTTGCAGTTAAACTTCTTTGGCACATTATCAGGAAAACGATTTGCTTCAACAATGGCAACAAAAAGATTCAATTTTTCTTACCCTCAATCAATCACATCGTAATAAAAACCAAAACTTTGACCATTAACAAATCAAAATATCCAAAATTCATCAACATTCTCTCAAAATCTAACAAACTTTATCCAAATATACTTTAGAGACCCTTAAAGTCAAATTCATTCATCAAAAGATGGATAATTTAGAGAGTAATCAAAAACCTGAAGTGAGCAGCTGCAGGAATTCCGATCGGTGAAGAAGAAACCGACATTAGAAGCTGTTCTAGAGCTGACAGCAGCTGCTAATAAGACAACAACCAAAGCCGCCAAAGGCCATCGCCATGTTTTGCTCTTCCTTCCGCTCTCTTCTTCTTTGATTGCGCCTTTTCCCATTATTATGACGAATTAGTAGCAAGCAAACAAACAAAGTGATCAAATTTGGGTCAATAAATCCTTTCTTCACAATAAAAACGTTTCCTTTGCGTCTTCCGGAATTTCTCAAAACCCCATTGTTGTTGTTTTTGTGTCTGAAGATCGGGCTTATATTAAGCAAAAAAGTAATGAAATTGAAATGCGTTCGTGAGTTTCAATGCGACGACACTTTTTATTTTGACATTTCAGCGCGACGCGGGGTTTGGATAACACGCGCTTTGTAGAGTCGGCGCGTGTTGGAGACATTTATTTCGTTTGTCTCGTGACGTGCTTTAACCAATAGGATTTCGTTTGGTCATAGTAATAAACATCTTGCCGTTTTGATGCATCTCAGTCAACGATCTTTGTTGACTAAAAGTGGCTGCCGTGTCGTTCTATGGGTTTATGAGTTAATGCTCGCCACGTCACCGATTAGCCTTAGTTTTATTTTATTTTTCTTAAGTCAACTAAATTTTTGTGCATTAAGGGGAATTTCAAAAATACACATTTTGATAATAATATATTTTACCACTTTTAGGTTAATGACCATATACTTTTAGTTTTAATTAGAAGATGTCAAAAGAAAATTAATTAGATGAACCAAAACGTTCACTACCCTAATTTTTTATTATTATTCAAAAGTTTCAAATGGTGATCAGCAAATTGCCTTAAAAACTGAGAAAACATATTAAATTAACTAAACGAATGTTAAATTACATGGGAACATTACATTTGATTTGTTTTCGTTTTTTTATATGAATGACATGTTAGAAGTGCATTGCATTGCAATTTGCATGTAACCCATATGAATAGCACTAGATTGATAGGTTGGGTTGATTGATCGTATTGGTTGATCGATGAATCAAAATGTCTCTACTTCGGACAACCAAAACAACCAACATGAGAATGCTCCTATTGCTGTTAGTTATGATGAGCTAGATCGGGACAAGAACAGAGAGGGGCATGCTACAACAAGAGCATTATTATTATTAGTAATTCAATTACTAATAATAACTATTACTGTAATTGGTGCAAACAATGAGCATTACGAGTATCCCGAAATACAGGTTGGAGATGTGTTCAATACAAGATCGAGCTTGATCTCGTTGGCCTCCACTCAGAGATGATGTGTGGCATTGATTCCACAAATATAAATGGTCGGCATTTAGCTACAAGCATCGTCGCCTCCGAAGGGAACACCTATCAAAACTACCAACTTTTCTACTCGGGTGTCGGAGAGGATCAGACGACACTGGTCAACGGTTAAGGAGCTGAAGGTAAATGTTTCTTCAAGTTTAGACTTCGCAGAGCTTGAGAGATTAGTGCTAGATGATGAAACTTGATTGTGTTAGGGTGTGGTGATGGTTCTGTCAAAAACTGTTTGTGCATCTTGTGCCAGGTTTTTTGTTCTTTCTAAAACTAGTAGTGTGTGATTCTCTTGTCAAAGATGATTGATGAATGTAGAAAAGGCACACACAGTTATGTCTCTTCTTCCGCTTCTTCTCGGTTACTTTGGTTTGTGTTTACTGCTTCGATATCTTTGTGCCAGTCTACAACTTATTGGATGTTTGGTATTTTCAAAGGATTTTGGTTCACACACACATGCGGGCTATGTCAAGCACACGGAGCATCTCTCCTTCGTAACCTAAATTGTCGACAAGATGCTTACACCATATCGTTGATATCTTTCTCATTTCAAACCCAAACTCATAAGGAAATCAAATCTTTGCCACGGAATATTCTTGAGAACGAAAAACTTATCCCATCTCGATAACTTGAACAAGAAGCAATGCCTCAGATTCGAAACACGTTTCCCTAAACCTGAAATCTGCGGATGACCCTGGTTTTGCTGAGTCCGCGCGTGTCCATTCCCCTGCCTATGCTGCTTCCTGGTTTGATTTTTCATCGACAGAGAGATCTCTGAGAAAGCTTAAACACTTATGCGAACTAGTCAACTAGAGCTCCAATAAATTCTTAGTGAGATAGCAGAAATATATTTGGGGGGATATTTTCCCATTAAAAATTGATCTTTGTGTACGATATTTATGAGCATTATAGGTTTTTCAATGCAATATTTGTTTAATTACTACGTAACGTGAAGAATATTTTTATTTATTTTACAAAATTTGAAATAAATCTCTACGTTTTATACGTACTGTAGAAAACGACATTCTTCCCTCATATCTTCTTATTAGACAATCATCCATTTGTTTTATTTTTATTTTTCTCAAGCTCAATTCTACAAGCTTTCGTAATCACTCTCGCTAACAATTATAGCTAAGCCTTATGGATAAAGGAAAACAACGACATTATCTAATAACTAAAAGAAAACCAAAACAGAGTAGGATTACTCTACACAGCCCAGCTCACTCAAAGCCTTAAAAAAAAAGTAAGCCATAATCTCGCCGGTCCTCGTCGCCTTGTGACACAACGAATTTACGTTAATAAACGTATCAATTAGCATTTATTAGTTTAAAATATCGTTATCTGTTGTTATATGGATCTAGCTAGCGTGCGCTTTGGATCTCTCTTTCCCAATATAAAATATGAGTTTTCGATTTCATTTTTAGTGTATTGATTTATTTTCTAATTGGGTTTTGCCTTTTAATGATAATTGAGATGGAAAAAGGAAAGAGTAAAGGAAAACAATAGTAAAAAAGGAAAGGAAAACAAGGGAAATATAACCTTCGCCGACTAAAACAAGTATTTAATAACAACACTCTCTCTTTCTCTTTCTCTTTCTCTTTCTCTAATTGTCCTCTCTCTCTCTCTCTCTTACTTGTCTAGCTAGTATCTTCTTCTTTTTTCTGTATAAGAAAAGTGTCCAATCTCTTCGTTAATTCGAGAATCAATCATGCAGCAGAGTGTAGAATCTACTGTACAAGTTAGGATTGATATTGTTGCCAAGGTTTCGCGCGAGTCTGCATCGAACACAGTGGAGATAAGTCTAACGCGCGAGTTCGAAGAGCTTTTCGTACGCAAGCTTGATGGAAACCTCGTCCATGTGGAATCAAACATAGCTACTCCATTCCCAATCCCTTATCTACGCTTAAACAGCATCTTTAGCTTTGATCCCCGCATCATCTATCCTCGCCTCTATTCAGCTCTCCAAGATCCTGACTTGTGCGATCATCTATCCGCCAAGATCGCTTCCGAAGCCGAGCCAGTTGCAGGGCCTTCATTCGTTCCTTGTGAGTTGTGATTAATTAGGGTTTCGTTGATTACTTGATTGCCAAGACATAGTTTACCACTCTGTAGCATATATTTGATGGTAAATTCATTTTCAGCATTTCCCAACAATTTGTTTTTTTTTCAAAAAAATATGTTTTTCAATATGTTAATCTTCCTGATGAACTTGCGTTGTAAAAATCGTCTTGGTATGTATTTAAATAGTTTTTTTTTTATTTAGCGGCTTTTGAGATTAGGAAAGATGGATTCATTCACACGCTTCTTTTGTCGACCAGCTTGTTGTAATTTAATCAAGTTGAGATTCGCCACTCTCTCTTTTTTTTTCTATATTGAATTCAGTTTTGCCAATTAAAATTCTCATAGTAGATTTCAGATTTCTCGATTTTCCGTTCAAGTTTAACTCCATCATTGTGGTTAGGATTTGGCTAGTTCTAATGGTGTAAGAGTGTGTATTTTGTGTAACCAATTAGCTTTCACAAGTGTACTTTTTACTTTTTAAGTTTCTGGATTTCTTGGCTTCAATTGTCGAAATCAGAAAAGTGAGACACTTTTACAAAATAATAGAAGGTATGGCTTCCATTTGAAAAAAAAACAAAATATATTTTCTAAATCAAACGAAGCTTACCTAATAACAGGGAACTGGCAATGGAAATCGGATTAGATCCGGTAAACCATATTATATTAAACCGGTGTATGACTTCGGACCAGGAGTATGGGTTTCCTTTTTCAGGCCACACGAGAAAACTCGCTGTGCTGTCGGGCAGGGCCGGCCCTGAGCACATGCAGGGTAAGCGGCCGAGTAGGGCATCCAATTATTAGTAGCATATTTTTGATAACTTTTTTTAAAGGGTGTATAAACATCATTTACAAAGTTTTAACAAGGGCATATTTTAGTTACTTAAATTTTTCTTAAAGGTATTATTTACAAATTTTTAACAAGAACATATTTTTGTTAATTTTTTTAAAGGGGTTTATATATCATGTACAAAGTTTTAAAACTTTTTTAGTGATATTAATATTTATAGGATATTTGTTAACAAATATCTATAGTATGTGTATCATTATGTGAGTTTAATAAATGATTTTACAGCTCAAAATCTAAGGAGAGCTTTATGTAAGCCATAAGAAATCAGTTTTTTTTTTTTTTCTCAAACTATTTACTAATTGGGAATTGTTTATTTAAAACTTGTTTATTTTATGAAGTTTTCAGAGTTTTTTTTATATTTTTACTGTTTTTGTGATTTTGGGAAAAAAAATTGAAAGACATACTTTTTAAATTCGAGTAGGGCATTTAAATTCGTTGGACCGGCACTGCTGTCGGGAAGTCCGTTCATCTCCCCGCGCGAACCTGTTCTTCTCTTTCCGCACACATATGATGCTGACGATGATGGTTTTGTGTATGAAAACTACTCCGCCAGGGTCCAATTCCAACGGATGGAGGATTTCTGTCCCGATCAGACCGGGGTCTGGGGATTTGGTGAACGCTCATCGATTGCCGGGATAGGTGCACCGAGGGGCGGCAGCCCGTTCATTATCAAGAAACACAAACGCGGTTACTTGCTCAACGTCTTCGGTGGTCATGTCTCAATCCGTGAGTCTTTCCCGGTCGGGACACGGGGCGTGTACTATCTTGATTATAGCACAACTGATGACAACCTTTTGGAGGTTAACTTCGTGCCGGTGGTGAAAAATAAGTTTCAATCGGTTAACCGGAGAGTCTCGAACCAGGGGGCGTCAAACCAAACCACAATTCTTCCAAACATTAAATACATTGAGTGAATGTGAAGGTCTATATATGCTTTATTTTCGCTTATTTGTTTCTTTTATTTGTTGTTGTTAACAAGTGGAGACCTAATCTTCCTTCCGGTGAAGATGGGATGCATGCATCTTGATTCCTCTCTTTTTACGTCCTATAGGCTATAGCCTCTCGTTCAACATTGATTTAGTTTTTGAAGTATATATATGTTGTACATATTTGTTTGGGTTTCAACAATCACAACAGATTTATTTTTCTCTTAAGATGCTAATACCTAGGAAAGTTCTAGAAAATGACTTACAATTACAATGTGGCTGAAGACCAAAAACAAAAAAAAATACAAAGGGAATTATTCTAGTTAAGATAACACATCAAATGTGGCCACAAAGAAACAAAGATGTTGAGAAGTATTCCTAAGTTGGTTCCCTTGTCCCTATCTATCTGTTTGAAATCCTTTACATGTTAGTTAACATGGACAATTTCTGCATGTTCCTCATGCTGAAAATTGAAATTCGAAATACCTATAACCCTTATTTTCAACCCTTGATCCCTGTACTAAGTATGGAAAGTTAGAAACTAAGGATCCATGCATGTATCACGAGAATGATCAGAGTGTGACGTGAGGAAAGAAACAAAAATGTTGAGAATCATTCGTATGTCTCTCCTTAATTCTTCCCATGGAATGATTTGATATTGTGCATGTTCCTCGTTGCTGAAAGTTGTAGTTGGAATATATTTCCATATAGAGTCTAAAGTCTAAACCCTTATTTTCAACCCTCACTGTACTAGATTGAAAGCTAGATACCAAGGATCCATGTATCATGCCCGAGAATAATCAGAATGTTACGTGAGGAAAATGCCAAAATAACATTCAAAAGTAAATTTAGGGTTTTCTTTTTTATTCTTTACATTCATGCCCGATTTTAACCGCATGGGATTCTATAAATACCAATACAAACTGCGTTTACTCTACACTACCCAATTCACTCAAACCCTAAAGCACACACAAAACAATCACAATGAAGAAACCTTCAATGATCTCTTTTCTCACCACTCTCCTGTTGGCAGCAATGATCTGCACACACGGACAAGAACCGGTGAAGGACTCTGCCGGAAACTCACTTGAAACCGGCCAGCAATACTTCATCCAGCCGGTGAGTAACATAGGAGGGGGTCTTGTCCCAGCCGCCGTTTCAATAATTCGCATTTGTCCACTTGGAATCGTTCAAGCACTCGATCCATCTCGACCGGGCCAACAAGTTAGCTTCGAATCTCTCTCACCGAACACAGATAGCATCGTTACGACATCCACGGATGTAACCATCGAGTTCAAGTCCAACTTCTGGCCGGCTTGCAAAAAGTTATCCAAGTTCTGGGAAGTCGATGAATCCTCCTCATCGGAGCCTGCGATTCTCATCGGTGGCGAGCCGGAGCGACCAAATAGCCAATTTAAGATTGAGAAAGCCGGAGAAGGAGAGGGAGCAGGAGCAAACACTTACAAGTTCACCAGCTTGACCGGAACCGTTGGAGTCATCCCAGGGTTTTGGGGAATACAACTCGTTGTCACCAATGATACGGCTAAGACCTTACTCGTCGAATTCAGGAAGGATAACAAAGCTACTACTTCTACTTCCATGGTTGAGAAGTTGGGTCTGAGGATGTTCCCCTCCTACTAGTCAACAAAATGAAATCATGTAATAAAGCCTGAGACTTGTCCATGGCCAAAAGTAATGGGTTGAGATAATACCCGCACGCATGTACCTGATCTTTTCTCTACTTTCATCATAAATAAAATAAAATCATGTCTTCTAGATCTTTCCACGCAACTAATTTACGTTAATAACCTATCAAGTACATGACAAATAAGTTTCAGCTTCACCAAACGTTTTGTATCTCATAGATCATGCTAGCCTATAAGGATCATGTTCTAATTTAATAAACATCTTCCGAGTTGGCTAGTTCACAAAGCTAGTCTTCTCGCTCTGGTCTAATAAATTACATGGGTTTCATTGTCAAAAAAAAAAAAAAAACATCAAAAGTTAATAACCTATCAATTAGCATTTTTAGTTTAAAATATCGTTGTTTGTTCTATATGGATCTAGCTAGCGCGCTTTGGATCTCTCTTTCCCAAGATAAAATCCTATATTTTACCACTTTTAGGTTTATTGACGGTATACTTTTAATTTTAATTAGATGATGTCAAGTGGGGTGATTTGCAAATTGAATTAGAAAAAACTGAGAAAAAAAATTAAACAGATTTTATGTTTCTTTTCAGATGCTGTCAGACAGTTAGGACTAAAACTATAAGATAACTTACAATTACAATGTGGCTCAAGCCTCTGAAACACACCAAAAAGAAAAAGAAGGAAAATTTGGAAAGGTAAGTCAAACCTAACTCATGAATAAATCAATGGATGGTTTAAGGTGGCATCAAAGAGCATCGTGAGGAGGAGATGCATGGGGAAAAAAAAGAATCGTTTATGATGAGCTAGATCGGGACAAGAACAGAGGCCGGGGCTTGCTACAACATTGATAAATACTTCTCTTTTTTGTGCAAACAATGAGCATTACTGACCACACAAGAAAAATTCTTCTTAGGGAAGGTAAGGGAGTGAACAGCAAGAAGAGGACTGAGCTTGATCTCGTTGGCCTCCATTCTGAGTTGATGCGTGGCATAGATTCTACAAACATACATGGTCGGCCATTTGCAACCAGCATCGTCGCCTCCGAAGGGAACAACTATGGCAACTTCTTCCAAGACGACCAACTTTTCTACTCGGGTGTTGGAGAGGACCAGACCACATTGGTCAACGGTAACTTAGCTCTGGTCAATAGCATGAGGCAAAAACAACCAGTTAGAGTGATCCGTGGCCATAAGAACTTGGACCATAGGGAGAGAGCGAAACGATATGTGTATTTAGGGCTGTACATGGTTGAAGCTTTTTGGAAGGAGAAAAGAGCTGAAGGTAAAAGTTTCTTCCAGATTAGACTTCGCAGAGCTTGAGAGATTAGTGCTCGATGAAACTTGATTTTGTTAGGTGGCGGATATGTGGTAGTAGTAGTATCAAAAGAACTTCAAATTTGGTTGCAACCATAGGTTTCCGTTCTTTCTCTTTCTCTTTCTTGTTTGGGATCTTTTGCAAGACAAAATAAGTGATGTTTCTGTCCAAAACTGTTTATGCATGTTGTGCCAGTTTTTTGGTTCTTTCTAAAATTAGTAGGTGTGTGATTCTCTTGCTAATGATGAATGTAGAAAAGGCACACACTTACCTCTCTTCTTCGGCTTCTTCTCTGTTACTTTGGTTTGTGTTTTCCGCTTCAATATCTTTGTGCCAGTCTACAACTTATTGGATGTTTGGTATTTTCAAAGGATTTTGGTTCACACATATGCTATGTCAATCACTTAAATTTTAGGACACATGGATTCATTCACACGTATGTTTTCATCTGTTGGCCGGCTTGTGATGTAATCAGTTTTTGATTCATCGTCGCCAATCTTTTTTTTCTTTTAGTATGTATTGGAGTCTCACTGTACATATCCTTCACTCGTTCCTTGTGAGTTGTGATTAATTAGGGTTTAGTTGATTACTTGATTGCCAAGACATAGTTTACCACTCTGTAGCATATATTTTGAAGGTAAATTCATTTTCAGCACTTCCCAACAATTTGGTTTTCTTCAAAAAAATCTCATTGACTTAAATTGGAAAAATCATTTTTTTCAACTTCGAGGAGTTCGTAGATAAATTCACAGAAGAAGAGCTTAGCTTTTTAAATGTTAATCTTCCTGATGAACTTACGTTGTTAGTCGTCTTGATATGTATTAAAATAGTTTCTTTTTATCTAGCTGCTTTTGTGATTAGGAAAGATGGATTCATTCACACGCTTCGTTTGTTGGCCAGCTTAAATGAATCAAGTTGAGATACGCCACTCTCTTTTGCCAATCAAAATTGTCATTGTAGATTTCAGATTTCTCGATCTCCCGTTCAAGTTTATCTCCATCATTGTGGTTAGGATTTGGCTAGTTCTAATGGTGTAAGAGTGTGTATATTGTGTAACCAATTAGCTTTCACAACTGTAATTTTTAGTTTCTGGATTTCTGGGCTTCAATTGTCCAAATCTGAAAATTGAGACACTTTTACAAAATAATAGAAGGTATGGCTTCAAATTGAAAACATAAAATATTTTTTTCCTAAATCAAACGAAGCTTACCTAATAACGAGAAACGGCAATGTTTTACTTCCCCTTATTCGTTTCACAACATTTCATAGCTTCTCGCAAAACCTCTCTGCATCCTCCATTGATGATTGATGAATGATGCTTTAGGTATGTCTCAGTTTCTCAGATTCTAACTTTTCTTTAGCTTCCTCTTTCTCGCGCTTCATACTACTCTTTGCTTTCCTTTTGTTGCCTTTTTTTTCTAATCTCGATGTCTCTTCTGTATCTATGCACATGAACTGTTCGTTTAAATGCCGCTTACAAACCCCACTTCAAATTATATTCTGATACGGAAGTATCTTAAAATCTATGGACAAATTCAATGGAATCCAGTTTGATTGCAGAAATTTGGTTTTAAAATTCTGTAATATGATCATTTTTTTTAAACACACGAGACATTCAGTTTCTTCGAATGCTTAAGGTTTCATGTAGCTAGAGACGGTTTTAGGCTGTGTGACATTTATAAAGCACTCATTTTGTTAGCCACACACACAAAAGTTGCAAACTTTCCAGAAACTTTACATCATCAAAGCTTCTATTGACCATCAAAATTTAAAATTTACATGGAAAATGATGGTTAACATATGCAATTGACACCAAAACGCAAAAAAAAAAAAAAAGTGTATATATTTACTTATGATTGATGATGAATGGAGAAAAAATGCACACAGTTACGTCTCTTCTTCAGCTTCTTCTTCTCTGTTACTTACGTTTGTGTTCTCTGCGTCGATATCTTTGAGCCAGTCAACAACTTGCTGTATATTTGGTCTTTTCATTGGATTCTGATTCACACACATGCAGGCTATGTCAAGCACACGGAGCATCTCTCCTTGGTAACCACTCTCTCTCAGCAACGAATCAAACACTTCTTCTGGCTTCCCTTCTCTTCTCATCTGATGCACCCAAGCAACCAACTCTCTCGACATCTTTGGCCTGAAAACCTCCATTGGCCTCTTCCCAGTGAGCAGCTCGAGCATGACGACACCGAAACTGTACACGTCGCCTCTCAAAGTAGCCACCCAAGCTTGTCCATACTCTGGAGGAATGTAACCCAATGTCCCCACAAGCTCAGTTGTGACATGAGTGCGATACGGAAGTATCAGTCTTGACAAACCGAAATCCGCGAGGTAGGCTTTGAAGTTCCCATCTAAAAGGATGTTGCTTGACTTGATGTCTCTGTGTACTATGTGCGGCTCGCAAACCTGGTGCATGTAGGCGAGTCCAAAACTCGCTCCTCTAATAATGTGAAGTCTCTTTGGCCAATCCAGCTGAGCTGGACCTTCGGGGTTCTCGTGAAGCCAGTAGTCAAGACTTCCGTTCTCCATAAACGTGTAGATAAGTATCCGAGCACTGTCATGGACGCAGTAGCCTTGTAGAGCGACGAGGTTCTCATGTTTGGCCCTGGAGAGAACTTCAACCTCTGCTTTGAATTCTTTCTCCATCATGCCACAGTCTCCTGTGAGTTTCTTGACCGCTAGCTTCGTGCCATTGTCCAAGATCGCCTTGTAGACAAGGCCAAACCCGCCACAGCCGATTATATTCGCTTGGCTGAAGTTGTTGGTAGCCTTCAAGAGCTCGAATATCGTCAGGTCTTTCACTTCATATCTACTGTTCCCAAACAAGAGCACGAGGCTGATGTCTTTCTCCGAGCCTGGACCGACTTGAGAATACGAGCCGTTGGAGTTTATCTCCAGCTCGGCGTTCTCAGAGTCTCCTGGATTGACTCTCCTCTTGGACATCACCCACAGAGCAACCAGCACCAGAATCAAACTGACGCCGAAGAAGGTCCCAACGACAAGCCCCAGAACAAGCGGTCTGTTGACCTTTCCCTTCTCCGTCTTTGTAGAAGAAGGCTGTGTTGGATTGCAGGAGGTTAGAAGCACACCACCGCACAGCAAAGGGTTTCCTTCAAAATATGTTTTTGGGAAAGTATCAAACTGACTTCCTGTGGGTATTGGTCCACTGAGAGTGTTGTTGGCAACGTTGAAATAGGACATGAAGTTGAGTCCTGTGAGCGACCAAGGGATTCTACCGGAGAGACTGTTGTTGGACAGGTCAAGCCTCTCCAAGTTTGTGAGGTTTGACAACTCATCCGGGATACTACCAGACAAACTGTTCACTGAAAACTCCAGGTCATGGAGAACCTTTAGCTGTCCAACCTCGACCGGTATACTCCCGGTTAAACCATTCTTTTTGAGGTATATCGCAGGTGGGAGGCTAGAAAGCTGGTTGTATTGCTGTTTGATGGTGACGTTATTGGGACTGACGAAAACCGGGAGCTCTAGATAGCTCCGCTCTGTTGCATCGTACGCCTTTTGAGACATGAGAGCCCTCAGCTGAAACAGTTCCTTTGGAATCTCTCCTGTGAGAAGGTTATCAGAAAGATCCAAGTAGAAAAGGTTTGGAAGAGTTCCTAGCCAACCGGGAATAGGCCCTTCGAGTCGGTTTAGTGACAGGTCCATAAGCTCTACTTTCTTGAGCTTGATCAGCCAAGCTGGTATTTGACCTTTCAATCTTGATCCACCAGTACCGAAGATTTGGAGATTCGGAAATCCATCTGAGGCGAGAAAGTCTTCGTTGCTTGGTATGGTTTCATCGTAAAAGTTCTTTGCAATGATGAGAGTAGAGAGCTTCTTGCATCCTTGCAGAATGCTGAGAGCGCCTGTGATGTTCGTCATTTTGTTGTCTGAGAATGTGAAGAACGAGAGAGACTCCAATTCCAGCACTTTAGGAGATATCTCTCCGGATAACTTGTTGCCTGCGAACCTCATTGCAGTCAGCTTCTTGCAGGAGTAGACCGTGGAGGGGAAATCGCCGGTGAAGCTATTGTTTCCGAGGTCAAGAACGCTGAGGCTCTGAAAACGGGAGAAGTCTATCGCCGATAAGGTTCCTCCCAGACGATTAACACGTAGAATCAGCTTCACAAGTTTTGTGCAGTTGGAGAGAGAAACCGGAACAGAGCCTGTGAGGTTGTTGACATGAAGCTGGAGGCTTTGCAGGTTGAAAAGCTTACCTATATCCATTGGTATCTCTCCTTCGAGGTGGTTAGAGTAAAGCTCAAGGAATGTCAGCTTAGTGAGACGAGTGATTCCTTCATCAATCTTTCCAGTAAGATGATTGGCTGGTAAGTAGAGTTGCTCGAGGTCAGAGAGATTGTAGATTTCTTTTGGAGTTTCACCGGAGAGGTTGTTGAAGCCTGCTCGAAGAACACTTAGCCTCAAACATCTGCCGATTGCTCCAGTGATAAGCCCTGTGAATTTGTTGTATGAGAAGTCCAGTTTGGTGAGTTGTGGTGAAGTTGTGCAGATGAAAGAAGGTATTGGACCGGTGAAGCTGTTGTTGCTGACGTTGAAACTGGTTAGATTGAAAGCACCCTGAAGAAAAACAGAGCCACCGAGGATGTCGCCTTGGAGAAGATTGCTGGAGAGATCAACGGTCTGAATTGGTAAGGTTCGGTTGCTTCCATTGCCAGATGGTTGTTCAAGTGGCGGCAATTCGCCGTTGAAAGTGTTGTAACTGAGATCAAGAAACAAGAGCTGATCAAGGGCGGAGAGGAAACCTTGTGGGAGAGGACCAGAGAGACGGTTATGAGAAAGGTCAAGGCGAGAGAGACGGCGGAGGTTTAAGCCAGAGGGCGGGAGATTGCCGGAGAGTCCTTTAGAGGACAAGGAAATCGAAGTGACTCGAGTTTCTGGAGAGTCATCGCAGGAGATTCCTTCCCAGGAGCAACAATCAGTAGATGAATTCCAATGCAAAGGAGAGAGTGGAGATGATACGTTTCCGGAGAACCAAAGGAGAGATTCTCGTTCTTGTGGATTACAGACAGCTTCTGTAACTGTGAGAAAGAAGAAGGAGAGGGAGAGAACATAGAGGAGGAGGAAGAGAACCATGTGTAGTGGTGGTCTCACTAGGAGACAAACAATGGATTTAGATCTCATCTTCTTGTCAATCATGGCGAGAACAAGAAGACGAGAAGGAGAAGAAGAAGAAGATGAGGAAGATTGAGAAAGCTTGAAGAAGAAGAGGAAGGAGGAGAAGGAGAGGGAAAAGAAGCAAAAGACATCATTATCCAATCTGGGTTTCTGTGTCCGAAGCTTGTAAAATGGCTCTCAATACCATCGTTGACCAAAGGGAATAGTCAGACCAAACAGAAGTAAACTTCTTGTCACACCCAAAGTTACTTTCTCTCTTTATTTCCTTTTTTCCTTTCTTTTTCGATTTTATTATTTTATCTTTTTGCCCTGATTGTGGTTGTGGCCTATTGGTATATTTTTTAATATAAAGGTTTTTTCTTTTATATTATTCCTTCTTGTAATAAAAAGCTCAAGTAACCCTATGAAATACAGACAAATACCTATGTAATACTAAAGTCAGCGCTATTGTTTGTCTCTATTTTGTTTTTAACCGCAATATAGTGTCTATTTTAAACCCATATGAATTAATCTAGTTATTTGCTTTGTCATTTATTCATGGTTATAAATAATTGTCCTCTATGCGTTTTGACTATTAATCTGATTTGATTTATTTTGGAGATGGAGGTGCGTGCGTGCGTGCTATGATGTTGATCATGAAAATTGAATTTGATGATATTATAATCATGATGGGCACAAACATTATGATATGAAAATAAAAACAAAAAAAATAAATAAAGGAATATAAAAAAAAGAAGGTGAAGAATAGTATTTGATGATGATTTTTTTTAATTTACAAAAGATGAGAGAGGCGTTTACCTTTTGGGGCGGCTGGTTAGTAGTGGCTCGTAGTGGTGGTGGTGTTACACACCTTTTTTCTAATATCCCTCTCTAGCTTTTTTTATAATCAGCTTTTTTATGTTTCCTTTATATTTTTTTGCTTTATTTTGCTTTTTATCGGATCTTCTTATATTTTAATTATGCCAAGTGGAAGCCACATTTAACATTAGATAGTGGTCATAAAGAACGAAAAGTAGATAAAGAAGATCAAATGATACTGTTTTCTTTTGTTTAAAAAGGATACTGTTTATTTTGTTTGACTTTTGATTTTTTGTGGTTTTAAAAAATCCTTGAAGCTGTTCATGTGTTGTTTTTTTTTTAATTTACTAATGAGCTAATGGCGTATATGATAGCTGACAATTTAATCAAATTTTTTAAGGGTCTTCGACTTTTCGGATCCTGTATCAAAAATATATCATTTGAAAATGAAGTAAAACAAAAAAAAATACATTAAGAATACAATATATACATATCTAACTGCTTGGACATTTGATCGAGGATTGTAAGGTGATGATTTGTACTAATCGTGTTGTCATGCTATCAGTCGAGTGTTAAACAAAAGTTATGTTTATGTGAGTTGGGGAAAAAAATGCTTTGGAGTCTAAGAAGCTATCATGATTAATACGTTCACTACTTTAATTAGTGTTAAGTAACAGTAAGTAATGATGGTGTGAATTTGTTTTCAGTAACATATTTACATGATAGAGTTTTGAAAGACATCCTAAAGAATCGTTATCACTTCGGTGGAATCGAATGTAAAGATTTGACATTATATAATACCAAAAATCTTATGCATGACATCCTTTTTATTTGCTTTATAACCCTGAGGCTCAGAGTGAGAATAAGCTTTGTGACTTTACAAAACGATAACCTATTATTAAGCTTTCTGTATAAGCCGATCATATAAATCTAATTTTTCATCTAAATTAAAAAAAAAAAGGGAATTCATCTCCGTTATTCTTTTCCCACTGAAATCTTTTAGGTTAAATCAATTTTAGACAATCTCTAATAATCTATTTGTTATATTTATCGATTGGTGTAGAGTGTAGACCTAAGATCCAGGTTAAATCAAGTTTGTCGTTTTCTCAGCTCACGATAGAATGAGAAAAAGCCAATAGATATTGTATTTTTTTAATCGTCTTTATAACATTTTTTGCTATTTTGATCAATAAAATTTGTATCCATTTCAGAACACAGCACATCGGCTTATCTGTTTTTTTTACAACCGGCTTACTTATCTGTTTATCTATCTTGAAAGTTGAAAAGAACTCGCTCTAATTATTTTTATCGTCATGACAATTTCTTCTCTTCTATTCATTATTGTTTCTCATCCTTTCTAATTGATAAATAATTTTGTAAAACAGATCAATTCGATGACTTGATCAGGATATTCTTTGTAATACAATTCCACTGAAAGATAACATGTATCATGATCTTGTTTTGTATTTAGCATTTTTCTAAGTGAATTCAGTAATCTATTTCTTGTCCTTTTGTAAAATCGTATACAGCTAATTTTTCTATTTTTCCGGCTCCTGCAAATACAGCTATTCAGGTATTAGAATATCATATAACGTCACCATTTTTAGAAATATTCGAACCATTTGGAGTTTTAAAGTAATGGACAGAAATATACAGTCAAATGATAATAACATAAACATTTTTTGTACTATACATCATGTATGAATGTAGCTTATATTACATAGATAATACATACAGTTTCTGACGACCCGAAATCTATGCTCTCCTCGTGAATTTTCATAAAACAAGGGAGAAAACCGTTTGACTTTATAACAAAATAGTATTTAATTCCATACATATTATATATATATATATATATATATATATATATTTTTTTTTTTCTGAATATATTTATTAATAGAGAAGTTCTCCGAAGAGGCAACCATTACAATCATAAGACATCGCCAATACAAATAGAAATAGCAGGTGAAACACACAACAGCAGGAGCAAAACAAGATTAAACTTGAAAAAATCTGAACCAATTGATCAAAAACGAGTCCTCTCGACTAGCAGGGCGAGAAGATGTGTGAATGATCACAGAGGAAGTGGAATGATCCAGACTAAACAGCTTTGCTCTCAAGAGGAGCTGAATTTCCTTAACCAAAACATGGACCGGTCTAGTAACGGAAGTATGCAATCTTGCGTTCATTTCTCTCCAAAGGCTATAGACAATTGCCTGAACCAGGAGTTTACAAATTATGTTTACCTTTGACTGTGACAAAGGCGAGATGGTCCAATGGATAACCTCCTCTATAGAATTTGGAATAACAAATCCACCATTCTGGAAAAAAGCCATCCAAACCTCTTTGGAAAAAATGCATTCCATAATCAAATGAGCTTTAGTTTCCGGGAGTGAATCACAGAGAAGACAAACTGAAGGAACCTCTAGTCCCCATGACCTTAGTTTATCTCGCGTAAGAAGTCGATCCCTCATGACAATCCACATAATAAACGCATGTTTAGGGACCCTTTCCTTGAACCAAAGTTGTTTGGTCCAATTAAGAGTGGGGCCTGCCGGATGAAGGAAGTCCCACATTTTTTAAGAAGAAAATTCGCCCGGAGGATCAGCTGGTGAATTTTTCCATAAAAACACATCCCTGCCATCATTCAGAGAGGAGGGAACATCTGTAGGAAGACAGTCCCTCAGCAGTCCATACATATTATATGTATGTACACACATACAACTTCGGAGATAGCTTATCATCTATATACATTGTTCGCCTAAATGACATAACATATACATGCTTTGAGTTGGACCGGTAAGATCATGCAAAAAGAACAAAATCTAATCACTTGGCCTTTTCGAATATAATATGTGTGTGTGTCTCTTAACTTAAACTACGACCTTTAATGGCTTTTTAGATGGTTTTTGTTTATAAAAAAAATCATTCAAATTTGTAAAAAAAAAAAACCTAAGAACTAGGAATTTGGTATCTCTTACGATGTTTGAGCACAAAAAAAAATTGTATTATTTGTCTTGAGCATTTGGAAAACCTAAAACTACAAGCCTAACACCAAAATCCGATCTACAAAGTAGAAACTAAACCCATTCAAAATAATATGTATTTTAATTGTTTTGATAAAGATTCTGTTTGTAAGATTCCATCTACTTGGTAACTAGTAGGTATACCCAAAACAAATCATGAGATGCTTGAGTAAAGTCAAAGCAAAATTAGCCATATATAGTGATATCTAGAAAGAGCCAGAAAAAGGAGACATTTTTTTAAGTGCTTGCAAAATTGACCTTCGAAAAAAACGGGTAGTGAGAGACCCGACCCGTTCAATTAGAACACATTTGGGCCATAACTTGATCTGGCCCATAAAATGAACAAGCCACGGCCCGACTCGATGTCTCTTCCCTTAATGGTGATATACCAATTGCCATATGCAGTGAGCCAGTGACAAAAGCCTACGAATATTCATTCATAAGGGCTTCATATTGGTAAAACATTAACATTCGTATTCAATGTTTATCTTCTTTGTAGCCACAACCAACAGATTTGTTTTCTCATTGTTTGAATAATTATGAACTTGTGTTTATTAAGTCCATTATAAGAAGTGTTAGCCATAGGAATCTATTGTCTATAGAGAGAATGATGTATAGGTTAAAGAGGGGGATATGTTATTAATAGGAAGGTGAAGGAGGTCATAATTCTTCTCTCATCATTTTGCCTACTAACCATGTTTTGCTGACTTTTAAGACAATAAATAAAGTTACAGTTTCCTAATTCCTTTCAGGTAGTGAGCATTTTGAGTAATGAGAACTTAGGATACCTTTTCATATACTAAAGTTGGTTTCATTCTTAACAAAGAAATCAGGTTGATGTGTCTCTTTTTTACAGTAGGTGATCGAACTTTGATTCTGATTTAGCTTATTCTCGCAAAGACTTTATTATACGATGTTAATGACATGAATGAAATAACCCTAAACTTGACATTTATTTCTCTTAACTTCTTTTTCAATAGTTTTTTTCTGCACATATATTTATGAGTGCCTAAAACTGCAAATGTAATCAAGGTTCCTCCACTTCATGAAAAGACAAGATCCTTAAACATAGGACTCGACCAGGACGATTGTTTTCCATATTCTTTGATCTTGAAAGCATAAAAAGCTCTTCATTAGCTCAAACATGTGCGTATATAATACGAATTTTATCATTTAATTATTAAACTAGTGCATGTCATACTGTCATCTATTACATTTGACTTACTTTAGTTGATTATTCAAAATTTTAACGCAGTTAGAGAGTACCAAAAAATGTAAGGTTCGTGTAGAATTAACGATATCATGAAAAGACTAGTTAACATTAAAAGATGTGTAACTCAGTGCACACCATCATTTTAGCTTATAATGCACTTCGTATTTGTTTTAGTAACAACTTGAATCAAATTATGCCCATAAGCTGCAACTAAAAGAACGTTAGAACTAGTTTTATTAGAATACCAAAACATTAAACCCGTTTCCTTCAACACTATGATCTATCAAATCGCATTTTCCAAGGACTTACAAAACATTAACAGAATAAGCCCCGACGAGAAGGCATGTAGAGAACTAGGAATTTGTACGATAACAAAAATTACATGGGTGATACAAGTACAAGTGTACAACGTTACCAGGTTGAGAAATGGTTATAATAGGAAAATTGTTTGCAGCATTGGATATAAATTCAGTATTACTCAAATATATTAATAAGGAAAACCACTTTTTCTTAAATAATTTGAAATTCTTTCCATGAAGCGTTTTTGTCATAATAATTCTATCATTCTCTTTTAGATGTTTTTCTCATTTTTCACTATTGTACAACTCAAAGACCAATTGATACCATGTGAATTGTAGGACTCATACTTTCTTTGTATTTATCTCTAGTAGGGTATTTTAGAATCTCTACACTCTTGTATAAATATCGATGTAGTTTCTTGCACATACATTTTCAAGAGCAGCTTGGTGTATGCGTGTATGCGTTTTCTTTGTTTCCATCATTGCCGCTTTGATCCGTTGATATTTTTGTCGCAGAAACTTGTAGACTAACATGCTAATAATGTATCGTATGAAAAACACTCTCGCCAATGTAATATTTTCTAAAATAAGTTTTCATCAATTTTTTGTTTGATTTATGATGAATAATTAATTAGCCATAGGACTAGAAAACGAAGTTTGAGTTTTTTTTTTTACTGCAATGTCAATCATGATTAGCTACTACGAATGCCTTGTGAAAATTAATCATTTTTGTTTTCAAATTTCTGTAACTAATGTAATTAATCAGACAAAGCAAAAAACAGAACACTATTTTATTGTTTTGTAATGGAGATGGGAGATTATTACCAGAAAAACTATGTAATGGAGAAGGTTTGACGAAGAATTAACGAATTAAGAAAAGGGTTATTGTGAAGTAGAGATTTTATAGGAAGAGTAGCTGCCCCAACTCCAAGACTAGCTCGTGGGTCCTATTCTCCTCGATGTCATCATCTCCTTCTTCATTTGCCTTCTTTCTTCTTAATCATCCACTCTTCTTCACTGTCTTCTTCTTCCATTCCATGTCTTGACAGACAATTGAAACACAGACCTTCACAGCTTTTCTCTTTTGCTTTTGCATTCCTCTCATCTCTCTAGCTACTTCATCCTTAATACCCTAAACATGTTTATGACCCTCAATTCCACCATTAGCACGATTCTGAGCTCTGTTTTCGAGTAATTTGTTGCAAAAGCTCAAAACTTTCTGCGTTTTCAATTCAAAGTTCGTTTTTTTTTTCCATTTGGGTACTCAACAAACGAGTAAAGTTTCTTCCTTTACCCTCCCAAAAACCCTAATTTCATAGAAACCCTGTCCAATTCCCATCCATTTCCATGTTCTGTTTCTGCTCAGCTCCCAGTTTCTGCTTCTGAATCATCTTTTTCCTTCACAAAATCAAGCTGATTTGTGTTCCATTTACAGAAAAGCTCTGATCTTTACCGAGAAAACACCAAATCTTCACCATCAATGGACGATAATGGATCTGCTCATAGCTCATTGTTCGGCGACTTATCAACGGAAGAAGTCACAAGCAAGATCATTCTCACAGCAATCGTTGTTCTGTTCATGGCGGTTCTCTTCGTCCTTATCCTCCACCTCTACGCCAAACTCTACTGGTGGCGAATAGATCAGCTCCAACAACAACAACAGCAGCAACAACAACAAGAACAAGAAGAGGAAAACCAATCATCAATTGCTCCACCGGTAATCACTCGCCGGCAACGGCGCCGTTTCATCTTCGTCCCAGGGCAAGACGCTTCATCCAACACTGGTCTCACCCCATTTGAGCTCAGTTCTTTACCAATTGTCTTCTTCAGACAAGACAGCTGCAAAGATGGTTTGGAGTGTGCGATTTGCTTGTCTGATCTTGTCAAGGGAGACAAATCAAGGCTGCTTCCAAAGTGTAGCCACAGCTTCCATGTTGAGTGTATTGACATGTGGTTTCAGTCTCACTCAACTTGTCCCATCTGCAGAAACACTGTTCTTGGTCTTGAGCAAGCTGAGAAAGTCCCGGACAATGCAGATATTGGTAACACCAGTATCAACAACCATGATGCTTCCTTGTCTCAAGTTTCAGGTTCTGTTTCCAATCCCTCTCCGGAGTTTCCCACCAATGTCTTGGTATGGGGTCGTCAGGATCATGTTAGCACCGGAAACACCAATGTTGGGTCTCAAGAAGATGTTGCTGCTTCTCAGAGTCTAGAAGCTGTTGTGTTAGATATCAATGAGTCTCTAAGTAGAAGTCAAAATGTATCATCTTCTTCGTCTTCGTCGGTGATGAGGTTTATTGTTGAGGAGGAAGAGCCAAAATCTCCAATGACAACGAGGTTGAGATCCCTAAGGAGGTTTCTGAGCAGAGACAAGAGAGTGGCTTGTAGCACTAGTAGTACTAGTAGCAGCTCCAACACTAATGCTGCTGCTTCTGCTGATCCTTGAAGGTTTTGTGATTTGATTAGCTGAGTAAAAGTGCCTGAAGATTTCTAAGTGTGTATCTATCTAGTCTCGGCTTTTATTGGCTATGTTTGAGAGCTTTCTCTGTAATCCATTGTATGATCATTTATCTATTCCAAAAGGTGTTTGAAATTCAAAGCTTTTGTATCTTAGATCAACGCAAGAGTCGACATTGTCATCTTAAACCATCAGATCTTAAGCTAAAACAAGGCATAAACTGAGAAGTACTTCAAGAACTATGAGCTAAGTTAAAAGACAACGAGCAAGCGGCTAATTTGGATAGACCAGAGAAACAAAAATCAATTGAGCAATGCATTTGGTCTGTTGTAGTGTTTATCTAAACCTGTTCTGTATTTGTAAGCCACAACAAAACAAAACCTCCTTTGTATACTGTTTTTTAAAGATTGCAATTAAGAAAGAAACAAAATAGTTGATGATTATCATGGAGACATATGAGCTGTTTAACCTGCAAATTTTCTTCTCATGAAGTTGGACTAAACTAATACTATTAGAAACAGCATCAGTAACCACGTGCCTTATCACATGATTCTCTTCCCAAAATCACATATATCTTCATGGCTAATACGTGTGAATCAATGTGTATGCATAAGTGTATATGTGAGGACTAATCATCAGTGAATCTGAATGGTCTAGAGAATCATTGGATTTAAGATAAATATCCTAAACCGTCTGAAACACAATTGGGGGAATATGAAATTATTGGCACAGCAGTCAAACTAAATCACGTGATTAGATCCCAACAAGTCTAAGAACCAATAATATAATCTACAAAGTACAAACCAACAAGAGTTTCAATCTCTCTTTCTTTCTTTTATAACTCAAACATAGCTTGCTACCTAAAAGTTTTCTCAGTTTGCAAGTCTCAGGAACAGAACAACCAAAGAGCTCCAAGATAAAAAGAACAGATCAAAAAAGAGAATTCACAATGAAGAGATTCCATACATCGGTAACGGTTTCAGCAGCTCTGATTCTGTTACTTCTAGCTTTGTTTAGCAGCAAGAATAATGTAGAGGGTCGTCAGATTGCGCCAGCTTCCATGGATTCAGCTTCTAGTAAAGCTGTGAGAGATTTGCAGATAACCAAGGAGATGAAGGAAGAGTCTCTAAGAGGTGAAAAAGATAGCTTCCGAAGAATCCCAAGGAGTGGCTCCAGCCCTATACAGAACAGGTAAAGACAACACCAAACACCAATCAATTTTCAATCTTCACACATCTCAAGTGGTTTTTTACATATTTCTTTATGACCGTGTATGATTGACACCAAGATTGTATATTTTTGTAACAGGAAAAGTCCCCTAGGAGCAAGTAGGAACCAGCGTATCACAGCAAAAGAACCATAGATCTCTTTTTCTAATCTCTTTGATCTTTTTTTGTAGTATAGCTTATTTTCACTTTTATAATGTAACTGAAAACATAAGGAACCATCTTATAAGCTTGCTACTGTTAACAGTTCCTAGATTAGACCTCTGTAAGTTCTTTTGTAATCTGAAAAGACTGTTTTTATTATCATTCTTGTGAGGGTAGATCTAGCCTGGCTTCTACTATGCTGTCATATTCATTGACAATTATTAAAAAAAAAAAAAGTGGCACAGAGATGAGGAAAAATACAGCTTTACTAAATATGATAAGAGTAGGCAGTCTAACCTTCAAATTCTCATTTTATTTGCGTGCCGATTCTTCATCTCGCCAGAAAGGAAAGGTCGTTTCTTGGAAGCTGGTTTATTATTATCCGTTGCTTCACTAGTTTTGTTCTTCTTCTTCTTCGCTCTCTTTTCACCAGCAAAAGGTTCATCCTTATCCCTTGCATGTTCTTCACGGTGGCGCTTAACCCCGGAAGTAGGACGATGGTCAATCTCTTTGCTTGTGTTCTTTGGTTCTATCTCCTCAGATGGATCCTCAGTTTCATCAGAAACAAATGTGTTCATTGGAAAATCTGATTTGCTGGAGCCGAATGCAGAAAAAAATTCCTTATATGTCGATTGCTTAGCTTCTTGTCTTGATTTCCACTGATCAGGTCTCCATGCATAACTGCAACAAATAATTCACTCCTTAGCATTTCAAATTAATGGATGATGTAAAAGATGCAAAAGCAAGGCAAGGTCTGTGAATAAGATCTTTACCCGTCGATATCTAGTTTCCTAAGCAGAAAGGGCCCTTGCTTTGTCTTCAAGAGATCAGCTTTCACATCCAACAGTTCAATTGCTATGGCTTCCCGTACTGACACGTTACATGCATCGAAGCACTTCTCAACAGTAAATGAACCCGATGTGTGTAATGCAAGCTCGCCAAAATGTCCACGTAACCTGTAAGAAAATCATTGGTGTCAAGAAACATCATCAGAACAAATAACAATCGCTTGAAAAGTAGTGACAAGTAGCTTCAGGATTTTCCCAATATAATTCCCTATGCTCCAGTTTTGGGTCTTTTAATCATATAAACAAAGCTACACTGTGGAACCAATCGTTCATGAAATTATCAAATAACCATATAACATAAAGAAGCAAAGCATACTTGTTAATTAGTTTGCGCTTCTGTTTTGTAGCAGCGTTGGAGGCAAGAAAGGCCTCAATGACACGTGCTCCGCTGGAATCTTTTGCTGTCTCAATGGTATGCTCGGCTTTCATAGAAGTTACGCTTGTTATGTATGGCTGTATAAGATCCTGTGAGAGTTGAGCAAAAGTTGGAAAATAATGTGAATGCGTATTAACAGCCAAACTTGGAAGTTAAAACCAACGAAACTATTCTTGTCAAAACAAGATGAGAAGGAGACGTACGCTAGAAAACTTGAAAATCTCCTGAAGGATCAAACAACCCATGACATGCATCCTTGCACCAGAAGCCCACTCCCAAGTAGACGTATCTCGGCAACCAAAGTAGTTATCAAGAAGCAACAACCGTGGAACAATGGACATACGGGATTCATTTGTGGAGCATACTGCACCAGCAAGGGCCTCACAACACTGTCAAATCAGCAAGAATGATCTGTATAGTTATCCTGAAGGAAACAAGTTTAAAACTAGAAAAGTAATTATTTTTCAGTTGAATTTAGAGAACATAAAAACCTTATGTTCATGACTTTGAAGCCTTTGGCTAGCCGCTATCAGAGAAGCCACAACACCTGACTTCCCTTGTTCAAGAAGATCCTTGAATCTTGGAGCTAATTCTTCCCATATCAAACCCATCTTGCAAACAAATGCAATTGAATGTAAGTTTACTGGCGTCAAGCAAATAGCACAAATACATTCAAGGCTAAAAAGACCTGGAATGAAATATTGCTGACGCAGCAGAAATAGAATACCTGCTCTTGGTCTCTTGCATGCGAGATCAACGATTGAATTACAAAATTTGCACACCGATCAAGTGAAAGGTCATATAAAGACTTCTTGAAAACTTTGTTGAACAGTTCATTATACAAACTTTCAGGGGCCACTTCCAAAATCACCTGAAAATGGCATGCAAATGCATTTAAAAAGACGACTAAGGAAAATAACACTCGAATTACAGCAACGAGCCCAACAGATAATTGGCGATCATAAAAGACAAACCCCACATTCTAGATAATGTTTTGCATGGGTTAAAAGCAGGCGATATGTCCACAATCAACTATTATTTGGAAGGTACCACAATGTTTGGTATAAACAACTCTGTCAGAGGTTAAACTAAGTTACCTCCACCAAATGACTGAATGAATTATCCTTCATTGACTCTAAGATTTCCTTGGCAACATCAGTCTCAATATGAACCCCCTCTCCGTTTTCATCAGTAGAGTTGCAGCGCAGAACAAGAGGAATGATTTGAAGCAACTCATGATCTTGTTTCGCCATTAGTCTGAGAGCAGTCTGTCAAGAGAAGATGATTTAGCATCCCCGTGAAGCATAGAGAGTAAAACAAATAACATTCAATACTAAACAAGTTGCTTAAAGATGAACAAAAAAGATAAGGCAGGGACATAAAAAAAATACCTGTAAGACCAAACTGCTAAACTGATCAACTTGAAGATACTTCATGTCCTCTCTGCTACAATTTAATAGCCCAGATAAAAGGTAACTGAGCACATCCGGAAACCCTTGATGAGGATATTCCTCTAGCTGCGGATCTAACTGAGACGTCTTCAAATTCAAACGTTTCGCCAGAGCTTTGGATGATTTTGCGCCTTGAAGTTCAGGAGAATCTAAAGAGACTCCTTTGCAAAGACATAGAAGCCTGCGAAGAACATGGGAACCATAGCAATTGCACATCATATCAAGAGGATTATCCACAATCACCTGACCAAGTGAAATATTCAACCGTTACAATCAAGGTACTAGAAGCCATATTTCTGATACATACAAATTATATAAGTACCTTGCATATAGAATTCAAAGCCTCCTCAATAACAGAATAGGCATCTGGGTTTTCCAGATGTGTGGTCAAGGATTTGAGAGCAGACTCTGCAACATGAGAACCAGACTTATCCATTGCAATGGCAGGGAACACCTCTGCAGAGTTCCGTACGAAGCTGCAGAGCTGATCAAGTTCACATCCCTCAAGAAGAGTTTCCAAGACATGACTTATGATGTAGTCAGTCGCAATTTCATACTCCCTTCCTTTTGTCTCCTCAAGAGCATTTCCACATATCACTGAACGCTCCTCTAAATCAACTTCGTTACTATCAAAGAGATTAGCAATCTCAGAGAAATACTTTGAAGTTTCTGGATCAATCTCTTTCCTGCAACAAGATAAACTCAATTTAACAAAAAAAATGTCCACTAAAAATTAGAGCAACCTCGGTTTAAAAGTCTCTCATTTACCTGACAATTTCATTATGATGTTCATATTCAGATTGTTTCTTAGAAGCTGGCTTTACATTGGCAGCAGCGGCACCACCGGATTGGTTCCTCTTGTTACTATCTCCATCAAACCCACGGCTTCCTTTCTGAGCCTTCCTACACATTCCTTTCTTCCTTGAACTGTGACTGTTGCCAGACTTTTCTCGTTCACCCATTAAGCTATCTTCCTCACTGCTCCTGTGCCTCCTTGATGGCAATGATTTGGAACCAACTGAAACCATGTGAAGCCCTAGTTAAATCCTACAAAGATTACCCAGGAACACACACACACACAAGCTCAATATCAAACAAGCAGAGATCATAACACACTCACTATAACCAGCTTTCAAGAGCTATGAGTCCCAGATTACACAAAAAACACAGTCCTTTGAAACAAAAAGGTTCAATTTTTTTTTTTTTTTTGTAAAAAGGTTCAATTTTTAACTCAGAAATATAAACACCAAAGGGGATACATCATGTTGAAAGATACAGGCATGGGCAATTTGGTGAAACTCCAAACTACATATACAGCTCGAGATTCTAGCCTAAACTCAAAATTAGGGTTTATGCTTCAACTTGAGGTACCATATCTTGGTTTTCGTTAACTACAACATACCAGATAAATTCCGATTCCAAAGGCTAAAACTTTACTCTACTCTAGGTAAAGTTTGTACAACAGAAAGAGGAAACAAACCTTAAGTATGCGGAAAACACAGATGGTGTGAGAGGAAAAACGAAGAAGAAGCTTGTGCTCACAAGAGGGAATGAAACAGAGAACGCGGCGCAGAATCACAAATCAGAAGTCGGTAAAAGAGAAGAAGAAGAAAAAAAGGAACGATGTCGTTTCTTTCCTAGTCATAGACCTCTAGTATACGTTTGAAATTGAATCTCTCTTTGATTTTAAAAATTATACCAATTTAATTATTTCTAGGGTTTACCTACGTAATTACTAATTGACTGGGCTTTTATGGCCTAGTCGAGTGGCCCGATACTTTACGATTGTTTTCATCAATTTAATAGCATAAGATAAATAATTTGACATTTTGCACACAAAAAAAACAAAAAAGATAAATAATTTGACCAACCAAAAAAATATTTTCATGTAATAAGATATTTTACAAATTTTCTGTAGGATTTAACTTTTAAAATATCTCCAAATTTTAGATAATGCTAGTTTAGCCCAAATTAGATTTCAGTTACGATTGAATTTTTCGGTTTTTAGTCCTTTTTGAATTTCATTTTCAGACAATGATCTGTTTGGACATTAGAGATAGGCTTCAGACAACAACTTTCTTGCCAAATGACATGTCTTTTTTTGGGTTAGCCGGCTTAAAAACTCTTGCAATTATCTCCACCGTCCATTGAATTAGATTTTCAAAAAGTGGGAAAAGAAAAATCCGATCTTTGACCATATTGACCTCCTTTTTTCTGAAGAGTCCTCGGTAAAATCCTTGGTAAACAAGGCAAAATAAAGGTTCCAAAATCTGTGTACAGGCACTGGTTTTGAGGAACATTGGGACCCTTCGTCGACTCGTCTGAGAGAAGTTTCAATCTTTGAGCTTGAGGAGCACGTATTATAAAAGCTGATCACAAGATGCGGAGATTCTTAGCTAGCCAAGCTAAAGGTCTTGTGGACCAAACACGTCGCCATCATCACAAAAGTCGACTCTTTCTCTCTCCTCTTCCGTCTTTATCATCACCTCCTCTTCCAAACCCTGCTCGATCTCCTCTTGTTTCTCTGTCTCGTTTCTTGTCTTCTACTTCGGATATGTCTGCTTCTGATTCCACTTCGTCTCTTCCCGTTACTCTTGATAACATCAATCCCAAGGTCGGTTCGAAATTTTGTAGCTATCGATTTATCTTGTTGCTGTTTGATTGTGGGTTTTTCTGGGTTTGTTTATATTTGACTAAAATTTACAAATATTAAGTGTGGTTTTCTGATTCAACGCTAAAGGTTTGCTCTTTAGCTTCTCTCTGTTTCGTAATGATGAAAGCGACAAGCTTTTTTCTTAAGTTCTTCGTTTCTCTGTACTTGATTTGGGGTTTGTTGCTGAGTCTGCTTCTGTTTGTGCTTAGGTTCCTTTTCTATGTCATTGCTTTGTCTTATGAGTGACTTTTAGTTATACTAAAGGGAACCAAACTAAAAGTTGGTTTTTTTGGAGTGGCAGGTTCTGAAATGTGAGTATGCTGTTCGTGGAGAGATTGTCAACATTGCTCAGGTCAGAGATCAATGTGCTTTTTTCTAGTAAAATCACAAACAAAAATCTGTAAAAAAATTGTTATAAAAGCCAATTCATTTTTCTGTTTGCCTTTACAGAAATTGCAAGAAGACTTGAAGACTAATAAAGATGCTTATCCCTTCGATGAGGTAAAAAATCAGCACACTCATGTTCTCATTTGTGTATTATGATCCATACTTTGATATGAGCTTCATAGAGTGTTGATGTTATTATTTATAATTCCCAAAAAGAAAGAAACTTAGACCGTTTCTTTGGCAGATAATCTATTGCAATATTGGGAATCCTCAATCTCTTGGTCAGCTGCCTATAAGATTCTTCCGAGAGGTAAAAAAGCAATCTACTTTGGTGATATTTCGTTTTCTCATATCAGCCCTGAGGTATAACTTTTAATTATTATATCTACAATGTCTCAGGTTCTTGCGCTATGTGATCACACAAGCCTTTTGGACGAGTCTGAAACACATGGTTTATTCAGGTATTGCATCCTCACTTTATTCTAGATTTACAACATGTACGTTATGACTTGTGAGTAAAAGATTGCTTCACATTTGACATTATCAGTACCGATGCAATTGACCGAGCATGGAAGATTTTGGACACAATTCCCGGAAGAGCAACTGGTGCTTACAGTCACAGCCAGGTTTGTCATAAAGAGTCTAGTTAAAAAAAGTCTCAAACTTTGTTTTTAGATGAAATCTAAGTTGCTGAATGATTCCTCTACTGCCTCAGGGTATCAAGGGACTACGTGATACAATTGCAGCTGGAATCGAAGCCCGTGATGGTTTCCCTGCTGATCCTAATGATATTTTCTTGACTGATGGAGCAAGTCCTGCGGTAAACAGTCAAATCCAAGAACATTTTCCTCATAGAATCTAGAACAAGCAAGTCCTCCTAAAAGGTTCATTTTAATTGTATTCTTTTTTCTTCTATAGGTTCACATGATGATGCAACTTCTCTTAAGCTCAGAGAAAGATGGCATTCTCTGCCCTATCCCTCAGTATCCATTATACTCTGCTTCAATTGCTCTCCATGGTGGATCTTTGGTATGTTCACTTAATCACTATGGAATAGTATTGTTTTTTTTAGACGATTTGGTTTTATTTTGATTGTTGTGTTTCTCCTTAGGTTCCATACTATCTAGACGAAGCAACAGGATGGGGACTGGAGATTTCTGACCTTAAGAAGCAACTAGAGGAAGCTAGGTCAAAGGGCATCACTGTAAGAGCCTTGGTTGTCATCAACCCCGGTAATCCAACTGGGCAGGTAAAACTAGAAACAGACTTTTTAAGATTTAGGCGCTTGGGATGCAAAAATGTAACGTTTCTCTTGTTCATGTTCATGTTCAAGGTTCTTGGGGAAGAAAACCAGCGTGACATTGTGAATTTCTGCAAGCAAGAGGGTTTAGTTCTCTTAGCAGACGAGGTCTACCAAGAAAACGTTTACGTGCCTGACAAGAAGTTCCATTCTTTCAAGAAAGTAGCTCGGTCTTTGGGACATGGCGAGAAGGATTTCGCTTTAGTCTCCTTCCAATCAGTCTCCAAAGGTTAATGAAACACTTTCTTTTGGTCTGGTGCTTGTGTCATCTAAAATATAGGTTTGTCTTCTTACTGTTTTGTCTCTTTTTGATGTTTGATAGGATACTATGGAGAATGTGGAAAGAGAGGAGGTTACATGGAAGTTACAGGGTTCACTTCTGATGTAAGAGAACAGATTTACAAAATGGCTTCTGTCAATCTCTGCTCTAACATCTCCGGTCAAATTCTTGCTAGCCTTGTCATGAGCCCACCCAAGGTAACAACATCACAGTTAGTTATCTCTAACTGGTTTTTGGTTAAGTCCTTGCAAACAGATAAAATGACTAACCAATCTTTATATATATTTTGGATCAGCCTGGAGATGACTCATATGACTCATACATGGCAGAGAGAGATGGAATACTCTCATCCATGGCTAAACGAGCAAAGGTTAGTTAAAAAAAAGTTACATTACAGTATAAAATGCAATTTCAGTATCTTTGTTTAGTCTCTCATAAGCTTGATTGATAATGAATGGTGCAGACTTTGGAAGAGGCTTTAAACAACTTAGAAGGCCTAACATGTAACAGAGCCGAAGGAGCGATGTATCTGTTTCCGCAAATCAAGCTTCCTCAAAAGGCGATTGAAGCTGCAGAGGCTGCAAAGACAGCACCAGATGCGTTCTACTGCAAACGTCTTCTCAACGCTACTGGAATAGTTGTAGTCCCTGGTTCTGGCTTTGGACAGGTAAAAATAGGAAACCAAAACATATCATGTTTTTGAAAAGATTTGAATATGTTGTGTGTTTTGCATTTGTTGTGTTAGGTTCCTGGAACATGGCACTTTAGGTGCACGATACTTCCGCAAGAAGACAAGATTCCGGCGATAGTGAATCGCCTCACAGAGTTCCACAAGAGCTTCATGGACGAGTTCCGCGAGTAAAGCCTGAGTGAGATCCCTCAAGGCTGAAGATGAGCTCAAAGTCCTTTTGAGAGATCTTTTTAAAGTGTCATCAGTTTAATAAAAAAGAAGCTCTGTTTGTTATATGTGACGATTGTGTTTTGACAAACAGTTTTGCAGTTATCTAGAAAAGACACATGAATCATGATGATATGATATATATATATATATATATATATATATATAATTATGAACTAAATTCAAGTTTGTGAGTTTATGCATTCCATGACAAGAAATATATATGAAGTAAACGCCATACTCTGTTTACCATTTTGATAAAGCAAGATTTATACATTTTATCATTGACTTTTATTGTGGACATCAAACTTTTGTTGCTAGTGCATGTTATTTGATCATGGCAACCAAATAAACTCTTGTACTTAAAATTATTCCATTGCGTTAATGGGCCTAATAATGAAAATTGGCCTTATTAATGGGCCTAACAAAGAACTGAATAATTTGTTCATATGAATTTTCTCGAGAAAGCGACGGCAAATTAATATTCCGACATCTTTTTTTTCTTTCTTTTCTTCATCCATTTTGAGGAATTTTCTCGAGAAAACAAAATCAAATGTGGAGAAGATCAGCTTCGTTTATCCTCGACGAGCGACGAAGCTCGAATTCACCTCCAATGGCGGACACCACGCGAGGAGGCCCATTTCAAAACCCCGACGCCATCTCCGCCTACTACCAGACCCGCGCGGCGCATCACGGCGTCATCACAAGTGACTGGCTAGCCCAAGCTCAGGCTGCCGTCGGCGGCGTCTCAGGCGAGGAGCAGACCGTCTCACCCGCCGCTGAGTCAGGCGCGGATAAGACGTTTAACGTAATCGAGGAGTTCAACGGCTGGAGAAAGCAGCCGGATCTGGCGGAGGCCGTCGCTGCTATCCGAGCTCTAGCTGCGGTTATTCGCGCCAGCGAAGCTACCACAATGATGGAGCTCGAAATTGAGCTCAAAAAAGCTTCCGATACACTCAAGGTGAAGCTCAATTTCTGCAACAATCTGATTGATTTTTCTCATTTCCTTCATTATCGATCAATCTCTCTGTTGGAATTTTGCCAGTCGTGGGACAAAACGTCGATCTCCTTGACCGCTGGATGCGATCTGTTCATCAGATACGTTACGAGAACGTCTGCTTTGGAATACGAAGATTTCAATTCAGCCAAGTCTCGTCTCCTTGAACGTGCTGAGAAATTTGGGGAGATTTCTTGCAAGGTGCTTCCTTTTTACAACTCCATTGCCTCAATTTTAGATTAGAGTCCATTTTCCATTGAAGAAGGTCTATAAAATGTTTTGCAGGCTCGTAAGATTATAGCAATGCTTAGTCAAGATTTTATATTCGACGGTTGTACAATATTGGTTCATGGACTCTCTAGAGTTGTTCTTGAAATTCTAAAGACTGCTGCACAGAACAACAAGCTCTTCCGAGTTCTCTGCACAGGTTAATCTATAATCCTCTCTTAGCTCTGATGTGTTCCTATTAGTGACATGGAAGTTTCTGCTCTCTGTTTCCTATTAGCTTATATTGGAACTTGAGTCGTAGTTTTGTAGCTGCTTAATTTATTGGTTTACACAATGTTCTTGAGACATTTTTGTTGCTTGTGATGTACATGATATTGAACAGAGGGAAGGCCAGATGGAACAGGAGTGTTGTTAGCGAACGAGCTATCGAAGCTTGACATCCCGGTGAAGCTGCTGCTTGATTCGGCTGTGGCGTATAGCATGGACGAAGTGGACATGGTGTTCGTCGGAGCTGATGGAGTTGTGGAAAGTGGCGGTGTAATCAACATGATGGGAACGTACCAGATCGCACTCGTCGCACACAGCATGAACAAACCTGTCTATGTCGCAGCCGAGAGTTACAAGGTAAATTAAATTCAAACGCTTTTATAAGCTTCAAGAGAGAGAGGTTAATGATATTAAGTTTGTTTTGTTTTTGTAGTTTGCTAGGCTTTACCCGTTAGACCAGAAGGACATGGCACCGGCGCTGAGACCGATCGAGTTTGGTATAAAGATTGCGGCGAAAGTGGAGGTGGAGAGGTCGGCTCGAGACTATACACCGCCTCAGTACCTAACGCTGCTCTTCACGGATCTTGGTGTTCTCTCTCCCTCTGTAGTTAGCGATGAGCTTATTCAACTCTATCTATAAATTTTGACTCCCACTTTATGTAACTAATTATCATTTATCAGTTTTGATTCTGCAAAAGTGGAAACTTTATGGTTTGATGCGTTAAAGATCTTCAAACTTCCACGTTTTGATCAAGTAATATTTTAGTTCGAGTCTAAGTAGTGTTATAAATGGAAACCAAGTAAAAATAAAATACTCGAAAAGAGAGGAGACACTTATATATTATTTGGGTAATATCAAAGTAGAAGGCAAATACAATCTAGGATCCATTACCTTGTACAAGACACAACAAAAACCAGAAACAACTTACATCAAAACACTAGCACGAGTCTAGCATTTTGTCACGTACAATTATTGAAAACATGAAAATAACACTTTGAGACTTAGATGAAATCTCTTCGTTTGTCGATGATGCTGGTTCAGGCAGGTCCACGTGTGGTAGTTGAGCCCTTGGTGCACAAAGTAGAACATGCTTTGGCACATTGCTCTAATCCATTCACAATTTCACTTTCTTCTAGCAACCGAAAAACAAAATTTTAGAAATAGATTAACGACTTGTTTATTATTCCAACATAAATAAATAAAATTAGGAGAGTTCGTTTATCAGAGCTTTTGAGAGTGGTTATGGCACCACCACACACAGAGGAGACACACCCCAGCTTGCAGTATTCGCTGACAACATCACCTTCAGTAGAAAAGGATAAAAAAAAAGACAACATCATAAAAAAAGAAAAAAGAAATGTCCATATTCTGAATTTCTGACAAATAAAGTTGATATAATAGAAATTTGAATATACCGAATTTTTCGTGACCGTCGTTAAGAAATCTCGGAGGACAATCCCCATCAACGATTTGGCATTTTACAGGCTTTTGCACAAGCCTCCCGAGAGTGTCCCATGTGACGACAGAGATCATAAGTCCCCTTAGCAAATGCTGACGGGCAGCAGGCCCTACTACTAGCTTCTGTTTGAGTTTGAGCCAAGACCAGACTCATAATGAGAACACCTAAAACAACAGTTTTGCTTTCCATCTCTTGACTGATAAGTTTAACGTAGAGGGGAACGCTTGTAAGCTTGTATGATTGTATTGATGAAAATGCTAAAGAGACTAGACTTACTTAAATACTAGTTTTTCTACACATTCATTATGATTACTATTATTATTAGTTTCGTTTGAACACGTAAAGGATCGTCATAATCGATTTGTGATTATCTCGATGAGGCAGAAAATGAATATTTTTAAGCCAAACGTTTCAAGCGCGTATACTTAGTTGATGAAATGTTCAAGAAACTAGACATACTTAAATACTAGTTTTTCTACACATTCTTTATGATTATTATTAGTTTCGTTTGACCACGTAAAGGATCATATATAATCGATTTTGTTATCTCGATGAGGCGGAGAAGGAATATTTTTAAGCAAAACGTTTGAAGCGCGTATACTTAATTAAGTGCACTATTGCAGTAATCGACTCAATCATTGGTGAACAACGCCCACGTATTCAATCGAAAGTAAAGAAAATACGAGTGATTTACAGTTTGGATGACTTTTTGAGTTTTGTTTACAAAAAGAGGGACTTTTGATCTGAGGTGGACTTCTGTGATGTGCTGGCCTTTCTTGATTACGAAATAGCCCTTAATGAAATAGGGTAAAAAAAAGAGTTCACTTCCTTCCCTACGTTCGGCGGATCTGTTCATTTATTGTCACCGGTAATTTTGTTTCCGGTGATAACAAAAAGCTAAGACTCCGCAAAACCAGTGATTCTCATGCCGGTGAACTATTTCAATCTATTTTATATATAGACGGATGTTTAATTTTCGATTGTAAGACTTGTATATATAATAGCCATAGATCTCACCCGTTTCTGTACCCGCCAAATTGTATTTCAAGGAAATTAGATTTTTGGACGATTTAACAAATGTACGCTATGGACACTGATTATGCAATCCACGTTTTGGGCCTTGGACAATAAGTTGATGGACGGTTGTTGATTCGAAATTCCCAACTCTAGTTTAGTGTGTTTTGAATGGATAATTGATTGTGTTCTTCAAAAATTAATGAAGGTGGACATTGTTTGGTATAAAAAAATTAATCAACGACGAATTGGGTTCACCGGAATTGTTTCCCATAGATTACAGTATAGCCGTTCCTTTTGTTTGCTATGTCGATGTGTTATGTTGAAGTCATGGGTGTTTTCTCTTCCTTTTTTGATTTTCAACTGATAGCAGAAGATGGAGCTATGATTCTGATAAGCTTTCGTCAGATTCTTTGGTCGTCCAGAATTATAAATTTTGTTCTCACTAAACATGCAGATTCTCTGATTGTGTGGACCAGCCGTGATGGATAATAGGTTATTGATAGAACTAAAACCTGCATATTCATAGATTTTACATATGGATGGTTCCTTGCTCATCTGTTTTTTTTTTTTTTGAAAAGCTTTATTGGATAGTATACACATGTACAAATGGATGCGTGGATGGTTGATTATGTGTAGATGAGCTGTGATGGTGTGATGGACGATTTGTAATGGATGGTAGCTTATGGATGGAACCTGCAGGTTCAAAGTATCCAGGAAGAAAATTTCCAGGTAGATGTATAAAAAGTATCGACGGCTAAAAGAATCCACACACAATTATAGAGCTTTCCGAAAGGTCCAAGTTGAGTAGCAAAGTAAAAATTGAACTTAATCTAAAGAAGCCAGAAGCCATCACAATTGCTTCACGGCGGAGAAAAAGGGGAAAAGAGAGAAACATAAAGACAGAAAAATGAAATTACTTAAGATGAAGAGAATGCCAAATCGGGAGGGGATGTGAAAATGAGTTTCTGAGTATCGCCGTAGGAAGAAAAAGGATCTGAAATCGGAGTTTTCTTTTGGTCGGAGATAAAAAAGGAGTGAGTAAAATCTAGTCGTAAGGTGAAAACAAAAGAACGAAGGGTATCTGTGTAAACTCACTTCTCCAAAGTATACCACTTTCAAGAAGTCACTCATAGTGTAATTGTAAAGTGAAAAAGTCCAAGAGTGTAATATTCTCAGAAAATACTTAATCCCCATAGTTGCAGATATCGAGTAGCTTTCTACATGTTAATATATGTATTATTTGGTATTTTAATTATTATGACAAAAACGCTGGGATTCATGGAAAGAATTTCAAATTAACTAAGAAAAGGTGGTTTTCCTTCATAAGATTTGAGTAATACTGAATTTTTATCCAATGCTGCAAACGATTTTCCTATAATAACCATTTCTCAACTTAGTAACGTTGCACACTCGTGCTTGTATCACTATCACCAATGTAATTTTTGTTATCGTACCAAGTCCTAGTTCCCTACATGGCTTATCGTCGGGGGGCCGTTGAAACGACTGGTTGATAAATTTCTAATCTTTTATATCATGTATATGGTTTCATATAGTTTAACTTTATGAAAAGGTTTTTAACTTTTTATACGTACGTAATCGGTTAGTCAATCAATTTAATCATTGAATCCCAAGTATGTAACCAGTTTATATGGCGATGGTTAAGATATAGCCACGAATTTGCGATCATCGCCCTTTAATTTCCACAAAATTGTCGCTCCTTTGCTACTTTAGTCTCTAACAAAGTAAGTCAATTTACCGTCAAAAGTTTATCACAATACAGCAATGTTTGTGTTCGTCGAAGTTTTTTTTTTTTTGGAACAAAGGCTTAATTTGGTATGGTTGATTTAGCGGCGAAACTTGTATTTAACAAATTACTACATTTCGCCGATAAACAAAAGTATACCCCATTTTGAGTCGCAACGATTTCTTATTGTGCAACTTATACGATTGTGATTATAGCCATGTATTATTTGTAGTATGAGGTGTTTATAAAATAACACATCAAAAACAAAAAACAAAAAAACAAAAATCCATATCATAATATTAATAACTAGAACCCCATATATAAGAAATATATGGATTCAATGTCCGCCGAACAAAAAATCGTATGAATCTCAAACTTGAAAACCATTACTTTAATATAAGCTAAAACGAATTTAAATAATCTAAATCAACATATATATGTAATACCAAAATACTGTAATAATCTATTAAGAAAACACTTCACTGTCTACCACTTTGAGACGGAAACCCAAACGGAATCATCGCATTCTCTATATAACCATTGTTACCTGCATTAGGCCCTTCATAGTTCCTCACCATCGTATTTTCAATATCCATCGCTACTTTACCGTCCATCATAGCCGTCGGATATGTCAATGCCGGAACGTTCATCTGAACCGTCCGATCCCCACTCATCTGATAGATCCTCGTGCACAAATTAGCACTTAAACCACTCAACGCCTTCATGTACTCTTCCATCTCTTCCTCCGGCACACTCTCCACCGCCCTCTCCCACCACATCAGACCGTTTTCATCGTCCTCTCCTCCGTTTCCCACGTCACCGCCGGGGTGTGAGCTCAGCGTCACCTTAGACTTGCTCAAGTACTTGTCGATGAGTGTCTTCACTTCACCAAACGTGTAGATCCTACCGGCGCGTGAAAACGTTATGATACCAATGTGCGCGCCGCAGAGAACGTTTAGCTCGGCAGCTTTTTTGAATAGACCGTAACGGCGTTTCGAGAACGTCACTTGCCTTCTGCTCACCTCTTTGATCTCCTTGATCTCTATCTTCTGTCTCCCTTTGGTGGTTTTAGGGGTTTTTTGTTTCGTCTCTTTTGGTTGATTGAGAAGCAAGTTAGGGTTTCGAAGGGGGGTTTGCTCCTTGGACGGCACGCAAGTGATCGCTGAGGCTTCTCCGTCCTCCATATTGGCGACAAGAGTTAGAGGGGATGAATATGAGATCACAAAGAGTTCTTTAAGGAAAATATTCCGATGTATATTTATATATATACATAGTTTTGAAGCATATAAGGAATTTAATGTGGTAATAAATGCGGGTCCAATATTGGAAGGATTCCATAAAAAACAATTTTAGGTTTTCAAATCTAAGTTTCGTGATACTGTTTCCAAAATTTACGAGATGTGCTTACTAATTTCTATTTTACTGAAATACTAATGATGATGTTAATATATGATCAATCAAAATATATGCATATCTATAGTTATTGTCAAGGAAGACTATACAGAGTGGTTTAAACATTTCGTGGCCACTGTGAATAAGAAAATCATTTAAATTACTTTAAGTAGTCTTTAATTAATTAGCTTGCTGCCAAAGATTCAAAGCAATGTCGATAACTTCATTTAGATTTGAAAAAGGATCAGTGGAGAAAACCATGGGTTGATTAGTCAGTATTGAAGACTACTTCTGGTTTCAAATTAAATGCCATATCTAACAACGACATACCCCTATAGGCTATAGCTAGGGTTAACAACTATCATTACATAGTATAGTTAATTGATTTTATATGTAGATAATATATCAAGTTGTAATTAACAGAGTTAATTGATTTTCATCTCAAAGTTATACCATAAAGGGTAATCAAGTATTAACTTTGATTTATTCCATAATGGTATATTTAACTACGTACATGTTGAAATATAGTTAATCGAATATGAAATGTTGATAATATATCAAGTTGTATCCCATGAAAAGGTTTTAACTAATCAAACAATAACCCCTTAATAGATTGACTAAAACGCATGTCGAACATTTGAGAGGTGTAATTAAGCAAGCCAACCAATATACAGTACTACAAATTCTTCTTCTTCGTGAAATTTACAAAAGTTACTCCAACCATTTGGTAGATGACGCCATGTCGGCTAATGCTACACAGAAAATTCAATATAAATCCGGTAATTAATTGAACTAATGTGATATTAGTTTAGTATGGTATAAAAAAGACAACTTGACTAAAAAGTTAACCATTTAGTATCTATTAAAATGCATATAGGAGATAAAGTATCATTTTTTATGGGATAAACATCAATCTTGTTGGAGAAAAACATCAATCTTGTAAGAAATAGCCACTTTCCACTTACGCCCAAGTTGGAAAAGACAAACAATGTAATAATAATAGATATGTCTGAGAATTTATAAAATTATTTTTACGTTATTAATTAGACTGTGATTTTCGTTTCATCATTGTTTCACATGTTTTTTCTTTACCTTTGAACTTTACAATATGGATTTAGAGAAAAACAATTACGAACAAAAATTTGAAAATGTTGTACTAAAAGAGAAAACGCGTAGATTACTTGACATCATTTTTTTTAGTCTATTTACTTAGAAATATAAAGTATCATAGTATGCTTGGCCACAATATTACATCATAATTACATTTTTTAAAAAGAGCCAAGAACGAATATATCTAATATCTTACATATTATGTGACGTATTAGATTTGGTATATAGGTAGAAATCACCGTCATTAAAACTCAAATATACAGTGACAAAAAGAATAAACTCGAATATACGATTCATTAATAAAAGAAGATATGATTTTGAAAGATAAGATCGGATAGCATAAAAATTTAATAATAATGTAAATTCAATAACTCAGCTAAATGCATGTATTACACTGTAAATATCCTACAACGGCTCTACGCTAAGAACAAAACTTGTAAATTAATAATAGCCCACTTGGCCCAATCGTCATTTCGAGGACCACGCGTACACGTAGTCGGTTTGCATATAAAAGAGAGAGTCCAAAGAAGAAGAAAAAATAAAACAACAGACAGAGCCAATTGAGAGAAATTGTACTTTGACCCCAAAAACTTTTGAATTGTTTCATTCAACACCCTTTGTTCAAACCAAAAATCAGAGAAAATGTGCGGAGGAGCTGTAATTGCCGATTACATTGCGCCGTCGTGGCCCGAGCAGGAGAAGATCCGGAGAAATGGGAAATCTTCCTGGAGACGCAATGACGTCGCTGACTTGACACTCGACGATTACGAGGGAGATTTACACGATTTCGATGAATTCGAATCGGAAAATGACGAAACCGGCCGATTTACTCCGGCCACGCCGTTGCTCTTCTCTTCGACTCGCAAACCTACCGGTAAGTTGATCGGATCCGATTCATTTCGTGCTGTGAGTTCGAAAATCGAAATTGTTGTTGATGGATTTAGAGATTTATCTGGTTTTGTTTCATCCATGGCAGGATCAAATCGGAGTAGAATTGCAGAAGATGCGAAAATGAAGAAGAAGAGTATAAGTCGGTACAGAGGAATTAGGAGACGTCCCTGGGGAAAATGGGCGGCTGAGATTCGAGATCCGATCAAAGGAGTTCGAGTTTGGCTCGGGACTTTCAACACTGCAGAAGATGCAGCAAGAGCTTATGATATCGAAGCTAAGAGAATCAGAGGAGCTAAAGCCAAGCTCAATTTCCCAAACGAAACTTTAACATCATCTTCTAAAAAGCGTAAAGCATCACCACCACCACAGCAGAGAGAAGTAGAGAAGACGGAGACTGATTTTGGATTTGAATTTGCTAATACCTCAGTAGCGCCTAGTAGTAGCTGTCTTGATTTCCTCTGGGAGGAAAATAATAATGCGGAGACGCTTCAGGTCGATACGCAATGGCTCGAAGATGCCATATCCGGCGGCGATGAGAAGAAGAAACAGAAGGTTTCTGATGGTGAAGGCAACGTGAGTGGTCAGCTTTCGGAGGAGCTTTTAGCATTCGAGAACCAGACGGAATGTTGTTTCTTCGACATGCCGGTTATGGAAGGGAGAAACTGTGGTTCAACGACGTCTCTGAGCAGTCTCCTTTATGGAGGCAGCAGTGTCATGGATCTTTGGTCCTGAATGGTTCTATTTGTGTAAATGATGGCATCAGTCTTTCGTGGTGTATTGAACAATTGTCATGAGTTCTTGTTCTTCTTCTGTGTAAAACTACTGTCAATGCTTAATAAAGTTAACCTTTTTAATCTAAAACAGAGGCCTTTGCGCTGGAGAAATGAAAATAGGTTACAGGTAAGTTGTAAAGAACGTTGAAATTCAACATTATAGTCACAGGTTCGATGTAAAGACTAACGAACGTGGAAATTAAACATTTTTTGCAATTGTGTTTGTATATATGATGGCATGAGTCTTTTGTGGTGTATTGAACAATTGTCATTAGTTCTTGTTCTTCTTGTGTGTAATCTACTGTCAATGCTAAATAAAGTTGGCTTTCTTACTCTAAATCAATGACAATGGGTTCGTCGTCAAGAACGTGCAAAGTAAACATTATTGTAACAGGTTCATTGAAAAGAACGTGGAATATCTAACATACTCTCTTCTAATAGTTGATAGAGGACTTTGTAAAGAACCAAGAGCTCAATTTATGATGATTGTGATAAAGCGAAAGAGGTGAATATTTGTAGAAATTTGATTCAAAACAAACAAAAAAGAGTGCAATACAGAATAATCTAAACGTCTTGACTTAAGAAAAAGAAGCGAGAAGCAAAACAGTCACGGTTCATAAACTCTTCAATACCAACAGTAACAAAAAAGAACCAAGTCTATAACCATTAACCACTGCAAAGGCCATCAACTTTATTCCCAGCCACTTGGTGGAACATTTGTTGGTGGCACGGCCGTCTCCCATTCACCTCCTGTAGCAGGAGCTGCAAAAACAAAACCCAAAAAACAAACCATTAAAACCAAAAATAGTGGATTAATAGATCCAGAAGCTGGTAAGATATGTTCAAAACTCACCGGCATCGTTCCAAGAACCAGCGGCTGGAGCAGCAGCGATTGGCTGCTGGGCTTCTCCAGGCCATGCAGCATCAGGGATCGCAGCAGTGGTCCACTGGTCTCCACCAACCATTCCGTATTCAGGAGCAGGTAGTCCAAAGTCAGCCGGTGGTGCAGACTCATCCTCATCCTCTGCCTTGGACTCCTCAGGCTCCCTGTAGAAGAACAGGTCGACCTGTACACCACAACATAATGAACAAGTCACTAACCAAACAAGACTCGTATATACTGGACACTGTAAGCCTAAGCAAGAAGGCAACAAGAGTATAGAGATCAGAGAATGATAGTTCTCTTACCATGACGTCCCACTTCTGAGCTGGACGGATGGTTCCACGCATCTGAAGGACCATGCGAGCAAGAAGCCAGAAAAGACAACCAATGCTGTGCTTTCCCTTGTTGTTGGCTGGGATTCCAATGTCAACAAACCTCATGGGAGAGTCAGTGTCACAGAAAGCAATGATGGGGATGTTACCCAAAGCACCTTCCTTGATGGGCTGCAACAACACACACACAAAAGAAGGTTAATCCAAGTCAATACATTAACATTAACAATCAGTTTCTAGCTTATGAAAGAGTTTTACCTGGTGATCAGTACGTGGATCAGTGAGGATCAAAAGCCTTGGCTCGCTGAATGAGGTCTGCATCTGATTGGTGAAGGTACCAGGAGTGTGCCTTCCAGCAATGGCGTTGGCTCCAGTGTACTGAGCGAACTTGAGGACAGCTCTCTGACCGTATGGCCTAGCTGACTGCACAATGATGTCCTTTGGGTTCTCAATAGCAACGATCACTCTTGCAGCCATCTGCAGCTTCTCCCATGTTTTGCCGAGGTTGAAGATGTAGATACCTGAGAAAGAAGAAACACTTCAAAATCAAAACACAATCCAAGCAAGAATACACAACAATAGCACCAATCAAATCCAAAACTCATTTCTTCATATACACAAAGAAAATACACAAAAGGCAGCTCTTTTATTGTTATCTAGACTCATAAACATACGAAATGTTGACAGAAATAGCTAAATGCAATGTTTGGTTATCGATTGCTCAGCGGCTGTTTAGATCTGTGATGGCGGCTAAGCATTACTCTGGAGATAAAAGTGTGAGAAACTAAAACGACCTACAAATCCAAAACCCATCTAAAACAAAGCTCCAGGAACGAAAAAAGTAGATCATAAACAGCAAATGGGCAAAAATTCACTCAAAAGACGCATAAACTTTCAAATCCACCATATCAACAGAGAATCTCAATGCTCTAACCATACTCAGATACAGATGTATATACAAAGTGATGAAGACGAGAAATTTTACCGTCGTTGCGTCTCTTGAAGACGTATCGCTCCATCTGGTAGTTGCAGTTTTTGGTACCGAGGTGAACCTCAGCAGCACACATCATTTTGATGTCAGCTTCCTTCTGGGAGAGCTGTCCCGAGCTCGCAGATCCGTTAGTCGCCATGTTGTTTACTCTCTTCTTCGTCTCCGTGACCTAATCGCCGAGATAAGCTTTTCTGCTGTGTTGAATCACACGAGAGGCGAGGAAACTTAAGAGCCGCGAGGGAGAAGCCAATTTATCAAGCAAAACCCTAATTCGTATAAAGACTGTTTTGCCCTTGCGTCTTGGCTTTACGGGTTTACCCCACGTAAATGTTAGTGGCCGTGGTAAAATATCTCGGAGACTGTCATTTTAACCTTTTTCATCACTGTTGATAAAAATCGAACTTAACCAAAATCACTGGTCTAATTTCCGGTTTGTGTTTTCTTAAACCGACCTTCCAACTTCCAAGTGTGCACAAGTTTGTCAGCAAAAACTATCTTTCTCTGTGACTTCGTTTTTTAGAAGATAGATAAAACCCTAACGATTTCTCTCCCTTTTCTCTTCCGATCTCTTCAAATTTTCCAAACTGGGTTTGACCCCTAGACTTCTTTGATTGCTCTCGCTTTCTCTGTCCGATTGAAACGCATTTGGAGCTCTTTGATGATCTTCTCCGGAACGAGCTCATAAGGTTTCGATTTTCTACTATTTGTGAAAATTTCTTCTTAGATTCCTTCAATTTTCGGGTCTTCATTCATTATCATTTCGTTTTCCGGCAGTACCTCAGACGGGTTGAGCTTGATCTCTGGAGAGAATCCATGGGTATCTCTTTTAAGGTTTCGAAGGTCGGCAGAAAGTTCCAGCCTAGGATTTCTACTGAATCTCCTACTCCTGACTCTCCGGAACTACCGAATTCGAAAGCAATCGTTCTATCTGAGAAGGTATTTACTGAAAATGAGTCTAATTTTTAGCTCTTGAATTTTGAATTCGTCCCCTAATCAAATTCGTGCTCGGGAAGTTGAAATCATCGTGAAATCTGATTCAATGAAATCGAAGACTATTTTTGCACCACTGTGAATAATGAGTTATAGCATTTTACTTTGTGTTATAGATTGCCTAATTTATTCTGTTTGATTCAGGCCATTGTTGAAAGCCATGGTGGTGACGTTTCTGGGTTTTCGCAGCTATCTTTACCTGATGTATCTCCAGGTTAGCATCTCAACCACTTGGACACCTCATGCTTTTGCGTAATTCGAGCTATGTTAAAAACTGAGTGCATTTGATTCCTCTGCAGGTCATGAAGTTTCCTTCATATTGAGCCTCTATCCGAGTGGGTACTCTGTAGGCAAACCGTCTGAGGTATGTAGTAGAAATTCATGTTACTGAAAATGTATATGAGTTTGTATATTTTTTAGTTTCTTGTATTTGATTTAATACACTTCACACCTAACAATTGTTAATTTTCTTAGAACCAGACTGTGCAACAGATATCGTTTCGAGATGCTCCAAAGGTCTTGCATCCGTATGATAGGGCAGCAGAGAGTCTACTTTCGGTAAATATTTTTTGCACAAGGAAAAATAGACGTATCAAATTCATTATCGTTCCAGTGAGTAAATGTTTTTTTAATACCTATGGATGCTTTACAGGGTATTGAGGCTGGCAGACTTCCTGGGGACATTTTGGAAGATATACCTTGCAAATTTGTGGATGGGGTGGTCATATGTGAGGTGAGTTATCTCCAGTAATCACCATGGTTCTTGTTCCTGCGTTGCCTTCCTAAGTTCTTGGAAACAGTCGAAACTTATACAAATACTCCCGAAAATCTCTATCATTTTTACTTGAACAAAAAAGACAACAATAAGTAGAATTGTGTCGCTAACGTGAAATGCATGAGTTTGACTTCCGAACTGATATATACCATTTTTCTGTTTGAGGCAAATCCAATTTTTATTGTTTGTGGGTTCGTCTTATATTATGTTCACCATGATCTTCTGAAACACACTGGAGTAACTGGAATCATAAGAAATCTTAGAATAGCTTAGTTTTATTATTCGTCTAATTGACTTCTCAACTATATCATCTTACATAACATCGTGTTTTCTTAAATTTCTGGTACATACTATTGTAGGTGCATGACTATCGGAAACATACCCCAGAGCAAGTCTCTCCTGTGATTAATAAATTGAGCCTTAAGATGTCACTTGAGAATGTGGTTAAAGATATTCCATCAATGTCAGACAACTCGTGGACATATGGTGATCTCATGGTAATCATGGTTGCTCTTGGTTCATAGGTCCTATATCTGATATTTGAAACTATATCTTATGTGCTGATCCTTTCATTAACTGTAGGAAGTGGAATCCAGAATACTAAAAGCCCTACAACCTGAACTTTGTCTAGATCCTGTACCCAGACTTGATAGGCTGAGTAAAAACCCTGTGTCTGCTAAGGTAAAATCTCATTAAAAAGACTCCTTGTGCTTTTTCTTCCCAGTTGCTTTTATAATGTCTGAAATGGTTGTGTTTCTACTCTACAGCTCAATTTGTCTCTTTCTACTTTGCGGAGAAAGAGATTAAGGCAAATGACAGAAGTGACAGTCATGTCTCAGAACAAAGTTCAGGGGAAAAAGGTTTGCATTGATCGGCTTCCTGAAAGTTCAGAGCGAGGAAATATGCCAGGACATTTGTTAATGCAGCAAAACCATAACAATCAGGCTATTCAAAATCCTGGTACTAATATTCTAGCGGGATTGAGAACTCAGACCATGCAAGATGCGCCAAATTCTTCACTGCCCTTGGTACCACCTCAGCAACAAAGGTATATGGGACCTGGAAATATAAGAAACATGCAGGATCAAGGACCAAATTCGGTCAGTGTCTCTGGAGCTTCACCTGGACCTGGAGGACTAGATGCGATGTTGTCTTATACCTCTGATAGTATGAACCCCGGGACATCTTTTAATAGAAAGAGAGAAAGTCAAGAAGGACAAATGTCTTCTATGCCTGGTTTGAAGCGGACAAGGGTTTCACACATGGGTCCTGATGGGGTTCCACAGCAACAGGCAGGGCAACGAATGGATGGCCTTCATGGAACCGATACAAGCTGGAAAAATGCGCTTCTACAACAGCAAGACATGCTAGGGAGAAGTATTCAGTATCCAAATGCAGGTAATATTCAGAGGTTTTCACCACAGCAAATTGAAGGGGTTATGAATCAGGAAAGTGGTCCCATGCAATTTCCAGCTTCACAACAGGGGGCAATGAGATACACTTCGAAAGAGGAGCCATTTGAGACTGGTAATATCAGAAACAATATGCCGGGGGTAGGAAGTGATGCAAATGATTTGGATCCGCGTGTTCAGTCAAGGATGCCCCAAAATACATTCATGAGATCAAATTTCCCGCAAGCAGCGTGGAATGTTAATCCTGGCCAGCAGATTGAAAAAGACCCGAAAAGAGAGGAACAATTCAGTAGAAGGGTATCGGCTCAAAGTCCTCGTTTATCAGCAGGTGCTCCACCACAGTCCCCACTTTCATCAAAGTCTGGTGAATTTTCTACTGGTTCAATGGGGAACCACTATGGAGCAGTTGCAGCAGCTCAAAAGGACAAGGCTGTTACTTCTATCCCTGCTATTGGTACTACTCAGTCAGTGGGTTCTAGTCCTAATGATGCTATGCAGCAAAGGCAACACCAACAAATGACTGCAAAGCGGAGGACGAATTCTCTTCCTAAGACACAAGTTATGAGCACTGTTGGTTCTCCTGTTAGTGTCAACACTAGTCTCCCAGTTAATGCAAGGAGCCCTTCGGTGGGAACCCAAATTTTAGGCGATCACGCAATCCTCGACAGATTCTCAAAGATTGAACGAGTTGCTGCGAGGTATGAGTTCTATGAAATATGTCTTGTTATGGTTATTCCCATCAATTCTTCTTCATGTGGGCCAGTGGTTTACTTTGAACTATATAACTACTATAGTTGAGAAACAAGTAATAGCCTTGTTCTGATCATGAGTTTTACTTATGTGATATTTCCCTTTTTTCAATTCTGGCTTTACACTAGAGCATCGTAGGCATTGTCCCACTCTCCTTATCTCATTGCATTTATACAAATCAAGTATGTGGGTTGGTTGACGAACATGTTTTTGATGCTGTATGTCATAGATTTTATTTTTTTGTTGGTTGATCCAGCTTTTTGTTCTATTCCTAGGTACCAACTAAACTGCAAAAAGCATAAGGTTGATGAGTATTCTCGAAGACCTCGCTCGTATGCTCAACAGGCCCTACTGGTTTGCTTTTCAAACCTGTCTAACAATGAGGAGTTCAAAGACGAGGACAGAGCATTATCAAAATCCATTCTTGGTGGCAGCATGAATACATGCAAGACGAGAGTCATGAACTTTCTTCGGGGACACCATGTAATGCAAGGTCCGTTTTCTGTTCTATCCAGATATCTGCTGATTGGTATTCTTTTCCTTATGATTGACTCTGACTCCTGCATCTTCTCAGGTACTCCGTCTGCCTACGTCCATAGAATACAAACAAGACTGGTGATGTCAGAGAAGCCCATCGACGGGACAGTAGCATGGTATCAAGGAGACATAGATGATGGTGATGTTTTTCCGGCTGAAGATCATCTCTTAGCGTTGCCCAGTACAGTAAGTTCACCGGCCATCTGCTTCTACTTGTTTCTCCTTCTCGTCCAATCCGATCAAAAGTGGATGGACAAAGGATGATTAATTGTTCTCTTATACTGAGATTATGCTGATTTGCTTATTTGTCCTCTCTTTGTAACAGCATGTCGCCGATCTACTTGCTGCTCAATTTAAATCACTGGTAATCCCCAAATCCTGAATCGATTATATCAAATTCCTCGTTTTATGGGAAAGCTACTTACATGATTTTTATATACTTATGCAGATGGCCAAAGAAGGATACCAAATGGAAGAATATATTCAGGCAAAGCCAAATCGTGGGGATGCTGGCCCAGGCAGCAGCCAACAGAATCCCGCGGTTGGTTTCCCAAGAGGCAACTCTGCAAATGAAATGCAACAGTATGGCGATGCAGTTGCAGGACAAGCAGCGTCCATTGAGGCATCGAAACAAGGGAACGCTGGAAATCCGCCTATGAACTCAGCCCAGAATATTCACGCAAATGCAAGGATGCTTCCTCCGGCGAATTCTCAAGCCTTGCAAATGTCTCAAGGACTGCTCTCCGGTATCTCCATGCCTATGCAACAACAACAACAACAACAACAACAACAACAGCTTGACCCACAACAGTCAGCGCTACTGTCATCACAGCTACAACAGAAAAATCAACAGTCCATGTTTACTCAGCAGCATCCTCAAATGCAGAGAGCATCTATGCTACTGCCTAATAATCCGCTATCAGGTATCAACTCGATGAGCCAGAGCTCTGGTATGCAGCTTGGTGGTCAGATGGGAAACAAGCACTCGCCTCACCAACTGCAGATGCTACAGCATCAGCAGCAGGCGGTGATGCAGAGAATGATGGGGCTAGGATCAGGTGTAGGCATGATGGGAATGGGAATGGGAAGCATGGGCAACAGTATCGCTGCGCTCGGAGCTTTCAACAACCAGTTGAACATGGGAGGAAGAGGGATCGGTGGAGCCGGAATCTCATCATCAATGTCTGTTCCTGGGATCAGCAATATAGGACAGAATCCAGCATCGAATCTGAATGTGATAAGCCAGCAAATCCGATCTGGTGCGTTGACACCGCACCAGAACGCCGTGTTTTCGAATCTTAGGATGGGCATGGCGAACCGAGGAGGTGTGATGGGTGCTCCTCAAGGCGGGATAAGTGGCGTGTCAGGTGCTAGACAGATGCACCCGAGCTCGGCTGGTCTTTCCATGATGGATCAGAGCACGTTAAACCGAGCTGCTAATCTCCAGCGAGTTGCTGCTTTGGGTAACATGGGACCGCCTAAGCTCATGCCTGGAATGAATCTTTACATGAATCAACAGCAACTCCAGCAGCAGCAGCAGCAACCCCAACAACAACAGTTGCAGCAACAGCAGCAGCAGCAACAGTTACAACAGCCTATGTCGCAGCCACTTCAGCAGCTAGTTCAGTCTCAGCAGCAGCTACAACAACATGAGCTGCCTCAACAACCACAGCAACAGGCAGCAGCCTCTCCGCTTCAGTCTGTGCTATCACCACCTCAAGTGAGTTCACCGTCGGCGGGAATTACTCAGCAGCCAAGTCCCCAGCAAATGAGCCAGAGAACGCCAATGAGTCCACAGCAGATGAGCCAGAGAACTCCGATGAGTCCTCAGATAAGCTCGGGTACGATGCATCCGATGAGCACCAGCAACGTCGAGGCATGTCCAGCGAGTCCACAGCTAAGTTCTCAGACGCATGGATCTGTTGGTAGCATTGCCAATTCTCCAATGGAGCTTCAAGGTCCTAAAAACAACTCTGCTGGTAAAAATCCTTAGTCAAGAGACCTAATGATTTGGGTAACAAAAGTCATTTGTCTTCATGGAACCCTTTGCTTCAGCACATATGTTTGTAATCTAACTTAGGGACAAGCATAGAAAGGGTTTTTTAGTTTCGCAGTTTTTTTATTATACAGTTCTAGCTTTTGAAATTAGAATTATTCATGACCAGTGCCTGTAAAAAAAGTGAAGAGTCTGTTGTGCTCTGCAAGTGAAAGTGCCATCGTTATTAGGTTGGTTGATATGTAACCACCGACTGCTTCAAGCTATTTGAAGATTTTTGTTTAAACACGACTTCTACTTTGCTCAAATAAAACTATTAAATTATTCTAAAAGTGTTTTTCAAAGGTTGTATCTCAGCTCGGATTTCGAACTTGCATATAATATGATATTCAAAACAAAGTGATATTAAATTAAATAATAATAAAATGGGGAAAACTATAATAACCGAAATGTCACATGATCAATACAGAAACATGTTTTGCGTACGTAAGCAACATTGTAATAAAACATACATTTTATTTCTTATTTCATCTAACTCTTTGATTTTGTTTACCCTGTAGTAGTGGACAACATGATATTAGTTTCTGTACAAATTTACAATATGCTTTTTTTTTCAAAAGAGAAAAGAAGGGAATAGAGAAGAAGAGAAGAGAAGAGAAGACTCGCAGTGGCAGGTCTAGGAAGATAGACAATAGAGTGATAGACAATATTTGGAGTTTACGAAAATAAAATAAAGTGACAACGTGTTGTGAAAACGAGTTTTAGCTTTGTAACTTTCGTGGTCCTACTACTTTACAAAAGCTTTCTAAAAATATCATATTCCTAACTTTATTGACTTTGCCTTACGAGGAAGAAAGAAACCAATTCCAATATTTTAGTAACCACAACATCTCACAACAATTATCGTCGGTTCATGTTCTCTTTACTTACGGCTTGACAGATTATTCAAATATTTGGTTGTTGGTAAAATAATTGCATTCTTTCTACTTATGGTTTGACAAGTTGTTCAAAATACTTGGTTTCGAACATTTGCTTGTTTGAATTCATTAAAATATATGTTCACAGAAACATGTAAACATATAGCTTAAAAAGTTTGATTACATTGTATAAAATAAATGTGCATCCCACAATTTAGTATCACGACAATGAAAATAAAATATATGAAGATCCCAAAAAAAACTAATGTAAACATTTATGCTCTACTTCTTAGATCTTCTATTGCCAGCCCGGAATCTCGTCGATGGACCACCTACCTTTATTAAAAACACCAATGTGTCAACTTCAATAGACATTTTCATAAATAAGGTTCATATAAATCCTACAATATACATTATCATTTTACAAAGCATTTCTTGTTATATACTGTGTGAACGCAGTAATGTAGACACATAATTTCTACAATATGGAGATCAAAATATATAAATTGAATACCTCACTAGAACTTGAACAGCAATAGTTGTCAACGCTACTTTTGTTCGGACTATGGATTGAAGTAGAAGTGCTATTAAATGGCGCACACGAAGACGAAGATGGACGAGTTTGGAATTGCTTAACATCATCATTCAACAATGCTTCGAATAACTCTTCAAATTCTTCTAATGTTTCGTCCCCCTGCTCCATATTATGCAAAAGTCACCATCATCATATAGTTCATAATAGTAATTAGTAATTGCAACCAAGTAATGATTTGTTACCGTAGATTGAGTTTGAGCCATCAGAGTCACCATCTCACTTATGAAATCAGCCATTCCCTACAAACGCAACAAAATGATTATTATTATTTTTTATTTTATTTTTTGAGGAAAAAAATAAATGAAATTTTCGACATCAAGAAAACAAGAACTCGAAATTATATTTTAATGCAAAGCAACAAAATAAAGGAGAGAAAGAAAATATCTTACGAGAAAACTTACAGTTTCGTCGTCATCACTATCATACACACCGACGTCATACAACAGCCTCTTGTTCGAATTCGACAAAACTGTTGTGAATACAAATGATCAATAAACCGAAATTGTCAAACATGAACAGAGATAAACAATCAGACCCGGTTTAAAAGAAAACCAGGTTGATAATATACCGGAATAGGCTCGTTGAATGGATTGAAACTTCATATTGGCTTCGTCTTTCTCAATTTCTTCACGAAACCGATCTGGATGCCATTTCTACACCATCACACACAAAAAAATGATTCCAATTGTAAACCAAGAAACTGGAAAACTGGATGCATTCGAGGACTAAAACATAGTTATGGTTCAAAAACGTAATATGAGCAAAAAGGAGAAGATAAAATATGTGAAAATTACCATAACAAGATTCTTGTAAGAAAGTCTGAGATCTCCTTGTGTACATTCGTTGTTCAAGTCCATAACAGCGTACAAGTCTTCCTTCTCCATTGATGAAATATCAGAATGAGTAATAGAGAACAAGAAGAGAGCTCTTCTTTATTGGGAGAAGCAAAAGATAGAAAAAGAAGATCCAAGAATTGAATACAGTAGGAAACGGAAACGTGGATGAAAGAGAAGAAGAGAAGAGAAGAGAAAAGAAGAAGAGACTTTGATATTTTGGGTTATCGTGCGTTGTGTTGTTGTATTAATACTACTTATATATTGGTGATTAACAAAGAACGATCGAGAAACTAGCCACTTGAACTAGTTGTCTTTTATAATTCTATCCTCGTTTTAGCCAACACCTTTTAAGTTTTATAACTTAAAAGTAGTACTAATATTTTATATTTTCTGATTATACGCTGCAAATCGACATTTTTTTTTAAGGATTTGTTTTTTCTATCTTCTTTTTTATTTCTAAAGTTTTATTTATTAATTTGCATGTTTACATTTTTAACAATCAAACCCCAAATTTTATGTAAATACGTAACTGGAATCAAGAGGGCTTCCAAGGTCAAAAGAAAGGTACTAAAATATTCCTCTAACCTTTATGTTTACAAGGTCAAAAGACATGTAAATTGCTAGTATTAAATTTGAGCTTTGGAAAGAAAAAGAAATCGTTAAATTTGAGCGATGACCCTTTTTGGCCCATTTGAGCAATGACTCTCTAGAACAAACTCTTCTTTTCTTTTCTTTTCCGAAATTACATTAAAATCTTCTTGCGATAATCGAGATGCATTCTTATTATAGGTCGAAAGTTATAGAGTTTACAAAAACTTCATATATGCTTAATAGTTTAATACATTTTTATCCATCTCAAATTCTCTTTCTACTGATCTACTCTCTTTTTACCCTATTAACGCACACACGCACACTTTCATGTTTGAATTCAGAACCTAACACAATAACGATACTAATACAAACTATAGAGAACATCAAATGTATGGTTCATGAGAAAGTGAGAACCTGTATTCCTTTTTCTTTTAACCCAAAAAGAAGCCAACTTGTGCAGTTGTACGGACAAGTAATTAGAAACTTAACACTTCGTTTTGGACATCTAATTGCCATGACCCTACTTTGTTGTCCTCTTCGCCCTATTTGTGTCCGGTCCAAAACGCTAGTCACAACATTATCATTACGTTTTCAATTATTTTATTATTTTTCTCAACCGTCAATTCAAGGTATAGTTTGATCCAGTCGAGCGCTACTTGCTAAATATGGCCCATTTGATTTTACTTCTTCACTTTTGACTATTAAAGCAATAAAGCCACACAACTTGTAGCAGCGAGTCAATTCACAAACGTCTTTTGTCCACTAACTCCGATCCGGTTAACCAAAATCCCGGTTTTACAAGTAAACCAGAGAACATCAAATGTATGGTTCATGAGAAAGCTTTTTTTTTCTTCATCATCCATGCCTTTCATGGCATTCTAATTGCTTTGATCGAGTCAATTTCGACTCGGAAATCTCCTGCGCCTAATTTAGCTCCGATAAAACCACTTCCTTGTGAATTCACAGAGAGAGACATACCAACAACACGACCTGGATTCATCTCCATTTCTGCATCTATCACATTTCCTTTCCATGTTGGTAAGTAGCGAGCAAGAGGAACCTGAAATAAGAGAAAAAGAAAACATTGTCAAACACAAGTTTGTTACATAAGAAACCAAACCCTTTTTTTCACCAGTTGCCTTGTAGAAGAAGTAAGACTTGCCTTAGCTGTATACCAGTTTCCTTTTGGAGCAAAAACAAAAGCTTGCCATGAGTTATCTTCTGCTTGTCCTGGCGAGTTTACCCAATTCTCGGTATATATCTGAATCAAAATCGAGGTTTAGTTTAAGAAGAAAGAAACTGTGCTCCTTCAAATGGAGATGTTGAGCATGAGACTCACAGTAGAGATATAGCATCTTCCATCTCCTTTGAGCCTCAGGGCTATGGAATCATACCCATCAAGATCAATAAACCCATCAAACTACAGGAAGAGAAAGGCGGTTTTAGTTAAGTGATGTTGTGCTTAAACTCACTCAAATCTTTGGTTTTTGAGTGATGATGTTATGATTAGTAAAGAATAAAAAGAAAGCAATGTTTTTTTACCTTCTTTGACCGCATTCCACAGAAACCACTCCGACTGATATTCCATTTTGAACCTTCGCTCATCTCCGTAGAGAGGTTCCCGGAGAAAACACCTAGGAGGAGATACAAGGAGAAAAATGGTCACAGCCCATTTGCAGAAGTAAACAGGATGAGACTTGGAAACAATGGTACAAGAATCAAGAAACCTCATACTTTCGTTTCCACCAGAGGCACAATGAAGAACCTAAGTTGCTAAAATCTAAACAAATTGTAGAACCAGGATTTAGGAAGATCATTTTTTAGTGTAGAGAATACTCATGAGTCAACTTGAAAATCTATCTTGCACAAACTGGTTGTATCAGAACCAAGCAACAAAAGTAGCCAAGCACACTAGACCATTATATCTACTAACCAGTGCAATCTGATCCACTTCCTCCATCTTTAATCTCCAACGAAGCCGAAGACAATCCTGTAAAACAAATATCCAACACAGTAACGAGCAGAACACATGAGTAATCTGATCCATTGGCTCTGTAACATGATTACGAGCAGATGCATGAACCTGTGTGCTTTATGTACCTCCATATTCAGAATCAGAATACAGGTGCCATGCCTTCAGGTCTTCTTTTGAATTGAACTGGAATATACACTTCTCCACAGGCGGTACCCATTCTTCGAGCTCCCACGTTAGAGCTAAAGCATGTAACATTGTGAAAACAAATCAAAGACTAGCTATAACGCTGCAAAGTGCAAAGCAGAAACGTAAGAAGAGTACAAAAATCTTTACTTTCTAATCAAAGGCATTAGCTTATGGACACCAATATCAAGAGAAGAGACTGAATAAGTTACAACAAGTGTTAAAACATCTTAAATGGCTCAAATGTGACATCAGAAGAAAACTGAAACTACCTTTCTTTGTTACATTCACCGAGGCTTGCCACAATGATCTAAACCGTGACATTCTTCTCTCAAGTTCCTGTATCAGACTGAGAACAGCACTAACTTGTCAATTTTGCTTTCTCAAATGGTTAATGGAGAATGCCTGTGAAAGAATAAACCAAGAGACTAATAAGAAATCAAGAGACTTTATAATAAAAACCACAATCAAAGGGAAAAAATCTCAGCAAAATCCAATGGATTCCCTTTAAAATCTACACTTGCGGAAGAAGACTATTACTCATTGAGGCATTTCAGCAAACACTTGAAAGACAAAGACTGATAAAATCATAATCAACCCAAAGGAGGAAAAAATGACGAACGACCAACACATTGAAAGCTAAAACCAAAGAAGATCACAGACACCAATCACTAAGAGCGTGATGAAATTGAGTTCTAATCACAGGAAAATGAACAATCACACGGAAAATCAAAATATCGAGACAAACGACGAATTGGTTTCACTTGAGTATAATTTTTACAAGCATTAACTTACTCTATGGTTCACCGGTCGTCGTCGTCGCCGTCGCAAAATCACTGGCAACGTCGACGGCGTGCCCCCAATTACAGTCAAAACAAAAAGAGTCCTTACGCCGTCGTTTCATAAGCCCCCCTTTTCCCCTGCACAGTGGCCTTCATTTCATTCTGGGCCTCATATGGCCCACTAAGCCCCAATACCGTCACTAATTGCTTTGATCGAGTCAATTTCGACTCGGAAATCTCCTGCGCCTAATTTAGCTCCAATAAAACCAACCTCCTTGTGAATTAACAAACAGAGACATGCCCACAACACGACCTGGATTTCTGCATCTATCACATTTCCTTTCCATGTCGGTGATAAGTAGGGTGCAAGAGGAACCTGATTTTCTTGTCAAAACTTGTGTTGGTTATATAAGAATAGAACCAAACCCTTTTTACACCAGTTGCCTTGTAGAAGAAGTAAAACTTGCCTTAAGCTGTATACCAGTTCCAATTTTCTATCAAATGTAAAGAGAAGACATATACATATTTTGGTCACAAAATAAGCTTAAACCAGGGAGACTAACCAGTAGATTCATCATCACAGTTGCATCTCAAATAAAACAAGCAAATGAAAACGATATAGAAGACAGCAAATACATAAATTCATCATAGTGGCCAAACAAGACAGAGGGCTCAAGACTTGCGCAAATACATCAAAGAGTGGCAGCCACAACCTTGACAATGTCATGATGATAGGATGTGAGCACATGATCAAACCACTCAACTTTCCCCCAAATTTGACAAGGTTGGCGCCTTTCAAGAGAGTCAAGAAGGGACTTGTGTTCCCAAAAAACAGCCATCTTGCCACCATAATCAGCCAATCTCACACGACTACTATCAGGTAACTCAGGTAGTCCCGCCAAACCCATCAGCTCTCTCCACATTCTTCCCTCAGTGTCATACCATCTGATGGCTCCATCAGCAGCAGAATACAAAACACTGTCTATCTCGCAATGAGAGTCTGAGTACCATCCCATATACTGATTCATCCCCGGATAAAGCACCTCGTCCCATCTACCTTGTTCCGAATCGTAAGCGAGCACCCTTCGGTCGAGAAGCACCACATGGAACTTGCCGTTGATACATAAGGTTTGCTTGTATATTCTCCCATTTTCAAAGCCGAAAGGGAAGGGCACAGGATCGCAAGTCTGTGTTTTTGTGTGAAAGACCTCCACCGAGTTCTTATAGGAGCCGTCGTCATTGCAAAATCCCGCCACATAGATCTTCCCATCAAGGGCGCTAGTAGAAAATGACTTTCGCTTCACTTGAAAGATTGAACAAGACTTGCGCCACGTGTGAGATCGGCAATCGAGGATGGAGACGCTGACGGGTCCAGTGGATGTGGTACTGCAGTCCATGGCGCTGGAGGTGTCAATGTTGTAGATGTTAGAGCCAACCGCCACGAAAGACCAAAACATGGCATAACTAGAAGTTGGGATTGAGGCTCTAGCCAAAACATACCCACTTGACTTCTTCTTACTGCTGTCTTCTTCTTTTGTTAGGGTTTTATCAGGTTTCCGGCATAGGGTGAACCACCGATACTTAGAACCGCACCATACGCAAACGTAGAGACAACTCTCGGTGCGGCCCAAGAGTGACCGGACCTTGTATAGCTCCGGTGAAGCAACGAGTGATCGAAAGCTCTTGGAGACCAGGGAGAGTGTCGGATAGTACAGCCTTGACACGCGTGCGATGCAGTTCAATAGCAAATCATCGGGAAGCCACAGAATCGGTGACGATTCCGGCGTCGGCCTCATCGGCTTTGGCTTATTCTTCTTTGTCGTCGTAACAGTGGTCTTCCTCTTCTTTGCCGGCGGAGACATCCTCTGGATTCCTTTGATACTAAAAAAAAACAGAATACAAGGAAAAATGTAGGGATTCGGACTCTAAATCACTGACTAGTATAGAATGATCCATGATATCATTGGAGATATTTGTAATTATAATTTCATATTCGTATTTGTCTATATTAGGAAACTAGGTTATTACAAATATTCAATGATATCATGGTCACTGTGGTCACTTTTCGATTGACTCTCATAAGAACTGATTTACATCATGATAGTGGTAAATTAATGATATATCATGGTCACTAGCTATGGTCATTTAAAACTATGGTGACTTTTCGATTGCATGGGGTATTTTGTTTTGCAAATAATGCTGTTGTGTATTAGATTCTTATTAAAACGTAGAATACAAGTAATCCCCCAACGTACATAGAAGTATTAAAATTAGAGAAAATTGGCAAAATACACAGCTTTGGGAGAGTTTTTGTCCTAATACACAATTTAGAGAGATTTTTGTCCCACTACACATTTTATAAACTTATAATCCCTTTTTACCCTTAAAATTGATTAAAGTATTAACCCTTTAATTGAGATATTTTTAAATAAACATAAAAGTAAACAAATTTCCTTTCTTCCCCGACATCTCTCCTCTCTTCTTCTTCCCCGACATTTTTTTTCTTCTGCGACATTTTTTTTCTCCGTCATTGCCGTCTCTTCCGTCACATAATCCTCGGCGCCTCTTCTGTCACATAATCTTTGTTGTTGCCGTCTGTTCTTCTCCTCAAACACCACTCTAGATTTGCAACATAGTAACTAAGAGGAATAAGAGAAACTAGTAAGTTTTGTGTATAGGAGAAGAAGAAGAAGAAGATAAAGATGACGGCTAAGAAGATGGGAATGGAGAAGAAGTTGCCACAATTTCGTCGTGGGAGAAGGTTGGAGAAGAAAAAGGAAAGAAAATATTCAAAAAATATTTGTTAATATTCTCTAAGATTTCCGGCAGAAGACGATTTCTACATTTGGTAGAAGACTGATTTCTAGAAGAACACGACCTCTACCAACATGGTAGAAAAGTGGTTTTTAGTAGAAAGAACTCTACGGATGGTAAGAGATAATGTGTGTAACAGAATACGAAATCTACGAATACGTAGAAGGCTGTGTTTCTCGTAGACAACAAATTCTAGAACATGTAGAAAACTTTGTTTTTGGTAGAACATATCTTCTACCAAATTTACAAAATCGCAGAACATAGGTAGCAGTGATATTGCTACTAATAGTAGAGGTATATATATTATAGAACTCGTGTTCTACGGAGGGAAGATGTGTGTATAAATGGTAGATATCGAATTCTAGCCAGTAGATGTAATAAAAACGTGTAGGATACATATTCTACTTTGAATTTCAGAGCTGGTAGAAGAAAACTTCAATATATTTTTTAAAAATCATATTTGTTGAAAAAAATTGTGAAAATATTATACAAGTCTAAGATCATTTATCTGATTTTTAGAAATATTTTGGGTTTCTAAAATAAACTATTTCATATTTTTAAATATATAAAGGGTATTAAAGGCAAAAATAGGTAAAAACATGAAAATGTGTATATGGACAAACCTTCCCTCTTTTCTGTGTATAATCACAATTCCCCCTTAAAATTAAACCCAAGGATCATTTATTCCAAGGAAAACAAACATCATACTGATTAGTGTTTTTGTTGAGTTTGCAAGGTCCATTTTTGCGTATTTTCCACGAGCAATTCGTGCATCCAAACCTCTCAAACTCTTTGTCTCTTTTCTGTACGTAGATATCGAAATAATGCGACTCGCTCTGCCAACTAAAACTGCAAAAATACAACGTACGCCCGAAGATATCAGGGTTAAACTGAAATGACCATGATCCACTTGGTGCCAGACTTCGAGCTCCGAGATCATTATCACCCGATTTGCAATGGTATTGTAGCGCTAAACCACCTCCAAGATCATTGTTGATCACGATTGTCGTTTTGGCATGAGACATCGTTGCACTTATGAACATAGTCATTGCGAAGAGAACTATGAGTTGTTTTAGAAAATTCATTTTTTCTTTTCTTTTGTTTCTCTTTCGTTTTCTTTTCTTTAGAATACTTCTTTTATATATATAGTGAAACATTTCATGTTTCTTCTATTTCACTGTCCGGCCGTAGATGGTATACGTAGTCAAGTACTTTTGAATATTGGTCAACTAGGAAAAGAACCTTAACATACGAATTGAGATATGTTACTAATTTAAGGCATCGAAATTTGTTAAGTATATAGATCAAACTTCAAATCAACCTTTGATCAAGCAACATTTTGACTTGACACGTACGACTAAATATATTTAATTTTTACGTAGGGAATTGACTGGTAGAACACGTATAAAGTAATTTTTTCATTATTCTAGATTCCATTTTGTTTTGACCAATAAAAGATAAAAAGAGGAATTTCTGTTCAACGTTGTTTTAATTGATGCAAAAGTACTAAAGAATGGGAAAGATCTATGATAAAGAGTTTTAGCACCAATGACGAATGTTCAAAAACAATGTAACCTCTAATACAAGTTAACAAAAAGCTCTTTCTGCTATTGTGAAAAAAGCTTGTAGTCTAAGTTTAACAAAAAGCCTTGTTAATTAATTTACTTGTATTGTTTGACCATAAGAATGTCAGAGCATAATCTTTGAGGAACTTGTTGCAGCTCTTTACCTTCTTGCCACGCCTGTCCTATGCATACACCAGGACCTATATGTCGTATGTATATCACCACACTGTCGTTGAATGGATACGGATGCTTGGCTGCAACATTAATAAGTGTGAAAGACAACATAAGATACTATGAGTTTAGGGACACTCAAGTCTAATCAAGCTATTAAGGAAAGTGGAGACGGCTAAATCTAAGCAATGAAAATCCTACCTTGTGGGTAATCTTCGATATCAAGGAGTCCATTACCAAATGTGCATGCTATGTCGCACGGCTCTTCTGTAGCCATAACTTCCATAGCTTCATTAACCTCAAAGTATAGTGGACTGAAAGCATCGGTCCACCTGCATGATGACATTTTTAGAGATCTTTGTTATATATTGCAACAGAAATAACAACATTACAGTCACTATATATATATAACAATACTCATAATTGGCCCACTTTCAAGTTGGAGTTAGACTATTTCTGTAATCTTAGAGATGATTTCATAAAATGTAGTTAATTTTTGATTACGTGTAGCTTTAACCTCTATGTTGATTACTTGTAGCTTTAACCTCTTTGTTTGTTTTCCATATAAATCATATGGAACAAAAGCAAATAATCATGTGATTGCATCCTTTTTACATGCACAGTCGATATTTTTCCGAGGCAATCCTAATTCCGATTGCATATGATCACTTTTCGATTGCATTGGGAATCAAAGAATTTGTTTTAGTGTTTTGTGTTTGAGGTATTTTGTCTAGTAAGTATATCATTTGCAAATATAGCTGTTGTGTATTAGATTATCTTTAAAACGTAGAATACAAGTAATCCCCCACAGTTTGCAAATAAAGCTGTTGTGTATTAGATTATCTTTAAAACGTAGAATACAAGTAATCCCCCACAGTTTGGTGATTAACCACGTACATAGAAATATTATAATTAAACCCAAGAATCATTTATTCCAAGGAAAACAAACATCATATACATTATTGTTTTTGTTAAGTTTGCAAGGTCCATTCTTGCGTATTTTCCACGAGCAATTCGTGCATCCAAACCTCTCAAACTCTTTGTCTCTCTTCTGCACATAGATATCGAAATAATGCGACTCGTTCTGCCAGCTAAAACTGCAAAAATACAAAGTACGGCCGAAGACATCAGGATTAAACCGAAATGACGATGATCCACCTGGTGCCAAACTCTGAGCTTTGAGATTATTATCACCCGATTTACAATGGTATTGTAGCGCTAAACCGCCTCCAAGATCATTGTTGATCACAACTGTCGTTTTGGCATGAGACATGCACTTATGAACATAGTCATTGCGAAAAGAGCTGAGTTGTTTTAGAGAATTCATTTTCTTTTCCTTTGCTTTTCTTTTCCTTGGAATACTTCTTCGATATTTATAATAAAACATGAACCTTTCAGTGTTCGTAAGATGGAACGTATAATTAGGTACTTTTGAATATGGTCAACTAGGAAAAGAACCTTAACATACTAATTAAGATACGTTTACTAATTTAAGGCATGCATTTAAAAAAAAAAAAATTCTATTCCTAATTCCTATATAGATTCAAACTTCAAATCAACATTTGTCACTAATCAAACAAAATTCTGACCTCAACCGATGGGCCGAGCACAAAGTTCAGAGAGATGAGACCAAAGTAAAACAGAGACATTGAAATCGGTCAAGGCTGCTTAGTTAACCCTTTTTATTATATATTTTTGGACCGAGACATAATAAAGGGTTACAAAGGATACAACAAACGGATTGTTTTACCAAACAAAGAGTAACTAGCGAGATAGAGAGAGAGAGAGAGACTGATCAAAGACTTGGAAACATAGTTTCATTCGGTAACTTGACTAAGCAGAGACGCATAACCTCTTTTGATCTTACAAGCAAACACGACACACATCATTGGCTCTCTCACATCCTCATCCGTGATGCTTACTGTAACAGCATACCCACCCTAAGGTCACCAAAGCGGTCTCGTTAGCTCATCAGAAACAAGAAAAAAAAACAAGCCAAATGGAGGTCTCAAACTATATAGTGTTAATAATGTAAGGCAAAACTTACTGATTTGATTTCTTTCGGAGTGAATACGTTAGATAAAGTAATGACAAAGGGGCCAGTTTTAACGGGGCATGTCGTTACATCACAGAGTGGGTATGTTTTCTCAGAGATCGGAACAAACGTCGAAAGTTCGAGTTTCACAGTAGCTCCATCAGGGATGTCTTTGCCTGTTCACACCAATAAAACAATATTTATTGGAAAACTTAAAACTTGAAAAGAAAAGAAAAGAAGAAGCTATTATAATACACACTTACTTGTATTTCCGGTTATCGTAAAGTTTCCATTAGTACTACGCTTAACTGGGTACGGAGAGATGTTTACAGTCGCGACGTTAACCGGATATTCATTACGACCTACAAAGAAAAGAAAACAAAACAAAACAAAAAAAAATTCCTTAAAACTTCCACAAATCAAAGTATAAATGTCTTTGGTTTCAACACAAAAGAAGAAAGCAAACATATGTTTACAACAAAAGAAATGGTGTGAACACCTTAATATGTTTATTTTTCTCCCTTAACTTCCACAAATCATTTTAATCAAAAAAAAAACTAACACTAGCAAATCCATACTTACTCCTGCAGTTACCGAAACTGACGCTCAAAGCAGGCAAGACAAAGAGTGACACAAGAAGAAGAAGAATCAAAGGCTGGAAGTGAGATATCGCCATGGATCGATATTATAGCTACCTCCTTGTTCTTCAGTAGATAGTTTATATATTTTTCTTTGTATTACTAGTACCTGTTATGCATAAACAAAACAAAATAAAATAAACAAATCTCCCGTGTCCCGAGATCCCGCCACGTTATACACGAGAGTGGTTAAAATATGGCGCTAAAATATTTAAAACTTTGCTCAATTTGACCAAGAAAGGTGTACCTGTCATGGTTACATGCAACCCGGCCCATCTACCCGGCCCATCAAATCAAATGATGACAGAGGATGAGAGAATGATCCGTTTGTCTTTGTCGTCATGTTTACAGTTTTTAGCTTTCTCACTGTAACAGCGATAATCAAATTCAGGAAAACCTTGTTTACAGTTTACACCGGATCTGATGGAAAGTATTGAATTCTCCATCACCAAAATGAGAGCGTTGTGCCGAAAGGTTTTGCTTTTATGTTCTACTCCTCCGCTCTTGTATTCTCATAGTATACATACAAGTGTTCGATAAAATGCCTGAATGAATTTTCGGATGCTCTTTCCTGAATTTGATTATCACTGTTACAGTCTTCAACCCTTTTGTTTTACTCTGTTAACTCGGTGGAAAAAAAATGGAAACTTTAGCAAACCAAGTTGCTGTATTTCAATGGTCTTGCTCGAGCAAAAGGATCGGTTTTTTCCACTCTGTGTGTCATTGTGGCAGGTGCTTACTCAGGTATTTTTTTGGTTTCCCAAGTAAAATTAGCTTGAAAAGGTCAAATCTCAGACTTGGTCATCACCAACCACCGTCATGTTAACGTCTTCAGCTCCATTATTTTATTTCAATGCAAAGACTTCAAATTTGGACTTGGACTTATGGTTCCACCTCTTCAGAACCAATTTTGAGATACCTATTTGCCAAATTGTCCATCTTCCAAATTGCTATGTGTGCTCATTGCATCTTTCTCACTTTTTTTACTCTGTATCTCTTGTTAGGACAATCGTGTTGTGAAAGAGATAGGCTGCTTCAGGGGCAGTACTTGAAAGATGGGGAAGAGCTCGTTTCATCCTTCAATATCTTCAAGCTCAAGTTTTTCAGCTTCAATAACTCCAGCAACCGGTATCTTGGGATTTGGTACAACAGTTTGTATCTCAATGACATCCAGGACAGAGCTGTGTGGATTGCTAACCGCAACAACCCAGTTCCGGGACCCTCTGGAAGCCTCACAGTTGACTCTCTTGGCAGGTTGAAGATTTTAACAGGAGCATCAACCCTGCTTGAGCTGAGCTCTACAGAAACCACAGGAAACGCAACCCTAACGCTGTTGGATTCCGGGAATCTCCAGCTCCAGGAAATGGATCCTGATGGATCGACGAGGCGGGTTTTGTGGCAGATTTTGACTATCCGACGGATACGCTTCTCCCTGGGATGAAACTCGGTTTCAATGCCAAGACCGGGAAGAGATGGGAGCTGACTTCATGGCTAGGTGATACTTTACCTGCTTCTGGATCTTTTGTCTTTGGCGTGGATGCTAATATCACAAACCTGTTGACCATCTTGTGGCGTGGAGACATGTATTGGGCAAGTGGGCTCTGGTTTAAAGGACGTTTCTCCTTGGAGGCGTTTAGCAACTACGACTCTCTCTTCTATTATGTCTCAAACGAGAGTGAACACTCTTTCATGTTTTCAGTTGCTGAAACAGATTTTTCCACGATGATGATAGACCAACAGGGCGTTTTGCATATAAACAGGGTTGATAGAGAGCGACCGCATGTCCATGTCAGTTGCTCTCCTTTCACTTTCGTTGTAGAGGTTGGTTATAGATGTTATGAGAGAAATTCCAAGGATTGTTTGCAGACTGGTTGCATGGTCCCGGAGATGGAATCGGGGGTCCAGAATTGCTCTCGCTCTCCTTATACCGAGTCCACCTATTTCAGAGAGGCTGTTGCAGCTTTCCCTGGCAATGGAACTGTACTTGATGAGACTGGTGGAAGGCTCAGCTCAGCTGATTGCCATGCTGAAGTGGGGAAGAAGTGGCTATCAAGAGACTATCAATAGCATCAGGGCAAGGATTAGTGGAGTTCAAGAACGAGGCCATGCTTATTGCAAAACTACAACACACAAATCTTGTGCAGTTGCTAGGATGCTGCATTGACAAGGATGAGAAGATGTTGATTTACGAATACATGCCTAACAAGAGCCTTGATTACTTCCTCTTTGGTGAGTGAGCTTTCTTTAAAATGCCAAGAATCTATAGAAGAAACCACATCTGAGAAAATGTCGCAAATCTTTTGTGCAGATCCACTGAGGAAAAATGTTCTAGATTGGAGGATGCGGTTTAGGATCATGGAAGGGATAATTCAAGGGCTATTGTACCTTCACAAGTACTCGAGATTGAAAGTGATACACAGAGACATCAAAGCCTAGCAACATTTTGCTGGACGAGGATATGAATCCCAAAATAGCTGATTTTGGGATGGCTCGGATATTTGGAGCAGAAGAGTCCAAAGCCAACACCAAAAGAGTTGCTGGCACTTTGTAAGTTCTCTTAAGAGTCACCAGAAGATTCTCACCATTTGATTTTAATAGAAAATCTTCTCTTGATATGTATAGTGGCTATATGTCTCCGGAGTACTTCAGAGAAGGGCTATTCTCGGCTAAATCAGATGTGTTCAGCTTCGGGGTTCTAATGCTCGAAATCGTTTGTGGAAGGAAGAACAACAGCTTCCACCATGACTCAGAAGGACCTCTCAACCTCATTGTTCATGTAAAAGCTAACACTCTCTTCTTCTTGTTTCATTTGTTAGCATCTCGCATGCTTATTTGGTCTTTGGATCTTGAAACTCTGTTTTCAGGCGTGGAATCTTTTCAAAGAGAACCGAATCCGCGAGGTGATAGATCCGTCTCTGGGAGATTCTGCACGAACCCTCAAGTGTTGAGATGCGTTCAAGTTGCTCTCTTGTGTGTACAAGAGAACGCAGAGGATAGACCAAGTATGTTAGATGTTGTGTCTATGATATACGGCGACGGCAATAATGCTCTTTCTTTGCCTAAAGAGCCAGCTTTCTATGATGGTCCACGGAGAAGCTTGCCGGATATGGAGGTTGAGTCACCGGAGCCGGAAAATGTATCAGAGAATAGAGTGACCATCACGGTGATGGAGGCAAGGTGAGCTGGAAAATGTTTTTGCTTCTTTTTGATGGAGCCCTGTGTCTCTATGTAGTAACATAACTTTGCTCAAGACAAAGGAGTTTACCTCTTTCAAAACAGCCATAGTTATTCATTTAATACACCAACCCCGAAGGTTCAAGAACAAATTGTTTAAAACTTCTAATACAAGTTAACAAAAAGCTATTTAGGCTAATGTGAAGAAAAGCTTGTAGTCTAAGTTAAACAAAAAGCCTTGTTAATTCAGTTGTATTGTTTGACCATGAGAATGTCGGAGCATAATCTTTGAGGAACTTGTTGCAGCTCTTTACCCTCTTGCCACGCCTGTCCTACGCATACACCAGGACCTATATGTCATATGTAGATCACCACACTGTCGTTGAATGGATACGGATGCTTCGCTGCAACATTAACAAGTGTGAGAGACAAAACATAAGAAACTATGAGTTTAGGGACACTCATGTGTCTAAGCTATTACGGAAAGTGGAGACGGCTAAATCTAAGCAATGAAAATCCTACCTGGTCGAGGGAAGCCTTGTGGGTAATCTTCGATGTCAAGAAGTCCATGACCAAATGTGCATGCTATGTCGCACGGCTCTTCTGTAGCCATAACTTCCATAGCTTCATTAACCTCAAAGTATAGTGGACTGAAAGCATCGGCAAGAACGTCAAGCGGTGGTCAGTTTTGCTTTCTCAAATGGTAAATGGAGAAGCTCTGTGCAAGAATCACCCATGGACTATAAGAAGTCAAAACGTTTATCGTGAAATCAAGAGTACTTTATGATAAATCTCAGCAAATCCAATGGATTCCCTTAAAAACCTACATTCTTGCGGGAAAATACTATTACTCATTGAGGCATTTTCAGCAAAACACTTGAAAGACAAAAAATTGATAAAATCATCATCATCAATTGGTTTCACTTCAGTTTCCTTTAATACAAGTAAAATCATACTAAAAAGTTCCCCGGTCGTCGCCGCCGTCGCACAATCACTGGTAACGTCGGCGGCCACCAATTACAGTCTGAAGTCATTACGCTGTCGTTCATAAGCCCCTTTCTTGCACAGTGGCACATATGGCCCAGTAAGGCCCAATACCGTCACTTAGCTTTGATGTTATATTTTAAGATTATGTTCGGTTGGATGTTAAATTTGTTTGTATGAATAAATACCAATGTTTTTAAAATCGGACCGGTGACTAAACCGTAAAAATTTTGGGTCATGGGTCAACCCAGTTCAACCGGGTTCGACCTGGTTCAATAATATTTTCAGAATATTATAAATAAAATGTTAAGTATATATGACCAAAGGATTAAAATCACATGTTAAGAAATATTTATTGTCATTTGTCAATTTAGGAGAGAGAGAGTGACTTCATAGAGGAGTGTAGACGTCAATTTAGTGTTAAGTTATTCAAGTTTTTAAAAACCTAACATTGCATATACGTCAAGTTAATGTTAAAAATGATAAACCGGAATCAATCCGGTTCATTGGTTCGCCGGTTTCCGGTTTTTAGCCGGTCTACTCCGAATTATTTTCTGGTTCAACTATTTCCGGTTTTCCATAGCAATCCAACCTGCTCTTAGTACCGGTTCGTGGTCGAACCCGGTCGGACCCCCGATCCGATCCGGGTTTAAAAACACTGATAAAAACCTTAAGTAAAACTTTATTATAATTGTATTATTTAATTGATTTTTCCTTTTTTCCTGTGCTTTTAAAACTTAAAAAGTGGAAATACTCTGAAGAACAACAATAGGAAATTTGCGTCTTAAAAAAGGAAATGTTGTCTACAGCAAACGAAAAAATGAAATACTCGACCCCTACTTGTTTAATGTCGCAGATATAAAATCGAAGTTTAATAAGCAACAAGTATATAACAATTTAATTACCAACCGAGTACTGTATATATACATACATTCAGAGATGTAATCAGAGATGTAATGAACAAGACAGAAGTTGAAGAAGTCCCATGAAGTTTGCGGAAAGGACACACCGAGTGACTTCTCAATCATTAGCGTGTCGGAAGCAATTAAGAAACTTAATTAAACTTAACCACGAAACTTCTCCTCTTCCTAGAGCATATAATGATTACTAGTTTACAAACTTCGTCGTACTTCAATTAATTTTTATAATTATTTTTTTGTCTACTTAATTAATTTTCTATAGAAAAGTTCTCGAGACTCTTCAATAATACATTCCGTGCGTCCCTTTCGTCACCACCACGCAAAATAATTTCATTGTTTTATCTACAACATTTTCGACATATATGTACATGTACGTCGTTGACCAAAAAAAAATGTACATGTACGTATGTTGAAAGTGTTCGTAGCAAAAAAAATAGTACTATGTTGGAAGTGATGATGATGGTAACTGGTAAGCAAGTAGTATTAACTATTAAGTATTAACTGCTCCGATCTTATTATCAGTAATTAATCTGTAAGCTTTAATATATTTATTTTTTATGAAATTAAAAGTATATTTTATATGGCTGAAAGTTCAGAAACATTTAACAACATAAATATATAATATCTGCAACTAGAAAGGAGAGTAGGACCATGAAATTGGGACCAGGTCACCAACGCGTCATGAGAGCGACTTTTATTATTTCCAATTAAAAAAAGAAGTTAGCATATTACAGACGTTATATTTCACATGAAAAAAAAAATGTTTGGAATGGACACCATAAATATGAATATGGTACATCGCAGACAGTATCTCAGATATGTGGAGTTTCGACGGATTTAAAAATGAGTTTTACTACTTAACGTAAACAAAATACAAATTATACTCTAAATAACCAGAGTGTAAAAACATTTGTTTCTTCTTTTAACTTTGTACAAAACGGGGCTTCAGATGTTTAAATCATTTAAAGACTAGCCCATTTTTTTAGCCAATTTTCTCTAATATCAATGATAAAAATAATTGCGATGAATATTGTCTTTTTTATCAAAGCAAGATAAATAGATAATTTATTTAATTGAACTCATCATATTCAAGCAATGTTTTAAAAATCTGTACTCAAGCAATTTCATACATCATTAAAGTCTCTTTTTATTATGTCATGAGACTCATGACTCATGAGAAAGATTCCGTTACAAAAATAGAAACAAAAGTTATAAAACCGTCACGAAAAAATAAATAATAGAAACAAAGCCAACCATCAGATAAGTTTCCCGTTCTCTATATATTTATATATAAATAATTGTTTTGAAATCATCATATTCTTTTCGTTGTATATTACAGTTGATGGATATATATATATATATATATATATATATATATATATATATGAAGGAAATATGAAGATTGCTGTTAAGGAGTAAATAATGATTTGTTGGTCGTAACAAAGTAAGAAGCTACATATGCTCAGCATCATCATAAAATTGCTCGAGGAAAAAAACGAGAAGCAAATGACATGGTTAACGAGATCACGATTGGATCACACACCGCATCGAATCAAAATACAAATCAGCAACAACAACAACAAAAAGTATAAATTATACGAAATAAATGTATTTGGAAATCAATCGGTCGATGTCAATAAGTATAGAACTCAGCCAATTCTTCAACGGATCCTCCTTCTTGACCAGTCTTGAGCATCCACAACAAGTGCTCGAACAAAACAACTTCACACGCTACCACAATCTCACGATCTTGTTCGCCGGATCTAGAAGAACGGTCCACAAGTTCTTGGAAGAGTGGGTGAGCGATGATATCTGGTCTAAGCATGTAAGGTCGTCGGGTTTGACCAACATAAACCACATGGAGATTGCTGTCCTCTGAGAGCTCGTCGGAGACGGCGGCCGATGACGATGAGTGATGATGGTTCTTGGCGAAGGAAGGCCATTTCTTTATCGCTGACTTAAGCTTTGTCAACTTCCCAACTTTGGCCATTGCTAATGGAGTTTTCACTTTGTAAGAGGAATAGAACTAGAGAGTTGTTGAAACTAGGCAGGGTTTAGGGTTTATGAGAATATATGTGTGTGTGGGGGTGAAAAATAATGGATGAAGAAGAGGAATGTTTTGAGATGTTCTTGGGAGGAAATAACGAGGAAGGTTCGTGTATATATATTGAGTGAAACAGAGAAAGGAGAGAGAGAGGACGTATAGTTGCATGACCCACCGATTGATGCATAACAGCTAAGAGAGATGAGGACATAAATGGCAAAACTAGTATCTTCTTTGCCCACTGTTTTTACATGTAGACATTCGTGATAAATTTTGCGACAGTAATTGATTTGTTTTCATATATTATATTACATGTGTTGATACTTAATAAAAAAAACTACTATATAAAAAAAGGTTATTGATGACGTGAATAAAGGAGTAAAACATGAATGAGGTGCCCCTTCATACATCAAAATTCGAAAATACTTGATAAACGTAAATGTTTGTCCAATAAATTGTCTTTCTTGTTGTATATTATAATGTTGTATAAATAGTAAAATTAATATAAAATAAGTACATAGATATACATGCAGCTGTGTAGATGTGTAGGCAACCTCTTATTGCGTGTTGTTGTCTAATGATCGGACAAAGAGTGATGTTTTTTAGATAACGATTACATCTTGTCCACAATTTTCTTCAGTATTACCCGATAATGCTAATTGTTTGTCGTTCATATATACCAAAATAACAAATATTTTATTCTTCATCTGTCGAAATCTATTATTTCTTAATTCATTCATGTGAATAATGTATACTCTATCTCATATTTCAAAACCATATATAACATCAACATTAATGAAGAATTATAGTCAAATCATATTAATATATAGAACAAAAAGAATTTAAGCAAAATAACTTTTATTTCGGTTACAAGTTACAACCGTTACGAAAGCAAAGATGTTTCATAGTTTAACAAAAATAACCAATAACATTTCAAAGTATATATTAATAGTAATAGTATAAGATATTTGATTTCACTGGATGTGGTTAATGACGTGTTTGGCATTGTTTTATTACTTTTCATTACGTTAACAAAATAGATACAAAAACATAAAATTAGATAAAATGAAATACTATATAGTTTGACATCGATCAAGTTCGATCCGTGATTTGTTAACTACCAATCACACGGAAATTTTTGTTCTTTTGACAAAATATAGAGTCCTTTTATCAAGTGCAAAGGCATATATGTTTCAATATCGATGAGTAGTAGATATCAAATTAATATTGCTAAACAATTCTTAAAGTTAGTTTGGTATTTCCGAGAAATTAGGTAGAGAAGACCTTACCGTCTGTCTTTATCGAACAAAAAAGTTGTGGATGGTAAGCTAATCATTTAAGGAGTTTTTTAATACTTCTTTTTATAAATGGTCGAACACCTACTTATGTATGGCAAAATAAATCAAATAGTAAGATAGTACTCACTCATCATTAGACATTAGATAACTGTCCAATGTCATATGCTTACTTACATACTTATGTAGACATCAAACTAGACCTAACAAGTCCAAAAATAGTGAAACTCTTTTCTTTTAAGAGTGAATCTATTGAAGATTAAAGAAAATGAAAATGACACACGCACATATATGCTTATGCATAAACATACAGGCATTACATGCATGAAACAGACTAGCAACCTAAATATTGGAATACTAATTACTTCCGATTCGTAATCATTGTAATGATTTGCTCAAATCAAGTAATGGTATTTTAATTATAAAAAAAGGCTACACCATATAATTACTCAAAATTTTATAAAAAAAATAAGATAATTACTCAAAATTCTAAGGTATACATGCTTTTAGCACTATAATTTTGTTTTCTTGGAGATTTAAATATATTACTAATTCAAAAGGTTAGAAACTTATATAAAAGAAATTCATAGATTATATTAAAAATTAAAGTAGAGACAAGCCAGTTGGAATGGTGTTGTTCATGTAAGTGCGCGACAATTGTGCAACTAATGTACTTTAATTTCTTCGACTTCGTCTTGTTAACTACAATAATCCGTATTCATATTTGTATTGTAAACTTATTGTTTTCTTTCTTAAAGTATATGTCTATAAATATTTAACGTAGTGGTTGTATCATATATTTTTAAGCAGTAGTTGTAATTCTTGCCGGATATAATTGTATGTTGTGATACTTGTGGATGTATGAGTATATGTTCATTTTAAATTCGCAAATCGCCATAGTCGGCTTGTTTATATTGATTTGACCTAATATATCTAGGGGTTTGGAAATGTTTTCAAGCTTTAGCTAAGATTTTAAGGTTTGGTCATTCCCTAAAAAAGTAAGATTTTTAAGGTTAGATATGAACTAAGCATGTCTTAATCATACCACTCAATTAAAGACCTGAGATGATTTAACTAACCACCCGATTACCACTGTATACATCAACTTGGATTCGCACGCCTGTCATGATGCCATCACTATACCAAGATATCAAATATCAAATATCCGTAAGCAAGTGTACAAAAATACTCAAAACATTTGTGAAGAAAAATATGATTGAGAATATTTGAACAATGTTTTAGGTCTCTCAAGTGATTAAACTAAAACATAATCGTACAACATCTTTCTTTTCAGGCGAAAAACATAAAGTATAAGAAAGAAAGTGAAGTAAAAAAAATAACAAAACGCCACAAAATTGGAGTAATTATTATCTCCAGCGTTTCAGTATAACACTCAAAACAACACAAAGAGCCTTGCATAGCAAACTACGAGTTTTACTTCTTGCTTTGACCTTTTTTACTCTGATGCTTTGGTCTTCTTCTTTTTCTTCTTTTTGGGCTCTGATGTTACTTTTCTTTTAGACTTTGAATCATCATCCTTCTCGTCTCGGTCTATCAGATCCTCGTACTCTTCAAGACTTGCAAATGGAGATTTACGTTTCCTTTTCTCTTTCATTTTCTTGCTAGCAAGACCATCGTCATCGCCATCACTATCATCACCACCAACATCATCATCAATATCGTCATCGACATCTTCATCATCAAGCATGTCCATGTCTGTATCCATCTCTGCATCACTCACATCAGCCACAAGCTCTTCATCATCGCCTGCTACACTATCTAGATCGTCATAATCATATTCACCACCCTCTTCTTCCACAGCATTATCATCAACATCATCCAACATATTCTCAATCTCCTCATTGTCACTCTCATCACCAGCCTCAACATCACTATCATAGTTTCCTCCATCATCACCGTCATTCACATCGTAAAGTTCTTCAGCAGCTTCTTCTTCAGGTAGCTTCTTCTTCTTCTTTTTCTTTGACTGCTTCGTGCTGTTCATCTTGTTCACATAGAACTTGTGGAAGACTAGATCTTCAGGAGCCACGTCTTCTTCTGCTAATGCTAGAATCTCAGATCCAATCATATGGTTTGACATGTCCATCTACAGATGAGAAGAAGAAAAAAAAACGGTTAAAAGTTGAAAAGAAACAACAAAATGGTTTTCAAGCTTTGGTTGATGAAAGCTTTAGCTTTCTTACCTTCTTGGAAGGTTCGATCTGAGAGCCACCATGCCATGTGCTTTGCTTTGCTTTCTTCTCCATGAATTTATCCAAGAAAGCAGTTAAGGATAAATCGTTCAATGGGTTTCCGTTGTAGACTATAGTGGTCCCTGAGAGAAGGGTTCCAGCCATTGTAGCAACCGAGGGGTGAGCGTGTGAAGCAAGAACCACCAGCTCCCACCAGCTCACACGGTCTCCGTTACTGTTAATTTGAGATAAAGGATTCAGTTCCAAACCAAGAAGGCTATAAATATATCAAGAAAGGTGTTCCAAGCATAGCTTCTCAGATGAAATGGGACAAAAACAGAATACTTTAGCTATAATGATAGATGAGATTAACTGACCAGTAAGAAGGTTCTCTATGGCGAGGATCGTATCCTCCAGGAAGACAGCTTGATTTCAATGGCGGTTGGCTTTTTTTCTCACTATCATTAGAAACCTCCATGACTTCTTTAAGCTTATTGGGGGTTTCTTTTATAAATAGCTCATCCCCATCATCAGAAGCATAATCATCTTCTTCATCAGAGTCCTTGACAGCCAAAGGCTCATCGTCATCTGAAGAAGAATCACCGTCTTTACTTATGATTTTGTCGCCGTCTTGATCAGCTTCAACATCATTCTCTTCTTTCTCTGCTTCTTCATTGGGATTAACATTCTCTTCCTCTTTCACATCCTCAAAATGCTCTTCATCTTCGTCTTCCTCAACTGATTCCCTCTGGACCACCATTTTCCTGCATGGTGAATAGAAGGATACATTGAATAAACGGAGAAAAGCAATGGGTAAAGAAGGTAAACACTTTACGGAACGAGAAAAAAGCTTACCATAGAGGTGGTCTTGCTTTTAGCACCTCAGACAGAAGGAAAAGGCATCCACAGGCGTACTGTGGTGGCTGCTGAAGCGCAACCTACACAAGTATTCAAGAGTGAACTTTAGAGATGACAGGCACATTTCCAATACAGAGTGCTAAAGTCACCACTCTTCATGTGTTAACAGTAATAATCAAGATAACAAAAGAGTTGAAAAAAATTCATGTATAGGACGAACTGATATGAATATTGTCTTCACTATCAATGAAATTAAAGCTACCAAAGATGATGTTGACGAATCATATATTCATGTCACAAACCTGCAAGATTCTTTTGGAGAAGGCAGCCACACGCTTCACATTAATATCGTTTTTCATGGCTCTGAGAAGAAGCCCAATAAACATTTCAGCCTGAAAAAATAGGAATATGACAAATTATTGAACAGGTTTATGAAGAAAAGGAGAATATGTTTCATGCCAGGAAAAGACATTAGTACTCTGATCACAATATTATAAAGTGCCTTTGCCAAGATCAGAAATATTCGCTAACACTCTGAAACCAGTTTCGAGCTATACCATAAAATAAGAAGGAAAACAGAATTTTTAAAATTTGACTTGCCTTGGAAGAATTCATTGCAGAGGTAAGTAGAAGTTTCGAGTACAAGGCACGGTAAAATCTGTCGCTGACAATCTTATTCTTGGATGAGATCTTGTCAAGAAGCATAAGTGACTGAACTCCCACATTGAAATTCTTTGAGTGTACCTGCATACATTCAAGTCTTGCCTTTTCATTTTCCTGGTAGCAACAAATGAAACTAAATTTATATATGATTTAAGCTTTCGGAGTTACCAGCTTAAAAAGCACGGGCGTCTCGGAATCAATAATATCATCGGCCTCGTCAGAGGAAACATATGGAAAAGCTCTGTTAACTCCCTGCAATAACGGAGTACTAAGGCGTAAGTTGATCTGTAAAGTCTCAATGCTATACAATTACATATATCATGCATACCAAAAAATAAAAAAACATATCAGGACTAACCGTTAGTAGAGCTGAGAGAATTCTGGAATCCAATTCAACAGGTGCATCAGAGGACTTCTCTTGTTTTGTGTCCTTTGATTTGGCATTTTTCTTATCAGCCACTTTGTCATCTGCGCCTGGTTTCTTATTTGCTTCTGTGGTTAAAACCTACAAGAATGGAGACACGATATTTTGAAAGATTTCATGCTATGACTAGTCAAACCCAAAGAAAACATTTAGGGGCAGTAATAGTCTCGGAAATCATCAAAGGAAGATGGAAATGGAGGAACAAAAAGTGAGAATAATTTTTGATTTCTCACTTATATAGACTTTAGATGACAGTTGCATACCTTGAATAGGGCAAAATATACATCAATTAGGCGTTTTGCCACCTTTGGATCATCTCCTTTGTGGCTCAATCGAATCTGACTCAAAAAGTTAACCTGTGAAAATTGACAGGAGTTAAAAAAACATGGCTTAAAAAAAGCTAAACATGGATTCTGTAAAGTCTTAGTAAAATTGTTTCCCACTCAAGTCAAACGAAGCCAAAATATAACATCTCTAGATGACAATGAAAATTAATCAGTGAAAAGAGATGAGCAATAGATAAAAGTTGGTATCTAATAAGAGTAGAACAATGGAAAAGAAATTTGTTTGGAGATATGAACAGTTGATAAAAGGACATACAGCGTGATACTTTGCACGTAACCCAAGATGGGGACGAAAGAGAAAGCAGTCAACTTCATCAATCACCACAGCCTGCAAAAAATAAGTATACGTTTTAAGCCAAAGAGAAGAACACAAACAAACCGAACCCAAAACTGGGAATAAGAAGGTTGAATAGCCGCACCTTCATATTAGGATGATCAGCCAGAAGATTTGTCAGGTGAAAATCAGCATTAGATGCACTCTTGTTTTGAGGATCCCCCAACTATGTAAAGCACTCCACGGAAACAATTATTGGGATAACAGTTGCGTAAATATGATCACATATAGTCCAAAGAACAATTGACTATACCTTGTTCACCAGTGACACTAGCAATTTCCGCTCCTGTTCTGATTTGCTTGTCAACATGAAATATATTGTCTGTAACCAAATAAAAATGAAATCAATAACTATACGAAAGATCTTAATAACTTTACTAAGCAAAAACAAATCCATCATTTCTATTAGAAACAAAGACCTCAACTCATGAAATCAGGCATTTCACTTAAGAGAATACTATTACACTGATAATACTCAAATGTCTTATCTAGCTCATGAAGAATCTAACAAAAACTGGAGACAATGCTAGTAAAGAGGCAAGGGGTGCAGAGTGGTAATAGGATATACCTTTAAAGCCCTGTCTTTTAGCTCTGGGAGCATATCCTTAGATGATTCATCGAGTGCGGAGACAAGGCGCTCATACCTAGAAAAGTCAGTAAGCGTGTTAAGTGAATCATCGATCCAGAACAATTACCAATACAAGGTAGAGATCTTGGACAGGATTTAAGCACAATACAATTGCAGTAAGAAGACCAAAGTTCTATTCTTTTATTGTTTTTCCTCTGTCTAGTGAGACAGTAAATAAGCCTAACGCACACAGTGATGAGGAACTACAAACTGGAAGCAAAGAGATAAGATTCTATTCACCTCTGTTTCAAGCATTCCTCCCAGTACCAAAACAGCAAAACCGAGTAACCATCTTTATTTTCCGGAATGCTGTTCAAGGGTCTCTGTAAAAGTGTCTTCAGCTTCCGATCAGGCAATAACCTGGCAAAAAGAAATTCATACGGATATGATCATGAAACGCATCAATTTACAACACGGTGGAAGTGTAAAGAGTAACAAAAACGTGCCTGATGAATATCTCTGACAGAGCCTTAAGACCCTTGAATGCAAATCTTTTACCAACTTTTGAGGTAACCATTCCTGCAAAAGAACATCTCCAACAAGTCAACAAAATGCTTCTGATAATTCACAAGTAAAATTTAAAGTTCGCATTTTTCTACATACCCAACAAGGCATCAAGAGACCTCATATTCGCAATTGGATTCTCTCCAACCATGATCTCAAAGGCAGTGATTTTATCAGCCATTGTCCCTGACTTCTGAGCAGAGATCACCATCTTCAAATCTCCAGTCTTTGCTTTCGAAGTGACAAAGTCCTCTGCGTATTGCCACATCAATCTCTCTCCAAGTTCCCTCTTTTCCACCGCCACGCCCTTCAGATCCTCCTTGCTCGCCGCCGCCGCTTTCCGGTGATCTCCTCCGCCGAATACCTTCTCCTCCAGCTCCTGTGCGTCGTTGTACCACTCCGAGCTCAATAAGCCCGCTCTCACCAATGGCAGCTTAGGCAAAGCCTTGAACTTGTCGAATCGTTTGGCCTTATACCCAGTAGTCTCGTCGTCGATTGTCAAAACATCGGTCCTTGGCTTCGGTTGATTCGTCTGCGTATCGTTGTTGGTTTGCTTCCTCGCTCCCAAAGTCTTGCCCTTTTCATTTGGAGGGTTCGATTTTGGCTTCCCTGTGTCTCCCTGTGTAGCCTCGTTCTGATTCTTCTGCTCGGAGCCGTCCTTCTTAGGCTTATTCCGTTTATGGGGTTTAGGTTTACTCTTTTTCCGGGAACCAGTGTCGTTTGGACCCGAAGAAGCTAAGCCAAGTGAGGAAACGACTGTGGCGATATCGGATGTGAGAGCATCCAAGTCCATTGATGGATTTGATTTCGACATTGTCTTTTTTTTTTTCAGAGCATATGAACAGAGCTCTCAGAGTGTGAAAACTGTGAAGTGAATTAGGGTTTTCTGAATCAATCTCAGTGATTTGAGATCGATACTTGCTGAAGAAAAGAAGAAAAAAATCAATTGAGAGGTTTCTGCGAGCTTTATGCTAGGGTTTTAGAAAACGGCACGAGGAAGCGGAGAGAGATAGTCGCAGCCTCGCAGGAGGTTAATTTAGTCTTTCTATTGGATAAAGACAGGGGCACACGAGACTTTTAACGCCAAGGCTCTGAAACAAACAAAAAATGAGTATGTATCAGAGCCAGGTTTCGATCCTGGGACCTGTGGGTTATGGGCCCACCACGCTTCCGCTGCGCCACTCTGATTTTATGTTAAGTTGTAATATTAACGCGCCAAACTAGAACCGGTTGCGTAGTAGTGTGGTTGGGTTCCAATCGATGCTAACATTAACAACTTGTTTAGTGATTTGTACATTGTATTAATGTCGTTTAACATCGAATTTGCATAACAAGTTTATTTAGGTTTGTCAATCGTTATTTCTACATTGAATCAGTGAAATATGTATGGTACTATCGGCCTACAAAAATCATCTGACGAGCCACCAAATTTTGACATTTCTAGAGAATATAAACCAGATTCAAAGAAAAGCGAATATCAATTTGTATATAGAGGTATGACTGTAATACACACTAGAATCACTTAAATCTGTCAAAAGTATGGACTAATACTTTGGAAAAAAAGAGACTACATAAAAAAATCATAAATCCTAGGAAATTAAATTCTAAATAAGTCAAACGATATTATTTTTATATGTCCTAAAGCTTGAGGTCGAGATCTTTCGAGCCATTTCTTTCTTTTTCGTCCACTTCCATCGACACATCGTTATGTCTCTTTGGTTTCGGAGGAGTCACAGGCGGTCGCGAGGATTGTCCTGGCTCGACCGATGGACCGACCATCTCTGGCTTGGTAGGATAATGACCACTGTTTTGGTTCACTTGATATGGAGCTCTAGCCACAGCCCTGAAAGCCAAACATACGCAAACTTGTAAACGACGTCGGTCTTGTAGTATATGGAAGAAGAAATGAACAAAGAATTAAACAAATTAGTACACGGATTGTATATATTTGTTTTGTACAATTTTGTTTTTGCTGGTTGAAATGCATAGTTCAAGACATGCAAATTAGAACCGTAGTAGGTAGGTTTGGTTTTAAGCAATATTAAAAGAAAATCATGGGTTGTTAATGAAAGATTTCACAAACAAAAAACTCGTAATTCACATAAAACATTTAGCAAATAGTTCAACTTTAATTTTCAAAGAACTTTTAATTAGTTTTCTTTCACATTTTACCATTAACCTTCCTAATTTCAGAAATAGATTTTGGTAATACTTAGGTTAACTTAGCGTAAACGTCACTCTTCTGGTAAGTTGAACCAATTGTACTTAAGATTAACTTAGCTAATTTAAAATATAACTTCCTAAGGAAAATCAATTTCTTGGTAGACAAAACAGCTTTCAGTTTAGTTTACCTGTCTTTTCGTTTAGAAAAGAATCGATGAAGAGAGGCTCTTCTTGCAATGCGTTCCACAGCCTGATGAGGTTGACCTGTTTGATGATCTTCGTTGTTCTCAGAACTCGATGGCTCGTTTAGATCAGGAATCTCAATATTGCTTTGGTTGCTAACGTTCATGTCGAGGTTCATGTGTTTATGAGTGTTCTTGGAATCAACAACAACAGGATTCGCTTCTTTTGCTACTTCCATTATCTCCTTTGCTTTGTCCTCAGGAAACTCGTTGTAAACTATAACTCTTCCGCCGAAGAATATGGTCAACTGAGAATTTCCAGGCTCCGGTACTACCTTTGCCGGTTCACTGAGATCAAATCAAAACCCATTAGTATACACTATTCAAATTCCATCTATAACCGGTCTTGACCGGTAGTCGTTTCTCTAGTTCAATCACAACCACTCAAATGTTTTTTTTTTGAAATCGAGTTTTATTTAACACAAGATATTTGAGCACATAAGAAGTTGTGTGAACCGTGCGTACCTGATGCTGAGATTGGTATATGTGGCTTTGCCTCCTGAAGAGGTTGAGGCCTCACCGACGGATAGCTTCTGAATCAGACCGAAGGGTGTGATCTCCGAAGTTTCTGCCTTCTTCATGCCATTTTGTTGACCTAAAACAAAACAAAAATATTTGATTTTTATCCTTAATTTTTACATTTCAACAACAACAACAAAAAATCGAATTCTTTTTTTAGTTTCAAGGGTAAAATTTCATACGCCTATTCTGAATAATCAACGAAGCATAGATTCTACAAAATATAATAAAAAAAATAAGTCTTTGTCGGCGGCGGCCGTCAGAGGAGGACAAGGAGAGAAGTAAAAATACCTATAAGATCGGATTTTCCGACGAGCTCAAGATCTGATTTTCGAGCCAACCCGATATCTATATTCCCGAAACTTCCCTTCTCCTTCAAGTAGCGGCTGAGCAAAGTACATCTCCGGGAAAAGCTAGACTTCTCCGGCGCTTGTCCGGTTGACATACCACTAGTGATGAGATTACAAAACTCAAAAGATTTTTGCGCTTGTGTATGTGACACGTAAAATCTTGGATTACAAGAGTATAAATGTCTTGGACCTTTTGCTCATACGCTGTTATATATATGTAAATAACTCATTTAAGTTTCTATGGCTTTAAAACCTCTCCCGAATAAATAAACAAACGAATAAGGAAAACGAAGAACGTGTTTTTTTTAGTTACTTTTTGTTTTCTTTCTGAAGCGACAGTGATTGCAATAAAGAAACTTTGTCACGAAATGTTTTTTTTTTACACCTAACAATGTATGCATAATTTGTTAGACTAATTCAATTCATCAAAGATGATCTATGATGATGGTTAATTTAAGTCTTGCATTTTGGTGGTGACTGGTGAGTACAACAATAATACACCAACGGTTAAAATTCGCTACAAAAATGTTCTCATCATTTCTTACGCAAACATTTTCTTGTTTTTGGTCAGCATATTTATTAGGCTATCTATTAATTTCATATAGTTTGTCATAAATGATCAAATGAAATTAGTTCAATTTTCAAAACCATACCAATATTCGTTACAATTTCCTGCACGTTTTCCTTACGCATGCCGTGAAATTTTTAAAAAGAAAAATAAACAAAAAAGGTTGGAGAAAGATTTAAGAGTTGACGGCGACGACGTTACTGGAAGGCCGTTAACTAGTTTTCCCTCAAAATCCCCGAAAGTTTCTGCTAATTACGATTTTGTCCTTCTAATTCGTTTGGTGGCGGTGGCATACTCGTAATTAAAGGGCATGACTGAGTGTGTTTTCTAATACCAAAGTCTAACGGAGTGAAGTCATCGCGTCGGCTGATGGCTATTGAAATTAAATTTGATGGGACCCAGTGACAGTAGAACACTTGTGTGCGGATAGTGAACAATAACCTATCCCCGACAGAGTTTTTAGGACACGTGAAAGTATTGCTCTCTCAGTTTCTGACATCGAACATGTCAACGCGTGTCGACATCTTAACGGTACACTATAATACAATGCGTGATTTGCGTTTTTTCTTTAAATCTATTTTTTTTCCCTTTAGATATTAGTATTGCTACAGAATTAAACATGTAGTCGTTTTGGTTAATGAAGTTTTGCGTTGAATTTTCTTTGACTAAAATTCAATGCCAACTAGAGACCAATAAAGATTTTAAAATTATGAATTAAAAAAAAAAAAAATGATGTATGAGACGTAAAATATTCCATGAGAAATGTCGTAGACGATGGTGCCAAGGGGCAAGGGGAAATAAAATCATCAATATCCATCGCAACTTGCAATATCTTATCGATGAGAACATAATACTTTGAACTTTGAAGACTCTTCCATATCATACTTCAACAGTTGAAACCACAACTTTAGTCTATATGTATAATTATGCAATATAATATAGATGCATTGCTGCTTGCTTCACATATATATCACACAGGACCACATCATTATCCACTATTTCATATTGTTATTTTGTTACCATTCCATATCCACATATTTTTGTTGTACCTAGCTAGGTAAGGTAATCTTAAAAATGACTCAAAATTGTGTAAGAACACAATTTCTACAATGGGCGACTGATTAATGTAAAGTATTAATATGAACAAATTAATATAACATAATATTAAATGATACAAAATAAACAAGAATTAAGGAAACAAAACCGGATTTGCAGAGTCGAGATATGATCTCTTTCCTTAATTCTGTAAACGCCCCGTAGTGTGACGGTTGCATGGCGTTCCGAATCCCAGGATAAAACTGCACACTTCTTATGTTTGCATCACTCAAACATAAGCTTGCGAACCATATTTTCTATGTTGTACTCTCATAAGAAAACAAAACAAAAAGAAGAGAAGTGAAGAGATTGTTGTTTGTTAGTGTTTGATCACATGTTATTCTCTATTCAGAAACAAAATGCTTGACTATATTTATAGCCAATGCTCAATAAGGCCATAAAGTAGAGATTGAATTGATTCTCTCATAATGACATGAATTGAATTTTATAACATTTCACTTTGAATATGTCATTATAAGTCAAAACTTGAAATCAATTTTCTTCATAAAGTCATATTACTATTGACTTTATTAAAGAGATATTTGTTGACTATTTGAATTAATCAAAAATTATCAAACAAATTTGGCCAAAAGATTAATCTTATTTCCCAAATTCTGAAACCCAAACTTGGTTCCATTATCTCTTTTCCAAGGTTTATAACCTTATTATAATTCTCCACTTTATATACAAGAGGATTTCACCTCAAACTTCCAATGTGGGTTACATTTTATGCTATACAAGCAACCCACTTGGACCTCCATTTCTCATTCAAACCAACTTCATTTTTGACATATCAAAAATGAGTTCCAACAATCCCCCACATGAATAGAAATGACTCTAGACACTGGACGACTCAACTCTAGACTTGACTCTCTAGACAAGACTCAAAAGACTCAAAAAACGACTTTTGAGAGTACAAGCGAAAAATCCACTGTATATGAGTTGGTAGCATTTTTCAGCCTTGAACCAAATCACTGTCATAAACTATCGGATTTACTCGACCAAGAGGTGAACATGATGTCTTGAACCTCTCGGGCTTTGATGTAAACCGAGACAATAGCTATAACACAGCTTCATTCTCTCACAGAATCAGGTTCTCTATTGTGTTCATTTTGGCCGTGAACTTGCCTGGATAATCATGAGTGAACTTGGAGAATATAGCCTTTTTTATTCTCCTAGAAACGGCCCCATTTCACACTCACAAGGTGATTCGCCATTAACTTTGTTTAAAGGAGTATCCTGCATTACTCCATGTATATTTCAAAGTTATGGACCCAAATCATTAAAAGCAAAAGCTTATCCTCTACACCATACAGGTAGCACTGTTCATCATCCTAGGAACTGGGTAGAGACATGAGTCTCCCAGTGCTAGTTGATTCAGTTTGACTTAGTTTTCCCCTTGAACCTATTTCATGGGATCTCCAATCAGTTAGGTAGGGTTACCATCAAACATCCTCTTAAGTCATAGGCTTTAAACCCATTCCTCTTGATGATTTTACAATTTGATCTCATGACACACCTTTAATTGGATCCTAGGTTGTCATTCAAGTAGATATAATCTATTAAGATTACTCCATTTGAGATCAATTGTTTAACATTTTAGGTAGTGGCATTGCAACTTTTGCTATGCACCCCCACACTTTTAGGTATTTGTACAAATGTACTTTACCTTTCAAAGTTCATATGACATTTTGTCAATAACTTTATGTGGTAAACAATGTTTTCCCCCACATTTCTTGAGATAACTCAAAAATCATGCATTTGCATTTTCACATTTTAAGTTTAAACAATGGCTAGAAAGATCAATATCTTTTGTAACCAATTTTAAACTCATTTCCACAGAATTTGTCTAACATTAGTCTTGTGTTTACAACACTAAGCACTAATATGACAATATGATAAATATCATAATTTGGTACAATCACAAGTGGAAGACCATTACCAAAATAAATTTGGTATGTCAACTCACTAACTTGTTACCAATAACCCTTCAACCACTAATGGTATGAAAAAATCATAAATGGTAGACCACTCCCAACATGGGGTATCAACTCATTTGATTTTTCACTTTAGAAACATTTTTAAATGTTCTAATTTTTGGTAACACTTTTTCCTTTCTTCCTTGATTCAATTTGCATAAAAGCCAAACCTGAATCATCATACAAAAATATTAGAAATATATCAAATATATTAAGCAATTTAATCACTTAAAAATTGCAAGAAAAATTAAATCAAAAACTCCAAAAAAATTCAGGAATTAACAATTTAATTAAATGCACAAACAATAATAAATTGCAACAATTAATTAAATAATACTAGCAATTTATGTCAAAAAGCAATGCAATATTCAACAATAGCATTAAAATATTTGAATGACTTAAAACAAAAGTCAAACTTCTTGCAAAATTAATAATAGAGTTAAATGCAAAACCATATTATCAATGTATGATGCAAGACAAATATGATGCAACGTAGAGCAAATAAATGGCTATTTAAAATAATCAAATGCATTTCTCCACCATAAAGACATGATCAATTATTAGCCATAAGAAATGTGTGTTCTTGAAACACGCAAAATTGCTCCAAATTTTTGTTAACAAATATAACAAATTGCAGCACCATAAATCACCACCATATATTCTTCCTATGATAACCTGCAAAAAACAATTAGATAAATTTGCAGAAAATTGGAAAATTAATCCAATTAATCCAGAATTTTCAATTCCTGTTTACATAACAAAAACACTTCACAAAAATCAGTTTTCGTTAGTGCAATAAGCAAAAACGAAAATTTACAGAATTAAGATTGTAGGAACGCAATTTCTACAATGGGCGACTGATTAATGTGAAGTATTAATATGAACAAATTAATATAACATAATATTAAAATGATACAAAATAAACAAGAATTAAGGGAAACAAAACCGGATTTGCAGAGTCGAGATATGATCTCTTTCCTTAATTCTGTAAACGCCCCGTAGTGTGACGGTTGTATGGCGTTCCGAATCCCAGGATAAAACTGCACACTTCTTATGTTTGCATCACTCAAAGCATAAGCTCGCGAACCATATTTTCTATGTTGTACTCTCATAAGAAAACAAAACAAAAAAAAAAGAAGTGAAGAGATTGTTGGTTTTGTTTAGTGTTTGATCACATGTTATTCTCTATTCAGAAACAACAATGCCTTGACTATATTTATAGTCCAAGTGCTCAACAAGAGCCATAAAGTAGAGATTGACCACTTGATTCTCTCATAATGACATGAATTGAATTTTATAACATTTCACTTTGAATATGTCATTATGAGGTCAAAACTTGAGAATCAATTTTCTTCATAAAGTCATATTTGACTATTTGACTTTATTCACAAGAGATTATGAATTGTTGACTATTTGAATTAATCAAACAATTATCAAACAAATTTGGGCCAAA